CTAGAATATTAGTATTACTAAAATTTAGACTTCTATTAGATATCTATTTATTTAATACTTATACTATCTTTTATAGTAGAAAGAAACTAGTAATAATCTTAGATATATAGTTATAACTTATATAATAAACCTATTTTTCTTATAGTATTAGTATAGGCTTTATAATAATACTTCTAAGTAGAAATACTATTTTTCTAAAATATTATATTTATTTATTTATNCTATAGTAGCTAAGGAGACTAAATTTTATAGCTTTCTATAGTTTAGATAGTTAGTTATTTAAGTAAATATACTAATAAGTTCTAATTAGCTAACTCCTATAACTCTAGTTCTAGCTAAGCTAATATACTAAAAGAATCTATATAAGCTTAGAGTACTACTACGAGCTAGTTTTGAAAATTTAGAGTTATTACGCCTCGATTTGCAAAAGTTATTAAGATTCTTAGTTTAGCGATTTAGGGCGGCACGCAGGGTAGAGCGGCACGCCGGGGCCACTTCTACTGCAGAGAAAGAGTCATGCGTCCACTCACCTTGGGCACTCATTATCGCGCTTCCAGGCGCTCCTCACCCATCAAACTCTCAATCGCAAGCAGTTCTAGCTCTGAATAAACCGACAGCCGGCTTTCAGGCACATCCGTCTGCGCTGGTCGCGCAACAAATTTGAATCCATGTCTAACGTGCCCAATGGCATTCAAGCCGACTTTCCGACCGATAGCGACCAGGTCATTGTGACATTGGCCGCGGAATCCAGTCATTTTGCAATGACGTTCAGGCTCAAGCGCAATCAGCCACTGAAGCTGGTAAAGGAAGCGTTCGCCTCCTACCTTGACTGGCACGCAAGGGAATTTGAGTATGTCTTTCAAGGCCGCGTAGTTGAAGATGATGCTACCCCAGAGCAGGTATGCAGGGACCAGAGCTCAGTCAGGCGCCACTTGCTGACCAATGTGCAGCTCGCGATGGAGTCCCACGACAACACGATCGAGATATCAATTCAATACAGGCTCATTGTAGGCCGCTCCGAATCGGGTCAGCAAAATTTAGACGACGCCAAAGTTGAGTTACTGCATGTGACGTACGCGGAAGGAGGCATCGACTTTAATGTGAGAGCCTGTGGTCAGTATCTTATATCTGGTGTTGGTGGTATATCAGTCCGCGTTGCGCACGACTGTAGCCTTGGTGGCGTTATGTTAGACTTCGAACGGCTGGCTGGGTATTGGTCGCTGCGCTTCTTATCGAATGGTCATAGGATCAAGCCAGGTGATACTCCGAACATGGTAAGTTTCTCGTGACAGATATCGGCTGCATCCCGACTGACTATTGCCAATAGTTGGAGATGCGGGATGGCGATGACATCGATGCGTACCTCGACATGGGACCTACGCCGCGCGCATCGGATCCCATACCATATACTGTGATGCGATTGTTGTAGGAATCGAGACTCTTCTACCCGGAGTTGGAAACTGCATGCTCGAGCGAGAGGCCTAGGGTAATGCGCTAGATCAGCGAAGCGATCCAGGTTCACGTACAGTACATTTGGTAGTGCAGTTCTATGCCATATTGGACGCAACGGCACATGATCCACTTGGCACTGGTCTCTCAGCATGGTCCACGGTACAGATCGGCAGGATGGACGTGCAGAAGAAACGGTGGTTGAGAATCGTAGTCTCAGAGCACGACCATGTTCGAGATGACTGCGAAAACGCGTGCAAATAGAAGAGACCCTCGTCGATTGTGCTCGAAGTGAAGTCCGCGGCGCCAAGCGCTTGTTGCCGCGTGCCTCGTGTTGTATGCCTGATGGGGTTGGATCGAGAGTCTGGAAGCTGGGAGGATCCTTTGTTGGTTCGTGTCTGTGCCGTTCCGATGCAGCCCGCATCCTCATTTCGCGCTGACTGCTTCACACCGTCTCTACAGCCTCGACAGCGGAGTTCGTATACAGCGATATATGCAGTGGGAGGCGGATTGCATATGCTGTTCAGGACACCTTCGACGCGTCTCTCGAGAGTGAACAGAGATGGCGCTTGCCCTATCGAGAGCGCGCGTTACGCGGGACTCGGCAAGCAGACGCGCTAGGCAGCATTGACCAAATCTTATAAGTGACGACGACAGGGGCCAGCATCCCACGGCGAGTTGAGCGTTGACGCCCTTCAAAGTCAATCCTCGCGCTGGTTGTGTGCCCGCTCCAAAACAGCACGTTGCTCGCTGCTGACTGGCAGGAGACATCCCAGTCGCCCTCGCCGTCGCCGCGCTGCCATCCCCGCTGCTCACGCTGGGCAGGAGCGAAAGAGCCGCAGCTTTCCATGCGTCCGCTAGGATGAGCACCGCCACTACGCCGCCCTCCTCCACCCACGGACTCGAGCGGCTGGCCGACAGCACTGCATCGACCCCACAGCCCGCCGAGCCACGTCTGAACGACAGCGAAAGCAGCGGCAGTGCCAGGCCCAGCGCGAGTCCAACAACCAACTCCCGCGCTCATGCTCACAATGCCGCCGTGCTCCCTCCGCTCGACACTGCCTCCGCTGCCTCGACGCCCGTTGCTCCTCCCCAGCCAAGCGCCGGTCTGACGATAAGGACGAGCTGCCTCGGCCGACCAACACCCACCGGGCCTTCCACAAGGGCCATGGACACGCCGACTATCATGTACGACGCCGAGCCCGTGCTGCACCACAACCTCGCCTCGCCCTCGAGTCTGCCCACAATGGGATCTTCGCTACGATCGAACGTGTCAACGACAAGTCTTGCATCATCTTTGTCCCCCGGCTCAGCTTCCGCCCTTCCATCGCCATATCTCGCCGCAATGGCCGACCTCACTCCTCTACCTTCCCCGCTAGTCGGCAACGACCAGCCCATACAGTGGAGAAACAGACAAGTCAGCGGCGCGAGCCGATCCCGACAGAGCTCCCTGACAGACTCGATACCGGGAAACAGGTCGCACCTGCCACCAACATCTCCTGATTCGCCTCGCAAGAAGAAGGGCTATGGAAGTCTCATGCAGGAAGCTGCAGTGGCCCACGCAACAATGGCAGTCGGGCAAGAGCAGTTCAGACAGGCCTCACACGGCAGGAATAGGAGCATTTCAGACTTCAAGCCAGAGACGCTGTCCAATACGCGACCTCGACATGTAACCATTGGTCAAGGCGACGTGCCCAATATCGAATCCGCCGAATACCATATGCATCGAGAAGCACATCTAGCTGAGGAACGAGGTCTGAAGGCCAACTCCGGCGCGAGCAGCAAGCAGCTTCCCACACCTCCGCCTAGCAATGCAAGCATGGCCGACAGTGACGATGTGGATGACGAGCAGCCACATCTCGAAGACGGCACGGTCTCAGAATACCTCGAGATACACTGCGGGATACACAATAAGCGGCGCAAATTTCGGCAGCTGCGAGAGCTCGGCAAAGGCACCTTCTCTACGGTCATGTTAGCTACGCGCGAAAAGATTCCAGCACACCCTACACCTGAAATAGAAGATCACCTTGATTCAACGAAACTGGTTGCCGTGAAGATAGTGGAGCACGGTCCAGCGGGTGGCGCCGATGAAGAACGAATCGAGACGAGCTTGAAACGTGAAGTCGAGATGCTGAAAAGCGTGTCGCATCCATCTCTGATCCATCTCAAGGCCTGCGAGTATCAGCCGACGCGCGCGCTATTGGTGCTGACCTACTGTCCTGGCGGTGACCTTTTCGACTTTGCGAGTGAGCAACGGGACTTGTTGACGCCGCGACTGATACAAAGAATGTTTGCTGAGCTGGTGAGCGCTGTGAAGTACTTGCACGCCAATTGGATCGTGCATAGGGACATCAAACTCGAGAACGTACTGGTCAACCTTCGTGAAGCTGACCTCCGAGCGATTGAGAATCCGCTGACGCATCCACTCCCACTTGTGACCCTCACAGATCTGGGACTGAGTCGACGTTTGCCTGATCCACCCGAACCACCATTTCTCACGACGCGCTGTGGAAGTGAAGATTATGCTGCTCCCGAAATTCTACTTGGACAGCCGTACGATGGTCGCTTGACTGACGGCTGGGCGTTGGGCGTTCTGTTGTATGCATTGATGGAAGGTCGATTGCCTTTTGATGCGCCACCTGGGAAGCCGGAGCGTAGCAGAAACACTCACCGCATAGCACGTTGTGATTGGATCTGGTGCAGATTCGGAGATGAAGATGGTGACTGGGATGCAACGCGTGGTAAAGACTTCGAAGGCGCAAACCTGTGCGTCGAGGCTTTGCTGAAGAAAGTTCGAATGGGTCGCAAATCATTGGAAGAGGTTGAAAAATATGACTGGGTTCAACAAGGTATCCAGGTCCCCGGAGGTCTGCAAATGCGGCCGGAGGATGACGATAACAATTTGTGAAAAAGTGTTCGACGCTGAGCAGAATTTGGGCATTCTGTGGGAAGAGGCGTCAGATCAAAAAATGCATAGCACGGGCGGGAAGCATTTGATGATTGCGCGGCGTTTTATGATGATGGATTACAGCGCATTCGCTGTGTTTTGATTTCTGTACGAGATACCACGGACGGATGGACGGACGGGGATTACTTTCTGGCACGGGCTGGGAGATGGCCGTGCCGCTTCAAACACTTGAGCTAGATTGAGAAGCTAGAGAATACCTTTCTGCGAGAGTTTGCTGTACTGATCACGATCAATGCAACCTTTCACTTCTTGCTGCTCATGAATTACCAAACTTTGGTGGGTTTTGCAGACCTGGAGTATCCCGGCTGTGTGTTATTTTCGAACAGGAATCGCTACACAGGCGGAGTGACGTGAGGCACCAATATTCAGCGTGTTCGCCAGCCGAGGATGCATACAGAAAGGATAGCTGAAGTCGCCGAATGTACAATTTTATGCCTCGGCGCGATGTTGAGCCGTCGTTCGGTTTCATCTTCGCCCGTACAAATAGAGAATGGGTCTCGGTGTATTTGCATCCTTCCTAGAGTCGCCTGGTCAGGGAAACAAAAGAAAGAGAGCAATTTTTGAAGATCAGTAAACAAGAAAAACGCGTCAACCTAGCTCCTACCTCTACAGCGCACGCGTCAAATCCAGATACTACTAATCACCATCATCATGTCTACAAACTGTAAGCTCTAATCATGCACCTCCACCTCCACCCACATAAATCCCCACGCAAAAACTAACCTCACAACTCAACAGCCCTCGGCCTCCCTCTCCCCCTCCCAATAACAGCAACCTTCGCCCTCCCTTTGACTCTCTACTACCTCCTCCTCCAATCCCGCGTCGTAGCCCAACGCGTCCGAACCAAAACCATAATCGCCCAACAAACCACCAAACCCACCACCACCTCCTCCTCCGAACAAGCCGACCCCCTCTTCATCGCAACCCGCTCCCAAAGCAACTTTGTCGAAAACGTCCCATTGGCACTCCTCCTCTCCGCATTCGTAGAACTTAACAACGGGAGTCAAAAAATTTTGACGATTGCATTGGGAGCTTTAACGATTGCGAGGGTTTTGCATGTGGAAGCGGGGTTGTTGGTGAAGGGGAATAAAGGACGGGGGAGACCGGTGGGGTTTTTGACGACGTTGGGGGTGAATTTGGGACTTGCGGGGTATGGGGCGTGGTTGGTGAGGGGGTATTGGGGTTTTTGATGAGGGAGAGAGAGGGGGAGAGGGAATGTGGATCATTGGTGAATGGAGATGGAAGAGATGTGGGTAGAAGAGAGCGGAGGGGAAGAGTGAGGGTGTGTGAGGAAGTACTTGAGATGGGTGGAAGTGATATTGATTGATTGAATCAGCGCTGTTCAGCAACATGAGAGGGATTTCTCTTGAGGCCCCAGCAATGAATGCTCTTTAAGAAATGCATTGGATAGCACACTATTCTTCTTTTCCTGCTCCTCCTATCGCTCAAACATCGTATCCTTCACAACACCCGTATCCGTACTCTTAACACTCGCCCCACTGCTCTTCACAGAATCAGCACTGCCAGCAGCAGTAGCAGCAGAAAGTGACGCACTGCCCGGGCTCTTCGGCTCTGACCCTGCACCAGGACTCTCATCCAAAATCGATGCCGCCTTACCCTTTCCTTCCACTGCCTTCTTCGCCCCAACTTCTCCACCTGCCGCGGCGTTAACTCCCGCATCAGCTTCCACTCCACCCAATAGATCGCCAGGCTCCTCGTCATCTTCGTCCTCCTCCGTTCCTCGCGTCGTGGCTCCACGGTCCAGTTCCTTCTGGGCTTCATCCATTCTTCTTCGCACCTCTGCCGCGACCCGCATTCCATCTGTCACGATATTATCAAGCATGCCACGCAGTCCTTTCCCAGGAGGCACAACACCTGCACCAGGTCCGCCAGGGCTGATGGCAGGCATGCCAGGAATGACTTGTTGCCTGTCAGGAGAAGGCGCGGCGCTGAGGAAAGATGGCGAGGTCAGAGTAGTAGATGGTAGAGGAGCATCGGCAAGATGGAAGGAGTTGGCAAAGCCAGAGTCGAAGAAGGATTCGAGAGCTTCGTCTGCGAGGACGAGCATGCGGAATGTCGGAAGAGTGATGTGTACTGGACTGGTAGGATCGAGCGCGGCATTGGCAGCCACGGCTTTTGGTTTCGCGACTTGTCCAAACGTATTGTCTGATGGGCGTGCGAGTAATGAGTTCTCCGTAGCATTTGTCGTTTCTGGCTCGGGCTCTTGTGCCAAAGGATTCTCGTCAGTAGGCTTGAGCTCCTTTTCGTCTACCAGCAGGTCTTCTTCCTCGTCTTCGTCATCATCGAGCTTGATGTCAGCGACAGCCTCTGCTGCAGCGTTTGTGTCCTTCTCGCCTTGTCGTGAGGGATGATCGGGATCTGCATATTCGAAGCAGCGCCGAATGAATGCCGACACAGCGGATAAGAACTGCTCGTCCTTGCTCAGGGGTATGCCGTCGAGACCTGTGGTAATATGATGTTGTACCAATTCCGCGCCCTCCAGACCTCTTCGAGCCAAGAATAGTAATGCTTCTGACATTCGCAAAATGCCTTCTCTGTCCACTCTGCCATCCTTGTCATCATCATAGAGCTCGAAGAAGTACGCAATGTTGGCCATGATGTCCCTACCACCTTTGATGGGTGCCAGACCGACCACGACATTCTGCAATGTGAGCGACTCGTGACCATCAATGTCCCACTTTGCGAATAATCGCCGCATAAAGTCGTGATCTGCTGGTTCCGGACCGTTGCCCCAGGGAGACAGATTGATGGCTTTGCCTCTCAACGAATTGGCGAAGTACCCATTCTGGCCAGAAGCCTCCTTGGCTGGCGAGCTGGGCGAGTCGGTGATTGCCCATTTAGAGACGCCAGCCAGAAATTCTCGGAACGCATCATAGTCCATGCTGCTCGTATTTGCGCCAAGCGCTACTCTGCCCATCTCTGGCGTCTGTGTAGGCACTCCTGTGACCACTTCGCTGGCTCTTTGGCGAGCCATTCTAGCACGGCGATCTTGTTCAGCTTGTATCATTTGGGCGCGTTGTTGCCTCTCATACAGAATGCTGTAGAATCGGTCGTACAGGAAACCGAGGTCATTCGCCGATAGCTTCTTACTTTCCGGTCCCAGGTTACGAATCGATGTGCGTTTGGCAAAAGACTCGATATTCTGCATCACTGCATCTTTATGCTTGGCGCGCTGCTCCGAGATCGTGGCCTGAGTGATGCCTTCGAACTCCTTGAATGCGACAACCATGAGCGCCTGAAAGTTCGTAATTGCGCGATGCTTTGGATTCTCTGACGTCGGATGAGCAGATTCACCCAGGCGTGCAAAGTAGGACTTGAGCACAGAGATGAATGTGCCGTCATCTGTTGCGTCCAGCAGCTCCTCTCCATTGATTCTCAGAATGGCCAGGCCAATCTGGAACAGGACTTTCGGTCCCTCGAGGAAGAAGACATCGAGCACTCGGAATGCGAATATTAGTGGCATGCTGTTGATGTATAGCGACAGGAACCATGGCAGGGACACAACCGAAAGCTGGACATCGTTCTTGACGAGGTGGTCCCAGATGATCGGCATCGTCTTTTCGACCAAGCTTTCAAACACGCGCTGATCGAGTAGCGTGCCGTACATGGTCGTCGAGTAGTATCCTGGTAGTAAGCGGTCGCACAACACAGAGAGCAAATAGAACGCCTGAGTTTCTGAGAGATAGCTAGAGATGACTTAGCTGTGTTTGCGGCTACAGGGAGTGGACTTACGTACATCAACAATGCTGCCACGACGATGTTCATGGCCTGACAGTAGCCGACGTCTGTGTTCGTCCAGCTGTATGCAGTTAATACTCGTCGTAATCTGCCGATGCCTTCTTCGCTTTGAAAGCCCGCGTATTCCGGCAAACTACGATTCAGATCTTTTTCGATTTCGTCAATAGCAAGTGAGCCTTCACCTTCATGCTGTGCCAGCACTTCTTGGTACTGCTTCGGCTTCTGAAGTCTGTGGAAGAATGAGCCGGATGCGAGCTCCCAGATCTCGCCTCGTAGGAGATTCGGCAGGCCTACTCGAATTAATCTGTGGAAGTCGGGCTGCCGCACCAAAGTTGTGTTTCGGCCATTTTCTTTGAGATACTCATGCCAAAGCCTCATTTTGCTGCGGTCTCGCAACTTTCGAGGATTACCAGGATACTTGAAAATGCTTCCAAGACCGGTGTCTGGCGGAGTCCGCGGGGTGCCATCTGGCTTGGTTGGGGAGGGCGTATCCTCGAAGTCATCGTACAGGAAATACTCAGAGTAGCACTCTTGCGCCACCGTCCGCATCTTCTCGACTTCTTTGATACCTTGCCGCAAGCCCCTCTTAAGGCCATCGCAGAAGCGATCACATTGTTGCCTGCTGCCCTCGAGCTGTATAGTTAGTTTCGGAGGAGCTGGTGCACCAGGCTCGCCATCGCCTCCAGGTTCAAAGCCATTCCAGGTCGTTATTGAAAGCGCGAATTGGAAAGCCTGTGTGTGTAATCTCTCTACTCTCCGCACAGCGCACAATGGCAGCGTGAAACCGTTTCCAGCCGGTCCGGTGCCATGCGTCCTGCCTGTAAAGCCACTGCTTGCGCTCGTGCTTGCTGTACTGACAAACGATGTCTGGACAGTAGAGAAGCAGAGGAATTGCTCGCTCAAATGGAGCTGTCCGACATAGTGCGTCCCTCGATCGCGATCCCAATTGCTCTTGTCCCAATTGCCCGGCTGCGCCTTGGACAAGCTCGCCTTCTTCTTGTTCGGAAGCGTGAGCTCGGCGGTGATCTCATACAGCGGATTCTGGGTCTCTGGCAGTCGGAACTGAAGTCGAAAGAGCTGGGCCTTCGACGGCTTGCCTGTGCTGTTCGGGCTCAAGTTGGCGAGAGGACCGGGCAGGGTAGCGGGATCGATGCCCGTGAGCTGTTGGGCCTTCTGCACGAGGCTGTGGAGGAACATATCAAGCTGGCGGCCACTGCATGCCGCGGGAGTCGGAAGGGTCGTCTAGCTCGACATCATGTCTACTCGTCGCTGTGGAAAAGGGCGATCGTTGTGGAGGTGGGTGTTTGCAGGTCAATGGGCTCTGTCAACAACGCAACACAGCTGCTGCGTTGCTGCGTCTCAGGGCCCGGCCAGTCCCTCACATAAGTCTTGGCGTTACGTCCAATTGCATTGGCCCGTCGATCCTGGCGCGGGCACATGCAGAAACGCGTCGTCAGCAGCATCATAAAGCTGCTTGTTATTTTCGTGGCTTCAGGTCCTCTTATCAACATCTCGAGGTCCTCTACCGGACTTGCCTCGTTGGGTCCGGCGACAAACATCGTGTGGAATAACTCCGATGGCCAAGCAGTATGGCAGGAGTGCGATCATCTTGTGGAAGTAGGCCGCACAGTAAGGACGATAAGCAGAAATGAACATATTGGCCTCGTTCAGACATGCCAATCATTACTGATATCTCAGGAAACAACGCCTGCGCTACAGGATAGCTTGGGTATCACAAATCACTTCTCGCATACATTATAACATTCTCCCCTGCTCACTTGAACAGCCGCCGATATGCCAGCAATTCCGCTTCCGAACATTCAAGGCTTCGATTGCGCCTCCAACAAATCTCCTTCGCGGCGGTTTACACCTAGATATCCGCCCGTCCGGTATGCAGCGTCTTCCTGTTGCGTCTGAAGAACCTCAGAGTCAACCACGAGGCCGTGATCAACCACAACAGCATATTCACCAAGTCCACCCATACTGCGCTCTTCATTCGACGTTGACCATGCTGCTCAGGAGTGGGGTCGGCTTTGATATAGATGTTGCCAAAGAGGCCGAAGAGGGCGGTCCAGAGAATACTACACAGATCGTCAGCTTGAGCTTCACAGGCACCGAAAGAGGAGGAGGATAAGACTTACAAGAGGATCCACTCCCAGGCGAATAGGAATGGATGGAAAGACATGGTATATGTGGCAGCGTAGACCAGGACAGTAACAGCTGCGAAACCTGCTACGACTTCGGCGTAGACCCATTTTCCGTCTGCTGCAACGCCAGCTTTGCGGCCATTGTCGAGATCCACGCCGTAGAGACCGGCGACCGTTAAGGCCAGGACGAATTGAAGGAGGCGGAGAATACCTCTCGCGATGGCGCCAATCAGACCGCCGTGCCCGTCGCGGGCTTTGTCAAGTGGATTGAACATTGCAGATCGACTTTGTGATTCGAAAGGATTCGAGGAATGTCGTGTCGCGATGAATATCTTCGAACCGGAGTATGAACTAGTCGCGTCCGAGTCGTATCTGTCGCGGTCGTAAGGAAATCGAATGTACCAGACACTCGATCTTGCAAGAGCGGAGAAAATGCAGTAGCACAAAGAAGAAACAAGGAACAGCCTGCCGGGGCGTTCGACTCAAAAAGTACAATAGAGAGAATCACACGCTCTTCACAGCTGCGGAATGCGGGAGCTACGACGTACCTTATACCATAGACCCAGTTGCTGCTTCCTGCTCACCGCTCCAAGTCACGCGAGAACAACGCCAAACAAAGACCGCGTTCCACCAGCGACACGCTGTCGTCGTACGACAAAAAGAGACAGATGGTATAGACTGCTGCTAAAATGGTACGGCTTTGTCGCGAATCATTAGACTTTGGGCCCTGTTTGTGGCTCGTAATCTCTCCACGAAGCGCCGTCGACGTCATCAGCGCGCGCTTTGTCGTTTGGCGCTGAGTTTGGAGACGGGGATGGTGCTGCACGTTTGATTGGTTGTGGGCGGGCCTCTACCAACTGGCCGATTCCTTTGGGCAGATGGACGATGCACTTCACCTCTTGGGTTCAAATATGAGGTTTGTGGTCGATTCACGACTGCTGGCGGTCATGGCCTGTAGTGATCAAGCCAGCTTCATTGGTAAGAGTTCACTTGAATATGATCCTGCGCGAATGCATACAGCAACTGGCCGCCACGTAAAATCCTTCGCTGTGTGGCCATGCTGCTTCTCCGGCATATCATGCTCGTCGCGAGGGGAGAAGAATACAGTGATTTTTGTCCACCCGACCAGCTGAACGCAAATGCGTCTCGATATTGATAAGCCAATCGGCGAGGGATTTGATAGTCCAGAAGACCTCCGGGCAGCCATTGCTGAGATCTCAAAGCACACAGAGAGCCGAGGCGAGCAGCTGAATTGGGCGAACCATCTTAAATTCTTGACTGCAGACCTCTCTGCCGAAAAGTCTGCCGAGGAATCGGGGTCTGATAGTACTGAAGATGCAGACGAAGATGCAGACGAGGACAATGCAGAGCACAGCGATGCCGGTAGTGTCGCTCCTTCTGAGGACGACGAGGACGACGAGGACGACTGCAGCTGCAACGACGCCGACATCCGCAACTTCTCCCATAACGACAGGCAGCTGCGTCTGACCACTAAATCTGAAACACCAGACTGCTGTCACTACATCGCCGTCTCCTACTGCTGGACAAGCACAGGTCAAGCTCCATACATGGGAGAGCCTTTCACACTCCAAACAAGCAGCAATGAACCTCGGCCGACATCATGTCCTTCCTCTTTACTCGACCGCGTCATCCAGTTCGCAAGTTGGAAGCAGGTATCTCTCATCTGGATTGATCAAGAATGCATCGACCAGTCCGACCCACAAGACAAGAATGTCGGGATTCAAAGCATGGACCTTGTATACCAGCAAGCAAGCTATTGCCTAGCGGTGCTTGAGGCAACTATTACAGAACAGCGACATCTCACAGCCTTGAGTGAGCTACTTGAAAACAATGTCGAGATGGACGACCTCGATATGATACGAGATGTCTGCGAAGCACTGCGAATCGTAATGTCAGACCAGTGGTTCGAGCGAGCCTGGTGTCTGCAAGAGAGTGTCTCCGGCAATCGACAAATGACACTTTTAGTCAGATGCAGTGAAGATCTGGAAGTCCCAGGTCTGCTTGGAAGTGCCGTGACGGGATGCTTCGAAATGGAGCTTTCCGAGCTGCATCACACCATCGTTTCGTCTCTGGGTCTTCATTTGGACCAAGTAGCAGAGTTACTTGAGCCTGCCATTTTGAAGAGACATCAACAGGTCATCAACGACTGGTATGAGAATATGGCGCCGGATGTGAGCGGCGATTTTGACATAGACTTCCGCACTGTCTGCAACGCTGCACAAGCCTTGAACTATCTATCCCGAAGACAAAATTCTGTCGTGGCAGACAGACTTGCCATATTGGCGAACATGTGCAGATATGAGATCAGACTCGACATACAAGCTGTAGATGCCCTCGGCTTCGGCTTCAGCATTTGTGCCTATATCATGGCAGTCTTGAATGGCGACTTCTCCATCGATGCGGCATACAGCGATTGGAAAATGACCGGGAGGACTGGACGTCAAGACTATCTCGTATCAGGGCCACCAGACAGACAATCTGCTATCCACAGCCCGAGACCGTATTCGTGGTTCATTGCTGAAGACGCCACACTCAATAAACTTCCCTACTTCGACCACGATGCCAACCCCCTTCGCATCGCCGTTCTCCCAGGGCCCTTGATGAGCGGTCTTGGCGTACACGGCTGCATTTGGCTCGCAGACCACTCTCTCGATCTGTCCAGCCTAGTCTCAACCTTTAGGTCACTCCAAGCAACCGAAATACTCATCGCCCTCCAATCGCCCTCATGGGAAGACTCCGTCAGCACAACCTGGGAACCGAAATATTTCTCCCTCGAAGACGCCAGAGCACAATTCCTCATTTCCCTCCTCTGCCATCTCTACAAACACAAATACTTCGCTCTGCACAACCACATCTGGACCTCCCATAAACGTCGCCCTACAACATCTCAACTCCAAACCCCCGAAATCGCAAGCTGGGCCGCAGCATCTTTCGAAGAAATCGTCAACATCGAAACCGAAACTATCAAATTACCACATCCGTTTCCAAGCTTCAAAACGACCAAACCGCGCTACCAAGCCAAACATCCTTTTGTGTCGTTGAACACACGAGTAACGAAACATTTGATCCAGACTATACTATCCACAAGCTCTCTCATCGTTGCACGACCTCGTAATTCTTCCCCAGATTCCAAGGAATCATACGCTGCGTTCTTCGACAAACATGTCAAACTGGGCGATATAATATTTACGCCGAGGAGCAATGGTACATTGGGTGTTGTGCCGGGATATTCATGGTATCCCCATGTTTGGCTTTTAGACAAATTGCGGACTGATAATGAGGGTGGACATTGCGTGACAGCGACCTCACGTGGTTTCGTGCGTGGGTCATGGATAGGAAATGATGAGTTTGAGGAGACACTGTTACTGAAGTAGAGCAGGAACTGCTTAGGGACCAATCGAATTGTAGGGAAAGAGCTTTATATATCTCCATACGTTCCCGCAGGGAATTCCAAGAAACCTCATAGGACAAGGTACAGAGCAGGATAGGGCAGACTCCAAACAGTCCAAGATTGTCATCTCATCTATACATCGCCAATCGAGAAAACCACGAAGGCTCATCAAACAAACGCCATCGCTAATCCCACAAAGAGAATCATCCTCCAACTCTTCCATCCTCTTTTCTACCCCTTCCTCCCCACAGCAATCCCTCCCATAGGCGGCGGCTTCCTCTCCCCAAAATTATGCAACCTCTCCCCAACCAAATAAACCTCATCTCGAATCCTCGCTCTCCACCTTCCCGTAGCCTTCCCAATCTGATCCGCACCCCAAAGCGTCGCCACCCAAGCCGCTGCAACAGGGTACGAGTATCGATAAATCACAATCGCGACTTCTTCCGAGATTCCATCGAAGTTGGAGACCATACGCGGTCCGAGGAAAGTGACAAGACCGAGGAAGAAAGAGGCGATGATGAGTGGTAGGAAGAGGACGGCGAGGATGAGGATCGTGCCAGGAACGATAACGAAGCGGGTCGCGAGGCGGGCTTTAGGGTTGAAGTATCCGTCTGCTGTGATGCGGCGGACGGCTTCGGCGGCGAGAGAGGTAGGTGCTGTGATGATGCTGCGGAGGAAGATTCTACCGATGAGGACGCCGAGTGCGGAGTCGGCGAGGATGTGGATGCTGTACTCCGCGACAGTAGGTTTGACCGACGGCGTGGAACTCCGTACAGCTGAGTGGAGGTAGGTGTGAAGTGGTAGGACGAAGTACAGTTGAAGCAGCATGGCGAAGACCAGCGGTAAGACGATGAAGACGAAGCCGTAGACGTAAAAGCATCGTAGCGCTTGGCCGGTGAACTTCTGGGTTGCGGCGATCCAGGCTTGGAAGTCGACTCCTGAAGCTTTCGCGCGCACATATCTTACGCCTCGCTTGCCTTCTAAGACGAGGAAGAGGAGGCCTCCGAGGGAGTAAGCGCCGAGCGTGTACGCATAGAGGTCGTTCAACACGACTCCATCGGGTAGAGTCATTGCTAGCACTTGGCGTCCAAAAGAGAGTGGTAGTAGAGTCGAGCACAGTCCGATGAAGGCAGAGAAGACCCATAAGCCGACCATGAAGACCGTCATGCGCGCTCGGAAGTGAGGGGGAATGTAAATTTTGCCGAAGTGCTCGTTCTGCTTGCCATCTTTGTCGGCAATGTAAACATCGTCATTTTCCACGTGAATGAATGCCTCGCCAGGTTTTGGTGGTCGGTATTGGTCGCTGCATGGTGTCAGAACGTACTTGCCGTTGCGTTCGAAGGTGACGTCTGGTGTTTGATCATTCTCATCAACCAAGACAATCATCGATGCTTCGTCCAGCCTCGCAGTTTTCAGAGTGAGCAGGCTCGACCACGTGCGACGGATGTGTTGACCTTCCTCGTCCTTCTTGCGATCGTCAAAGAGAAAGTGTGACAAACGCAGTGCCCGAGCACAACGTCGCAGCCACCAAGAATACATGGAATGTAGCACTTTGCTTGGCTTGGCGACGTTCCAAATCGTCGGCGTGATGCTGGTGAACAAAACCAAATCCAGAGCGAACTCCACATACGGCTCCGTTTTGAGCCAGTAGATCGGGAAGATGCCTTGGAATACCCTGCCGATGCCCCATATGACACCGCCAAGGCAGAGGATAACAAGCGCACCATACACGAGTGCGCTGAAAGCTATCTTACGCAGCTGAGTGGTGACACTTCGCTCCAGAACGTCTCGCACGGGATGGAAAGTTGGATCATCGGGGTCCCTAATGAACCACAAGACGCCCTTCCTCAATATTTTGCGGCACATGCCAACGAAAAGTGCGAAGTGGAACATGTAGCACGTGCCCACGAACCAATGGATGAAGCAGAACGTGTAAGGCGCTTGATTCGCATACGCCCATCGAGTGACTAGTGAGGCGCCGTCTTGGAGGGGCAGAAAAGCGACGTCCAGGAGAAGCCCGCAGTAGAGAGGGAAGACCAGCATCTCGATACTGATGATCAGAATCACTTTCATGACCCCACCAGCTTGGCGTAGAGAGTCTCTGACAATCTTCTCAATCTTTTGATGTTGTGGAGTGCTTGTTATTGGGGTGTCGATGGCCACGTAAATGGCGGCGAGCATTGCGAGGGCAACATATCCGGCAAGGACAGCCAACCCTCGATCGCTGGAGTTCCAGTACACCAATGAGGGATCAAAGGGAGCCGCGCTGTCAGAACCGGACCCTGGAAGGAGTGCCTTCCAGATCGCCAGCAGGTACTCTTTGGCAGTTTCGAGATTGGTGCAGACTTGTACCGTCATCTCCAGAACGCGTTTGAGGGCGTCCCACACACTCTGCAACACGAGTGTAGCGGAACCAGGAGAAACAGTCTCTACCACAGTGGTAATGGCATTGCCGACCATCTTGAGCACACCGTTCACTTCGTTCTGGATTGTTCTTAAAGTAGCATGAGCTTCGACAGAAATGTGTAGCCAAGCCCATTGAAATCCAGCGTCAGCTGCAGACTCGTTACCGGTCGGGAAAGCACCAGCCAAGCGGTGGTAGGCACTGCTAGCAGTCGCTTTCGACACCTTATAAACCCAAGACGTAAGATCGGAGTCGCCCAACCACGGCACCAAAATCTCTCCGAACGCAAATATGGATTGCACCAGAAGAGCAGATGCGGCAGCAAACCACCCAACCAAGAGAAGTGCAATGTCAACCAGGAAGTCCGTGCACATCGAGATGAAGCGGAGTGGTGATTTGATCACGGTTTCGAACGGGTTGTTGATGATGAGTAGCACCAGCTTGCCCCACATGTATGGCATTGCGACAGTCAACCCCACTGAACCGATGACCAGAACGCAGCAGAAGCATGAAGTCTGGAAAAGGCCTATAAGGGGGCCCTGAAGTCCAATGAGCTCGAGAATACCTTCCAGATCCTCGGCATCCTCCACGGCTTCGGCATCGAGCCCGGCTTGCTGCGCTGCCTGGACAACTTCTGCATCATGCTGATCGTGTTCAGCCTCGACTTCGTTGTTCTGACCAGGAACAGGTATCCCGTCTTGCACAGGGACAAAAGGAGCCTCTGCAGGATCATTTGCATCGATACGTTCTTCGCCAGCCGTGGGCACTGGCTCTGGGGCATTTTGAGGCTGGATGTCGCCCCAGAACCAATTCACAAGCCATTGTGCTGTAGTCAGCGGTGCACCAGCGTGAACCTGCGGCTGGGCGAGCTGTTGTGCAGGTGCCTGATCCGTCCCTTCAGCGGCTTCAGGTCCGAGCTCAGCGCGGCGAATTTGCGCTTGCTCATCCTCGTCAATGCTCGTGCTTGGGGGAACGCTTTCACTGTCGTGTGTTGATGATATTACTGGTACTGATGACTCCGGCTCTGGTCCGTCCGGGTGGAAAGGATTGTCATTTGAGCTAGTAGGCTGCGGTTCGGCGTGCCCGTTAGTCTGTTCTGCTTCATCCCCATTCGAGCTTCGGAGGCCTCCGGACTGCGAGTTTCCATCCTCAATCTCGTTCAATTTCTCTGCAAGACGCTTCTTCAGATCATCAGTTGTGATGAGCTTGGATGTCTTCTTAGCTTCTGCAGGCTCTGGCACCACCAGTCGAGCTTTGCCTTTGTCCTTGCGTTTGATATTGATCTTGGCATCAGGTCCAGCATTAGTGATCGGTATTACATCCTTGTCGGTCTGGATCTCATTCGTGATTGCATAATCATGAAGCTCAGGAGCAGCAGGCGCTGCAGCCATCGAGACATCATTCGTAGACTGCCTTCTACTTGGCGGACTGCAGGATATCCAGCTTCCTTCGATGGGACTGCCATCAATCAACGAAGGCGCACTCACGAGACTGGCGCTTTCTGAGGATTGCTGAAGCGAAGCGGTCGGCGACGTTGCCGGGCCTGCTACACTCATAGGATCGCCGTTGGACTCTTCCAGAATTCGCTTGATATGGGTTGCAGCTGAAGAGGTGGCGCGTGTAGGCATCGGCGGTCTCCGCTGGCTTGTTGAGCTTCCGGCCAATGGCGGAACATTGTCATTGTCAGACCAGTCGCCATCTTGCTGCTCCTGAGAGCCACTCTGAGCTGCATCCACCAGGGCACCGTTATCCTGCCTTCGCGCACCTCGAGCCTCGAGCTCAGCAAGCAGCACTTCTTCCCATGCCTCTCGCTCGTCGTCGGAGAGCGTGCGTAGCTTCTCGTACACCTTGTCAGCCAAAACGCCGGCGTCGGAGCCCGCATTTTCGGCAGCAAGAACATGACGCAGCACCTCTGTTGCCTTGATCGCGAATCGATTACGTGACTCCTCATCTTCGCCAAACTCACTAGTTGCAGCGTCCACCATGGCGTACAACTGCTCCCATGGCACAGAATGATCATTGGAGGTCTCCTCAGTGCCAGTCTCCGTCTGGAGAGCAGCAAGTCTAGCACGTGCCTCCTCTAACAATTGCGCCTGCCTACGAAGGCGATCCCGTCTCTGCACAAGTTGGTCATGCTCCCGTTGTTCATTATTGATCTGCTCCAGGTTGACTAGGGGCTGCTGTTGCACAACCCACTCGCGAATGAGAAACACCAGAATGAAGCCCAAGATGACGACGCAGGTGATGAGTTGACCCTCGAAAACGTCAAGGATGAGGCGATTAGCCTTGGTACTGGAAGTAAGCTCAGATAAGTAGGTCCATGACGAAAGGATGGATACGTCGGCGTGCGAGTGATACAAGGTCGCATTATAAATGTTAGACGCGGCAGTCTGGTTTACTGCATCCAGAGCAGTGGTCGCAGCAGCGCTCGCACTGTTCTGGGTATTCTTCCAGTCCACCGTACCGAACCACTTGTCATAGGCATCGTACAGGGCGTTTTGAATTCCGGCAGACACATCGTTGATCAATTCTGACCCTTGGGACTGTGCTTGCGAGGCAACATCTGCCGCCTGCATGCTCCGTATGTAGTCCTCACGTGCCCATCCGGCGTCTGCAAACCAAAAAATCCATCTCCACGCGGTGCGGATTAGCAAAGGTAGGACGACGAGCCAGACACTCATAACCAGGATGGCGCGCAAGCCGTTGACAATCATGGTCGCGACATGTATGCATGCTCTTTTCAGGAAGACGGACCAAGGTAGTGTCTTTGGCATGCCGGCATCGTAGAGTTTGGTAAAACGGAAAGGAGTCTTGCACAATTCGCAGTGCTTCTTGTGCGAGTGACTGAGCCATTCCATGAGACACTCCTGATGGACGAACTTGATACTGCCGCTGCACTTGCAAGGGTAGAACAGAGGTTCTCCGGGAGCAGCCTCGCTTCTGCATATGCGACACGTCTCTCCGGCCTGGCCGCCATCAGTGCCCGTCCTGATCGAAGATGCAGTGTCTCGTCGCTGCGGAGGGGCGGGATTGAATGTAGGATCGTTCATGATATCGGGCGCATCGTCGGAAGGATTGGCATGGCTGCCCGGGAAGTCTACGGGGTCGTCCATGGTGGAGGAGGGTGAGGAAGTGGCCCGCAGGCTGCAGTAAGGCGTCTAGTCGATCATCGAATGTCCGGTCGCTGGCTGCAGCGGTGGTGATGTCCTGTTCGGTTCGTTTGACGAGTGACGTGGTCGATTGTGGTCGTGGTAAGATAGGGCGCAAACGCAGCGCTGTCGGAAGAAAGTAGTCACAGATGGTGGTATCGATCGGATTGCAGTAGGGACTTGGGCTGGACAGGGCTGGAGTGGAAGGCTCGGAGTTTGTCGACGCCAAACGCCGATGCACAAGTCTTGGCATTCATCACGACGGTGGGAACTTCTCTCGCCGCGAGTCGCGCGACAGCGATCAGACGCGATATGCTCTGCGTGTCCCAACGGTCCCCGTCTGTCTTCGCCCAAGTCGAGCAGACGTTCAATATGGCGACTCATGCGGGGCGGAGATGGCGTTCCTCACAGCGCAGAAATGGGAGATGATGGTGTTGTGATGGTCTGCGAGTGACGACATGTCTGCCTCTACGCGAGCTGGCTGGCACGAGCGAGCATCGCATCCTGCTTGACTGCCCATAACCACCCGCCCGCCCACCGCACTGCACTCGCCGCGCTGTTTGCTGTGTCTCTTCACCTGTCCTCGTCGACAGCATCACTGGTTCCCTTTGTCACTCGTCCTTCGGTTCACTTTTGCTATGCGCTTGTGAGAGTCGTTTGCTTTGTCCACCGCGTCGTCCAGATAAGCTCGCGCGGCAAGCGTTCGCGCTAAACCGTAAAGTTGCTGAGCTTCAAAACATCTCCAGGCCTACATGGGTTCCCAATCCTCCGCCTCCACCGCCAAACCGCCCCAGGCAAACAAATCTGCCACCATGGACGGCACGCCGAATGGCACTGTCCACCACGGCCAACAACACCGCCGCTCCTCGCGGAACCTCCGCCGAAAAGGCAAAGCGACGTGGTCGGGCTGGGCTGCTGATAAAGGCGTGAAGCTGTTCATCTGGTATGCCCTGTATCAGATCGTCTTCCACTGCCCCAGCAGCCAGAGTCAGGTCAACGACGACACCAACCACGTCTGCAAGACCTACCTGCAGGGACGAGACTTTGTCACGCCCTACGCTCAACCATACTACGACGAATACCTCGCCCCATACGTGCGCCAAGCACAACCCTACTACGATGTCGCCAACGAGAAGGTCTACAAGCCAGCATACTCTGCCTACGAGACCTATGCCGCTCCTCGTCTCGCCCAAGCTCAGGTGCTGGGCCAGCAGCAGTGGGAAAAGACCATCAAGCCACAACTCGATGTAGCACAAAAGCAAGTGGGAAAGCAATACCAGCAGTCTCTGGCTCCACACGTCAAGAAGGCCACGGATGTTGTCCAGCCTTACTATGACGGCGTGGTCAACTCCGCTGCGGACATCTGGCAGCTGGAGCTCGAACCCGTCTACCGTAAGACGGCTCCATACGCGGAAAAGGTTTATCAACAAGGACAAGCCTTCGCGGTGAACACTGCTCTGCCACAGGCCCAGTTCGTCGGTAGCACTGCCTGGAGCTTCTGGACACGCAACATCTGGCCACGCATCCGCATCTTGTACGGCGAAAATGTTGAGCCCCAGCTCATGCGTATCACCGAGCGCCTGGGCAGATACAAGGATGGCAAGAAGCTCGAAGCTGAAATCAGTAGCGTTGAAGCCTCATCCAAATCTGCCAAGGTATCTGCAAGCGTCGAATCTGTGGCATCATCTGCCTCGTCCACCCTCAGCCAGGCTACCGAGAGCCCATCATCTGCTGCGAGCGCCGCTTTCCACTCTACACCCTCCCCGTCTGCTGACCCTGTGACTCAATTCACCGAAGACCTCAAGAGCTGGGAAGACATTAGCCACAAGGCTGTTGAGGAAGGATCCGAGGATCTTGCAGAGCGTATTCAAGAAATCACCACACAACAGGTCAAGAGCGCCCACAGTGTCGGGAACGCTCTTGTCACTCAATTGGAGGCGACCAGCGAGTCTGCAATGAACAGCGTGAAGAGTCGCATTCAGCAGATCGTCAAGAGCCTGCCGGAAGACACTGAAGAGAAGGACATCGAAGCTGCCAACGAAGACTTGGTCCAAGCTGTGCGTGCTGCCGGACAGAGCATCAAGCAAAAGGCACAAGCCGTCCGCGAGTGGCGCCAAACACGCCAGAGCGAGACCGAGAGCCTGGTTGAAAAGGCACTGCAGTCGACTCTCGAGACTGTTGATAGCATTCGTGAGCTCCGCCTCACTGAAATTGGACGCAAGTATGCTTCGTCTTCGCTGCCTCACAAGCAGTGGAGCAAGTACAACGACATCAAGAAGGCGAAGCAGACGTGGCGCAACGATGTTGAGAAAGCTGCGCATGGACACAAGGGTCTCACTGAGGCCAAGCATGCTGTCGAGGAGATTGAGCAAGTCGCCATGGGCGTGGCTGAGGACGCTGCGAAGGAGCTTGGCCGACTGAAGAAAGTCGGTCAGTGGAAAATTGCCGCCGACGATGCCAGCGACGACTTTGAAACCAAGACCATTCCACCACCAGTCCGCAAGGCGAAAGAGTACATCGTTGAACAAGCTGCGGGTGCTGCAGGTGCTGCATCTCAAGTTGTTTTCGGCTCCGAGCAAGATGCTGTTGAGAGTGCCACCCCGGTTGTCGCCGAGAAAGCTTCTCAAGCTGCCTCGCAGGCTAGCGAGGCCGTCTACGGATCGACAGGAAGTGTAGAGAGCGTCGCCAGTCAAGCATCATCTGCGGCGTCGAGCCTCTCCGAAAAGGTTGTGGGGTCATCCACCGGGTCTGTCGAGAGTGCAGCGAGCCAGGCGAAGAAGTCGGCTTCGAGCATCGCGTCCGAGGCGTCTAAGTCAGCATCTGATGCTGCGGCTTCTGCTTCCAGCGCCGTACTGGACGAGTCCAGCTTGTCCGACACCGTCAAGCAATCCGCCTCTAGTGCTGCATCCAAGGTCTCTGAATCTGCGTCTGATGCCGCATCCAAGATCTCCAAATCTGCGTCTGCTGCCAGCAGCTCAGCCTCGAGCGCTATTGTAGGCGAGTCCGGTCTTTCTGACACGGTCAAAGAGGCCGCTTCATCTGCATCTAGCGCAATCCTAGGAGAATCAAGCTTCACGGATTCTGTCACGGATGCTGCGTCCTCGGCAACTGAGAGTGCAAAGAGTGTTGGCCCTAAGCTTGCCAGCATGCTTGCAGCTCAGAAGGACCAGGCGAGCAAGAGTGCTGACAGCCTCGTGAAAGAAGCCTCATCTGCCATTAGCAGTGCCACCCACACACCGGTTGCTTCTTCGATATCCTCAAGCGTCTCATCTGCTGCAAACGCCGCATCATCTGCTGCGGCTTCAGCATACGACAACCTGCCCGATGTTGAGGATATCGCCGACGCAGCCGAGTCTGCGGCGAAGAAACCGAAGAAAGTGTTCGCTGGTGCTATGGCACAAGAACTAAAGGAGCCGCGTGAGCCTATCATCGAGGGCGACTATGGCGATATGGTTGACACAGGAGACCTCTACGCGGACTACAGCGAGAGCGTTCAGAAGATCATCAATGGAGCCGGTGACAAAGCTAGTCAGCTCACGCAGGCAATCGAAGATGCGTTGAAGAGCGCATCTCCCACGCAAGGTTCCGTTGAGAGTGTGAGCAGCCTCGCCAGCGCACAATACGAAAGCGCACTTTCAGCTGCCAGCAGCGCTCTTTTCGGTACACAAAACGCCGCCGACAAGGCCACCAGCTCTGTCTACCATCAATACCAGGCTGCAGTGACCGCTGCATCATACGCCATCTATGGCACTCCAGCTACTGCAGCACCACTCGCGGCTGCCAGCTCAGCATACGACAATGCTGCCAGCCAGGCCTCGTCCCAGTACGAAGCCGTCAAGTCGTTCATCTCTGTGCAAGTATCTGGCACACCGCTGCCCGTACATGAACAGGTTCTCGCCAACGCTCAAGCTGCATACTCATCTGCACTCACAGCTGCATCTCATGCCGCCTATGGTACTCCTGTCACTGCTGCGCCCCTCGCGGCGGCCAGCTCTGCGTATTCGAATGCTGCAGCTGAAGCTTCCAAGCATTACGATGCTGTCAGGTCCCGCGTTTCTGCGCAGATCTCAGGTACTCCTAAGCCTGTCCAACAGGAGATGTTTGAGTCGGCAGAATCTGCATACTCGAACGCTCTGAAAGCCGCCAGCTCACGTTACTATTCCGCGTTCCCAACCCAAGGCTATCTGGAAAGCATCTCTTCCGTCGCATCCTCCCGACTTGCCGATGGCGTGAGTGCTGCTCAAGAGCAGTACCAGAGTGCCAAGATCGCTGTTGGTGCTGAGCCCACCCCCGTGCATCAGCAGTATCTGGCATCAGCTCAGGCCGCCTACTACCAAGCACTCGGTCTGGCGCATGGTCGCTACAACGAATTCGTCGAGGCAGCATCTAGCGTGATTGCTCCGACACCAACTGCAACTGGCTATCAAAAGTCGATCGAGGATGCACTTAGCGCTGCACGAAGTGCATACACTGCTTATACTCAGGGAGCATCAGAAAAGTACAGTATGCTTCACGAGATGGCCAGTGAAGCTGCCGGCGCGCAAGCTACGACAGTCGACAAGGGAACTCTTGATCATCTGGATTCGCAAATCGTGGACGCCGTGGACTACGCCAAGAGTAAGCTTGCCGATGCAAGCAAGTCTGTCAGCTCTGCATATGCCGCTTCAGCAACGACTGACAAGCCACTCGCTTCTCAAGCCTCGGAGAACTGGGAAGCTCTGATCTCCAAAGCAAGTGAGCAAGTCTACGGTGCTCCGGCTCCGTTCACTGCTGTTGCCTACAGCTATGCTACTGAATATGCTGGGTCAGTCACTGACGCAGCCGCTTCGGCCACCGCTGCTGCGGCAGCTCAGTTTGAACAAGTTCAAGCGCTTTTCTCCGAGCTCGTTGTCGGTAAAGAGCCAGACTTCACTGCCAGTGTGTACAGCAGATTACAATCTGCATACTCCACGGGCGCCCCGAACTTGGCGTCGCAAATTTCGAGCTACGCAAGCGACTCTTACGACTCAATGTCATCGATTGTGTCTGCGGCGTTTGTTCCACCGACACAGGTGCCTTCAATCCTCGAACAAGTCCAGGAACAGCTGAATGCTGCTGTCAATGCAGCCAGTGCCCAAGCGTATGGCACAGAGAAGGGCACATTCGAGGTTCGTAATGTGTTGATACTAAGTAACATGAAATGAGTGCTAACGATCGTGCAGCAAGCTACCGAGGCCGCAGCAAGTATGTACAGTGATGCCGCTTCCCAGGTCTCTGATGCCATCTACGGCACGCCGGAGCCATACGTTGCCGCCGCACAAGCATCTATCCTCGACATTGGTGCATCAGCCAGTGCCGCAATCTCCGCCGCAATTTATGGAGGTCCAACACCTACGCTCTCTGCTGCCAGCAATGCTGCCGCTTCTGTCGCTTCCTCTATCCAGAGCAGAGCTGCTGAACAGGCTGCCTCTGCCAGTGCGGCCGTCAGCAGTGCTGTCTACGGCGAGGAGCAGACGTACCTCGAAGGTGTTCAGAGTCAGCTCAGTGCCGCCATGGCCAGCGCAAGCAGCAGAATCTCCGAGCTCGGCCAAGATGCCGGAAGTGTGTTGAACGAGGCGGCCAGCACTGTGAGTTCGGCTGTTACGGCTGCGACCGACAGAGTGAGAGACGAGTTGTAGGAAGCTTCTACTACCTCTGAGAAGCTCGCGCTCATGGCCGAACACGCTATCGAGGACTTTGTACGAGAGATGACGCAGTTGGCTTTCGTGATTCCTTTTGACATCCAAATGGAAATCCTGAAAGCTGTTCTGGAGAGAAGGACGAGGAGGCGGTCAGTCCGGCATTGAACCGCTTGCTTGAGCCCTACTCAGTCACGAAATGAAGGGAAGTAATCCAAAAGAAGAAGGAACGTGGAGTGGTCATGCGCACATGAAGAGGGGATACAGGACCTTCTTCGACGCAACAGAAACGAGTCACGAGATTTCGGCGGTTGTTGTTGAAGAGGGTGGTGGCATTGCATTGAGTCGCGTTTTTGTGTTGTGTGTACATGTGATCTATCCTCTGGCGTCGCGTTTTGGGTCCTTGCTACTCCTTCTGGCATGGTATGATCACAGTGAGATATCCCATATGATGGAACGCTTTTTGTATAGAATTAAGATTGTTATCAGGTCCCTTTTCTCCACCAAAACTAGTTTATTGGACTGGCAACAGCATGTATTGAAGACTGCTCAGAATGGTATAATGTTTATCTGTTTGCTTGATCTGGTGAAGAATGAGGCACGCGACCCGAGGACAGACTCACAATGGTATACCAGGTGGCCACAGCTCAGCAAGTCACGTTCAATAGGGAGTTCCGTCAAGAGGCATGCTCTATAAAACAACGGATCCATTCTCATCGGAACGACCACTCTCGCTTCACATCAACCTTCGAGCATCGGTGACTGAACACACCAAACAACAACAGCATTCACTTCCAGCGGCAGACCACCACACACAACAAGTCAACCACTCACATCAGAACCATGACAATCAAATTACCGCCCAAAACGAATTGGCACTTCCCCTCCTCCCTCCTCCACGACCTCAACCCCATCCCAGCCTTCATCCTCTCGCCCTCAACCAAAGCCGAAATCCTAGCTTGCGCGTTCGAATACGCTCGAAGCGTCATACCTTCTTATACGAATTGGCGACGATACTTGGCTTTCATGCGAATTATCATTATTGGGACGATTGCGGAGTTCAAAGGGGAGATGTTTGATTTATCATCCTACGAGAAAGACAATGGGGGAAGAATTCTATATGGGTCGTATGATCTGGATGAAGTTTTGACAGAGTTGTTCGGAGAGGGAGAAAGAGCAGAGGAAATGGCAAGGGAGTATAAGACTTTCTTGGTTGTTACCAGCGATAAAACCCGCTCCCCCACAACCACAAGGAACGCCAACTACAATGACCGAAGAACCCGCTTCTTCACCACTTACCGCTCCGCTCTTCCAGTCTCCCCATCCAACTGGTTTCGTCTCCGAGACTGCGATGCATTATGTCGTTTCACCGTCGCAGCCGCACTACGTTGCAATGATTTCGAAATCGACGGAGAGATGGCTTTTTGGTTCAGCGAAGAACAATGGAGAATTTTGGCGGAGATCGGAGTTCTAATGTATGATTCTGTGGCATTCTATAAACATCGGGCGGAAGGAGAGACGAACAATACGTTTGCGTATTTGGACGCAGAGTTGAGGGGGGAGGTGTTTCGGGTTGCGAGGGAGGGGTTGTGGGGTGTTGATCAGACATTCACAACCCCGGTGGCTCCAATGGGGACGGAGGATGGTCTGGAAAGGATGCAAGGGGAGAAGGAGAAAGTGAGGGCTTGGATGGTGGTTTGCAATATGTTGAGATTCTTCGGTGGACCGATTCATGTTACGATGAGGAGGTATAGGTTTGTGGAGGAGGGGTTGAGGATTGGGAGGGAGGAGGATGAGGCTGTGAGGTGGTTGGCGAGGAAGAATGAGAAGTTGTGGTGGAGGAGGAAAGAAGAGGGGACAGCTGGAGGTAGGACAGGTTATGAAGAAGTCGATGCTGAGATGGAGGAGGGGAGAGAGAGGTTTCAGAAGTACGTGGAGAAGAAGAATGAGTTGTTCTTCGATGGGTTCGCGGAGATGATGGAAGAGGGAAGGAATAGAGACGACGATGTGGCGGGGTGTTGTGTTGGAGAGGGTGGCGAGACTGCCAGGCATGTTTTTGGAGCTCGCATTCTAAGCGAGGCAGAGAGAGAGGTGTGGAGGCAGTATGCTCTTGGCTTCAACGATCGGTTGAAACGGGCATTCCCTGAGGTCGACTTGGACCCAGCACTTCCATTGTGAACTGTGCATTGCCACTGCTGATTTTCCACACATCTGCTTGAGCATCACACTGGGAAGAGCAGTCCCAGCTTAGGTGCCTGGGATCAAGATCGTCAGCTGTTGTCAAGGGAAAATGAAAAGTCTTCGAGCACACTTTTCATGCTATACTACATCTATGGCAGACCTCTCGCGATTGCTTTTGCGTATGAGAGTCGTAAGAAGCTCTCTGATCTGAAATCCAACACGGTACTACCAACCTATATCCCATCAATCATTCCTCGTTATGCGTGTCTCGCGTGACTCGTGGTGTTCGTCTCCCTCATTAATCCACACAGTGCTGGGTATACCGTCAATGCAAAACAAAGGAAAATATTCGTCTCCAGTCTAGTCTAGTGTGCCATGGCCGATCATGCAAAATCATTGATGTTGGATCAGATTGCGTCATGTGACAATCTACTCTGCTGCGGTGAGACCTGCTGATGCAACAGGAGGCAAGGGGAGATGGAGGTAATGGCAAGTATGTGCAGGATGAGGAGCAAAGGGTCCAATTGGACACAGTCCATCTCTTGGTCCTGCTTGCTCCCACGAGTTGAGTCGCTCTTGATAGACTGCACGTGGTCGACATCCTTCCGGTGTAGTGCCTGGCGTGGGCAGAGGTCGGATCTCATGTTGATTGCCACCGTTGACGCATGCGACGGACTTGGCTTTGCGAAGCGCGGGCTTCTCAATGATGCGAACCGTCTTTAGGGCGTTACATTTCGTGATCGTCGCTGTTCGAGCCACGGCGATAGCTTCATCGCCAAGGCATTCGAAGCTCAAGAGAGAGTCAGACGTCTTGAAGGAGGAGAACGATGGAGTACGAGAGGGCAAGTCTCGAGTCTTGAGATCCCAACGGCATGCTGCGGAGGAACTTTTGCTGCTGTTGCTGTAATCGTCTTCGTGGTCAGACCATTCCGTGCCGGCTGTAACGGTAGTCCGGATTGTGCTCCGACTTTCGCATGATGAAGTCGTGCAGGTACTCGAGTCCGATGCGGAACTATCGGAGCGGGAGTGCTGATACTTCTTCTTGCGGACGCTGAGCCCGCTGCGTTTCTGGATCCAGGAAAGCATACTTGAGTTGGTTAGGGTTGTGATGATGAGATGGATGCGCTTTGAGTTTTCAGATGTGATATGTGGCTTCGATTGAGACCAGTAGCAAGCTGTATCGCCCTTGAGCAGAAGCTATGAAATCGGGTGACAGCCACGCGGGTGAGCAGTATTGTGGAGGGTTTAGCGTCGGAGACTCGAGGCTCGTGCAAGTGATGCACTTTTCCTTGGCAGTGGTGTTGGCGTTCTGTGGTGATATTTGTGAAGGGGTTTCCCTGACTTGATGACGTGGAGTGGATGCTTCGCCTTGCTGTTGCCTCAGACGAGCGGCGGGAGGCTCGGCTATGAACTGTCGCGCTGTTGCTGGCGAGAGAAGAACGTCAAAAGACGATCGCGGCGTGGAAGCCAGATTGCACCGAATCAGTTCAGGTCGCCCCGCAAGGGTCGTGAAGAGTCGAGGCGGTCTCCAGCCGTTGTCTGGAAAGATGGGATGGCGGCTTGCAGTCTGGGTGCTCCAGGCGTTCGGGCGTGTGTAGGAGGCTGGATCGTGGCTGTCACTTGGCTGTAAGGCCACTATGGCTCAGAGGTTCCTTGATTTGAAGCAGCGTTCGCACGACTAGTGTGCTTCCACGTATCAATGGCAAGGCGACTGCCAGCCAATGCTGAAGAGTGAGGTGGACGAAGAAGCTGGATGATCTGCGAGAATGGTTCCTGAGAGATAAGCTGGGCTGACGAGAGCGTTGATGCTGGATACCGGAGTCATCCGCCTTTCCAGGAACTGGCAATGCTTGATTTCGCTGGTGCAGATGCGATGGGAGTGAATTAAACTCGATGAAAATGCTGTTTGGCGGAAGAGTCTTGATTCCAGATTCCGGCGAGAGTGAATTGAGTGGTGATGAGCGGGCTCATGGCTGGCGGAGGTCCGCCTTTTCCGTTTCCTCCAGCCATCACCTGATGCCTAAGCTGGAGGCTGTTGGGGTAGTTGGTCTGTCATTTTTGTCAGCGTAGCGACGTGGATGTATTCCATCGATCGCGGAAGTCTGCTGCATAGGGAATCTATTGCGGTGGATAGTAAGCCACGGGAGGCTATGGACTATGCAGCCAAGTAGGGCTGTGTTGGTTGACGATCCTGAAGAGGCCGACAGGTCGGTGTCTGGCAGCGGACAGGGAAGAGGTGTCGTAATCGAGACTGAAATAGATCAGCACCTTGAAGCGGCACGAACCTTCGCTAAACTGCGCGTCATCCTCCGACGCGGCGACATGGGGGTCTGCAGCCGAGCTAAACCTGTCTTCACCTCCTGAGCTCTTGACACAGCCTGGCTATGGCTCTCTGCTGACCACCGGGAAGAAATGGCCAATCGTTGACAGAATCAACACACATACACCTGGATTTCGCAAACCTTCTGCTTCTGGACGCTGGCCTGCCTGCCCCATCTGGCAAGTGCTATCCTGGTGTCTGACCTGGCTTCGTGCGGCCGCGGGCGGGCAGCAGCAAGGCTCATCGGACTGTACGGCTGCAGTATGGAAGCTACGGGCCTGTCATTGCGCAAGTCGAGCCCTACGGAAAAGCGCGCAGCATAGGTCGGCGTACAGCCGCAACGCGCCTTGCGCGGCGCCTGGTGACAAGATGGCAAGACCTGCTCTACGGCGCCTGAGGGCGAAGACACGCAATGAATGACAACCGACCAGCAAAAAGCTGCGTACGACCTACATGCCAAGTCAGAAGTGCCCAGGCTTCGCTCAGTCTCGGATTTGTTTCGCCGTATTGCTCGCATTCTCGCAGTCTTGGGACGGCCGCAGTCACTCATTGCCCTTACTCACGCTCAAGTGTGGTGAATACACTTTGTCATCGCGATTAGCTTTGCGGCTCATACGGTGACGGTGAGAGAGGACCCCGATGTACCCTCCCAAACGGCCGGATCAAGCAGACTCCAGCCTCATCTAGTGGTCCGCGCGAAGCGTGCACACGCCCGAGCTCCGAGCCAGCTGAAGCTACGAGCTTCCTTTTGCGAGGCCTGCGTCTACAGGTTGGCCATCTATGCTGGCTTTGGACAACTAGAACCGAGTTGAAAGACATCTGTTGGATGTTTGACTATGTGTCACTGACCTACTGCATACAACTTTGCTCTGCGAGGCAGATTTCAAGACCCAGACCAGTGGTGACGCTGGGAAGGTCTACCAGGGAGTCCTTGGCGGTGATCCTATATTGGACCGCTCCACACTAGGATCGATTACATTCCTGGAAACACCTGACCAGGCTGCCATATGGGAGTGACGTCGCGATCAAGCATTATAGCCTCCAAAAATTGTTAGACGGCAACACAACTGTGTAGGTAACACTCGGTCATGATCCGAGCGCAGACTGGGGAGACCAGCGCACACTGCGCCGAAGTAGCCATACCGAAAACTCAGATCCAATCGCAGAGATCTTTGAGGCCCTGTCAATACTTGGTGAGGCTTCGAACATCTCACGTGCGTCACATGCGCAAACGAAGTATGCGCAGTCTCATCCACTTGGCGGTGTGCAGTGTACTATGGATGCCGTAATGCTCAGCAGGCAGCTGATGATCTGGGGAGTCAAGGAACTTGGTGCTCTACGGTACCCTCCACCCGCCTTGGAGGTGTGAGTGCTGGGAACGCTCGTGCCCACAATGTTCCATGTGGCTTCGAGGGATCAGCTTGCTCGCGTTCGACGCGTGTCAACAGCGCCACGTCCGACTGTCCGACCAGATGGCATGCCTGTTAACCTGTTGTCTGTCAGAACTTAAAGCACGTTTCCTGAATTGCAACTTCGAATGAGAAGTGTTTCCTGCCATAAACGATGAAAGATCCAGGTCGTGAAGTTACTCGGCCGTGCGAGAGGCATAGGTATCCTGTCATACGGATCACGGTCCTCCATCAGGTCCTGGGAAAGCGCGGAAGTGCTTGGTCAGAAGCTGAACTTTGTTTGTGCACTCACGCTGTCGGAGGACAGCAACGCCGTACTGTACGAGCATAGCTTTGGTCAGTGCGGTCGATTCACGGTGTCCAGCCCACTGCTCAGCGCGGAAAGCATGAAGCCAGAAATGCTATAAGAAAGGGCAAGTCGTCCCTCTGAAACAGAATCATCAGCACCAAGACCTCCAAGCCAAACAAGCACCTCTCCCAAGCCCAACGAGCCTTGACTCGATATTCCAATCACTCCTGCAACAACACATCCTTCACTACCATCAAGATGCAGTTCAAGAACATTGTCGCTACCGTCGCTGCCTTCGCAGTCGGCACTGCCATCGCTGGTCCACTTCCAGTCGCCGATGTGAGTGATCCAGCATCCACCATTGCACAGTGAATACGATAAGCTGACAAGTTTTGCACAGATCGCGGCTCTGCAAGCCCGTGAGGAAAACGCCCAGAATGCTCAGAATGCCGAGCAATCCACGAACGCCGTGCAAGCCAAGTTGACGGCGCAACATGAAGAATTCCAGCAGGGCCTCCAACAGCAAAACGAGAAGATGGGCGCCAACGCTCCCTCTGACGCTCAGCTTGCCCAGATCAAACAAGAAGTCCAGAATGCCCAGCAAGCCAACAAGAACAACAATGCCGACTGGGGGTGCTGGAACGGCTGTGGAGGCAACTACTGGGACTATGGCTACACCGACTTGTACTCCCTTTACCCCTGGTACTACACGTACTACGCTCAGTTGTACAGCAGCAACTGCGGCTATTACAGCTGGAACTACTGCTATGACCCTCAAAGCGACGACGGCAACAACTGGGATTACAACAACTTGTACTCCTGGTAGACGGTTAGCAGTACTGCTGTTACTGCTGACATCCCAACCAAGGACCAGATAGGCGAAGAGGGTGTTGGAGGAGAAGGCTGAGAAGTCGAGGAAACGAATTGGTGCGCAAGAATGGCTGACGACGATGATGACGACTTGTTACGACGCATGTACTATCCGACCACAGACGCTATTGGCCTAGCAACAGATTTAGATCCGACCCAGACGCTACGACTAGCATATAGACCACTACCTGAGTAGTAATCATTTTGTAGAATGCAAGGAATGGAATACCTGGTGAATAGCTTGCTTTCTTCTGTCTCCTAATCGGACATTCGGCTTCTCTCTGCAAGACACGTGTTGATCGGTCATAGCTCATTTGACTCTTTCAATTTCTGCTGACTTCATCGAGAGACCCGAGCATCTGGGTCGCATTCACGACATGCCTGCTGCGAAAAGCCAGCTTTGAACTCTACCCAGCCCTTGCCTAGTATGACTTGCTGGTCATCAGATCGACTTCCGAGCATCGTATTTCCTGTTATTAGATCATCTCCGCTGACTCATGAGAGTTGTGTTATTTCTCGGAGAAAGGGAGAATGCCATCAATGTCCAAAGCTGCGCAAAGCTGTCGTCGCGGTACCCGGGCTCCAATGTCGTTTCATGTTGGTCTCTGAATAACCAGAATCTTTTGTTTGCAACAAATTATGTGCCAACCAGCTGCCGTCCAGGCCGTTCATGCTGGCAGCTACACGGCCTCCATTCTGTAGCTGTGAGCCTGTGACTTCGTTGGCGGCACAGGCCTCCTACAGTCGCGAGCGTCCACGCAGCCGCACGAGGTCTATGCGTTGGTCGCTGAGTCTAGATCTTTTCTCACAATAGCTACAACACATTGTACGTCAAACTCAGCGGCACACTGCCAAAACTCTGCTTCGTTAAAGATCCATTGGGCTTCGCAAGATCGCAGAGTCTGCACGATGTTGATTCAAGTATCGATGACATCTTTGCTGTGCGAGAGTTGAGCTCGTGACTGCCCATCTTCCGGGAAGTGAGAAGTGAGCGCAACGTGCACGCACGGCTAAATATTTAGCCAGAACGCCGAGACTCTTCTTCACGCGGCAGCTCAATTCTGTCCCTCCTCTTCTTCACACCAATTCGTCAACTCTGCTGAGCTAGTCATTATACCAAGCTGGTATAGTTCTAAGTATACTCCGACAACCAATCAATGAGCGAGTCCTCAGGTCGAAAATTTTGACGAAGCTACAAGTCCACCGTCCGCAATATTGAGCAAGAAGGAGCGACTATTCTCCCAGCTAAGACTCCATGCACCGCTGGAGCGATCACGATGCAGTAGGAACTGGCTCCAAGACTTTTATGGAATGACCACATTTGTCTGCACCTCCCGGCAGATTTGTCCCGCCTCTGTCTGTTCGACCAAACTCTCCTCGGCCACTACGTCATGCAGGACCGTTCCTCGCCTTATTTATTCTATCTTGTGATTCTGGAATCGCAATGGCCATCAAGGTTGTAACACTCATTTGAGTTGAGATTGAAATATTCTACACAAAATGCCTGATAAGATCACGGGATCCTGCAACTGTGGACGCCATGTCTACACCATTCCAATGCCAACGGAGATGAACCTCTGTCGTACGATTTCTGGAATCATTCCTGATCCAGACAATACTGATTTCGGGTGCAGACTGTATGGATTGCAAGAAGTGGGCGGGAGCAATGCAAGTCTCCCTAGAATGACCTTCACACTATCGCAAGGCTGACTATCAGTAGGCACTCAGCACACATGTTCGTCAAGACCGAAACCAGCGAAACGAGCAGCCCAACACCCAAGTTGCACACTATGAATGCCGAATCTGGTAATCCTATGGAGCGGGCTTGGTGCGACGAATGTGGCTGTGGAATCTGGTTGAAAGCAACCAAAAGCCCCGAGACGACCTACTTCAAAGCTGGTCTATTCGAACATGGAGAGATCCCCCAGCCAACGATGGAGAACTGGATGAAGAACATGGAGAAGTGGGAGCAGCCTGCTTTGGGTACGAAGAGGCAAGCGTATGATGGGAATTGAATTGATACACGACGAACAGAACATTCACGAAACGACTCACTCATACCAGTGTCCTAGATCGATGCGGTAAATGAAGTGTTTGCTTATTGGCTGTGATTCATACCATTCACTCAACAGAGCACGTGCGTGCGACGCTTAAAGAACCCCCTTTTTTTTCTAATGAAGTCGATCACTTCGTTGCAAGGTCTGACGATTTACCGGAACACCATTCTTCGGCCTTGCGACGTCAAATAATTCTTGAGGCTCAAGTCCAAAATAAGACCAACATGTCCTACAAAGTCTACACCATCGAGCGCCTCGGCATGAGCTCGCTCAACCACGTCGCCCTCTTTGTCGAGACAGAGACTGACGGAGGCGGCCTAGTCTTTCACGTCACCGGTAACATCCTAAGCGGTATGAAGTACGAGAAGGAAGTCTCCGATCGTCCAGACAACTCGGCATCATTCATTGCTGGAACTCAACGTCTTATCGAAACCCTCCAGAAATCGAAGTTGTCCGACTTCGAGTCGGCTTGCGAGAGCGTGCCTATTCCAGGTGCGCAGCTTAAGCTGAATGGCACGCCGAAGCATCCTTGGAAACCGATCCGGCGGTGCGGCGAGTGGGTTGAGGACGCGAAGGCGAAGGTCATTGCCGATGGGATCTTGCTGGTCGGAAGCACGGAACACGAGTGGCTCGTTCTGCTGTGAGACATGCTCGCGTCTTCCTGTAAGTTAAATCGAACCAAGTCGGACGTACTCAAAAGCGTCAAGCTGACTGAAATTGCTTCATCAGTGTCTCCACTTACACGTTTGGTTCTGCGAATACACATCGAGCCATTTGGCATTTTCTCGCTCAAGGCCTCGAATGAAATCCCTCTCCAAAAGTCATATCCTGTTTCGTCCTCCACCGATGATATGCTGGTCTCCGCTACTCAATATGACGAAGCGCCACGACTGCGGCACTGAGCGCCGTCTGAGACATGCACCAGAGCGCCCTTCGGCGAGCACGTTGGATTACACCTCAGAATACCGCGCAGGTTACCTCTTGCTCGCTGGAGAAGTTTTACAAAGAAACAAACATTCGATGTTTATTACTTGCCGTTTCAATTTTCCCCCACATTGTTATCCGTTGCTTCCGCCTTGGATAAGTCCTCGTCCAATGCTCGCTAAACCCGTGGCGCACATAGAGCTAGGAAAGGAACAACTCGCGAATCACTTGCATCATCAAATACTCTTTTGGATACGTCGTCATGATGTTTTGCACGATTTCGAGCCACTCCGATTTTAATCGACAGGCAAGTGTTGCATTGCAGAATTCCCAATACTCTGGGTGCCAGCCTGAGATCTCCCAGTCGATGATTTTGATCTTGATCGACGTCTCCCTATCTGTACTTGCTTCAGTCTTCTCCGCCATGATATTCTTGGGCTGCAAATCTCCATGGATAAACAAGGTTCGGTGATCTCGTAGCGTCGACACAAAAAGCGTGCGCAGAAACGCGACGTATGGTGCTGGCTCGGTAGATTCTAGCATCCGCAAAATGCCTTCATTCATGTCGTCTTCAGTCGCGAACGGCCCGAACCTCGATGGATCGTGCTCCCTGCGAGGACTGTAGAAGATGCCACCCGCACAGGCTTGTTCGTTGACAGATCCAATGTAGCCCGTCGAAGGAATCTTGCGCAACTCAGACAGGGCTTCCTGAATTTGACTCACGACATTATGCTTCTCAATTGAAGTCAGACCTGGCCAAGTCTGTGCGAGAGTCTGGCCATGTACCATCTCCATGATGATGAACTTCCGATTTGTGCTTTCCTCTGTCAATGTTCCATAGAGCTTCGGCACTGGAACATTGCTGTGGCTTGCAACATAGCTCAAGTTCTGCGCTTCGAGAAGGTCGACCGAGCGACCGTATTTGACTGCGAGCTTTCGCCGACTCGAACGACCTTGGCAGAAGCATCGGGAGCGCTGCGAAAGTCCGTGCACTGCAATATTGTGGCGATCGATGGTATCTTCTGGTCTACCATGCTTCGAATCGTGACTGTTACGAAGTGCACGCGCAGGTCAGGCGGTTCGCGTGGTGGGTCATGAACGGAGAGGCGATTCGAAGCATTTCTGCACGAGGGTCCCATCCGCAAGGTGAATGTATGAGTCATGCTTGTTTGCGAGACGCTTTCGGCAATAGGCGCCAGTCTCGCTTGCTTGCTCACGAAGCTATCGCATGGATTATGGTGTCCCGAAATAAAATCGATGGCAACAGGATAGATGTTGCCAAGGTCGCTCATGATTGATAAAGGTAGATAAAGTTGTCGCTCGTACCGTTTGCATTGTGAAACTGCTATGTACATCCATGTAGAACTTTAGTCTCCCATGGTCGGTGCTTGCTGTCCAGCGCTGGACCCCAGACTTTTGACCAGCGGTGAGCTCGCCGCACATGGCGGAGCTGTTCGCTATATTGCTGGCTGGTCAGGTGGTGCGCGAGCGCTGGTGGGCCACAATTTCATCCACATGATGTAGATATCTCGAGTCGCGGTGTAGTAGTTACTTTTGAACCATTCCAGCCACCTGTCGTGGGTGCCCATTCGCTGTTTCAGGCCATCCAACTCGACTTCAAGCGCCCTGTTCGTGGCCTGCAGCGCCTGCTGATCTTCTCGAAGTGACTCGTAGTCCTCTCGAAGTGACTGGTGATCCTCACGAAGGGAGTGATAGTCCTCTCGGAGCTCCGCCTGATCGCCCTCTTGAAGATCCTGGTGAAATTTTTGAAGTGACACGAGCTCTTCTCGCAGTTTATCGTACTCCTGATCCAGCTCAAAAAGCTCTTCCTGCAGCTTGTGCCAACCATTCTTGTAGATTCGATGATCGTCCTGAAGCTCCTCGTGGCTCTCTTGAAGCTTCTCGAAATTATGTTGTAACTCTGACACCAGACTCTCCAAAGCAGACACGCGCTGTAATCCCTCATCAGACTCGATGCCATCATCTGAGGCATCACTACCTTCGGCCCTACCAGCATTGCAGCCGCCCTTGCCATGACGCTTGCAATAAGCACATACCATCTCTCCTTCGCCACGGAGTATCATGCACACCATGTCATAATTCTCGCGACGGCACCACCTGCATGGGTGAGGCGCAACCTTGCCGTCGGACGTTTCCATGATACGACCTGCTGCATCGAACTTGAACAGGTTATTTCTAGCTGTCTTCTTTTTTGGTTTGTCGCTTTGCTGTGCATCTCGCAGCCAGTCTTGCCACTTTGCATACGAACAGTACCAGAAGGCGCAGGAATCCTCGGTAGCAGGACGGCGAAGGTTCGCGAGCGTCCGATCAAGAATGGGCCTGGCGTGGAACGAGCGGGTCAGCTCGAGGATTGGAAGCAAGACTGATATCACCGCTCACACTTCCGGCACTGTGTCAATTTCCATTTCGGACAGCTCAGTAAGCTCAGAATCAGCAGGACTATCGGCCTGCACCTCTTTGGAATTTTTGGCGTCGATGGCGGCGAATGAACTAGACAACGTCAAAAAAGTCACTGGCGCGCGACTTGCGATTGCAACTACCTGGGGCTCATGCTCAAGAGAGTAGTGAGTATCTGTTCGGCTGCTTGTACCAGTGTCGCCTAAACCCCACGGCAGAGCAAATAGTTGTGTGCTCTGAGAGATAGATGCCAGGCATAGTGAAGTTGATTGTCATTGCTGCAATCATTGAGGGGCGAGGTTCGTAGTGGCATCTACATAGGTTTAGGCCACTAAGTCGAACTTTGACTGGGGTCTGCTGAGTCGGAGAAATTTGTGCCGACCTCCGACGACTTTTTCAGATGGCAAGGCCAGCTCCATCGACCGCAACCTCAAGTTACGCTCTCCTGTATAGCAACCATGAAGCGCAAATTGAACGAAAACGATGTACCCGAGCCTACCACGAGCAATGGCGACTCCGAATCATCCTCGAAATCCACCTTCGCCGCCCTCAATCTCGATGCCCGCCTTCTGCAATCCGTGAACAAGCAAAAGTTCAGCGCGCCGACCCTTGTGCAGTCCAAGACGATCCCTCTCGCGCTCTCAGGGAAGGATGTACTCGCTCGAGCAAAGACTGGCTCGGGAAAGACTCTCGCCTACCTGCTTCCCACGATCCACGCCATCCTGCAACGCAAAGCTGGATCACAGAAGTCCAAAGCCACCACCACGCTGATTCTCGTCCCGACAAAAGAGCTTGCTACGCAGGTTACGAAAAGTGTGAAGGAAGCGACGACATTCTGTGCATCGGACATCAAGTGTGAGAATATCACAAGGAACGAGGATCAGAGTGTTACAAGAGCAAGATTGACCGAGCTACCGGACATCGTGGTTGCGACGCCAGCGAGGGCGAATCAGTGGGTCAATAACGAAGTGCTGAAACTCGAGGGATTGAAGCATTTGATCATTGACGAGGCGGATCTCGTATTGAGTTATGACGGAGAAGAAGATTTGCGTGCACTGGCCGGCTTACTACCGGATGGAGTGCAGAAGTTGATGATGTCTGCGACGCTGAAGACGGAGATTGATACGTTGACAAGCTTGTTCTTCGCCGAAGGAACGAAGCCGGAGATTCTGGATCTGAGTGCAGAAGAGGCGAAAGAGAAGGCTACGTTGGCACAATATACACTGCGCACGGCGGAAGACGAAAAGTTTTTGCTGATTTATGCGATCTTCAAATTGCAGCTCATACGTGGCAAAGTCATTGTCTTCGTGGCAGACATTGATCGCTGTTATAGGGTCAAGCTGTTTTTGGAACAGTTTGGAATCAGAAGCTGCGTGCTGAACTCGGAGCTGCCAGTGAATAGCAGATTGCACGTGGTGGAGGAGTTCAATCGAGGAGTGTACGATATCATCATTGCGGCAGATGAAGGCGAGGTTGTCGGCAAGGAAGAGGGCAAGAAGCAGCAGAAGGTGGAAGAAGTACAAGAGGGGGAAGAAGAAGAGGAAGAGGTCGAGGGTGATGCTGAAGCCGAGCCTGTTGCTACGGAAGATGCTGCGACGAGACCTGCAAAGAAACAAAGGCGCTCGAGAAAAGATCGTGAGTACGGCGTCTCGCGTGGTATCGACTTCAGGCACGTCACTTGCGTCCTCAACTTCGACCTTCCGACATCGAACAAATCCTACACGCACCGAATAGGTCGGACAGCGAGAGCTGGTCAATCAGGCATGTCATTGTCGTTCTACGTCCCCAAGGATCTCTACCGCAAACACAAACCTACAAGCATCGAGCAATGCGAACACGACGAAAAGGTTCTTGCGAAGATTGTGGCCAAGCAAGCAGAGAAAGGCTCCGAAGTAAAGGAGTGGGGTCTCGACTGGACCAAACTTGACGGCTTCCGCTACAGATTAGCAGACGCCCTACGCGCCGTAACTCGAATTGCCGTCCGCGAAGCACGAACCAAAGAACTCCGCAACGAACTGATCAAGTCTGAAAAGCTGAAGCGCCACTTCGAGGAGAATCCTGACGACTTGCGACATCTGCGGCACGATACAGAAACGCATGCAGTCCGCGCGCAACCGCATCTGAAACATGTTCCGGAGTATCTGCTGCCGCAGGGAGGCAAGGCAGCTGTCGCGAAGGATGTAGGATATGTTGGGATGAAAAAAGATCGAGTGAATGGCATTCGTAATCGGAGAGCTACGAATAAGGCGAAAGGAAGAGGACGGTTGGCAAAGGGCAAGGGACATGTGGATCCACTGAAGAGCCTGAACGCACGCGGGAGAGGAAAGAAGTAACGAGATTTGAGAGTAAGTTTTCGGAGTCGCGCACGGAGCGAAGATGATGAGATGAAGTCGCCGAGGGACACTATCTGGTCTCAAATGACTTCTGCACGCGAGCCACCCGCCATGCATTTCAGCCTACCAGTTCATCAACTTCATTCAATCATCCTTGTGCCGGGCGAACTCAAAGCCTCCTTTGCTGCTCAGAAAGTAAACTTTCAAGTAGGATCTGGATACTGGAGTCCGAAAGCGCCTCGAGTTGTTCCGCAGTCGGATTGTCTGGATCGAGCCTAGGAACCTCGAGCTTTTGTTCATCGATGAAGCTGAGAATGTGCCCAGGGCCTAGGTCATCGACTTCTTTGATAACCCGGGTGCCATTGTCATCGGCCACGGACGACCCCACCGATCGTGCTTCTGTCGCTGCTCTGGAATTGCCGTAACCAGAGTCGGACCCGCGGTCTACACGTGTCTCCGCATCTACTGAGCGGAGCGCGGGGACTGGCGCTTCGAATCGGTGGGCCTGGCTGTCGATGCCTTCTTCAGTGCCCTCATCAATGATATGGGGATCTATGCCACTTCTTGCGCTGTTTGCACCTTGCTCTTCCTCCGATATACCCCCAAGACCGATAGAAGGGTATCCGCGCCGCATAACTTCGTTTTGTTGAGATAGCAATGCTGCTATCGATGCCGCGTGAACCATACCAACACCTCTGCATTTGATGTTGTGTTCGATCGTGTATATCTTCCCGTAGTTGATCCTGCTAGTGGAAGCAAGTCTGTCTTCTGGATTGTCAGGGATGACACGAACAGGGGTGGGCAATATGACTTCGTTCTTCAGAGGTCGCGGTGCTTCTGAACCCATGTACACGATACCATGGTCTAGGCTTCTCGGTTTCGCTGCAAGTGGCCCCATCCCTTGGTATGAGAAGACTGGCACAGCGAGTACATGTTGTTCCCGTTTCGCGACCACGATAAATCTTCGAACCTTGGCATACACCCTTTCATTGTAAGCATCTGTGAACGATTGGGTCGTCGACGAAGGACCTGATTCGCCAGCAGGTTCAGTCCAGAGCACCGTAAGAACGCGACCAACTTTGAAGAACCGTGATGGCCGGAGCTTGAAATCTCCTGTGTGTTGCACAACTTTCATTGCAGCTGAAGGCTGACTTTCCGCATGAAATTGGGTTTCCTGGTCCGGAACCAATCCTCTGGGCAATATATCTTGCCGTGAATGACTGTGGACATCTGTGATAGATACTGGCTGTCGGGCGGAGCTCTGTCGCTGTGTCACAGCTGGTGCAAACCCCTGGAGTCCAAGTCGTGGCAGCGTCCACTTCATGCCGTCTATCGGGGCATCTGCAGGAGGTGTTGAAATAGATGGGACGAGTTGGCCGCTCCATTTGCGGCCTGGAGCTGTTCTTGCGTCCCCAGGAGCATACGCAGTATCCTCTGTCTGGAGCATCTCTGAGGGAGCAGCTGTGCCTTGCTCTGCATGTTTCAAGGCATAGCTGTACTGGAGTTTCAGCGTCCGCGTAAGGCCATTGATTGTAGAGGACACAGCATCTAGCCTTTCAACTAATTCCCGAGAGTCTAGTCCATCATCGTCTTCTTCTGCAGCTAACTGTTCGCAGTTCTCCTGCTGCTGCTCAAGCGGTAGCCTAGAGCCATCGACAACAGCGAGCACTAAATTTGTGAGCTTCGGTTGTCGTTACATGGTGATCAGTTGCTTACCCTCGATCAAGTCGCTAGCGAGATCCCTCAAGCTTGCCGATAAGTTGCTACTGGCGATCCTAATAGCTTGTGCTGGGTCTAGGTTGTGTATTTCTTCGATTACGTCCAACAGATCTTTACGCCAAAGTATGAAACGAGTGCGTTCCTCATCCCATACATGTTTTGTGGTTCCATGGAAGCTGTCCCCAGACTGATTTTCAGGAATCTTGTCAACGATAGAATCAAGAGAAATTTTACATGCAGTAGCTTGTTCATGTAACAACGCCACAGCGGGGTCATCAAAAGAGCGCTCCATACCACGCATCCAGCACTTATTGCAAGGATAGAACTGCGACAAGTGAAGGACTATATATGTCGCCTCTGCTGCCGATAGAGGATCAGAGCTGCTGGGGGGCAACTGCTCACTGCAGTGCACAGCCACCGCCATCTGCATGGCTGTGAGGGGCGGCCTCGACTGTCTTGTTTGACCTGTGCAGTGATGCGAATTACATATTTCCTGCTGGCCCACTCACCCTTTCTTACAGATGAGATACTACCATGGAGGTCGCTGGAGTTGTCCTGGGTGCTATACCGATATGCGCTTTGGCCCTGGAAGGCTGGGAGGCCACGGAACCACGGGTGAAGTCCTTTTGGAGAGCTCGTATCGCAATCTCAAGATATGCTCGCGACCTGAGGGCTCATCGCGATAATCTTGAAATCACCGTCAAGACATTGCTGCATGGATGCATGCCTTCTCAAGAGATTGAGTCATCATTTGAGGATGTGCTTGGAAGGGATTGGACTCATCCCGTTCAAGTCGCACTTGCTACAAGCCTCCGGGCAAAACACGGCGACAACTTCACACTCTTCCAATCCGGTATGCAAGATATCTGCGAAGACGTCAGGCAAATCATGGTGCTTATGGGACTCATTCCCGACAATTCGATGGTGAGAGCACGACTGTTGAACTGCCTGGTCAGAGTCACTCGACTGATGAATTTCAGCTGCTTGGGCATCAATTAAATGCTATTCTTGCAACAAAAAGCCACTCTACTCATGGTTCAGTGACTTTGAACACACGCTTTCGCTTGCTGCTCAAAGACAAAGCCATCAAGACTGCGTTTCTTTCGCTGGCATCCAATATTGATGGCCTGATCAGTCGGCTACGGAACAACGAAATCTGGCAACAGCATAGGAGGCACGATCAGGCAATATCAATATCAGCTGATGTGCAACGCCGCAGGAGCCACCTTCAGGCTTTAGGCAACACCCTCAAAGCTACCACACAAAGTGCTCAGCCACCGCGCACTCTCGATTTTGCGATTGTGCTAGATGAGCCCAGCAAAGACAACAATGACACATCGGAAGCGATGCGGTAAGCCTTCGCTCTCCTTGACACACATGCCACTCGCTGACAGTGTCTGCAAGCTATTTCGCGGCCTACCATGATCGTATGTGCTGGAGGAGAACTATCATCCACGCATCTGACATGACTGCTGCACACCGTTTGGACCAGAGTCATCCGCCCAAACTCACGGTAATTTCAGATCTCTGGTCTCACCTTCAAGGAAACCCCCTCGAATGCTTGGAGCTACATTTGGACCTTCGAGGACCCCAAGAGCTTACTGGCTGCTATCGAACGCCATACAGAGCGCAATATGGCCACTCTACAAGCTCGCTCCGTATGTTACCAGCACGTAGTCTGCTTGGAAAACATATATCTCGTGCTCGACGTCTGAACATGGCGGCTACCATAACGTCGTGGATAGAACTTCTCTATGGAACGCCAATGATGCCAGAAGCCTGGGATCCAGATGATATCAAATGCATGGAATTCGGTTCAAACAGCGGGCCAGCTTCAACAGACTCTCTGTGCCTCCGCACCAAATTCGAAGAAATACTCACAACTTCTGCGTAAGCTCAGTGATCGCAACAGCGTGGGACATGAAAAGCTGATATCCCTCCTAGAGTACCACCGAACCAATCAATCGGCACCGCTTTACTCATGCTTGGAATAGTTCTCATCGAGCTGTGGTCCAACAAGCCCTGCATAGCCTTACAGAACGCCACGCCACGCTCCTTCGAAAATCTGGGGAGGATCCTGAACGACATGATGGCTACAGAAGGCAACGATCTACCGATCAAGTACTCCAGAGCTGTGAGCGACTGCTGGAGACTCGCCCATACGCCAGATGCCTGCGAACGAGAAATCCGAGGATTGGTGGAGTCTGTGGCTCAGACTGCTGCTGTCTTCTAATCTTCAAGACAATCACAACTTGCAAAAAGTTGAACATTAAATGGGTCAAATATCGATCAAAATAGAAACGCTACATACATCCACGTCTTCAGCTCTCCCTCCTTGAGCCCTTCTTCGCAGCATCCAAATCATCCCCATCAACCTCTCTCTCAACCTCCACGACCTCCACCTCATGACTTCCCTTCAACTCCGACAGCACAATCCAAGTCGGCGCAACACAAAGCGCCGTAATCCCAAAATTAATCCCAATACTCACAAAATGATTCGCATTCCCCTCAGACTGCATAGCCCAAGCCACAGTCTGCCCCAAAGCCTCCGTACCACGCAAAATTCCAGTATGATAGCTCAAGTCACTCAAATCCGTCGCATACTGTCCCACAAGCCAGTAAAGGAACTGCTGAAAAGCTTGACCACCAAATTGCCAGAAGAAAACGAGGGCGTAGCTTTTGTTGAAACCGGCTGTGAACCAGTCCCAGACGGGAGATTCGTTTGCGTCGTAGAATTGTTTTTGGAGGATTGTGGCCCAGATCCAGGTTCCGATGAGGATGGTGATGATGCATGAGAAGGCGATTTTGGCGCGTTTGTTCATTGAGATGCGTTGGTTGTCGAGTAGTGTTGCGATGATGAAGGAGCTGAAAATGCCGGCGAAGTTGGTCAGGAAGCTGGAGAAAGCGCGTGCTCGGACGGTGAAGTAGGTTGTGAGCCAGGTGCTCATGAAGCCGTTGTAGAAGTAGCTGATGAAGAAAGCTGGCAGCAAGAGCAGGATCCGGCGACTGATGAATAGCCTGCCGACTGCTTTAAATTCAGCTCCCCAGGTTGCGGCCCTTTGAGTTACAATTCTGGTTCCGTCTTTTCGCCAGACTTTGTGCGCAGGCGACAGGCAAAGTGCAATCGGAAGGCCAAGGCACATGATGACGATGAAGACGATGTATGTCGTCGAAGACACTGATCCTGCGGTCTCTCGGTTCGAATTCAGGCCCAAGTTGATCGCACCGCCCACAATAGGTCCTGCGGCTTTGGCTGTCTGCCAAATGGCAAGGTAAAACGCCCGGTCTCCAGGTGAAGGAAATCCAATGATGATAGCAGCCTCCGCAGCCCAGAAGAATCCAGCAGAAATCCCGCAAAGAGCGCTTCCGAAGAGCATAAACCAGGTATTGGCGTTGACGTTGTTCGTGTATAGTCCAGCACCATAAAGCGGATATCCCACAGCACCCAGCGCCAGTCCATACTTCAACCCAATTCGATTGTTGATCGCACCCGCAGCCACACAAACCACAGCAAAGAGCCCATACACCAGAGCATTCGCTGCTGAGACAGCATATGGCTCAGCAGCACCTCCTGCCCCCAGACCACCAAGCGCATCCCACATGCCCGGCGCAGTAAAACTCACACCACACGCAACCAGAATCTGGAAAGGCACAGATCTCCATATCGAGCGTGAAGGCTGAACCACCTCCCCTCCAGCATCCATCGTCGAAGCCATCCCGTAGTCCAAGCCCCAGTTCAGTGCTTATATCTTGCTTGGTCCAGATGGAGATGATGAAAAGAGAGAGATGTCTGGACCAAAAGAAAGTAAGAACCTACCATCATTGTAGTATTATATCAACTCGGCTTTATTAACAAACCCGTGCACGCATCTCACCGGCTCAAAAAATGCTACTGTATGATGGGAAGCGAGGAAAAATTGTCAAATGGTTTCCAGTTGAGGTGGGTCGGGAGTCGAGCACGCCATCGTGGCGTGGCGTAGGGTAAGGGCTCGCGTATACATATGGCGACGAGCCGCACAATTGATCAGATCTCTTGTACATCGAGTCCAGGCATCAGAACGGAGGCGGCGCTTGGAGACTAGAACTCTATCATGGCGGAGAATGAATAGATTGAAGAGCTGAGCTGAAGTGCTGTGGTTGAAGGAAGGTCCACGGAGCTTCAGCTTCGGTTGGTGCCTCAGGCAATGAATGCATGACGCGTAGACAAAACACGCGCCATCGCACGACTGGCACCGAGAACACTGGATCCAATCGCGCAGAAGTTCATGTGAAGCTGCCGCATGCCAGGGCAGCTGCACGGAGCCGGAGTCGTGCGACTACAAGGTCTTACCAACTTCAGAAGTGAAGAAATGAGCAGAGAGTCGTTTCAAGGTTCGTGACATTGTTATATGGCTAGCTGAACTGTTCTGTCCGCCATATCTTATGCAAGTCCACACAAGAGACAACAAGTATAAGACCTGATCAAATATCCGACGTGCCTACCATGCCAGTAGCCCGCCATCATCTCAGCCGATTCGGATCCCCCGTCACATCCATACAAATCTCTTCCATTCTTCGTCTATGCAAATTCCAGTATGGGTTGTCCACTTCCTCAAGAGTCGAGCAATTCAACAAGACTTCTTCGGGAAACATCATTCGAGTGTACAGGGGCGGGGTACTGTGCCGCCGTCTTCATCGTGCTGCATCGCCATAGCGACGTTTAATGGCTCTTGATATCGCGGAGGAAGTCCTTGATGTCAGCCTCAATCTTGTGCTCGAGCTCGGCCATCTTCTCCGACAAGTCGGAGGCCTTCTCGGAGATGGTCTCCTCGACGCGGTGGACCTTGTAGCTTCCCTGCTCGACAATGTCGCTGTAGTTGGAGATACCACCGCCGTTCCAGGCGAGGATGTTCTTGGTGTTGCTTGGGACGTCGGAAAGGGCGTCCTCGGTGGCGATAGAGAGGAGGTTGGCCTTGAGCTTCTTTGGCGTAATGTCGGCCACAGCGTAGGCAGAGTCCTTCGCTGGCTGAAGAGAGAGCAGGTAGGCGAGGAGACCAGCAATGTGAGGAGAGGCCATCGAGGTACCGGAGATGGTGTTGATGGCGTGCTTGCTGCCGATCCAGGTAGACTGGATGTTAAGACCTGGGGCAAAGATGTCGTTGCACTTGCCATAGTTGGAGAAGTAAGCGCGCTCGTCAGCGAGAGTCGAGGCACCAACAGTGACGGCGTTCTCAGCGGCGGCGGGAGAGTAGTTGCAAGAGTCGGCGTTGTCGTTGCCAGCAGCGACAGCAAAGTGGATACCAGCATCAACAGCGGCGTTGACAGCCTGGTCGAGGAGAGGAGACTTGCCACCACCCAAGCTCATGTTGGCGGTAGAGCCCTTGAAGCCCTTTCTCTTGCCCTTCTTCGCGATCGAGACCTGCTCAGAGTGCGATTCGGCGGCGTACTCGACGCCCTTGACAACATCGGACATGGAGCCGGAACCGTTCGAGCGGAGCACCTTGACGGCCTTGACATGGGCCTTCTTGGCGACACCGTACTTCTTGCCGGCGACTGTACCGGAGCAGTGAGTTCCGTGGCCGTTTCCATCCTCGTCCGCATCACCAGATGGGATGGTCTTGCCCCAAGATGCACGACCTTCAAAATCGACGTGGTCAACGTTGGTGCCAGTGTCGATAACGTAAACATCAACGCCCTCACCGCCGTGGTCGGCGTAGAGGTACTTGTTGAAGGTACCGAATGATAAGCTATCTCGGTGCGAGATACGGGCAAGGCCCCATGGAGCGTTCTTCTCGATCTCCTCAGGCTCGCCGCCCAGAGTGTGGACTTCTTGGTCTCTCTCAACCAACTCGACCTGTAGACACACGGCAAATTAGCTTTCAGGTTCAATTCCGGTGATGACGAAGCTGTTTCAAGCTCGGCTGTGCACCGTGATGGCTGCCTGGCTGCCTGGCTGTCCGGTGGCGTGTGCGAACTCACATCTGGGTGTCGGCGAATCTGCTCAATGGTCTCCTCGTCGAAGTGACCCGAGTATCCCAGCAGGCTGCCTGCAATGTTGTATGTGTGCTTGAGACCGTGGAAGATCTCGTCCACCATTGGTGTCTGCGAGCGCTTGCGGAGCTCGGTCTTGGCCGATTGCGTCGAGAGGTGCAGGTCTTGCACCCAGTCGTGGTGGTCGGCGGCGAGGTTGGTGGTGACATGCTTCTTGAACTTGATCATGTAGCTGTTGGGGATCTCCTTCGCGTTGGTGGAGCTGATGATGGGAGCTGCATCGTTGTGGATGCTGTCGACGACGACTGGTGACGCGGCGACCACGGCGGCCGCCGACAGGCCGAGAAAGCCCTTCATGTTGGATGTGCTGTAGAAGCTGGTCTACAGACGGATGAGTGTTGATGAGATGGATGAGAGAGATGAGGAAGAAAGAGGAAGAGAGTCGAGGAAAGAGGAGCTGGATGAAGCACGACAGCTATCGAGCTGCGCGCGTGACACTGCCGCAGACAAGACCTCACTCGTCATCGGTTCCCGCCTGCCCTTATCTGTCTGGGGGCTGGGAGCAACGCGATTTGATATTGAGCCATTACGATATATTATTTAGACGTCGAGCTTCGCCATATTTGATTGAGGATTCTGAAGCCCCGCAGCGCTCTATACTGAATAACATCCGCCGACCCTTTAGTTATAGGGCGAAGAGCAACGTAGGCGCGCAGATAGCTTGCCGTCGACATATTGCGCGTACTCGAGTGGCCTGTCATGCCTGAACTCAGGCTTTCGACTGGAATCCTGACTTTGACTCGCGGTTGAGGGAGAATTGACCAGGGTTAGTGGCTATATAAAACTGGGGGATGTCTGAATATCAATTTCCGGGGGCGCCCGTTCCTTTCCCCGGCAACGAGCTCGGACTAACTAGACTCCGGCCTAACCGCCTCACTGCTGCCTCTCTCACATGCGGCGCTGTTTCACGTAATGTATGCAGCCACTGCTCGAAGGCGCTTGTCAGGTGGCTGTTGACCCTCCTCGCGCCAAAGCACCTGCCATCGTGCGCACGAACTGTTGGTCGCTGTTGCAGCGCGCGCTTGTTGGCTGTGACCTCACTTGCCGACCGAGAATAGATACACGGCTTGGCGCTGTCGCTGAACCTCGAAACGCGCAGGAGCCAGGTCGTCTCCATCCATACCAACTCCCACGACCCGACACTCCGGATACAGACAGAAACAAACCGACCGAAGAGACATTGAATGCTGCTCACATGGTCTGATGTTTGCCGCTGTTCGCTCTCCGTCATGCCAGAATGAACTCGCGTCACGTTTCCATGCAGTCCTGGTGCCTCAGCCGCAACAATGGCGCTGCGCGTAGGCCAGACCGGCCGACTCAGATCCGCGTCCAGAGGCCTCAACACCGATGAACAAGCCACCGACACCGCTGCACTGATACGCATCCTCTTCGTCCAGCCTGATGCGCCCAACGACATCGAGTTTGCTCGTGTGTCAGAAATCGCGGCGAAACTGCGGGAAGACCTGCTCTCGCAACCTTCTTCGAAAGATACATTCCGGCACGGCGGCGGCTTCCAGAGAATTCTCCAAGTACTTCGCAATGTCAATCTTCGGCTCAATTCACCGCAAGATAACGACCTTGCTCTCGCAGCAGCGTCTGCGTTGTTGCAAACTCTGTTCCGCCTGCTGACGGAAGCCTTGGCTGGGCACAGCGGCAACGAGCGCTACTTCGTCAACCATGCAGAGGGATGGCCAGCGGTGCGAGAGTCTCTGGGCACGACTCAGAAAATGTTCATCAAAGCTGGCTACATCGAAGGTATCGCCACTCTGTATGACTGTTTGCTCGGCTGTTCCCTGCGCGATCCCGCGTTTGGACTTCTGGCTGCACAGGTTGGTGAAGTTGCCCAGGCAGGTGGCGATGATGGCCAATCGATAGTCCAGTCTCCAATTCTGGAAATACCTTCGGCTTGTGCAATAGCTCTTGAGCTCGCGCTCGAGGCTACAGGGAACCCTACGGCCAGCGAGGATGGACATCTCATGCGTTGCGTCACCGCTCTCCTCAGCTTTGTCCTGAGCGTTTCTGACGCCAATGTCCGAAGTGCTGTATCTCTGTGGAGGACTGACATTTTGACGAAGATTTTGAAGATTCACTTCAGCTTCCCCCGCAACACTGAGTTCGCAGAGCTGATTCGAGCATTGGTGCTCTCTATCGGGGGCTTCGGGCTCACAAACATCGAAGACGTGCACTCCCTGTTTAAGAGTGCAGCCACTTCTGATATTGCGCGCCAAGATCTCCTCTCTTTGCTGCGGAGCTCGAAGGAGCCTGCTTATGTTCAATTTGATATATCTCGCCATGGCTTCGCGGCCATCGAGGTACCGAGCCTGCGCTGGGCATTTCCTCCGACGCAAGGATTTTCGCTCACAGCATGGATTCGCATTGACGAATTCGATGCACGTGCACACACAACTTTGTTCGGCGCTTTTGATGCCATGCACGCCTGCTTCGTCCTTCTCTATTTGGAGAAGGACAGTCGTCAGCTAATCCTCCAGACTTCGATCCGAGCTGCAAACCCGAGTGTGAGATTCAAGTCCACACAATTCGAGCCTGGCAGATGGTATCATGTTGCGCTGGTCCAGCGTAAGAGTACCACCGACCCAAGTCAGAGCGTCGCGTCGCTATATGTTGACGGTAATTTTGCCGAGCAACGCAGACTGCCCTATCCCGAAACACCAGACGAGGCAAGCAAATCAGATCCAACAGGGCCGAGGCGTCACAGACCGGTGCAGGCATTCTTCGGCACTACTCGCGGTGTTGCCGCTGATCCCAGGCCGAATGTGGTGACGTCCCGGTGGTCACTGGGTCGTGCACATCTGTATGCGATACCACTGTCAGATGAGTTTGTGGCAGTCCATTATCGACTCGGACCCCGCTATTCCGGCAATCTACAGGACTGTCTCGGTCCACTGTTGACATACCGAGCCTCGTCGGAGCTAAATCGCCACAACGAGATTCTGCATCCTGAGAAGACTGACAAATCAGACATTGTCACCGCTACTGAGGTTAGAGGCAGTGAGGTAGCTCCGGAAGCGCGGTTGTATCTTACGATTACGCCACATGCGATACTTGACTTCGATGCGCCCGACGCAAAAGGCCAAGGCGATGGAGTTGAGCTCGATCGCAAAGCTCTAGCCCGTTATCAAAAGCTCACACAGTCCGCGCGAGCAGTAGCAATCAACACTGCTGTCGGATCTGTGAACGACGCTTTCGCTCGCTCCTTCGGCACCGGTATCCTCATTGGTGATCCCGTAGTAGTTGTGCCTCGTGGGCTTGATGATGCCACTTGGTGCTTGTCTGGCTCACTTTCTGTGTTAACAAAGTTGCTAGAAAGCGCTTCAACAAAACAGTCATTCTTGCAGGTCGTGCAAATTTTCTTCGACTGTGTCAAAGACAGCTGGCGCATCAGCGAGGCAATGGAAAAGGGCCATGGTTTCGGCACACTTGCAATCATTATAAGAGAGAAACTCGGCATCGAACTCGGTTCGTATCAATCTACGCGAAGACCATCGACAATGCTCAACCTCGAGGACCGCCAGTCTCTGCCACGCGAACTGCTGGAAATGATATTGGACTTTGTTGGCTATCTCAAAGACTCACCTGAGCAGTCCATGCTGGTCAACCCTATGGCATATCGTGTCCTTTTGATTGACTTCGACACCTGGCGTAGATGTGACATCGAGACGCAGCGACTCTATTATACCCAATTCGTCGACTTCATCGTTGACAACCACAATGCGTCTTTCAATCAGAAGCGACTGACTCGCATGCGATGTGTGAAGAGGATGATCGAGGCACTTAAGTGCGAGGAGATCACTGCAGAGGCTGCACCACTCATGATCTCGGCCGTACAAGCATTGGTAGATGGTCATTCGGCGCAGGCCATGTACCGAGAATTGGCTATGTTCGTTGCTTGGGGGCTCCACGACGAGCGAGCTTTGCCAGTGGCGCCTGCCCGCGGCTTTCCTGGTAGTGTGAGTTTCCGTCAGAAGGCCGGCTGGACGAGAAGTGCGCGCAATTCGAGACCTTCGACTCCTGGAGGGCCTCAGCAATCACTGCCAAAACTGGGTCTGCAGCGCTCCGAGCTTGCCGTGCTCGTGTTAAAACTGCTGGCAGATATCGTCGCGCACGATAAGACGACTACGAGCATTCGACGACTGATCAAGGCAGTGACTGGTCGATGGCTTCTGCATCTGCTCTCGGAAAGCGACATTCGGGTCACTGAATTGACATTGAGCATCATCTGCAGAGCATTGTCTAGTCTTGGTCCTGACTTCAAGGCACCTTTCACAGACAAAAATGGAGCATTTGTGATCATGAAAGCTAGACTTAAAGCATGCTGGCGATCGCCGTCAATTTGGTCCCTAGCTTTCGCCATTTTGTTTGGCCGGGATGTACCACTCGACTGGCTCGGCGAGGAATTCACAGCTTTCCATCTCGTCGAACTATTGAGTGTCGACGATGAATTGCGCATCGGAAATGCTGAAATGCTGCAAAGTATCTTTGCAATGTTGGAAGCAGGTCTGCGAAAGGTAGCGTCTGACGACAACCCAGATGAAACGGAAAGCAAGATTCTCAAGAATGTCATTCAGTTCCTCGGAGAACTGTATGACAGGAGCAGCGCTTTCCGAGACTTTGCCTCCAATTCGCGCTACCTTCAAGAACTTCTCTTTGTTCTGTTCCCATTACTCGCCGGTACAGACAGACTTTCTGCCGACATGGAGCTGCAGTCAGATGCACTGTCTTTCAAGGGCGAGGAAGTGAGAATGCGACCTCACTCAAATTCCGTTGGCGAGCGACCACCGTCTGTCCGTAGTCTAAACATCCACGACAATGAGTCTGGCAAGAGGACGCCTTCGCCGAGGGCTGCAAATCGAGTGCCGGCTCCAAGAAGGATATCATCCTTCGTGATCGTCAACGATCGCCTGGCTGCGCCGCCCGCACAATTTAAGGCACCTATGGCACCTCAAAATGGAGCCACTATCAAAATCAACGTTACCAACAGTCTAGTCGAGAGTCTTCTCGAGCTAGGCATCACGCTTTTCATCGACCAAGTCTGCTACAAGGACAAATTCAACGGAATTGGGGTGTTCTTGAAAGTGCCACCAGGCTTCAAGGAGCATCAGGCCTATTTCGAGTCATATGTACTGGTTCATGCGCTTTCACAGCTTGGCAGCCATCTCAGGCTGAATCAGCAACTGCTAGTTGAGACAAGAGTGCTGACAAACCTGGCTCGGTATGCTCAGCACATGGCCGAGGCAGTGGCAGAAGGTTGGTTTATAGATGGTGCTCAACCACTTTTGGACTTCACTGGCGAAATCTTGGAGCACTTGCAACGACCCGAGATTGCCGAGATGAAGGCTGTGAGGCTATGCAGCCAGTCTACTACCGCGATTCGTGTCGTCTTCCTAAAAGCCACTTTGTGGAGGTTGGCAGAACTCAACGAGGATGCCAGTGAGAAGGATGTCAGCACTTTCCTGGCTAAGATGACATTCTGGCAAACCATTCTCTTCTCCTCAGAGAATCACGAGTCGACTTTCACGAAACTGATTTGCTATCTTCTCTATCACAAATTGGTATCTGCAGTCAAGTCGGTTCGGTTGGCCGCTGCGCAGCTCTGGCGTATTGTGCTAGTCCAGAAGCCTACCGAGACCGCAACGATGCTAAGCAACACCATGGGCCCAGAGAATCGACACCTTTCCACTGGCTTCATGAAGCTCGCCTCTATGGATGACGAGGACTTCCTGAACTGGGTGGATCGCAATCGGGACATGCTAGATGGCGTCTTCTACGCCTCGCTTAGTAAGCCATGGGAAGACTTTGTGCAGACTGAAAATCGAAGCTCGGAAGAAACGACCAAAAACCGCCTCAACAAGAGGAAAGACAAGCTGAAGCAATGGCAGACGGAAGAGACTTTATCGGACGATTTTCTCAATCGATATGAAGTGTCCACGAGTCATTGGCGCGCGAATGTGCATGCACAAGAACGTGCAAAGCTGCAGCGTGCACTACAGGACCATCACGAGAACATCAACCAGCTTCTCACAGCGTTTGCGAAGATCGACAACTCCGTCAAACAGGCCTGTGGCTTGGATCCCGCTCCAATCAACCGCTGGCAGCTCGATGAAACTGAGGCTGCCAACCGCATGCGCATGAGACTTGTCCCAGAAGCTGCTGAATACAAACCGGCATTCGAGCCACGGAGGAAAGGCTCACAGCGAGCATCGAAGAGCATGCTGTCAGTCGACACACGTTTTCGTTCACATTCAGAGCCAGTCGGAGGCCAGCCACCTTCTACACCCACCATGCCGCTGGCGCCGATCACTGACGGGTCCAGCGAGGCAATCGAGTTCGTCGCAGAAAATGGGCAGTCGCGACCTCGTGGTGACTCTTTATCAGAATCACAGATGCTCGAGGGAGGCTTCGAAATGGTTGATGATCCGAAAGAAGATGAAGACGGTATGATCGAGGACAAGAATCGCAAAGTCATGACTAGTTTGCAGCGAGGGGACATGGTGCAGCAATTGTACAATGTCTCAAGAATTGTGGGCCTTGAAGCCTGTGAGGGCTTGGTGGTGATCGGACAGAAGTGCTTCTACATGCAAGACAATTTCTTCCAGCGCTCCGATGGCGAGATTGTGAGCGTATCGCAAGCGCCAGAGGACGAACGCGACCCATACATACAACTCATTTCTGGGAAAGACGTTGGAATCCAGCGCACCAAGCACGCAGTCGGCGATCAAGAGACACGTCATTGGACCTGGTCGGAAGTCCTCAGCGTTTCAAAACGCAGGTTTTTGCTACGAGATGTCGCGATCGAGGTCTTTTTCAGCGATGGGAGAAGTTACCTCATCACTTGCATGGCATCCAAGGTACGAGATGATTTGTATAATGCCATAGCGAACAGGGCTCCTCACATTTACAGCTCGTCATCAGTGGCGAGCGAGGACTCGTGGCGACTAGATACTCTTCGCAATCCGGAGGAAGCACCCAAGAATCTTGGATCGAAGTTCAACAGCCTCTTCAACTCAGGCCCGACGCACGCTGCCACGAGGAAGTGGCAACGAGGAGAAATGTCGAACTTCCAATATCTCATGCTGGTGAACACGATGGCCGGTCGCACATTCAACGACCTCACGCAGTATCCAGTTTTCCCTTGGGTACTGGCGGACTACACAAGCGAAGAGCTCGACTTGGAGAATCCCAAGACCTTCAGAGACTTCTCGAAGCCGATGGGATGTCAGACGCCTGCCCGAGAGGCCGAGTACAAAGAGAGATACAAGCAATTTGCCGAGATGGACCAGAGTGCGCCTTCTTTCCATTATGGAACCCACTACTCCTCGGCCATGATCGTCAGCTCCTATTTGATTCGATTACAGCCTTTTGTTCAGTCCTACCTTCTGCTACAGGGTGGCAACTTCGACCATGCAGACAGACTCTTCGATTCTGTTGAGAAAGCTTGGCAATCAGCGTCTCGAGAGACGATGAGCGATGTTCGCGAGCTCACACCAGAATTCTTCTACCTGCCAGAGTTTTTGGTCAACACCAACAAGTATGACTTTGGCGCCAAGCAGGTATCTGGAGAGCTCGTAAACGATGTCAAACTGCCGAAGTGGGCTAAAGGCGATCCTCACATCTTCATCGCCAAACACAGAGAAGCACTCGAGAGCTCGTACGTCAGTCAGCATTTGCCCGACTGGATCGACTTGATCTTTGGGTACAAGCAGCGCGGCGAGGCCGCGATCGAAACCACGAATGTGTTCAACCACCTGTCCTATGCAGGTGCGAAGGATCTCGACAAGATCGATGATCGCGTTGAGCATGTAGCCACTATCGGCATCATCCATTCGTTCGGACAGACGCCGCATCAAGTCTTTCAGAAGCCGCATCCAAACTCCGAGGCGGACAAGCAGGCCGAGCCGAAGCTCGACACTCTGGCTGAGACGCTTGTCAGGCTGCCAGAGCCAGATATGAACACCGGCGAAAAGGTCTCAGACTTCACACTTGCACCTTTGCACGGCCGAATCCTAGCCAGTGGCCCATGCAAGCTGAATGTGCTTCCTGAGTGCACACGACATATGCAATGGGGCTTCGCAGATAACAGCATTCGATTCTTCTCATCGCAGAGCAAGCGATCGATGGGCCTATATGAGAACACTCACGTCGGGCCAGTGAACACTGCAACTTTCGTTGACAGCAAGACTCTCATCACTGGTGGCCAAGATTGTACGATTGGAGTCTGGAAGATTCATCAAGCCAAAGATGCCATCGAGATGACTTCCAAAGCTTATCTCTTTGGTCATCGAACTTCTATTACTGTACTTGCTGCCAGCAGAGTCTTCAGTACCCTTCTCTCCGTTTCCAGCGATGGCCAAGCTCTCCTCTGGGGCCTCAATCGCTTCAGCTGCATCCGCGTGCTCCTCCCTCCAGGCAGCGGCCCCTCTATCCAGGCCGGCAAGATCAGCAACGTTTCCGGCCACATCTTGCTCTGCCGCGGCGGTACAGTATCGCTGTATACCCTCAACGGCCACCTCCTAGTCGAACAAAACCTCTGCGAGCGCGAAGACGAATCAATCCTCTGCTGCGCGTTCTACGAAGGACAAGGAAATGAGTTCTTGCAGCGAGAATTGATCTTCACGGGTCATGCGCATGGTGTGGCGAATGTTTGGGCGCTGACGAACTTGAGCGATGGGAGCTGGTATTTGCAGCTGGTGAAGAGGTTGCAGCAGACGGATTTCGTGATGAGAAAGGGAAGTTCGAGGGCTGGGGTCGCGAGTGCGAAGGGGATTACGGCGATTTTGCCGAGTGCGAGGGAAGTTTGGACGGGCGATGAGGAGGGGAATGTGTGGAGGTGGGAGTGTGTTGTGAGGGCTGGTGGGAGTGGTGGTGGAGGTGGTGCGAGGGGAAGATGAAGTGAAGCGAAGGCAGAAGTTAGCGCCAAAAGCATTCATGTTCAGACTTAAACGCGCTATAATGCGGTTGCGGTATCAAACAAGGTGTGAAGTGAAGCGGAGTTTCGTTTGCTCCCTCCTGCCGGTTTCTGCACTAGCTTCGCGTCATGCGCGTTATTAGGCGGGCAGGCGTTGCTCTTGCTTCGCATTCTCGGCTCTCGACTTCTTTCCGTCTCCGTCTTCTCGCCGGCAACAACATCGCATGACAATCATCAACACCCCCACCCAATTGCGCTTAAGAATCGAGCACACCGAAGTCAACAGACCAAAACACTTCAAAGATGGCGCCACCGTCGACGCCAGACAAATATCCGCCGCGGTAAGGGCTACTCCTGTCGCTGGAAAGCCGAAAGTGTAGCTGATGCTCGAGACAGCGAGGCGTTCGATAAGATCATCACCATCAACGTCGGTGTGAAGACCGAGGACGCAGTCGAGGGCACCAACACTTTCAAGGTGCACAAGGGAGTCCTGTGCTTCTATTCGGGCTACTTCAATGCTTGTTTGAACGGCGACTTCGTTGAAGCACGGAGCGGAGTCGTTGACCTCGTGGAGGAGGATCCGGACAGATTCAAGGACTTTGTGGGCTGGCTCTACACCAGGCAGCTTCCTGTCGATCACGAGAGCAAGGACGTGGGCGAACAGTGGAGAGACGTCTTTCGCTTATGGGTCTTTGCCGACAAACGTCAGGTACCACTACTGGCAAACAGATGCATCAACGCTCTTCGGGAGCTTAACGTCGTCCGCTGGTGCGCACCCACCACTGAGCTGCATTTCGTCTACGCGAACACCACAGCCGATTCCCTACTCCGCCGCTTCCTGGTTTATCTCATCGCGATGGTAGCAGGCCCTGGAGGTGATAGGTTGCTTGGCGATAGTCGCGATCGCTATCCTCCCGATGCTCTTTGGGACATACTGAAGCTTGTTTGGGGCAACGGTAGCAGCAAGGCCGCGAGTATGAGCGTTCAAGAAATCCTGGCCATCGATTTGTGCAAGTTCCATCAGCACGAGGATGGCGTGCGATGTCCTCCGGAGAGTACGGCGCACATCAAGAAGAAAGAGAAGTCCTGAACGACTGGGCTGTCGAAATGTCAAGTCAAACAGCGGAGACCAAGTATCGGCCATAAGCCTCGAGTATGGCATGGTCAGCAACAGGTCTGACAGTCGTACGGGAGGCTTGACCATTTTAGCAATTCAGAAGATGATTACCGCATGCCTTCGAATATGGCAAGCCGTTTACAAAAACCGTTCTGCACGGATTTGTCATGAGCATAGAAAGCAGATTCATGTGGGAACTGACGTAGAGAACAGCTGCAAACACATCACACAAGATCTTCGAGGTCATCCTGAACAATAAGAATGAAGGATGGCTTTGTATGCCCGAAGATCCACATCTCGACCCATATTTATACCAGACTCTTTTCTTACTCGTCGCTGCTGACTTCTCTCGTCAGAGCCACTGGCAGATCGCCAGTAGCCAGACCTCGATAGTGTGCCGCCTATCATGTATCGCTTTGCACTTCACTGACGAACCCTCTCTAGCACGTCGGGATTAAGATCCAGTCCACTGTGCAACGTGCCCTTACATCGACAGTGGAAACCAGCCAGCTGAATACCCTCTGTGAGCGAATACCATGGGAGATGAAGCATAGGGTAGAAAGTGCGCGAATGACCTCTGTTGTTTGAACAACGGCCGCTACGGACTCCTGGAGAGCTTGTGTCGTATTGTGTAGGTCTTTCAGCATTCAAGTCTCTTGAAAGTTCTGCTACTTGTAAGCAGGCTATTCGCAAGGCAGAGATCACCTGTCAAGCTTCAGCTCCTGCATTCGTTGTGACGAAGTTCAAGAAGGATGCTCAATCCTCCCATGTCTACGAAGATGAGACTGACCGCTCTACGCAACGATGAACAACCAGGTGTGCAATTCCAGATAATCAATCTCCTCACAAAGCGGTATCACAACTCTGCGATCGTTCTCGACGAAGCCTTAACTGGCGAGGCTGCCCTCGTGCTCGGGCCAAATTTCCACGACGCATGCTGAGTTTGAAATCTACAGCAAAGATGCACTCTTATCACAACTGCCAATTTTTCGACGGTAATGGAGATAGAGCAGATGAGAGGCAATAGCGAAGCTTCTGAGCTCTGCAAATCGCAGGTATGCATCCGGTCGGAACTATGGTCTTGACAACTAGGCAATCAGTGCCAGTCAGCGACCAAGGCAGACCTGGAGCGCAATATCGACCTGATGTTAATGGCAATCTTGAATGATTGATCTCGAAGTTTGAGCAATTTGCAAAGGCTTCAATGTATTGATAGCCAACTTGGAAGAACCAGTTGCTATTTCCAATAGCTTGTTCTTTCGGAAGTGACAGGGAAGACGTCGAACCTGAGTAGACTAGCAATCGATAGACAGGAGACTGGAGTACTCGTAAGCGTAAAGGCAAGATCAACTTCACGAGAAGGGGAAGCATGTGGCACTCGGCCCGTACAATACTAGAACCAATTCAGCAATAAATCTTCACAACAAAATCGATCAAGCTTTCGCTACTGCAGTCCCTCCATCTCTCACCCATATGCCCTATTATCCATATGATGACATCCTTGTCGTCCAATTTACAAGCGCTTGATCCGGCGTGAAGTGTTCCCCAAATTGCGGTTCACTGACAAGTGGTGTCGTAGACCGTTGTTGACTTTGAGCGCACCTGCATCCGACCCGTGATCGGCGTCTTCCTTCCGCGCGCTCGGGTCAACGTCAACGTCAGCGGTATTCTCCGTGCGAAAGCGAGTCATGATGGGGATCTCGTCCGATGCGATCATGTGGAATTCAAAGGCTTCGAAAGCAAAGAAGAATACCCACCCAACGCTCTGCTCCTGTCGAGCTCGAAAAGCGACTGGATATATGTTGCTCTTGGAGCCAGCCTTACATGCCAGCCCACATGGCAAGCAGCCTCGCTTACAAGTTATGCTGATCGCAGTCGCTAAATCGAGCAGAGTTTGACCGCCCGGCGTTTGCCAAGAGTGAGAAAGAGTCGTACGTATTCCCACGCAGTGGTATGATGTACGATCCTCACTAGCGCTGGAATCCGAAACTGCTCATTAATGAGGATTGTCAGCTAGAAGATTGAGCTGGGCATCACTTGTAGATGGAGCGAGAGCGCTAGCTATCCCCTCCGAAGCTGTCATTCGTGCGGAGAAGACTCCTCCCCTGGGGGAATACTGGGGAGTCTCCCAAGCGAAGGGACGAGCAACGCAGTGATGGAAGTCAATAGACCAACGGGCCGATATTGATGTATATCTTCGCACCGCACTTGAGTTCTTCGAGTCGTGATGAGCGTTGTGGAGTGCGAAGTGTAAGATCTCACTTCATGCAGGTCGCTGATGAACGGCTGATGAGAGGACGTGTGCTGCAGTCTCTGGGGCCGTAGCTGTATAGAGTCAGGTAGATCAACCAGGAGCGAGGCGACGTAAAACCCTCTGTTGTCCCCAGTTGCTTCGATTCTCCCCATCAACTGCCTGCCTCTGCTCCATCTGTTTGTTTGTGCGAAATTCTCACTTGTCCCTCTTTTTGAATCAGCTTCGGCACCTGTCACTCTTTTACAAAATGAAGACTACATCTTGCGTTCTCTGCTCTTTGGTCGCGCTGGGCGCCCATGCCGCGCCAATTGTGCAAGGTACGTGTGATGCGTTCCAGCAAATAGCGCAATTGCAGTGAGCCGGGTACATTCTGACTTGACCATTAGTGCCACAATTGGAAACCGTGACTGGAGCTGTCCGTCCGGTCCTGGACACTGTCTCCTCCGCGAATGTTCCCGTTGTTGAAAATGTCTCTGGTGTCCTCGGAAAGCGTCAGCTTGATGCCGTTACAGGCCTAGTCAGCCCTCTCGTCGGCACAGTGTCATCAGCCACTCGCCCCGTTACCGACACTCTCTCTGGCGCGCTAGGAAGACGTCAGCTCGAGGCTGTTGGTGGCGCGGTCAAGCCTGTTCTAAACACCGTTTCCGGTGCACTCGAAGGGGCCTCGCTCGACACTGTGACGGGCAACCCACTTGTTGGCACTGTTTCCGGTGTGCTCGAAAAGCGTCAGCTCGAGGCTGTCAAGGGCGCTGTCGAGCCTGTCGTGGATACCATCTCGATCGTACTTGAACAGAACCCAATCGAGTCCGTGACTGGCAACCCAGCTGTGGACCCAGTGGTAGATTCCGTCTCTGGCTTGCTCGGAAAGCGTCAGCTTGAGGCTGTCAATGGAGCTGTCAAGCCTGTCTTGGACACTGTTTCTGGAGCTCTCGAAGGCGCCTCACTCGATGCTGTGACCGGCAACCCACTTGTTGGCTCTGTTTCCGGCGTGGTTGAAAAGCGCCAACTCGATCAGGTCACCGATTTGGTCGCTCCTCTTGCCGGCACAGTTGCCACAACTGCTGGACCTGTTGTCAATGAGGCTGCTGCGCCTGTTCTGAGCACTGGTGGCCAGGTCGTCGGTACAGTGACTTCTGTCGTTCCTGGGAAACGCCAAGTGGAAGCTGTTAACGGACTCGTTGATCCTGTCCTGGACACTGTCTCGTCGGCTGGCGGTCCAGTCTTCAAGGCTACTGGCCCTGTTCTTGACACCGTCTCTTCAGCTGGCGGCCCTGTCCTCGACACTGCTGGTTCCACTGTTGGTCAGCTTCCAGGAGTTCTTGGTGGACGCCTTCCTGCTGTGGGCGAGATGCATACCATGGACGGCAATGCAGGCGGTTCGTCTTCTTCGAATTTCGTGTTGGACTTCACTGACAAGACCGCAGTTGCTAGCAAGCACTCCATTGATTCGAATGACGTCGCAACTTCCGCATCACTGTCAGCCTCCCCGTCCGAGCAAAGCACCACCTCATCTGGTGTGCTCCCTCCCTGTCCGCCTCCTCATGGCTTATGCTGACTCGATAAACAGTTCCAACGAGTCCTGAAGGCCAGAAGGCTGCAACATTCGGCCCTGTGTCGACTGAAGAGGGTGCAATCGCCGCCCTGTCCGAGTTGGCAAAGCAAGCATAAAGGCGTGACGTTTCGGGCCTTGAATCAGTAGAGCTCGTCAACGAATTCAACGAAACTTTTGGCCAAATATGGCGCGCAACACTAGCGAACAGGCTTCTGTTTCTCGACAACATCTGCAGGGTCAGATGTGTAAGAGTTGATTTGCATGGCGGGTATCTTGTCATCCTGCGACAAAGCAGCTGAAACTTGTCGTTAGAGATGAATCCTTCTTCAGCTTCATCGTGTATTGATGTAATTGACGCCAACGTCGTCCACTTTCCTGTCACGCGTCGCTTCGAACCGTTGCGCAATCACGTCGCTTAAATGCTCCTTCCAAGAATTGAATGAGAGGGACATGCCTCGCGCAGAGGTAGAGAGGTAGGATTTCTGATCCACTCCCGTGACTAAAAAGCGCCCTGTGCGAGAGCTTGCAGTCGACTTGTTCTGAACCAGTATGTCGCCTTGCCTTGTCAGCGCTGGACTTGAGATTGACGTGTCCAGGAGTGACAGCGAAAAGATTCTACGCGTTTACAGTCAGTCGGGAAAGAGCGTATACTGTAAGCAGATGTCGTTCCACGTCTTGTGCTCGATCTTCGTCCCGTCCCTAGACCAAAGAGCAACTTTCGCGCTCTTCTGACCAAGCACTGTCTTGCCATGCTTCTGAAACCACATCTTAGGCCAAAGCTGCCATCGGAGGCCTTTGTGCGCTGTCATATGGAATATCGGAAATGCGTGCTTGGTTGCCAAATTCACACCTATCTTGGTCCCTCCCCAGGTCTGGCCTGTGTCGCCGCCAAATGGCTGCGGCAAATCATTGAAATCGTCGGGGGGATCTTTCAGCTTGTTTTTGATGGAATCGTAAGTCGTCCAGAAAATGGAATGCATGGAGCTCCATGCTTGTTGGGCAACCTGTCCCTCATGGTCGATCGTGATGCCGTGCTCGACAGAATCGGCCATCGATTGCAAGAATTCTGACACGTGCTGACTGTCAGGCACTTTCAGCGTGGCGTTTCCGCCAGCAAGCAGTGTGCGTGCTCGTTCTTGCTCAGCCCAGACATCTTGGATGGCGCCTTGGTCGTCAAACCGCCACTTATAATCTGTTTGGTAGCCACTCTCGCTCAGCTTCAGACTGGTGCGCAACAATTCTCTCAGATCCTGGACCGGCCCCATGAACACGCCTGTGTTCGCCCACTTCGCGTGCGCGGAAGTTCCCTCTTTCGTCGGTGTTTCAGAGTTCGGGTCTCGCAAGGGTGAATCCGGCACATGGCTACAATAGGGACGAGTCTCGTCTGGCCAGCAACTTTGATCGGCGCCAAATACGATACTCGAGCCAACAGCGCGACCTCCGCTGTCAAAGCCCAGAATCCCTCTCGCAGCTAATCGGGCATTACTCTGTCGTAGAACTCTGTGATAGCGTAGCTCGACAAGCTGCGGAGGGAGAAGCAACCAGACATCGAATGCATCAAGCACCAGGGCAAGATCTTGATCAGCCGAGCGAGGAAGCGACTCTAGGTACTCCAGTACCACAACAAGCTTGAAGATCCTCTCCTTCAGCTGTCTTGCTCTGCCATCAGAGACTCCTTCCAAGGTGCGCTTCTCCGGTAGTCCAAGGATGATGGGTTCAGGGTAGTCTAGAATGATGCTCGATGCCAGTAGCTTGCAGGTCTCGTTGGAGACTTCTGTGGCTGGTATCAGAAGATGGCGTAGCTCTTCATCACCCTCAACCTGTTTATTATGGTGTCCATGATCGTATGCTCCTGTTGGCCATTGTAATGTCAGTTGCACGGCCTCGAGGCGGCTCCATGAGTACAATGCAAGAATGCAGAGAGTGAGTAAAAGCGCAGTCGCGACGCGTCGTCTGCGCTGTAACATGATAAGCCTGGCCGCTCATTGCCCATCTCTTACCACATCGCAAAGACCATCGACATCGCGCGTATGCAGTCGCGCACAAGTGCTGAAAATGTTTGAGATGAACACATAAATGAAGACGTTGGCAGCAGTTGGTCGAGGAAATGGTGCGGACGCGATTACCCATGATAACACTCTTGGCGTACTACAGGGGTTCCAATACACAAAACACGCCTGCCCTATCCTTTGCGTTTGGCATACTCCCTCCCTTCCCAAAATCCATCCATCCTCCCCTTCCACGGCAACAACCAAGGCCCAATACCATGCGACATAGGCTTCCACCATTTCTGATGCAGCGCCTTCGGCTTTCCCTTCACAATATGCTCTACCCTCGGCACCAACAACATCCAAGTCGGATCAAGTTCTCCCCACGGCATAGGCCCATCGCGTCGGTGCGTATAATTTAAAAGCGCCTGCTCTGACCAAATTCTCTCAAAAAGTTGCTCTCCATTAGGTAGATACCGATCGACCCGCGTGAGCGAGGTATAGTATTCAAACATGGCCTGATCGGGTTTGAGGATGATGAAACCTGCATTCAATGCGTCGCCATTCTCCATGAAATCGTCTTTGCTGAGGGGTGGGTAGTTGAAGCCATTGATATTTAATCGTGCAGTCGCTGCGAACGCATAGTCGTTTGGCAAAACTGCTTCATTCTTCATTGGCTTGTAATCTGCGGGCACGATCGTGCGCCTTGTTCGTACGGCTTCCTCATCGAATGCTGCGTCCATGCAGTCTTGCAATACGATATCAGCATCGAGGAGCATGACGCGTTCGTACTGGATCATTTGCCAGAGTCGGAATTTCGCCATTACACTTTTCCAATTTGTTTGGTTGGTCTGGACCCAGCCGGCATCGACGTCTTCGATTTCAACGACTTTGGCTCCATCTTGACGGAGGCGCTGGCGTTTCGCAGTGGAGACGGTGGGCGTTGTTGCTACTACAACTTCATAGTTGCGGCGTGTACGGGTCTCAGGGGCATAGAGTAATTGGTAGACTAGGATTCGAGCGGCGATCCAATATGTATCGTCTTCTAGGTCTTGATCCTCAGCTTCGTCCACGACGTCTGAGGAGAGGAATATCACGTAGGCATTATTCTTGACCTTGCTAGATCGGCTGATGTCTGCGCTTGTGTGCCGAACGTCTTGACTCGTGCCACGGAGGCTGATGTATAGCACGACGGTCAGAACTAAGGCTAGTAGCAGCAGAACAGGGCGTCTCGTGCGCATGCCAATGGCGGCTGCGGCCAGCAGAAAGTTGTGTCGAGTGTGGACGAAGCGATTCTGGCGTTAGCACCATGGTATCAGCGGCAGTAAATTAAGACATTATTACATCTCAAGACCGTACCCAAATTCGGAGTCTTGGGACCTCGGCACCGTTTCTTCACTACAGCCACCAAACTTACACCTCCTATTGCTGCGCGGGGTATGTCGCAGCAGACCCATGGCAAAGGGAGTGAGAAGGTCCAGCAGCGAGAGCAAGACTCAGTGTGAGTTGCAGCGGCAAATCACAATACGCTCTTGCAAGAGTCGGCTGTATGTGTATGAAATGTCTAAGCCGTGAACATGCGATCAACTAATGCACAACCACACATAAGACATACAGTTGGGATCCACTCAACTTAACTACCAAATTCATTTCCATCAATGAAACCACACTGTCCGTTGCCTACAACCAGTCCCTCCAATCCAGGACGCTCGTTAGACACGACGATCTGTCTATTCATCGGATCTCCGGCTTGCATGGTACAATTGTACACAGAATGATAGTAGCCGACACATATCTGACTGTCTGAATCCCAAATAAAAACGCCCTGAGAGGCTGGTCGTCCATTTCCGTTCTCGTTATCGGGATCAGACGCGAATGGCATGGCGAAGAATAGACTGCAGCAAGCAATGCCGTCTTCGACATCGTCGCCTAGTAAGACTGAGTTATCCATTGCAGTACTGTCCGCAGTGAAACCGAAGCGTCGAATTGGAAGTGTTTCTTCGTCCTCGATGACTGCATTAGCTATGTTGCTTGATGCGCAGGCTGCGTATGCGGTCGCGACGAATGTTGTCTCTGTCGTTGTCTTTGTGATAACAGGCGGGATGATATTTGAGGTTGTGGTGATGGTGACTGTGCTAGTCGGTGCTGTGCTAGTCGTTGTTACTGTTGCAGTGCTCGTTGGAGAGCCCTGGACAGTCTTTGTCGATGTTTTCCTGATAGTCTTTGTACTGTGGACAGTCTTGGTCTTCGTGGTGTACACAGTCTTGGTTTTGGCGCCATGATAGTTGTTACGTTTCCACCACTTCTCCTCAGTCCACTTTTCGCGCTCGAAGAGTTCAGCTATGGCCTCTCGTTTCTTCTTTTCACTTGGACCACTGCCGTCTGCAAGCAAAGATGGATCATAAGTGGCTTGGGGTAGGCTGTCACGTACGCCTTGGAATCCCGAAGGCGCCGCGACTGTAGTCGTTCCCGAGGTGATTGTTGTTGTGGTCGTTGTCGAGAGAGCTGGGTCAATAATGGTGCTCGTGGTGACTAACGTTGTGACTGGTGTTGTAGTACTGGTCTTTGTAGTCGTTACAGCTTTCCCAGGCTGGGTGTACGTGCTGGTTTTGGTGATGGTTGTCGTCTTCTTACAGGTCGTCACAGTCTTGTGCTTCGTTATCGTTTTAGTGTACGTTCTCTGATACCCTGACGCGGACACATGGCTGCAGAAGAGTAGCAAGGCGAGCAGCAGTGCCGCGAGCCGGGATTGTGCTTGCATGATCGCCGGTATGGAAAGGTCAAGGTAGCACAACGCGGCTACATCGCAAGCTATACGGCTGGCATATCGCTTCTTCGACGGCCAGCCCATACGCCCAGATGTGAACGGTGGTGGCGTTCAATAGTTTCTGAACCCTCAAGCCGCCTTCCCACTTCTGTCGCAGAGGATGCTTTTGGACCGTATCAGAGAGTGCTATGTATGCGCGCATGTGCATGGTTGTTAGCAACGAGTCGCAACCCTGTGCGACATAGTGCGGCGCATGGCACTGTTCAACGGCCTCGAGAAGTCCGCTTCTGGCTTGAGAATGGCACAGCTGGACAGGTATTGAAGAGCTCGGCCAGAACAGGTGGAGGAGGGCGACCGCCACGACCTTGCCAGATACAGCTTTCCCCCTAACACCACCGCCCTACGGGTTGTGCCTAACTTCTTCGAAGGCAAAGCGAAGCGAGAAGGCCGGATGTGGCGCAGCGGAGAGTCATCTCTCATTCACGTGATCCTTTGCGCTGAGCGGAGAGTGCCCTCCTCACAGTATCTCGCAGCAGAATTATTCATGTTCATGGCCAGTTTCCCACATCGTATTCGAGAAAGTTTGGAGGTCAGGTCAGCCTGTCCAGGCGTGTACAGCGGCTGAGGGCTTTCTTGCATTGGCTCCTAGGGCTGTCTCCTGTGACGCAATGATCATCTCGAGCACCGGATCGCGAAGCTCCCAATGCGGAAGCTCGGCGGAGATCATCGAGGCTGAGGACTCGCGATGTGCAATTCTCTGGCAGGTGTTTCGTTCGTTACGGGCGTCTTTGTGTTCTGTCTTCACGTTGCTCGTCGGATGTGGTGACAGAATGGTGGATGGAGAGAGGAGAAAGAAGAAACGCGTCATGCCAAACGTGTGAAAGAGGCCATGGAGAATGTGCGCCGTAGACAGCTCGACCACATTGATGATAAGCATGGGTAGATGGCATGACAAGTGAGTCGCATTTTCCACAATCGGCCCAATCTTCTACCAGTCTCGCCGTGACATATGCATCGAGAGGTAACATGACTCGAAGTGTCATGGGGATTGTACAAGACAATAATGGCCCAGAGGACATGCTGGTCTTGGGCTCCTCTCAACAATCGCTTTTGCTCTTCGGCAACTTCAGTATGATCATCGCTTAAGCCAAGTGTGATGAACGCTTTCCAGCACGTCGTTTGCGACGGTTCATAATCTCTTTCCTTGGGGGCTGATGAACGCGCAAGCAGACTGAATCTGCCTTTCGACAACTATCCATACGGAGGGAATTTATCTTACAAATTAGCGGAAGTCAGGACATGAATATGCATCACCTTACTTTGATTGCCCAATTCACATTTCCACCAAGGATCTGAACCGCCTTCGTCTGTGTAAAGAACCCACGCAGTATGACCATGGCCTCTATGGACTTTGATGCCTATGCTGTTGTAGCACATAGCAGTAACGATTGCGCCTTTGTTGTATTGCTTGATGACCCCCGTGCCGTCTTCGTGATAGAGGCCCGCCTTGTCACGCAGAGCTTTACAGTAGTAATAATAATCAGCGTAGCCCTGCTGAGCCAAGAGCAGTCCGAGAAGAGGCCATTGAAGCAACATGATGAGGTTTGGTTGACCTGGAGCTCAGGGTAATGAGAGCTGGAGACGAGCAGCAAATGTGGTGATACAAATGGGGAGAGTGAACGTTCTGACAGGTGGGAGGCCCTGCTCTGTCTTATACGCCATTCTCGAGGAGTACAATTCCAATGCTGCAGTCGTGGGACCGCAGCTAGGATGCATATCAAGCTCGAAAGGCAATTATGAGTAATCTTGCACCGAAATAGAGCAACCGGCAACTCCTGCTATGCTTCAAGGACGGTGTCTGCTAATCAGCGTACGTTTGAGAAACTCTGAGTTCCAGCATATGCCCGTACAGTTCCTTGACCGGGTGCGTAAGTTTAGGGTCTGTTAGGGCTGAGGGCTACAAAGCTATTTGTGAGCTCAATACACGCGTAATGGCAGTCCGATCTCCAATTCCATATGATGGACTGCATGCAATGCGAGCATGGTTACAGGCCTCATACACGGATTCTCTCGTAACGGGCTTGATCGACAACATGCCTCTTGAAGAGATATTCCGGAGCCAAAATCAGATCCGAGTTGTTCCAAGAGTCTCGTAACACTTGTGTAAGGCCCCTGTTCGGCGCAAATACGACGTCTGCGAATCGTCCCGGGGAAGGTCCATCGACCAAAACCTCAGCAAAGTCCAACAAACCAGTGTCGTGGACAGGCAGTGTCAGGAGCAAAGCGTCTGACGCGCGTAGCTTTCAGCAGGTATCGGCGGGTGTGAAAGGAAGGTAGCGGTGCGCGACTACCATTTGTGAGTGCGGAAGTGGGAGTGGAAGTGAAAGTGGAAGCAGAAGTAACACAGGAATCGGCAAACTGTTTTTTCCGAAGGAGCCTGAGTTGAACGCGTCGAGGAACAAATCTCGGAGGAACAAATCTCCGGCGCCAAGTCCCAATCTCCAACTCGTTCCTGCTCTTCCTGCACCGCACAACAACAACACAACTTTCAGATTTTCAAGCGCACGTTCTCTGCTTCCTCTCTGTCGCTCAAAAAACAGCACGTCCAACCACCGTATTCGCTTCTCGATGGATTGTTCTTGACTCCGGGCTTGTTTGCACGCTGTTGATCCTTCGACCAAAAATAGAGCTTGGACTGGCTGTCAATCGCTGCGACATTGCGTAGTGGCGCAGCGCAACTTCGTTTTTTATATCCTCTGACAGGCTCTCACAGGCCGGAAACAATGTGGTATGAGCATTGTTCATATATCGACTTGCATTAGGCCAGGCGTCTGCAATTCTCCTGCCAATCCAGAGCAAGCAAATCGACCGTGAACATGAGGTCCCTCTGCGCTGGCTGTGTTGGCTCTTGCTGAAGGATTCGACTGCTCCCTCGCCGATCCTTAAAGGCGTCCCATAGGCAAGGCAAGTACCGTCATGGCTGAATCCGCCAGACGCTCAGGACCGATGAGTATGTTCTCCAAGGATCCGCATTGTGCGACTTTGCTATTCCTTTCGCAGAACAAGCATCTTCTCAGCCATTATGAACGAAGGCGAAGCTAGCCATCTTCCACTAATACGAAGTCCTTTCGTACAACCTGGCGAGCAGAAATACCACCACCATGAGCACCACCACCACAATAGCGACGAGGAATCTCATCCAGGCAAGCCCAAGATCGAGAGAAGCGACACGATCTCAAAACCAGCATTTCGGCGCTTCGCCCAGGCTTCGCATTCAGAACTCTTCTACGACCTGTTCTTCGTCGCCAATTTGACTGTTTTCACATACGTCCACGAAATCAACGATGGCGACAGTCTCCGACAGTACATTGGCTTCTTCTGTCTGCTCTGGTTCACTTGGTACCAGGTCTCATTGTACGATGTGCGACTCGCAATGGACTCTGCATTCGAAAGAGTGTGCAAAGCAGTTCAGCTACTTGTGCTAATCGTCTTCGCTGTCTGCGGCCCCAAGTTCAACCCTGGCGAGGAATCGAACGACGACACGCCAGAGACACCAAATCTGAACTATTTCCAAGGCATGACGATTGCACTCATGATTAGTCGGCTTGTGCTGGTCCTGCAATATCTTCAAGCTCTGTGCTTTGCCAGGTGAGTTCCAGCACACCGCTGAAACCTTGCGTGCTACTGACGCAGCACCGCGCAGAGAATACAAGAAAAGTAGGCTGCCGATCGTGTTCGTCCCTCTCACATACTTTGTCGCAGCAATGGTCTATCTCGGACTATTCTGGGGCCTACGAGCGGTGGATGTCAACGGCGACAACCACACCTACTGGACGTGGTACGGCATGGCTGTCCTCGAGACCATCATCATAACCGGCATCTCCATGAGATACCGGAACTTGTCCTTTGAGGGCACGCACTTGGTCGAACGAATGTCTCTGTTGACATTGATCATTCTCGGAGAAGGCGCAATTGCAACAGCCAAAGCCTGCCAGTACATCGCGTACTCAGATGGAGTATTCACATTCTCCGGATCTGTCGGCGCATCAATCTTCTGCGCAGTCCTGATCCTCTACTTCCTCTACATGATCTACTTTGACTTCCAGAATGAGGAATACTCTGGCACGATCCGCACACAAATCTGGTCCGCTCTCCACTTCCCTCTCCACCTGGCTCTGGTGCTAGCTGTCGAAGACGTATCACAAAATATCATGTGGAACGCCGCTGTCGTCAAATCTAAGTCCCTGGGCGTGGAAGTCTTTGGAAAACTTCCTCTATTCTTGGACAGCTCAAATGCCACAGCGCAAGACTTTGCCGATGCAGCTACGAGCCTGAACGCAACCGCCCATGATTTGATCACCACACAACTCCAACGAAGCACGAGCTCCCTCAGCACGTCGCAAGGCCTTGGCTACCTCGGCCAGGTCGTCATATCCGCCACACCAACCATCGCCAACGGTACCGAGGACTTCACAGCTGCCGGAATGCCTTCTGGTGGATTTCTGCCGTCCTCTACTCCACCGTTTTCAAGATCGCCGGCTTTGATCGTCGTGATACATACGAGACGCAGGACAGAGCGCTGGAATACGCTGATGCGCCCATTGACTTTACCAAATATGAGCCTGAGTACTGGCAACGTCAAGCTGGGGAGAACATCGATGCGGGATGGACAGTGTTCTCACTCACATTCACCTACTTCTTCGTGTCGATTGGGCTGGCGGTTATGTTGCTCGCGGCTCTGGCATGGTTGAATCGAGGACGGCAGGCGAAGGCGCTTTGGTGGAGGTTGACTGTTACAACGCTCATTGGGCTGACGTTGACATTGTTGTCGACCATGGTTTTGACGGAAAGGGTCATCAATTTTGTGTTGGGACCTTGGATCTTGCCGACTGTGACGTTGATGTTATTCGGAAGTAAGTCATACTGTGCTGTGCACAAATTACCTTTTGGCGAGTTTTGCTGACAACTCTTGTGCACAGTTGTTCTCGCGAATGGGATCAAATTGCCTGGGCGAAGTGAGAGGAAGTAATGTTCATTCGGAAGCGGCCAACACGACTGCGGGGTCTACCATCACCGGTCGAGAGCGAACGACCTAATGAGGGGGTCTGAGAGGACGAGCCAGAAACAAACGGCTTGCGGCAGGGCACAGGATGCTGTTTGTCAAATGCCACTGACGCCTTGCTAGCCATTATGATGTTTTCACGCTCGATTTTCGCGAGGCCGACGAGTTATGTGCAATGCATCGATGTGTCATGTTTATGATAGTGATACCAATTTGAGATTTTGATCCAATTGATTCTACTCCCACTCCATACCGTTTTTGGATGCGCTCCTTCCTTTCACCCCAAGTAACCTCGAATTCTCACACTCCAAGCGACCGCGCCTGGAACTGTACTCGTCCGCACACAATACTTCGTCGCATTCCCATAACCTGAAAAAGATCGTCAGCAAAACTCTGCACCTCCAAACCCAGCCAAACCCAACCCCAACCCATTCAATCCCCAACAAGAAGAAAGAAATCCAAATACTCACGTCCCCCACCCCACCTCTCCTCCTCTCCCATAATATTATTATCCCGACAGTGCGAATCAGCATGTAATTTGAACACATACTGACTACTGCCATTCTCATATGTTTTGTCGAAATTCACGCTTTGGAACATTGCAGCGCTTGTGATTCCTGGGTAGGGGATTGGGAGACAGGTTTTGTAGGTTGCAGGAATTTCGGGATTGGTTTGTTGGTTGGGGAGGTAGTTGGGGCCGGTGAAGTTTCCGGTATGGACACCTGTGCAGTGGATTCCGGAGTAGAATGTTGTGAGGAAGAGGGGGTTGGGGTCGAGGGGTTGGGGCTGGGGGAGGGGGTTGCAAGATATGGGGGAGATGAGGAGGGGGAGCAGAGGGAGAAGGTGTTGTTTGTGCATGGTTGTTGGGTTTGAGGTGGATGTGGTTGTGGATCTGGAGGATGGAAGAGGAGTTTGTGAGCAAGGAATCTGATGTGTTGGAGTTGATATATGAGTTGATTGAAGAGTGGGTTCCAGGAGAGATGTAGTATACTTGACGCTTGATTGTTGTTCTTTGTGAGGGTGGACTACGTGTGGCGCGTGATAGCCAGTGTGAGTACTGCGCATCATGTACGACAGCTGTGCGAGCTGGGTCCTTTGAAGAAGAGTTGAACATGTGGAAAGGCGTCTGTCATATGTGGTGCGCGGGTGGTCACGACTAAGTGTCTGAAGCGGTCTCAGGCTGCTTGCTTTCTTGAATGCGAACTCTGCTCGTGCTGCCAGAAGACTTGGCCAGGCCACCGGTCTGCGCAGACTGGGCAAAAGGTCTGTTGCTGCGCGGTACGAGTATTGTGCAGTCGTTTCAGGCTTGTTCTACGCAGCTGGTAATTCGTTTTCAGGCGCTGCCGACCCATGTACAACTGCGGTCGCAACAAGACTGCTGAAGCTCTTTTGGCAGCCCGTGCCGTGCTCGTCTCCAAGGCGGATGAGCTGAATACGCGTCCTTGTGAGAATTGGCTCGTAATGCTGGCCGCTGTCCGTTTAGTAAGTCAGTCAGAGGTTAACTAGAGGTGGTCCCTTGCGCAACGCGTCAGGCTGAGATCAGTTCTGCTTGCGGTGGATGCCGCGTATTTGTTTATCTCGGCTCCCTCACTGCCGAGGACGGTGGAGCGCTTCGCTCGATCGTCCAGCAATGCATCGGTCCTGCTCGTACTCGACCGCGCGCCCAGAAAACAGCTCTCCGCGGCGCCATGAATTTGCGGCCAGTTTGCGCCGTGTGGGATCATAAGTCGCCGACCTCATCCCTCTGCCATCTTGCGCGATAGCAAGCGGCGTCGCTAAGCGCTCCTGGCAGAGTCACAGTCCCTTGCTGGCACTATACCTGCTGCGCTAACTGTTCCACTTCGCTACTGAGGCGAGCACATCAGAATCCGAGTTCTCACGGTGCTCACATCACGGAAAAGTATACTCATCGCCACAGCGACGGCTTGGCCTGCAGGCATCACCACCGATGCACGACAACCATTGCCGGACAGCGCATGGCCGCCTTCCCAGTTTCATGAGACACGACTTGCCGTCTTGGTGGTAGTGCGGCACACAGCACGTTGTTCGTCTTGGCCGCTCGCCATTCCTGCACGGGACGCGCAATGGAGCTCCAGCTCTGCAACTCAGATCTTCATCAATGGTCTTTGGACAGACACTGCGAGGAACACTCACCCGTCTACTTGGCAGCGCCCATGGACCAGGCCAGAGGCAAGCTTGGTATGTGCTTGCATGACAACTCCGAACCACAACTCACCGCGATGATGATGAGATTTCATCGCCAGATCACACAACATCAACAAAGGCCGCGTCAGTCCGCGGACCTTGTCTGATGGATTAATGGGAAGGACGACCCGGAGTCGCTGGGCATGTCGCCAAGGTGTGTTTCGGTTGGTCGTTTCCGCTGCACGCCAAGCACGATTCTGCGGAGTAGATCTGACTTCAACATCGGTCCACATCGTCATAGACATACGCGCCTGTAGTCTGCACAGCTCCTACACGCGTCTGGATACCGGAGCTGGCCTCCATACAGCTTCACACGGTAGGTGCATCATTGCAGGAACGAGGCAGTGCACTGCAAGCGAGCAGCGACGTCGTCGGCATGCGGTGCAACAAACAAGTGCCATGCTGGAATCAGAGACTGAGCCTCCAGCCATCTGCCTCAGTGCCCGGGCAAAACTTGCCGGCGACTGCGGCGTCCACACATATGCTCGCAAACAGTAGCGCAACCTAGATCCATTGGGGTGCTGGGCGCGGGCATGGTCCTGGCTGTGCACATGCATAGCTCCAATGAACGTGCCGGAACGGGCTACGAGCTTCCTCGAAGTTCGCGCCTCTGCGCGGTATACTGCATCCCGGCCCACGTCAGTTGGATCGTGCTCCGTCTTGTTCGACCACAGAGCAAATAAGAGGCACTGTGCGGCCGTATGTAAGTCCTTATATCCCACTTCCCGGCTTCTTGCTCGAGCTTCATCACCTTCTTCTCGACCTCTGTCAGTGCCAGTCAACAGCAGACATGCAGTTCAAGAACCTCATCTTCGCAGCAGCCGCTGCTCTGGTATCAGCACAGGATGCAGCAGCGCCGCCCGCTCTCGCCGACGCTCTCAGCACCACAGATGACCTGTCGTCGTTCAACACGGTTCTCCAGGGCTTTCCAGACCGTGAGTACCACCGAAGGCTCTTCTGCTGCAGTTACTGACATCCAGCAGTGGTTGCAACCCTCGCTGGCGCCAGCAATATCACTATCTTCGCACCTAGCAACTCAGCTCTCGAGGCTGCTGCTCAGGTCCTCGAGTCGCTACAGGGCACACCAGATGTCATTGCAGCTCTCCTCACCTACCACGTGGTGAACGCATCGGTGCTCTCTGCCAACATCTCCGAGACTCCAACCTTCGCTCCCACTCTTCTCACCAACGAGACCTACACCTCGCTCCCAGAAGGACAGGTCGTCGGTGTCCGCCGGGAGGGCGAGAATGTCGTGGTCATCTCCGGTGCTGGTGCACGCTCCAACGTGACCACTCCTGATGTGCAGATCGCCAACGGCAGCGTTGTCCACATAATCGACAGCGTGCTGACCCTGCCAATCGACGTCTACCAAACTGCTGTTGCCGCCAACCTGACTGCTCTTGCTGGCGCTCTCAATGCCACCAACTTGACTGAGCCACTTGCCGCGTCTGAGCAGATCACTGTCTTTGCCCCAACCACCGAGGCCTTCGATGACATCTCATCTGCCCTCGCCAACCTGAGCGTTGCCGATGCCACTGCCATCCTCGGATACCACGTCATCAACGGAACTGTTGCCTACTCCAGCAACCTCACCAACACCTCCGTCGAGACGACTGGTGGCTCCGTCAACATCACCATCATCGATGGCGCCGTGTTCGTCAACGCTGCACGCGTTATTGCCGCCGATGTCCTCATCGCCAACGGTGTCGTCCACGTCATCGACTCTGTCCTCAACCCCAACGGCACCGCGCAGCCAGACCCAGCCAGCGACGATGCTGTTGTCCAGTTCGAAGGTGCCACCGATGAGGGAGATGTCCCATACACATCTGGTGTCCCAACCGCGACTGGAGCTCCACTTCCAACCAACGACGACGTCGCTGCAGGCTACACCCCTCCAGCTAGCGAGAATGCAGTTTCCTCATCCGAGGGTGCTGCTCCTCGCGCCACCGGTGCCGTCGCCGCCGCCGTTCTCTTCGGCGCTGCTGGCTTCGCTGCCAACATGTAAAAAGCTTCTTCCTTGTTTACATACCCAGCCGCTCGTTGAACATTATCGACGGATCAACCAAGCATGATAGATGGAATGGCAGGTTTCGCTGCTAGCTAGCAAAAGGATCAGGAATCAGGATCAGGAATACTCTCTTCAACCGAGATTTTCGGTTCGACAGATACCAAAACAATCTTGCGCAATTGCATGTTTATGAGGAGGTGGTGTTGTGGAAGAGAGGAGATCGAGGATGCTGTAATGTATGAATGACTATGAGATATGATGTCTATACCCAATCATCAATGACCACAGTCGTGTTGTCTTCAGATCAATTCTTCATATCGTCTCGAGGTTGTCTTAGTCGTCTGTTGCACATGTTGTAGTAGCCACTCGTGCCTTATTGCACACATAGCTCCAAGACGGAAAACAGCTCCGGCTTGGAGCTTGGAGCCGCAGCGCAGCACAGCTCGCCGCGATCCTGGGCGATGTCTGGACTAACTTATTACACGTGACATATTAAAGGAAGAGCACCATCCCATCGCAGAGAGGAGCGACATCAGAAAATCAGAACTTTTCATTTTGATTTTCGGCTCAGCTACAAAGACCATGCGCTATTGTAGGTGTCGCTCCATGCACAGCATGTTCGAATCTTGCAGAGCGATTCGCTCTCGTTATCATCGAAATCTCGCAGCGACACTCGCAGCTTTGCAGCTAGCTTCTATGCCATTCGAGGAATTTCGGCATCTCTCATCGATCAGTATTCATCACCGCGACTCTCGACATAATAACCCTGCTTCGCCAGCATTTCCTTCTGCCCGCAAGCGCCCTTAGGTAATTCCAATGGGTACACGCCATCACCAACCACAACCTCAGGACCTGGCTCAGGAAACTTCAGTTCAGCTGTCGAATGTGGTGTCTCGCAATCATTTCCGTTGTCCGCGACGAACATGAGGGGTCGAGCGTCGAAAGGCATAGAAGTCGAAGCAGAAGATCTGGTATCTCGAGCGTATCCAATCGGGGCTTCAGGTGCCACAATCTCCACAGCCGCACAATTCATATTCAATTCCTGTTCCCTGTTGTACCAAATCCAAGCGAAGAGCTGAACACCCGGTGCGAGGTCGCTCGGAACCACGAATTCGAAATTCTGGCCTTCGGGTCCGACGCCGTTGTTGCGGTGTGGACAATTTCCTTCGTAAGAGGTCGCGACGTGGAATGTTGAACCGCCGTCGGTTGAGAAGCCGATTTGGCAGCTGCCGCCGTAGTGGTTTCCGCCTAGAGAAGTTGGGCCCCAGAGGATGAAGTTTGCGGAATCGCCGGCGCGCCAGGTTGCGGTGGGTGCGCCGTCGGGGGTGTTGAGGAGGGATTCGTAGCCGCGGCCTAGAGGAAGGGGAGGTCAGTCGATGTGTGGGTGTGGGAGGGTTAAGAGGTTTGGAAACGGGACTTACAAGGGTACATCCATCTGTCTTTGTCGCCGCAGCAGTTGTAGGGGAACTCGAGGTACGGGTCGGCTGTGGTGGAGGTGCGGTGCGGGTTGTTGGAAGCATTGAACGGGGCTGGGTAGAAGAGTTGCATGTGGGCGGAGGTGCTCGCCAGGAAGAGCGCTATGGCGGCGATGGCGAGTGGGAAGTGCATCTTTGGTTTTTCTTTTGGGTGTGTGTCGAGAAAGAGTGTGTTGTCGGAAACGAGTGGCGCTCTTCTGCCAGAGAAGAGCAGTGCGAGAAAAGTGACTTTCTTGTGGATGCGCACGATGCCTGTCGTGAAGGTGTTTGTTCGAGTCCGAGCTAGAAGTAAAAGTTGTGAAGGGGATTTATGGAAGTGGGAGCTTTATGCAAGGCTGCAAACAAACTTCTGCGACATACTTGCCAAAACGGAAAGGACAAGGCAGGAAGGCAACGACCATGCCTCCTTGATTGCGATACACCCTTCATTGTGCGCGCCGAGGGCCGAGAGCTGCATTCTGTATCAAGTTGTGGCCTTCGCAGTCCTACCAGCTGGACAGAAGCACAGGAGCTGAAGTGCTCGGCGGGAAGTGTTTCAGAGTGCAATGTAGCACAAGAACGCCCGCGTTTTCCTTGCACCAGTTTCAGCTCCTGAACCATTGTTAGTACACGTCCCTCGAACCGCGTAGTGGAAGGCCTCTTGTGAACGCCGAGTGATTGGCGGGTGAGATATTGAAGATGACCTTCGTGGAGCGAGCTGTCATAGTTCTGCAGTTTACGAACTGCCGAATGGTCATGTCCGAGACTTTGCACCTGCTTCTGATCCCATCTCATTCCATCCTCGCTGCGTCTGCCAGTACCTGGCGCCGTGCACATGGCGTGCACGAAGGACACTCATCGCCGGTACATCTCAAACTCGCTGTAGGAGCTGTCCTCCTCAGGTGACGTGCTTGCAGCATGTCTTCGCGTCAAAGAGCCTGGCCCCGGTGTCATAAAACTCCATGTTCGCTGGGGTTGAGAACACCTGGCGCCGTGCACATGGCTTGGAAGAAAGAGATGGTGGTCGTGAGAAACGTCTCGAGTCGAACGCAAGTGTGATGCGCGGCGTTCGGAAGAACTGGGCATCCGGACTTGAATGCCTGAATTTGTGCCTCCTTTTCTGCTGACTCGCCACCGAAGCAGCAGCAGCTGCTGCTCTGGTGTTTATGACTCTTCTTACAACTCCTACCTCGCCTTCAAAATTGCAGTCGCGCTCGTCGCGATTCTTAGGTTGCACATTGGAGCATTTTTGGATTCGTATTGACAGAGCTGCAAGACATTTCGGTTAGTCTCACTACATACTAACTGCTCGTACGCGGCGACAAATTGTCGCCCTGACACAGGGTAGGAGAAACAGCTCTCTTTTCTTTTCAGTCGAGCTCGATGTTGCCGGTACTCTCATCCAAGGCCTCTGCACGTTGCAGTTGGACAGAACGAACGAAGCGATGCCCGTCACCCTTTCAGTGGCGGATCATGCCTCTAAGATCTGGACTGGACACAAAGCCAGCACTGCGGGCGACCTACCCCAAGAGTCATGCCAGCAAGAAAGCGAGCAAAGCAAAGGCATCCTCCGAAGCTCGTTCTCGCACGACCTCTTGAGTACGAACCACATCTCGCCATCGAAGCACGGACTCGTATATGCAGCCTTCCTCATGTCGTTCGAGGAGCCAGCTGCGCCGGCTGTCAAAGACTTCTGGGGCAAGACCGCTCATCATCAGAGTGGTAACAGCGGTCCCACCTACCTCTCGGGGTGGATTACAGCATTCTGCTTCTGGGATGAGAAGGGGCAGAGCCTCGTTCGTCTACCAGACCGGAACGGGTGCGAGGTCGACGGTGCCTTGTATCATCGCGTTGATACCAAGCAGATCCCGTCAGACTACTTCTCTGTGCCGGTCACGCTGAACGACAAAGGCAAGGTTCACCACACGAAGATGACAACTGGATCCGTGGGCATCCAGACCTCATATTCTCCGAGCCGATTCTCCACAGGCATGCCGTCATCTAAGCAGAGCGGTATCAGTACTGTCGACGCGTCTCGCACAGCAATAGCTGGGAGCGCCCAGCGTGACACGCTTCAGCCAGTGTCTGGGTGGTGGACGTTCGAGGTCGATCCGAATGCACCTGACCCAGAAACTCAACACAAGTTGAGGGAGCAAAAACAGTTGGAGCATATCAGGAAGCAGTTGGAGGATTCGAGAAAGCGTTGCGATCAAGGTGTCAAATAGCCTCAAGGAGCGAAGTCAAAGTTGCTTCAGGCTCTGTGTTGACGCAAATATGGGTGGAAGGTAGGATTCCCCAGACAGAATGCCGAGACAGATTCTCCAACGGAGCCAAGCTGATGAGCACGTATTTACCTTCCGGGTTGGAGAATGCGATGGCGGCAGTGCCATTTCTCAGAGAAGCTCTTTAGGTACGTCTTTGCACCTTGTCAAGCTTAATAGCAAAGATCTGCTCATTGATTTGGAAAGATACATGCTTTTCAAAGTGTGCTCCTCGAGGAAGCGGCGAATGAACCTGATACCAGGCTTGCCTTCTGCGTACAGATATTCAGACCGCCGCGACGATGGAGTCAGAGCGCCGCATGATGAGCGGTCACGAAAACTGGAGGCATTCAAAACTTACTACACCCAATATCTCCTGTCACGCTGTAGGAAGACTCGTTGTGGATTGTTGTGGTTGATGGCTGGAGTTGGTCTGTGAGAACAGAGTGTGGTAAGTCCCCGGCTAGCAAGATGATAAAAGCACTTGTTTCCAGACATGTCAATATTTATGAAGTCACACTGATGTGCCTGGATACGAGCAGCCCCGAGCACTATGCATGATCCTTGCTCAATGTTGACACATGCGGAATAGCGTTATGACCCGAAACCACAAAGGGTTAGCCATCAAGTTCATATCAGCTATTAATAAAGTCTCACGAAGGCACTATTCGTACTGTGCTGATCAAGTTGCAAGACCATACGAGGCGCAACATCAAAGCTCCGAGGAGACAATGCTATAGAACAAAACGCCTCCTTCAGCCACTTCCTGATCTTGCAACCTTAATCACACCACAAAATTACCTTGTCCTATCACAAGCATGCACTCCCGAAACGTCCTTCTTGCACTCACACCAGCCCTGGTTGCCAGCGCTGCAGTATCGAAACGGATTGTCGGCGGAGAACTCGCTACTCTGGGCCAGTTTCCTTACCTCGTCTCCATAACCGGACTCTACGAAGGCACAGACGAGTACTCGCAAATCTGTGGTGGCGCACTCTTGAACCCTACGACTGTTCTTACTGCAGCACATTGTGTGCAATGGGTCTTGGATGCGCCCAAAGATTTGAATGTGCGAGCTGGAACTTTGGTACGTCGCACGTCCCACGTTATCTGAGACTGGAATAGAGCTTTCGGGGAGTGGTGTACTGATGAGAAGGGCGTAGACCTTTGATCAAGGTGGTGTGAAATCCGTCGTCGAAAGCTATGTTCAGCATCCGGAGTACAAGAACAGCAATTACGATTTTGCAATTTTGAAATTGGCCACGCCGATTGAGGAGTCCGAAACGATTTCGTACGCGAAGTTGCAAGAGGAAGATGTTGATCCTGTTGCTGGGGCGGTGGCTACTGTGGCTGGATGGTATGCGGAAAGATTGAAATCGTTTCAAGCTTTGACTGATGTTTCTCTTAGGGGCCTCGACAGTGATGGCGGCTTGAGACGCCCGGCCCTGTATTGGGTCGATATCTCCGTCGTTGACCGCGAGGAGTGCAAGCGCGCATTCGCAGTGCGTCAGAATGATATTACGGATGAGATGTGGTGTGCGGGTACCAAGGAAGGAGGAAAAGGAGACTGCTCGGGTGATAGTGGTGGACCGGTGACGATCAATGGCATTGTGGCGGGAGTTGTTTCGTGGTCGTTGGGTTGTGCAAGTGCGGAGTTTCCGAGCGTGTATGCGAAGGTGTCGAAGGCGATACCTTTCATCAAAGCTCATTTGTAGATTGCTTGTGAATGTTTATGATGGACTGAGGCCTGGATTGAACTTCTGGTCAAGTGGTGTTGTCGATGCTTTGACTGCATCACATCCTTCAACTCACATTAGGGCGAAGGGGTCAATGAACGCCATCATCAAAGTAACCTCCAGACTCAAAACTCAAGGCGGCCTCGTTATTGGTATCGTTCGTCTCACCGCTGGGCTTCAATGCGAGACGATGGCAGCATAACTGCCTTGATGTCCGTCTTCTCGTGCTGGTGCTTAGTGCAATCCCACGCAGCGGGTTCCCACCTTCTCATCATATCTCGTAGATCTATCTCCAGTGTACGTTGATCTCGGTACGCATACGAAAGTCTCGTAAGACTTGCGAGCACGCCTCTCTGAAGCATTAGAAGCTTATACCTTACGCGTTTGGCTCAGGTCAGAATTGCGCTCCAAAAAGCTTGGGTGAGATCCAAGCGCCTCTGGCATAACATCTTCGAAGCAGACAGCGCTTTTTCCAACCAGTCGAAGCCCATGCTTCGTCGCCTGGCGAAGAGGCGCGACAGTGCAGCTGAGGCTGTTCTGAGTCTTAATTGCATGTGTATTTGGTGCCGACGTCTCTAGACAAATCGACTTGGGTCGAAAACACTTGGAATCTCGTGGACGCTATACTTGGCAATGGACTGGGAGTTTTGTTCATGGTCACAGGAATGCTCTCTGCCCGAATGGTCGTGCATCGTTCATGGCTCACCCTCAAGATGCCCAGTCACAGTAATGGCCCAGGCACGATTGTGGTGGCATTCCTGACGACTCCAAATGGCCTCGACAGCATTGAGCAGCTCGGAGGAAAGGGAGGAAGTGAAGGCGTGGCAAGTTCTTGGCCGAGTGAGCCGAGTGAGGAGAAGTCGACGTTCCAAGACGCCGGGTGAACCGCGGTGGTCCGAGCTCCGGCACGTGGAGCAGGCATCGTGGCTCTTCAGTTTAGCGTACCTGAGCACTTCAACGTCATTTCAACCACCACCTTCACCACCTTCTCTTGCGCCTGGCGCGCACCGTTCTCCTCTCCGCAGCATTCCCTACCACCATGCCGCACACTGGCACCCCTTACTGCGTCCGCAACGCGCTGCAGTCCCTCTTCGCCGAGTTTCACGCGAGCTCCCGAGCCGCATATCGACTTTCGCAGCGCCGCCAGTTCCACGACTATTTCGTAACTCATTTACCTTCGACGTCCTTATCACCTGATAAGCGAACACCTTCACATCACAAGCTTCCGAGATCGGACTCCACGCCTCACTCTGGACCTTCAGACCGAAGCACCCGAGCACCAAGCGATCGAGAGACGACCGTGGTGAGAATACCACTGAAGAGCGCCAAGCATCACTTCGGGGCCGGCGTCAGTAGAGGGAGCAGGCCCTACAATGAGGACACCTATCAGGCAGGCACGGTAGAAATACCAGCCTTCGCGAAAAAGCAACCCGTGAGCATCAGCGGGAAGCGCGAAATCAACCAAAATGTGGGCTCCACTAGGGCCACAGGCGACCCACAAATCTTCTACTTTGGCGTGTTCGATGGGCACGGAGGGAGTGAGTGCTCAGAGTTCTTGCGAGACCGGCTGCATGGATACATAGAAGAGGCAGCACTCCTCTTCGGGCTGGAGAGCACGCTACAGAATGGCAACGGGTCTACTTCGGCTGGAGGGTCTGGGATCATGGGCTCTCAGGATGCGGAAGATTTACAACGGAGTTTGATCACTTCTTGGAAAGAGACTGTCGGAGGATACTTCAAGCGCTTTCGTCCAGAATACTTTCCAGCTGTGGCGAGTGGCGACGAGGAGACCGTCAGCAGTAATTCGATCGAGACGGTACTCACGTATGCCTTCTTGAAGGCGGATCTGGACTTTACCACTGCGCAAGCCAAAAAGCAGAGCGAACATGCCAGTGAGCAGGAGAAGGCCGCGCAAAAAGCCCTGAAGGAGAGCCAGTCATCTACCGACGACCCTGTGTTGGGAGATAGGCCCCTCAATGACGGAGACATGCTCTTCCATCCCGAGCGAGAAGCTTCACAGAACCTCACCAGTCGGCCTGCCCCTCGTGGCTCATCGCCGAATCTGGACGCTGCAATCGGTGGCAAGAAGCGCTTCCAGGGAGGATCAACGGCCTCGATCGCACTCATCTCCACGCCATCTCCTACCCCGTTCTGGCACCCCAGTAGTCCGTCTACCCTGACTGCAGCACATGTCGGCGACACTCGTATTCTCCTCTGCCGGACAGACGATGGCTCTGCAGTGCCAGTAACGCAAAATCACCACCCATCCATGCCTGTCGAAGCCCGCCGGCTGCGTCGATACGCCGCATCCTTCGTCACGGACAGCTTCGGCGAAGAGCGCATTTCTGGCCTTGCCAACACCCGTGCCTTCGGTGATATCGGCAGCAAACGTATTGGTGTCTCAGCTGAACCTCAGATCACTACTATTCAGCTCACACCCGCAGGTTACTCTTTCCTCGTCCTCATGTCTGATGGCGTCTCCGGCCACTTGGAAGACCAGGAGATTGTAGACATCGTTAAGGAGGCCAAGACCCCTGCGCAAGCGGCAAGTGACCTGATTAGCTTTGCGGTGGAGACGGCAGGAGAGGCCGATAATGCTACCGCATTGGTCGTAAGATTGGGTGGATGGGAAAGAAGAATGGAAGGTGGCAATGGTAGTCTTGGAACCAAGGAGCAGAGGGCTTTCCGCCAGAGAGAAGCGGACGACCCCAGGTCGCGGAGGCAGTAGAACTTTTACCTTTCACTTGGACACAATCGATATCACTTCTGCAGGCTGCGCAATCTCGAATGCCACGAAAACATGTTATTGCGCGCCATTCGCTCATTTTGTAGCGAGCAACTGCCCCAAAATCCAGAAACATTGATCCGGGCACAAGTGCCTACTTTATTAGAAATCCGATCCTCAAATAGTGCTTGTGGCCTACTCCTGGCCGTCGCTCAACATAGGAGCTGGGATGCGTCCACTTCCTTGGAGAAAGGCTTGCTTTCTGACCAATGTCCACGTGCAACACCTCTGCGTACAACCTTCCTCTGGTCTCATGCGGACCGCCCCGGAAATGGTATTGCACGATCAACGACGGTGCCAGAAATGCAATTCGTCGAAGCAACTCTATCTATGATTGAGCTTCTATTAAACAGACTGTCGCGGATCCTCTCGAGCTCGCTGTTAGTCGCTACGATGCGCATCGCCCTTGCTGGAAAGCTGACTAGAGTGCAGTGAGAACAATTTGCTCCAGCAGCGCAGCGGCGCGGCGTGGGGCACCGGCCGCAGTGAAACTCCGGCGGCGGCGGCGGTGGAGAACAAACCACGCTAAGCAGAGATCGCAGGTGAATAGAGGGGTGAACGCGGCGACAAGAGAAGCTTCGCGCGCACACAATATCTTTACTAGATTTTAGCATACACATCGATAAACGCCGCGACAGCTCATCAACAAGCACGCGCGCGATATCTCGCGCCATGGCGCCACATGGCGACATCGAAGAGCAAAATGGTGGCCCCAATGAAGCTGATGATGCCGCAGAGGGTATATCTATGATGTCGAAATAGCAATATTCAGTTGCGAAATAGAAGTTGCGGAGAGAAGCTGTTCATGTTACGTCGCAAAATTTCGAGTTGGCTGTCAATGCCAGCGAGCTTGCAGTTCATATGGAGGACTCACGCAAAAGACACATCGCGGTAGTCATTCCAATTAATGCCGAAGCATGCATGTTACTTTCTTCCAAAGGCAGACCGAAAAAAAAACATGAATTAACTTAGGACAGGTCAGCAAAAACCAAGGATCGCATACTAGCGTCCTAGCTGCTTTGCCTTGGGTAAAGTACTTCTCTCGGAGTTTCCTTTAATTACTACACGTTGAACCAGCACCGTAACCCGGACGTGTACTTGCCAGCGTCCTTTGTGGATCAACGAGCATTTACGTTCAATGTGTGGAGCCCTCGAATGCGAAATCCCCCAGAACCAATGTTGAAATCCCCCAGAACTAATAGTGCGACACTCGAAAGTGGAATCGAACGAACGACCTTGAGGTGATCAGCCTCAAACGCACTCCGCCATGTCGACGGTGACGTAGCAAGAGTTTCACTGCATTATAACAGCCAACGAACGCGGCGGGGCGGCGAGGCGGGGCGGTAGCGGAATGTGGGTGGCGGGTGGCGGTAAGGCAACCGCGCTAGACAGGGGTCAAGTGAAGTGAAGCGGAGACTGAACGCGGCGACGAACACAACCTTTCGCACACACACCATTCCCTTCCTCTCTTCTCGACCACACTCAAAATATCTCCCACCACCCACATTGCGCGTCATGCATCGCGCCACTGCGCACGAGGCACTAAGCCTGCGGCAGAAGAAGCGCAAAGCCTCGCCGACATCTGCTGCACGCGATGGATTGAGCAAGAACAAAAAGGTGCCAAAAGTGCATCGCGCTGCTGTGCCCACAGCACTCTCCTTGCGATTCAAGAAGGCGACCACGCCGCCGGCGGACTCCAACTACGACACCGACTCGAGCGAGGTCACCGTCGTTCCTGAAAATGACACCAATGGTTCGGCGAGGGATGATACTTGCGGCTCTGACGAGGAGGCCGCAGAGTCTGATGGAGAATCGGAGAAGTCCTGGTCTGGTGTAAGTTACGACCCTGATCGCCCTGATTCGCCGCTGACAGAGATCATGCAGATTGAAGACAACGAAGAGGAGGAGCCGATCTCCGCAGCTGACAACAAGCCCCTTACTATGAGGGATTACATCGACATCTTGAAGCTTAAAGCCCTTTCCAAACACAAGACCAAGTGGGGTAATGAGTGGGAAGGCGATGAGTGGGGAGAGGACAGTGACGAAGAAGTTGAAGAGGGCGGCGACCAGTACTTGACATCTGAAGTCGGAGATTCACTCATCTCAGTACCATATGGCAACCAGACGATTACCACGCCCCACACGTCCTTCAAGGCTACCAGGCTGAATGAGATTCGGGCTGCTTGCGGTCTGCCCGCGGAGGACTACCTGGACAAGGAGAAACAGCCGCGATACAAGACAGAGTCGGAATGGGGCTGGCCAAAGCAGGCTATCCACTGGAAAATAGACCTCATCAACGCGGTAGCTGACCTTGCTGCCGATTGTCCGGATCCTGTTAGGGCCAACAGGCTACTGTGGGCAAAGATGAAGAAGAACAAGAAGATATTCGGCTTGGACCGAGCTGTACAGCCGGCAGAGGTTCGAGCAGTGGTGTCTCAACTGCAGATGGAGAAGGAACAGAAGCTCGCCCGCGTCTCTAGCCTGCTGCAGTGAGATGGAAGCATTTGAGGTCAAACAGGATACGTTGAAATTGTTGGCTACCAGACGAGATATGACAGAGCTGCACGAAAATGGGGCCAGTGTGGCACGTGAGTCGCCAGTGAAGTTGCAGTTCATTAGTCACAGCAAGACAACCGATACTCACTCGAATCCAATACACGAGTGTGCTTCGTGCCTTGTCTCAACCGTCGAGGAGCAGCGTAGACACTCGAACGCCTTGCGTTTGGCTTTCGAACCAGGGGGTTAGTTCAGTGAATGGTGAGACCGTTGGTCAGGAACGTTGTGAGTGGTGCCGTGATGCAGTGACACAGTCAGTGAGATTGCGGCTTGAAGTGAACTCAGTTGCAAGCTGAGTAGGGCGATACACCAAAGCGAGAGCAATAGCGATGGTGCCGGTAGTGGTGATGCGAGGGGGTCGTCGTTGTCAGAAAGATATTCAGCATCAGAAATCGAGATCGGTAAGCAACCCAACTTGCAATGCCATGCGATTACCCTTGCCGTGCAATTATATCGTGGCTGCCCTACAGTCTGAACAGGAGCAGTCGCATTGGCGTAAGCTACTGCCTCCATCACGCCCGCGTATGCTGTATCTTGCTCCACCTGATCGCCCCTCCCTCCATCCTCTTCGGTCATGCCTATCTGGTTCTCTTTTCCTCGAAGCATGTTTCATTCTCTGTAGCCACTCAGGAGCATGTTCTCGTGCCAGAATGTGACACTGCTATTGTAGAATAGCCAACCACTTGCCGATTGTATTGTTCTCTCTGATGTTGATTGGCGCTGCGCCTAGTCTACAACGGACGATAGACAATGCACCCAGATCACAGGGTTGGAGTGCATCGGAAAGTGGTGTTGCTCAGCGTGATGTACAGACAGAGTTTGCGATGTCTTGAAGGTCGGTGGAAAGTGCCCCTCGTCTGCTGCGGGCGTGTTCTTTCATGGGTGGGTATCAATGGTACTGGTGATGGCAGAAGCTGGTGATGGAAGTTGTAGGAAGCCTCCGACCGTTGCCTGTCTGAGCTTCGTGGCCATCCTCTAGCCCACATTTCATTCCTGACCTGCGCTGGAACAGCCACTGGTGCCTGGGCTCGGACTCAGCATCAAATCGACTGACGGTTGCACTGTGGTAGCAAGACGAGAAATGGCCGCGTGATTTGCCGTACCTTGCTCCAAAGACATAAGGGTTGTGAAGCTTCCAAAGATGGCCAGTAAGGAACTGTCCAAAATGAGACGCCTTTTCTGAGGGTAATCGTAGCTTACCATCTGCTTCTGGGCCGAGAGAAGGGAGGCGATAGCATAGCAAAGGGTTCCTTGAGACATAGCCTCATGCATACCTTCTGCAGAAAATTGTGGACTCTTTCACCATGTGCATCAGATGATCTGTCATGTGTGACACGGCAGCGAGTGGATAACAGCTCTGCTGCAAGCAAGACCCGTGACTTCATCAATGATGCCGTAGGTATACTGGAAACCTTTTCGAAGTCCACATCCTGCCCCAACCGATGAAGCTGAGTCTGCCTTTGACTTATCCATTGTGGTGCACGGCTTCGGTATGTGGGCTGTGAAGAGTGGAAGATTGAGCTGTGATGGCACAATGGCGAAAGCAAGCGATACAGACGTTCCCACCACTTTGCCGGCGGGGTAGTCGATGTAGTACAAGAAGTGGGGTCCTGCAAGGAACGCGAGATTCCAAGCGCCAAAGGCAGTCGCATCCGATGATCAAGACCGCTTGATAAACAACATTTTTCCTTCATCTTCTTTCCTCAGGTATATTTCCAAGGAAGCGCGAATTCGGTCCATTCTATTAAGATCGCTCGTCTGTCCTTGTCCTCAATGTCCAGATTCCAGGAAATACCGCCTCTGCCGGGGAAACAGAATTTGATTCGGCCCATCGAAAGGCATTCGATGCTCACTTTCCAGGACATTTTATGAGCGCCAATTGATAAAGGCCTGAGCTTGCACAATAGCTCCTTCCCAGCCATTTCCCCTGGTTCAAACAGATGCCGCCTTCTCGAGCTACCGCGCGAACTACGCAACATCATTTACGAGTTTCTCTTCGAGCATACGATGGAGAACCTCTTATCAACCAATATATGCATAGGCTCCGCCAGACCGTCTGAAAGATTCCTCGGCGAAGCCCAAGATCTGCCTTGGTGCGGCAAGAGGAACAGAGATCGATGGCCCTCCAAACTCGACGTTCCTTTACTTCAAACATGCAAGACGATTCAAGCCGAAGCGGGACCTTACCACAGCTCTCGAATGACTTTCTACTTGCTCGTCAGAGGTGAAGAACGCTTCGACTTGGCTGCACGGACAGCAGAACACCCAGCGACTTGGCATGAGCACCTGCCTCGAGTATTGGCGATAACACTCCAGGTTGATCTGGACGAGGACGAGAGACATGGCACTAGAGAGGATGATCTCGTCAAACTTGTTGCAAATCTCAACACCATCTTGTCGTATCTGGGTAGATCCGGGATTGTTCGCAATATACAACGCATCTTCTTATATGAGGGTTACTTCGCACCAAGATGGCCGGTCCCAACCAGACAAGCGGTTTTAAGTGATGAAGTGATGTCCGAGCTAGGCAGATTCGAGTTCCAGCAGGGAACGGACGTTTACGTACACCCAATGCTCAGCTCCGGGCCGCGCGATCCATTAGGAAAGTGGCTTGAGACGTTTGGTGGTCGTTTGAATGTCGTTGAGCTTGATGTATAAACAAAGAGCTAGAACCGCGATGCGATTTGGAGCAAGCTTCAGTGGGGAGATGAGGTGACGCGGAGTATTTCCATGACATTCGACACAGAGCGCATGTGTAAGTTTTGCGGAGTTGTTGGGTATGTTCAAATGCTGCTCAGAGGGGGGATAGAAGAAGCAGTGATGTGCCTGGTTTGAGCTTCGAGCGGATAAGGTTCAGGCCACAGACCAAATAACTATGGTTGCCTCTGAATGCAACTACATCTGAGTGCAACCGCAGGTCGCCAAGCCGATCAGCAAAGCTTTTCATGATCGAGAGCCAACCTGGTTAGGTGCTTGCACCTAGAGGTAATTGCATGCAGAGATCTCCACTGTCACGTAATCGAGATCTCTTGGTTCGTTCGTTCGAAAACTGTGGCAGATTCCATGTGCCAGCCGTTCCCGACGGAGGGAGAGGACGTCTGATATGTGATGAGCTGGATTGTCGGACGGCGCCTGTACGCGGCTTCGAGGACTCGCGAGGATGCAAACCACAAGAAATTTGGATTCGATTTTACAATTGTCGTTCTGGCTGCACTTACAGCGGGACGCTGATGCTGCTGCATGCTGTCCGTTTTCCCAACCCCAACGCCTCGCTAATAGCAATTCGAAGTCATCTGACTCATAAGCCTCAATCCTGTCCCATCTTCACATCCCCTCCCTCATCTTCCCCGAACACATCTTCCATTCTCCCCGCGCCTTCCTCGTCCTCATCGACCCCGCCCATCGTCTCGTCCTCTTCCACGGGCGGTGCCGCACTCTTCCTCTGACTGGCACTTCTCTCCATTCCCACGCCAGCAGCTCCTGTCCCGGTCCTTGCCAACCTCTCATCCTCTTCAACCTCACTGTCCCACTCATCCTTCATATTCCACCCAATGCCCGTCAAGCAATACTTCTCTGGCGGCAACTGCACTCCATATCCCTGACTCAAAGGCGGCAAGGCAATGCGATTCCTCTCCATCGCTTGTCCAAGCAGGAACTCTTTCGGCAGTGCACCTTGAAAAGTATACCCTTGTCGCGCAGCAATCGCTTGTCGCAGACTCGTCACGGTGATCTTATCTCCCTCGTCTGTAGCAGCGCCTCGACCTCTACCAGCTGCTGGTGCTGCATTTGTGTAGCCTTCGCTTGCGAGACGGAGGGAGTCGGAGAGGATTCCTGATGTGTAGCGGTAGGCGAAGTCGAGGAGTTGGAGCGGTACGCGTTCTTGGTAATTTGTTATGCCGTAGTTGGAAAGAACTGCGTGGATTAGGCGCGCATCGCGTGGGCGTTTTGATGTTCCATCGTCTTGCGCAGATGTGAGCGGGACCTCGGGGTCTGTGATGGCTTTTGTTGCTGCTGTGGCTGTGGGTTGATCTGAAGGCGGAGGTGTTGGGCGGCCGTTGGTGGCCATTGTGGGCGCGAGATCGCTTTTCACTCGCTATTGGTTGAGTCGCGTACGTTATGCGACTGTGATCGAGGTGTTGATGCGTTGAGCGGGCAAGGCGTTGTGGTGATGCTGGGCTGGCGATGGTCGATGGAGTTGAAGGTGAAGTTGGAGACGCGAAGGGAACCGCGAGAATCCGGGCAGGTTTGCCGAGCCGGCCTCTTCACATGCAAACTGAACCACACATCTACATGAACCTACACCTTGACGTCGACCGTCATCAGAACACAAGCAGGATGCATCGGCATCGCAGCTCTCCAGTAAGAAGATATCCGTGCAACGTCAAGGAGAGAATGAAGCTGTTCCGACGATGACTGCACCGCACGATAGGCGAGGAGAAATTCGACTCCCATCGTTCTGGTATGTGAACACCTTCAACGTCTCGTCATGGAAATTTATCCGAAACTGAGGAGACGACATTGAGTTACTGTGAGGACTGGCGCTCCGCTGATCTCGAGCTTTCGAGATGCGCGTAGCACGAGCAACCAGACGCGGGCGTTTCACAGAAGAATCCTGTTTGAGATGCGCAACCACGTCTTGCAGCACCGCGAGGGGAGCGTCCCTGGCCAGTGGTAGGTCTTCGAGTCTCATGATCGCTGTTGAGCAAGTAGCAGGTACTGCCTCTATTGAGATACACTTCGAGCGAAAATTGTCTTTGTTCTACACATGCTCCCACACGCTAGTTTTCCGAGAGACCTGTTCGGGCAGTTTGGTGCTTTGTGCGGCGTGGCCTGCCACAGAGCTTGTCGAACTTGCATGACCTCAAAAACAACTCGAAACTACTACATTTGCCTTTGGGGAGCACTTGGGCCATTCTCTTCTGCCCAAGATGGGTTTATCCCAGAGCAAGATATACCGCCGAATGATCTACAATGAGAAAGGCCACAATCCAGCACATCAGGGCTCATTTCGACATCGCAGCTTCGAGTTCCGTGATTTGATTCTGGTGGCTTGTGCTGCTGTTGCTGGAACGCTCGCCTCCCTTCTGCTGTTTTCTTTTCTCTATTCATGGCTGTGGCCTTCCGCTTTCATACCGGATTGTGAGTAGTCAAAAAAGCCATGACCAAATGGCATGACTGACTCGTTGCTATAGTGCCTTTCAACACGCTCAAGACCTGGATACAGAATGATGACTACGTTGAGTCAGCAGATTGGGCGAAGAAATGGAATGCGCTGATGCCACGTGCGTGGATTCAATACCTCTGATGCCAGATCAAGCTAACAGCAGTAGATGATATGGGCTTCGTCGAAGTTCCAGATCCTTCACGGTACGGGCTTATAGGTACGAAGTTTGGTTGACATGAGTGTCATAACGCAGGCTTGCTGACACGTAACTTAGGAGGCTTCCCATTGAACAGTACGTTCGTGACCGACGCAGATGGCCACCGCTTGAAGAGTCATCCTGGATCGAAGGCCGAAGCATACTGCCTGTCAGTCATGCACCAATTGCACTGCCTCGTAAACACCATCCTCCTTTATCCTCAGTGACACTCAGATCGCTGACACAGTCCTTTAGACCATCATCAAGGAGCAATTCGAGAAATACAGGAACGGAGCAATAGACTCCACGATAGATCACCATACTCCGCATTGCTTCGACTACTTGCGACAAGCCGTCATGTGCTCCGCGGACATGTCACTCGAACGAGCGAGTCTTGATGATCAGGGAAATATAGAACTGGCTGTGGATGGGTGGGGCAATCAGCATAAGTGTCGAAGTTGGGAGGCCGTTCAGGCATTTGCGGCAAGACATGGAATTACGACAGGGAGAGGTGGTTCGAAGTTGGAGGGTTTTGAGCATATGCACGAGGTGCATTGGTGAAGGCTTCGATGATCATATCAGATGGAATACGGTGTTGGACGTTTCGTGAATGACTCTGCTTGAAACTTCAAAAAGAAGCCAACTAGATGCGCGACCCTGCCGGACAACACAGTGAGTGGACTGTGAGATCCCGCCGAAGAATCGGTGAGAGACAAGCGGAAACCAAACCGTGCTGATCCAGTCTGGAGGAGCCTCTCAGCCGTGGACCAATTTACATAGATCAGCAGACGCCTCCGATACAATTGAATGCACTTTTACCTAAATGGCCACTGAGTCTGCTGCTGATTGATCATTGGCACGCAAAGACCACTCCCTCGAATGCGCCAAGGTTGATCTCCTGTCCGCTTTTCAACCATCCGTCAGCATCTTGCCACCTGGCCTCGGCTGTTGTCACCACAGGATCGAACATGACGTCTCGCCCGTGACCATCCTCGCTCCTGCATCCCGAGCAGATGTATCCTATCGGCAGCTTGAAAGGCACATCTTGTTCAGCAGTCATATTGATCACGACCAACAAGTCCCTATCGTCCTCTAGCATAGCGTCGCCAATCTCGAATCCGTCATCGTTCGCTTTTCTCCAATACGCAAAAACCGGTATTGCCTCATCTCCAATCGTCGCTTCGACGGGCTCGAAATCACCAACCACCACAGTGCTTGCTCTTTCCTTTCTGAACCGAATCAGCTTCCTCCAGAACTTCAGCACACTATCGTGGTTGCGCTCCTGGTCGGCAATGTTACACTCTTGCGTATCCGTGTTCATTGGACTCCACATCTTGGTCTCCCTTGGTGCACTGGAGAATCCAGCGTGAGGTTGCGCTTCTGAAGCAGGCACCCAAGGAAGAGGCATTCTTGCGTGATCGCGGGCTTTGAGGCGGAGCTGGGCTTCAAAGTCGGACATATCGATCTCAAGCTCGTGCGTTCGATTCTTCTCCGGACCAAGTTGAGCGGCAGCAATAGTGTCACGCTTTCTTTTAGCATACTCATCCTCTCTTGCCTTCTTCGTCTCGACATCTGGATACTCCGAGATACTGACATCGTCTCGCAAGTTCATCATGCCGAGTTCCTGGCCTTGGTAGATGAACAAGGTCCCTCCCAGCGTACACTCCAGCAGAGCCAGCATCTTTGCCACCTTATACCTGTACTTTCTCCTGTTCTCGTCGCTCTTGTTGACGATGTTGCCACCGAACCTGGAAACGGACCGCGCAGTGTCATGGCTCTCAAGCCAAATCGTCCCGCAGCCACCTTCGGTCCGCTGGTAGCTGAGCTCTCGCTGCCAATGAGCGATTGTCTTCTTCAACATATGCATGAGCTGCTTCTGTGTCAAAGGTGGATCCGGAGAAGAGAATTTGCCGTTCGCCTGAAGGGAGTCGAGGTCGAAGATGTCGTATTGGTAGAGCATGTCCAGCTCTTTCCTTTCGGGCAGAATGTATTCCCGAACAGCTCCCGGCTCAGAAGTCACAATCACTTCTCCCAGTAAGATTTTGCTCTTTCCATCTGCTCCGCCCCCATTCTTCTCTTCCACCCCAAAGACCTCCCTCCTCATCTCCCTCAAGAACTCATGCACCCTGTCCCCATTACAATAGTACTCATACGCCGGCCTCGGATCCAGCATGTCGACCTCCTCCTCTCCTTCTCCTACTGTCCTCACATTCTGCCTCTCCAGATGCTCCATTTTCGAAATCAAATTGATGACATCCAATCTAAAACCCACAACCCCCTTCTCAACCCAGAACCTCATCTCCTCATAAATCGCCTTCCTCACATGCACACAGTTCCAATTCAAATCCGGCTGCCCTTCACTAAAAATATGCAGAAACCACTTTTTTCTCACTTCATCATACTCCCACGCCGAACCTCCAAAAATCGAAGCCCAATTATTCGGCGGCAATCGCATGACTTCCTCAACTTCCGTTCCATCTTCCTGGAGTCTTTTCACAACCCTCTCCGAACTCGACTTACGCCAGAAGTACCAATCCCCCTTCCCATTCACTTTCCTTTTACTTTCCTCAAACCACTTATGTTCCCAACTAGTATGATTAACAACCATATCCATAATGACTCCAACTCCCACTTCTTTCAACTTCCAGATTAGCTCTTCCAGATCCGCCACGGTGCCATACTGCGGATCAATTCGGCGGTAATCGACGACATCATAGCCATTGTCAATTCCGGAGGAGAGATGGCATGCACCTAGCCAGATTGCGTCGATGCCGAGGGACTTGAGGTATGGGATCTTCTGGATTATGCCACGAATTGAGCCAGTATGCTGAGTGGGAGAGCCGGGAGGGCAGAAGAAGGAGGAGGGGTAGAGGTGGTAGATGACAGCGGTATGGTGCCAGGGCAGTGGTGGAGGTGGTGGTAGAGCAGAGGGAAGGGGAGCGGGGGAAGTGGGTCGTGGTGGCGCGGACATGATCGCGATCTGTGGATGATTGAGTTGGTCAGGTGTGAGCGGCAGGAATGCTTGCTTCTGGGTGATGAATGCGAGAAGACAATGTCGTTTGTGACAGGCTTTCGTTAGAACTTAGTGTGGAAAATCGAAAAGTCAGCATGGCATCGGCTCTTTATGGTGACAGCTCTTGCCGAATAGCAGCGTTGTATAAGTCCTCAATGCTGTGATGATATTGGTCTTTGCCACCTTTCTGGTCATCATACTACATGACCTCAAGTGGGTGCTGCGTGTGAATGGTTCAACCAGAAGCATCATCTGTAGCTGATTCAGCGTTGTCCGTGGCGCGGAGAAGAGTCACATGTCCCATAGATCCTGCCAATTAGCAGATAGCAAGTGACACATTATTTCCAGTGCCCGCAACATCCCTGTTCGAGGCGTCTTTGATTCATTGACCACGAGTCCGCCATCGTGCGTGGTTTAACGCCAGTCGACTGGGGTAAATCATAGCCTGAGCGATCTCACAAGCGTCAAAATTTTAAGGACGCGTTGGAGACGAAAATCGATATGCTCAAGAAGGTCAAAGAGATTGCCTCACATGAGTCGGCTTCGACACGGATCGATCAAGAAGGGAGACGCCGGCCAGAGTAGTGTCGAGCTTGGCCAGGGCTTACATCAAGCGCTTAAGGTTCAGTTACGTGGTCCAGTCCTCACGCATAGCACGATGTTTACTGTTGGCTGGAGATGACACAGTCACACTGTATCCACGAAGCTGGATATCGTTCTTGGGCCGTAACGTGCATAGTATGGAGGACATGGTTCTCCCCATTCCTTTGCATTGGATGCCGACTCTATTCCATCAAACGAGTGAAGTATCCTGCTCCCCTCAGCCAGCCACGCAGCAGCTGGTGCCCTGTCTTACAAGAAAAGTCATTCCGTCGTAATCTTCACACCGAAGTTGTGAGTAAGACACTCAAGGATGTCCGGGTATACCCTTTTCCAACGCCATTCGCATTTGCAACACCAACTCCCTGAGCAACAGTATCGTACTTTCGCCATGACCGCATGTTTCTGCACTTCTAGTCCATGAAAGCGCCCTGCCCAAACACCTCCATGCCCCGTCTCACGTCAGCCACAATCTCTTCCGCCTCGCGATGATTCGCAGCTTCAAAGTCGTAGCGCTTGGTCTCCTTCTCTCGGTAGACCAGGATGCGCACCATCTTGGGGTGCTTTCTACTGACTTTGGCACCAATGACGCTAGTCATAGGCACGTTCGTGACCTTTCCAGTTGGTGCTGCGAGCGAATCAGGCGCGGCCGGCATGATCGTCATGTATTCTGGGGTAATGATCAATGTACGCGGATGCGTAGCAGCGAACGACAGCGGTTGCTTGCGCAGTACATTGTATCGCTTGCCTTCGGTCTGCATGTTGAGGATCGATGTTGTATGGTTAAGCTCCGACTTTTGTTGTGCCGCCAGCGGGTGCAGTGTGAACTTGCTTTTCTTCTTTTGCTGCCCGGGAGTGGCATTAGCGGGCGTGAGTTCGAGCGGAGCGTTGGGCGATGAGCTGCCTGGTGAACCTGACAGTCCAAGGAGGATGCCGTCCGGACCTTGGAAACGACGAGGGACCAAATCGAGATGAAGTCGCTCATTCAGAGCTTCGACTGTGCGATCTGGAGGAGCGACTGTCTGCGTGCCGTGTACCTTCAGATTGTACAGCGCCTTCTCCAGACCAAGTCGCGCACATGCTTGCTCAAACACTTCAGCAATATAGCTATCAGTGGTGGTTTCGTATTTGTCCACACGAGATGCCATGGTAGCGGGATTCATGTGAGTAATGGTCACTGTGCGAGGAGCACCAATCTTGGCCGCGTTTTGCCGCTCCTCTCGCTGAGGCATATCTGCCAACTGAGTGGAGGTGTCCTTGCGGAGCGTATTTGGACCGAACGATGGACCGGTGATCGGATTGGGACGTGCGTTGAACGTGGGCTGTTGCTTCAGTGTCAGTGATGTCTCGGTCGCGGTGCGCTGTGCAGTAGGTCGCTGCATAGGGTTCTGCGCCTCAAGCTTTGGGGTAGGTAGAGGCGGAGGCGCCGTGTCGCCGATTTGAGGAGTCAGAGCTTCGTTCTCTTTGAACTGGTCTTTCGTGGCTTTCACCAAACCAAATTCATCCCATGGCTTGTCGCGTGCTCTGCGATTTGGAGGGCGGTTGTTGTTGGATGTGAAGTCAATGGCTGGTCGTGTGCGGCCCAGAGCTGGGAAGTCGAGATCTATCTCCTCGTCATCGACAATTCTCAACGTCCACCAGTTGATGTTACACTCTTCCGGCTTCAGCTCTGGTTTGTAGCCTTCCTCAGTATATCTCCACAGCGCAAGACCGATCAGTTCTGCTACTGTGACAGGCCTATCATCTTTCGTACGGCGAAGTGGCACTTCGACTGGCTTCGTTGGCTTATCTGAGAATGGAGCATAGATTTTGATCCAGAGCGGACTGGCCTCGCCCTTGCCAGAAAGATCTGCAAAGCGCTGAAAGGGCTTGTCCGCAGACCCACTTGCGTTGCCCTTCAATGCCATGCTGATCATCGACACAGGCTGGGGTAGCATGCTGAGCGGTCTCGGTCCAGATGGCAATCGTGGAAGCCTGGGTAGCGGCTCTTTCGTCTTCTTCGGTGACGAGCTGCCGGCACTGACAGCTGGCATGATGTCTGGAGGAGGCTTGAGAGGTGATCTCGACAGGTCATCGCTTGCTTTGGGGAAACCTAACATAGATGGCGATTCTGCAGTACCTTCGAACTCGTCGCTGAGGTCAGACGCCTCGCCGACGTCGATATCGTCGTCATCGTCCAAGTCAGACTGTCCGTCCGCTTCCTCCTCTTCGATGTCGTCCTCCAATGCCAGCACACTCGGACCTTTTCCTGGCCTGCTCGGTATCTTTCTCTTGAACTTCTTCGGTGCACCGACAGTATCGTTCTCGCTTGACATTTCTGAGCTGGTTGTGGTGTCTCTCCGCGCTCTTTGCTTGACAGCTTCCACCTGGCCCATGCTGCCACTGCGTAGTCTGCTGAAGTTGGTCTCGGGCGGTCTGGAAGGACTCGTGATCATGAGCGCAGGACCGTCGTTCTCGATGTCTGCCTTGAGTGCGCTGGGCTCTCTGGGAGGTGATGATTTGGCACGATGGCGAATAGGCATTTTGGAGAACTTGATACTCTGTGCTGGTCCCTTCTCGTCCTCATCGCTGTCATCACTCAGATCCGAACTATCATCGTCTTCCAGTGCCTCTCTTCGACGTCTCTTCTCGCGTTTCCTGTGGTCATGCAGTCCTGCTGCGCCAATAGTGTCCTCACTGCCTGGTTGACCCGTGACCATTCCACCGCCCTCGTTGCCATCTTCTTCCTCGGCCTGACCTCGCGTGGGCCGACGCGGGCGCTGGAAGTACTCGCTACTGATGTCGGCGGAGGTGCCTGTGGGAATGGGTGGGCTGTAGCACCTCTTGATAGCATTGACGTCGGGCACCCATCCTGCAGTGCGAAAGGCGGGATTGTTCAGTACGGCGGGGTTGAGATTGATGAGCCTCTCGCCGATGCCATCACCCGCTTGGAGGTAAGCCAGTCGCAGCTGGTACGTGAGGAACTCGGAGCTCGTTAGCAAAGACATGATGGTGGAAGTACTACCGCCAGACCAGCTGGCGCGTTGTCATGGCCGTGATGTTGTCGATCTATAGGAGAGTGGAGGTGGGACGCGTGAAGGATGACGACGTGGTCGAGCTTTGGGCGCGAGTCATGCACGCGAAGCTCAACTTCACGAAGCTTGTGACAACAACCACAAAAATCGTCACACAACAACCATGGCGTTACTGGTGAACTACTCCGACAGCGAGGACGGATCCGCGAACGAGAGTCCAGCCCCAGCACCGAAAGTGACGCCCGCGGCGAAGCCAGCATTCCAGAAAGCAGCACCAGGAAAACTACAGGTCAGCCTGCCGAGCCTGAAGCCAGAGCCAGGACAGAATGGCGAGGACGGGACAGATGGTCGTCCAGCGAAAAGAGCGAGGACAGGTGGTGCATTCAGTGGCTTCAATGCGCTTCTCCCAGTGCCAAAGAAACCTGCCACAGCAACACTGAAGAAGGGCGTGAACTTGAAGACAAGCAGCGAGGCGGCATTCAGTCGCAACCCGCTTCCACAACGAACAGACGATGAGGAGACATACACGGCACCAGATCTCAACGATGTTGGAGAGGCAAAGACAGAGCAGAAGAAGGATGACGCTCCACCTGAGCCGAAACTCGTAGGCAAGGCTACAAGATTCCTACCTCTGAGCGTATCGAACAAGAAGAAGAAAAAGCCGCTGCCCAAGATACCTACCGATGACATGACGAAGCTCAAAACGAACGGCGCGTCTGCGCAATCCGTCGCTGCATCCGACGACATTCCTGCGGTAGCCGAGCCATCCAAGCCAAAGCCTAAGAAGTCATTATTTTCCGTCACGCAGGAAGAAGATGATATCCCACCCGAGGCCAGCACAAACGAATACGAATCAGTGACCGCGTCGCATTCACAAGTCAATTCGCAAATACCATCACAACCTACGCATGCAGCACCACCGGCTCCAAGCAACCCAAACTCTCTGGAAGCAGTAGCAGCGGACATGAACCTCACAGCAGCTCAAAGACGCCAGCTTTTCGGTCGCAACGCCAAAGAGGTCAATGTGAGACACTTCGATCTGGATGCACAGTACGCTGAGAACGAGCGGGCAAGGGCAGCGGGTGAAGTGGTTGAGCATCGGGCTGTCAAGGCGGTGGCGCCGGGTAAGCACAGCCTGCAGCAGTTGGTAAATAATGCGCAAACGCAGCAGGATGCGCTGAAGGACAAGTGGGCGGAGGGAAAGAGGGCTCGTGGAGAAGGTGGGAGTAAGTATGGGTGGAGTACGGGATGAGAGTACCATTGCCTACGATCAGCGTGTGCGCACACTACTTTGCGCCATCTTTTGCGCCCGTATGGGACATGTATCCCACGTAGGGTTCATTGCGGAGCCGCTTCTCCAATTGTCAGTTGTCACCTGAGACTGAGACACAACGGACCTGGACCGTCCATGAGACATGCAGCTTTCGATTGTCCCAGCGGCCGCTCCTGTTCGCTGACTCTTGAGTTTTCAAACGGGAAGTATGGGTGCATGCACTCCTGGATTCGTCCGCCTGGCAGGGACATATCATCACCGGCACGGCAGCTCGTAGAGTTTTCCAACCACCACGAAAAAAGATAGCTCCCGATGCAACTAATACTGTATGTCTGGCATGTACTTTTCACTCAGCCCCTGGGCAATGGTTGATGAGACAGAGGCAAGCAAGTGATTGAGTGGTGGCTGTCAGACAGCAAGCAAGTCAACACCTCGCGCCGCAACAAGGCTATATTATCGACCGTCTCTATCTCATGGTCTTCCTGCACGACAAAATTTCAAGTCAAGTACGACACACCATCAAATACGATCCGCCCGCGACCTCAAACAGGTGCAGCAATACCGCAATACATCCGGTCACACCGCCAAGGAATATCAGGATGCACTTCATCGCCACAATTCAGCTCTTGCTGTCAGTCTCCGTCTTCGGACACTTGCTTCTGCTCAGCAACGTTTGGGACAAGCTCAGCTCTCTTACGTCCAAGGAAACAAGTGGCGTCTATTCTGATCTGGATCTACCTTCGACTTGCGGCAAAAGCTCTTGCTTGAGCTTGATGCCAAATGTCGCTGCTTATCGAAATGTCCATGAAAGTCTGCGCGCCAATTACCGAGTCCTTCAAAGCTGGGCCAGTACACATAATGAACTCGATAAGTATTTCTTCTTGCAGCTGCTATACTTGGGTCCGCTGCCTAATCCTGAGCTCCTTGATTTCAACAGTCTTCAGCTCGGCGACCAGCTTGAGAGGGGAGCATTTCGTTTGGTTCGTGGTTTGGCAAATCTCAGGGACCAGGTGGCTCAGCTTACCGTCGATCTTGGTGAGACCCAAGCCGATGAGGCACTCAAAGGACACTACTGGTTCACATGCAAGACCACGCACCTCGGTTCCAAAGACGGTCTCGAGACATCTGCCAGAGGCCTTCGAAGGAGCCACCAGACTTTGCACGCGACTGCGTCGCGAATGTCTGACATTTTACAGTCTCTTGCAGACCTCCGCAATGGTCTGCGTGCCTTGAACGCCTTGATTCAACATGAATACGACTTCCAAGCCAATGCAAGAGGTGGGCTTAGCGGGTTTGGTACCAGATTGCTCACCAGCAAAGACATGACGTTGGTCAGTCTGCACAGTCTCGTGGAGATTCGTGAGATCATGGCCGAAAGTCTTTCGCCCACTTCGGTGCTAGTGCAAAAGCACAGCCGCAAGGCGTTTGAGGCTTTCAGACTTGATTTCCAGCACGAAGAAACGAAGCTGTACACTTTATTGAGCAGCTTACCGTCTATGGAACGCGCAGCTGCGCTGAAGAAGACTCTCTGTCGGTTTCAGCGCGTGCTCTGATGCGTAAGCCAGGCATGGATGGGGGACGATATAAGCAACCTGATGAGAACAGAATATGGAGCCGAAGCGTGTGTTGCTCCATGTGATGCACACCAGGTCATCGTGGCTCCAAGGCAGCCACCACTCATTCTCAAGAGTGTAAAGGCCTTTGCCTCATTTAATCTCATTATCAGGCGTGAGTGCTCGAGGCAACTGCACATTCATGGTACAAGGCAGAAAATGTAGACGCTGAATTCAAAAATGAAACTGGAAATTCGCTTCCATCGCAAAGTTGAGAATAAACAGCTTTCCAAATACGGAGTCAGAGTCACGATCCACTGGACATCACTCACCTTCGTGCTGCTACCACTTGATTCATCGCATGGTGCGAGAGTTTCGCTTTCGGGTCTGCATCCCGGTGGTGGCGCTCCCCATCCGATTGCTCACTTCCAAAGCAACAACCACCACGACTCATTCCTTCTGATATTGCAATCAACATGGTGCAACTACTCAGTGCAACAATTCGCCAAAGCGACACTGGCAGCCCTCGATGAATGCCTTCTCTACAGACTCCGCCAAATGGCACGCCGTCCGCACGAAAGATCCCAGAGCCGATGGCCAATTTGTCTACTGCGTGAAAACAACCAAGATCTACTGCCGACCGATTTGCAAAGCCCGTCTTGCTCGGCACTCGAATGTCCAGTTCTTTGACACAGGTTCAGAAGCTGTCGCAGCAGGCTACAGAGCATGCAAGAGATGCCGACCGGAGCTGGAGGTCTTCGTGCCGATAGCAGATCAGGCTATTGAACGGATTCGCAAGAATCTCGAGAGCTTATCAGAAGACGTCGCTGTACCTTCTTTAGAATCTCTGGCCCAGGAAGCTGGATTGACGAAATACCACTTCCATCGAAGTTTCAAGAAGGCCACGGGTTTCACGCCGAGGGAGTATGTTGGATTGCTGAGGCGAGAACGCACAGCAGGGTCAATGGCTGTCACTCCTGGAGCGATGTGTGTTCCAGATCTCATCACTGGGACGACGGCGAGTCCGTTATCGTTGACAGATGACTTTGATGTCGAACCTTCGCATTCTTTCAAATTGGAGGATCTGTTCAACTTCGATGATCTAGTTGTTCCAGAGGTGCATTGCGGTCCGCAGGCCTCAATGGCGATGATGAGAAGGCATCTCGGAGGTGGAGGCATGTAGAGACGAGAGACCATATGAGGAGCTCCGTCGTTGCTGGCACTCAGTCAGAAGGAGCATCCAACAGGCGGTGGCGCTGATCTTTGACGATCAATTCCTTGTTCCGTTATTGGATCTTTATCAAGATTTGATGGACTTGTCATCAAATTTGGCCAAGGAATCTTGAGTCACAATCCTTCTGGCTCTCCAACTCACTATCACTGCATCCTGTACTGCCTTGCCCGTACACCAACTCAATTTCGGCATGGCATCTACGCAATTGCCATCCGATATTCTGCTCTTAGTCTGCGATTATCTGGCCCAAATCCATCCCGCAAGTTCCCGAAACTTTGCCTCCGTATGCGCAGAATGGAGAGCAGTCGCAAAGATCTTCCAACACCGCAGCATCAGCATATTCATCAACTCAGCAGAACTACTCAAGGAAGACGCAGAAGATTGCCTAGCAGACTTGAAGCGTACAAACAGCGTCAGACATGTACGTCGCCTCGAAATAGCCGGGCCTGGGCCGAAGCCCCGGCAAGACGAATTCAAAAGAGGGCCGGCAGGATGGCGTAAAGCACAAGCCTACGAAGACTTTGGCGAGAGTTTGTTCGACAATCATAACCCAAGCGTCTCCTTTCCTTTGCTTGAGAGAACAGACGATCAATTCGCGATCGAGTCTCTTTCGGAACAATCCTGGCAGCCTGTCGTGGAATTGATCAGGCAGCTTCCAGCGTTGACCGATCTATTTTGGAACTGCGTGCAGCGAGTGCCGGAACTTATCATCGATGCTCTCCACGAGCGTCTTCCCTCTTGTAACTTTTGGCTTAATTCTTTTCGCTGGACGAACCGTGATAAGCCCTTTCCGTACGCCTCAGACCGGAAACTGTTCACTTCGCCAAATCTGTATGCGTTTCGTCTTGAATACGCTATATTGCATGCTCCACACAGCCTGCCAAATACGGAATCGCGACATGCCAACGAGATAGCGACTTTGCATCGCTTCGTCTCTGGCGCTGCGCCGAATTTGAGGAAGGTCATAGTGTCGCGACGCATCGAATCGTGCGGGTCCGCGGGCAGGAAAACGGCGCCGGGAGAAGGGTCTGTATCGACAAATGCGCTGCGGTCTTGTGCCAAAGGCTCTTTGCACAGTCTCTGCCTCGACAAGGAAAGGTATACGTACATCTCTACGTCGACACTAGCAATGTGGACAGAGCTCACAGACTTTTCCGTTCTGCGATCATTGGAATTACCAGGCCGCGGAGACGCAAGCTTCTATCAGCAACTGTGTGAAATACCTTTCCGAGACCTACGCTCCATTTCTTTGAGCATTCCAGAGCCAAAATATGCTTCAACTGAGACGTTCAAGGAATTGCAACGCTTCCTTGTGACAATTCCTCCGTTGCAATCGCTCCGACTTGACGATCATCTGCATCTCGTAGACATGGAACCTGTACTAAAGCATCACGGACCAACACTGAAATGTCTCTGGCTCATGCGAGCCGGGACCCACAACGAACAACCGCAATTTTGGGAATACCTCTGCACGAAACATCCAGGAGTCCTAGCAGCCGTTCAAAAGTATTGCACACGGTTGGGAAAACTTGCAATACCCATCCGCCGTTCAAAAGGCAACGCAGCAGAAGTCGAAAGTTACAAAATCCTAGGCACTCTTCCAAAGCTCCGAGTGCTGGACTTAACCCTAGATTGTTCCGATTATTCCGTGTTCGGCTGGCCATCCGGCGATCAGAATAATGCAAACGACAGCACATGGCCTGAACTGCGAGGCGCAAGGACCCGAAAGTCGAACGCGTTCAATCAGTCGCCGTTCCCAGGTTGCTCCACCCTCCATGGTCCAAAGTTGCATCCAGACTTCTCTCCTCAAGGAACTCAAGTCCTGAACCAGCACATACTCGACGCATTCATCAACTGCGCAATCGATGAACGCCTCGCGCGGGAAATCTTCACTTGCATTTCACGACAGAAATCCCACAACGATGTGCCACTCCAACATCTGACCCTTCAAATCTGGAAACCCGTAGCCGTCAAGATGTACTCCACGCCTCCCGCAGTGTCGTCAGTCGCAAACCTGCTTAGTAACAATTGGTCCGTAAGCCGAAGCATAAGAGACGATCGGCCACAAGAAATATTCGCCGAAAAGATGATGGACAAGAAGAAAAGGAAGACGACTAATCGCCAAGATTCTGACATCGGATCCAAAGCGAGCTCTTCGTGGGGCAAGCCTGTCGAGGAAATCCTGCAGCGCCTTTGGCCCAAACTAAAAGGCGCAAGAGGTCTTGATCATCTAAGCAGATGTCCTAGTTTCCCGCTTCAATCAGCTGAATCAGCTCCACGCTGATGGGTAAACCGGCTTTCTCAAAGATGGAGGTACAACCTTGATCAATGCTTTTATTTTTATGGAGTCAAAGTATTGTCATGGATCCATCAACTGTGTGAGCGAAGGACCTCGCGCCCGGAATGTCTTGCGTTGCACTTTCAACTAGGACCAGTCAACCAAGGTTCACTCCAGCATCTGGCATTCGACATCAGGGAAAGCGAAGTTGTCCAATCATCGCTGACACACCTCCAGACGTGAAGTCAGTCGGGAAGCTTATTAGTAACACTGGGTTCATAAGAGGGAGCAAAAGGGACTTGACAACCTGACGGAAGACACCCGCGCCAACAACGTACTGTACTGTACGCCCATTGCCAAGATGCGTCGTATCGAAAGCGACAGTATGTACTGTGAAACAAACCACTCGGATCTCTTCTCCGACGGATCTGATCCGAACTAAAACGCGCAAAGGACAAATTGGGCAAGCTAGATAGTTCTCCGCTTCACGCTGTTAGCTCTCCGCCTTATTAAGCTGTTGGGTAAATCGGCTTCATAGACGCAACCCTCCATCAATCGTGCTGGATTTAGCTTAAGTTTTAGTTTTAGTTTTAGTGAAGACAATCTTGCCTGAGGCATTAACGCAGCAGTCGCAATCGCTCGCATTAGTCGTGTACCTCGCTTCAGTCGTAGCTTCTGATTGTCGATACGACATGTGCAAATGATGGTACGAAAGACGCACACCAAGTCCCGACGAGGCTGTTTGGTGTGCAAGCGACGACACGTTAAATGTGACGAGACGAAGCCGCGGTGTGCGCCGTGTAAGTAAGCTTTCACGAAGCATTTCGTTCCCGAATGTGTCGATTATTATCGTCTTCATGTTCTTCTCTAACTAACAATGAATTCTAGGCACCCGTTTAGACCTCGATTGCACATGGCCAAACCCGCGCGGAATAGGAACAGGAACAGAAGGAAGCAACAATGCCTCCCCAACACCCTCACCAGGCTGGTCATCAAACATACCCAACACACCCGATACCATTCAAGGCAACAGCGATCCACCAGACCTCGCAATACCAGACCTCAAACTCCTCCACTTCTGGACCCTCAACACCTCCCTAACCTGCACCTCCCCCTCAACCCTCCACACCTACCAATCCACCCTCGTAGACCTAGGCTTCCAATTCCCCTACCTCCTCCGGGGCCTCCTCGCCCTCTCCGCCCTGCACCGCGCAATAATCTACCCCTCCGAACGCAGTCACAATCTCCTCAAATCCTCCGAACACTACGACGCCGCAATTTCAGCTTATTTGCATGTAATCCAAAACCCCGATCCAGCAACTTGCGCTCCGATTTTTGCTTTAAGTGGGATTTTACATATGCATCAGTTGGGTATGGCGCAGATTCAGAAACCTGAGGATCCGATTCAGGCGATTTGTGGTTGGATTCAGGTCGTGAGGGGGGTGAGAGCTATGATTCGACCGCATTGGCAACGGCTTATAAGTTCGGAAGTTGCGCCTATTATTGCTCGAGCGCAAGGGAGAGGGAAAGTTGATCGATCAATCCGGACGGAGGTCATGCAGTTGATGGATATGATTGATGAGGCGAAAATTGAGGATCCCGAGGTTGAGCAGAGTTATCGAAAGGCGGTGCAGGAGTTGAATACGGTTTTTTTGGAGGTGGAGGATTTTGGGGAGAGGAATCCGCAGGATGCGGTGGGGTTGTTGATGAATTGGTTGGCGTCGGGGGTGGATGAGAGGTTTGTGGAGTTGTTGAATGGGAGGGAGCAGTGTACGTTGGTGTTGATGGCGTATTTTGCGGTGCTGTTTCATGTTAAGGAGACTTCGTGGTTTATGAGGGGGTGGCCGAAGTGGACTTTGGAGTGTGTGGAGAGTCAATTGGACCAGGATCTTTGGAAGTGGATTGAGTGGCCGCGGAAGATGATTCGTGGTGGCTCGGGTGCGATGGATGCTGTGACATGATCCTAAGCGCCGGTCGTGAGGATAGATGTACAGCATTCCAGAGAGCGCCAGTGGGTGAATGGGAGTCCCGCGGGAGGGAATGAGCAGTGGACATGGCTGGCTTAATATTCCCATTCATGTAAATATGTATCATGCTTCGTGTAGGTCTGATCGAGGGCAGTCATTCCCTCGAAGCGCGTCGTTCCTGTCCTGTCGTAACGACAAAGTCGCAATCAAAACCTGTGGTATCATCTCCGCCGCTCTTGAAACGCCTTCAACGCCGTATCCCATAGTTCGTGTCCACCCATGCGTCTTCCTCTCCGCTCAACGAGCCCTCACACTCCCCTTCTTAACCGCAAACGGACTCTCCTCCGCCGTCCTCGCCGGATCAAAGCTAAACAGCGTCGAAAAGTACAATCCCAAAAACCTCACAATCATCGCAGGAAACCCCCTTCCTTGCGCGAAAGCTCCCGGCGCGCTGAAAGCCTGTCCAATATTCGGTAGACTGGCGGTCAAATTCGCTCCGACTGACGAAGCTGAAGCGGAAGAGGAAGCGCTCCCTGCACCACCAAGCGTCTGGCCTTTTCCAGAGAAGAGTTGTGAAGCTTTCGCGGCGCCTTTGGCGGCATCAGCGGCAGCGGAGAGGATAGCGGAGCGGAGGGCGGTGGGGTTTGCGCCGCGGACGGTTTCGACAACTTTACTGCCTTTGAGGACTAGGAAGGTTGGCATGCTGTTTGTTCTCCATGTCAGCTAGATGTTCTTCTCTTGCTACTTGATGTGTTTCCTCCTCGAGATGCGCTACACGTACGCTGATATCCCATAGATCGACGCGACATCGCGCTGATTGTCGACATTGACTTTGGCGAAGACGATTCGGCCGGGTTTCGATTCGGCGGCGGCGAGCTGTTCGAAGACGGGAGAGATGACTTTGCAGGGACCGCACCAGTCGCTATAGGTAGAATAAGAGGTCAGCGAGGAGCTCTGATCCCGCGTGGAACCGCGAGCGCATAGTTGCCCGCGAGGCGCATGAATATCGACTTACGCGTAGAAGTCAACCACGGTATAGGTCGAGGACGCGGTGGTCTGCTTGAAGTGACCTGTTGAGGTGATGCTGATGACCTTGGAAGACATTATTGCGGCGAAGCAAGTGCTTCAGTCTGAATGTTGTCAAGAAGTGCAGTCGAGAGGAGGATGAGTGATCATCGCGGAGGAAGACGAGAGGTGGTCTGGACGGATGTGGGGCTTGCACGTGCGGTTCCGCAGAAGGCGTGTGCTTTCCATTCACGTACGAATGCCGAGACGGAACTTAAGGAGAAAGATCATATACACAGTCGTTCCATTTCATGCGCACGCTAATCTAGAATATCTTATAATCTCATAATACATCACACATGTGTTGAAGTGGCGAATTCTCCACGTGTTGAACTTTTCTCTTCTACAACGAGCCCTCGACCCATTGCTTGAGTGTCATGACCGTCGTGAAGGTAAATGCAAACAAGCCAAGTGTGATCAGAGAGATGTCAAAGATCTTCTCCGATCTCTTCTCCGCCATTCCCCGCAAATGCAGAAGTGGTGGGTAGATGTACACCAGTGGTACACACGCAAAAGCGCCAATCAGCGAAACGAATTTGTCCAGATCTCCCGCGCCGAAGATAGCGACGAGGCCACAGAACAGCATCATGGAGGTGCGGAGGAGGTTCTTCCACCATTTGACACCCTTGGACTTCTTTCCGGAAGCCTTGTCGCCGAAGAGCCACTGTTCGATGATACGGACGGCCGGGAAGAGCTGCACAGGTTCGCCGACCAGCACGGCCATGGAGTAGATGAATTGTACAGTGTTGACCAGTTTGCTGTCCTGAGGGTAGTTTGAGATGATTTGAATCTTAGTCTCCTCACCAAACGTGGCATAACACAAAGCGCCGACCGATGTGAAGATGCAGGTGATGATGAACATGACCAGGTACAGCAGGTAGGGGAATTTCTCTGGGTTCTTCATCGACGACTGAATGGGCAAGATGAGTCCTATTCCTTCAAATGTGAAAATTGCCGAACCAATCGTGAGAGTGAATGCCGAGGGGTTGAAGAGCTTCACGGTAGGAGCCATGCCATACGTGGCCAGCTCTTTGATGTCGTATGCCCAAATGTAGACCAGTCCGACAAGGATGAACACATCTGCAAGCAGTGCAGCAGGTCCGAGTTTTGCAATGTTCCGGATCAGAGCCATCGGGATCAAGATGACGAACTGGATGGCGATGAGTGCAGACGTGTCGAAAGGTTGAGGCTTGTCGACAGGTACGATCGCGTGCAAGAACGACAGCAGATTTTCAGCAGTGAAGATCAAACCTGCGCAGACGAAGCCCAATTGTGACAGCGTGATCGAGGCCAGGATGAGACTCCGAAACTTGCGGCCAAAAATGGCATCTCCAAGCTCACCATAACCTCCACCGCCATACCTTTCTCTGCATTGGAGCAGAAGCCGGAAACACAGAGTCGTAATGATAGACACCATAATGAGCGTGATGGATGAGAACAGAATGCCACCGTTTCTGAAAGCCTTGGGTAGGAACATGATTCCAGTCCCCACGAATGCCTTGAGTAGTGTGAAGAACGCCTTGGTAGTGCCCGCTTCTCCCTCGCGCTTGGCCCGCTTCGAACTCTTCCGCCTTCCAAGAAGCGGACGCCTTTCTCGAGCTTGATCGTCATCGTCTTCATCCTCAATTGCTGATTCGGTGTCCAGTGTATCGAGATCGGAGTCTGTGTCTTCCAGGTCCTCGCCAGCAAAACTGCCATAAAGCTCCAAGAATGACACGAAGTTCCTCGTGACCGGGGTAGCAACGGTACTGAGTCGCCTCTGCACTCGATGCCTCTGCACATACTGCCTTCGCATTCCACCAGGCTGTAATTGATCGCTAACTGGGACCTCTGCGGCAGGAATGATTCGTGGGCTTTCCCTCGCAGCAAAGGTATTGGAGCGGCGAATAGTTCCCTCATTCTTCGCTCGAGCTTTGATCTTGAAAATGTCGCGATGCATGTCTCCGCCTTGCAATCTCAGACTCGACTCCGGTTCTGGAGATTTGGACAATACAGATCCCGAGTCATCGTTTCCAGGTGCATCGTAGACCACAGCCTCCGGCTCAGCACTGTACCCATCTGGTAGATGTCGGTCCACAATGGATGCCTCCCTTCGAGACTGCTCTGAGCCAGGTGTATCGACCCAGTCTGCCTGCTCGGCCATGGTGGCGGTCAGGTCTCAGGTTCCGCCGAGAATTCTCCCTCTAGCCAGTCCCAAGCTTGGAGATGTGCAGAACGCCAGCAATGCACAGAAGATGACTCCGAGGAGCCGTGCTACCAAGAGGAAAATGCAATGCTGGACCGTGGAGTGATTGGGAGGAAAGTTGGAAGGAAAGTTCACGATTATTGCTGAGGAAAGAGGTGCACGTGGTACCGAACGCATTGGCCTGCAGGGGCTTCTCGGCAGACTCGGCAAGGATCATCCTCAGAGCCTCCGCTCTCCATACGGTGATATCGAATTCTACAGATGTCTATGGAAAACTGCATGGCATACTATTCACTGCATCATCTGCACCTGCACCGCTGGTCATCTCAATTTCATTCCAAGCTTGAAATGGTTGATTTCTGCACCGCCCGGATGATGCTCGATGACGACTTGGAGGCGCGAGCTCGTGCCTGAAGCTGCACCGGCTGAGGGTGTGCTGCAAATCTAGTGCCACCACAACCAATGCACAACGATCGCAGCATGTGACAGGAAATGTACTTGTACATCTCTACTGCACTGCTAAGGCTTCAGGTAACCTACGCGGCTTATCAGAGGCGGTCTGTTTGACGCGTCAGACTAAGATGACAGGGCTATGCAACACCGGCGTCTGAAATCGTCCTCCGGTCTGGACCTGGATATATACGCTGCGAGAGACGTCCTCTAAGGCCACAATACGTCAGGCGAATAGGAAGATGGGATGGCATTCGACTTGTGTAGCTGATCGTACTTGCCCACTGCCGATAGTGTACAAGAAACAGCTCGATATGCCAGGTTCTGAAGTGAAAGCTTGAGAATGTCTTCGCAGATCAATTTCAGCAGTCGCGAGCTCTGCCCGATATTAACATACTCAGTTGGGACCAAATCTGTGGTTGTCGTGCCTTGGCTTATGCACAACAGCACGATGTTCTCATGCCTAGCTTCAAACACAAGTCTGAAGGGCCTTGGTCCTTTTTGGATATGTTGAGCTGGGACGAGGTGTTGACTCGAGCATGTGAAAACATTACCAGGACTCGATGCCTTTCACAGTCAAATACTTCATATGACATCGATACAGACGACTAATTCACTCACAGCAAAATCAGAGGAAGTATCAGATGAAGATGCTTTCATCGGGAAGCACAAAATGGGGCTCCACGCCGCCCTCATGTCCACACAACACTGCTGGTAACAACACGAAAGATCTCAGACGACGTACATTATCAAGACACTGATCACCACAAGTGTTCCACTACGCCCTCACTGGCTTTCAACAGTGCGGGTTTCAAATTTACCATGAAACTGTTGCTGTTCCTCCTGAACGTCGCCACAGGCTTCGTGGATGCTCAGATATGGAGCAACACTACTTCAATTTCTCTTTCGCCCCTCGCTCCTACATCTGCAAGCATTTCTCAGACCACGTCTGACTTGACCTCCTTCACTCGAACCCTAAGCCAGATATCGATCTCGACAATGCACAGTGTTGAGGAGGGTTTGCGATCTGGGAGTATCAATACACGTACTACGCAGCAACTGGAAACTACTTCAACTTCGCTCTTTGGAGCGACGAGCATTCTCGAGACCAGCTCCGCCAGTTCTGCTCTGGGACATTCACCCACAAAACAGTCTGCCGGAAGCTCTCTTCACACCCCTACAGCAAGCCACCCAGGGTCAACGAGCAGTCTTTTGCATACAGTCACTGATTCGACAGCAACTCCTACCGCAGGCTCCTCAGCACTTGTACCCATCGCAGGCACAAGCGGAGCAACGGAGCTATTGTCAAGTACGGCTTCGGATCCCGTGGTATCGAACTCTGCCCAAGCGAGTGTCTCGAGTATTGCTGGATCTGGTATAGCTTCGAGCTCCAGTGTCAATAATACTGGGTTGTCAACAAGCTGGAGTACGACTACGTCTCTCAGTAATTCTGCTTCCGCAACGTCCATTGCTCAAGGGAGTATGATGACAATAAGCATATCCTCGAGCACGCAGGCAGAGGGCTTTACTGTGCCACATCTTCCTGGAGCGGCTTCAGGTACTAGCGCCACTCCTGTCTTCACTATTCCAGGCTTGACACAAAGCATTGGACTGCCATCTATCTCGGTCCAGATAACTACCACGGTGCCCCCCTTCATACCGATATTGCCACCGTTTCCATCTCCAACACAGTCATCCGCTCCCGATTCAACTGAGATGCAAGCTCAGAAAGAAGCTGTCGTGGAAGTCCTCCAAGGCACGATGCCACAATTCGAAGAATGGATCAACGGGGTCGAAATCGATACAAAGCCCATCATCGAGGGATTCAGATCTATCGAACATATGGCTGGGAATCTCTTGAAGGACATCACTGGCGGTACTAAAGATGGGGGCTGCACACATTCACTCTTTGGTGTGTTGCACTGCGCCATTGACACTGCTTCGAAGGCTGTGACTAGCGTCTCGAAAGGTATTAAGACAGGGCTCAAAGGAACACTGGACACTCTAATTGAAGTCACGAACGCCATTCCCAAACTGAAGATCGAGGAGGCCAAGGGGAACAACGATGATCAGTCAACGAAATCGGCGGCTAGCTCCAAGTCGCAGGACTCAACTTCCGCCACATCAAAGAGCTCGACTACAGGCTCTACGTCTAAGACTACTTCGACAAAATCGACATCAACAACCTCATCCAGCACTGAATGCACGCGCTCTGCTACCGTGACGAACGAACATGTCACCTGCTCAACAACAGTCATTGCAAGTACATCTACAACCACGCTTTGCAAGACGTCTCAAAGCATTGCTAGTGGATGTAGCGTCACTGAGTTCAGGACCACCACAACGTTGCCCTTATGCTCGCAGACGAGCACTGCCACCAATGCTCACGTTACGTGCTCCCCTATCGTGACAAGTGTCGCTGGATCGGCTAGGGGCACCACATGGCCTTGCACAACAACAAGCACGGTGCTCAGTGGCTGTAGCATTACAGGAACGACAACTACCACCTCCATGACCGCGTCCACAATGCCCATCATTTGCGCTCAAACCGGCTGCGATATATGCACGCGCAGCATTGCCACGAGCTCGCCCAAATTCGTCCCTCGCGATTCCAATCTGGTACGACGAGCTATGGAAACACCTGGAGACTACGAGAACTATGATGAGTTTATCCTTGCTCAATTCAGAGGTTTGGGGAAAGACCTCTCCTATGTGCTTCCACACAGAGTATATGCGGGTGACCCAGAACCAGGCAAACCACATTTTGCAGGAGCCACGACCTCACAGGCCTTTCCATTCAGGTCCACGGCCTTCAGTACTGCTGTAGAGGGGCTTTTCGGCTGTACCTCACTAATTGTTGTGTCGACCGGGGGTGTCTTCATCTCCCACATATTCGAAGATCCAACATTCTTGGACGGAACTAAAGCAACGCCTCAATTTCCCAATGGCTTGTTAGCCGATGATGCAGTGTGGGCACGGGATGTCAGACAAGCGGTAAGTAGCTCACAACACATGTCACATGATCGGATGTCATGCTAACATCAGTCAACAGATCTTCCGCGGAGATACCACTGATTGGGTAGTACAGCACGGTCTGGCGAGGCTTACAATGAATGAAAATATATTCGACAAGGAGACATACAAGATCTTTCCACCTCACATCATCACTCCTATGCCCGTGGATATGCCTATTCCTGGTCGGAAGCCCGGTGACAAATGGCGATACCAAGGCAGAATCGACCAGCTCAAGGAATTGATCCGCGTGACAATGAACCAGGAAGCGGTCATAGTACCTTATGATCCTCTTTTTGGCCCTGAAGAGTCCAGAGAACATATGGATAAGACAGCGCGTGGCAAAGTTCTGGTCCAATACGATCCAAAAGCAAAAGTCGAAGAGCGCGAGGAGAAAGACCCAAAGACTGGAGCGAAGCGTATTTGCTCTTACCAGATGGCCGGGCTCAAGATCTGGGTCGACACCCTTCAGCTGGTCTACGAAGAATACTGGGATCCTCATGACAGCCAGAAAGGAAGTCGAGTGCCAGTGCAGACTTTGATATTTCACGACGATGGTCCAGCTACCTCTGTGCCCTCCGCAACTGCGCTCTCCTGTCGTGTCGTCTCAAGTGCCTCGTCTAGTACGACCACATCCTCATCGCATTCCTCAAGGACCGGCGTTCCCAGCACCAAGTCGACAAAAGCAAGCACCAAAACCAAACCATCAACAAGTCAGAAATCAACACTGGACAAGACAACACGAGCCACCACAACGAAACACACCCCAACCAACACCAATCCCACCACAACATCTCCCAACCCCAAACACCTAACACCATCCTGCCACATCACCATAATTCAACAAGTAACCTGGTCAATGCTCTCCACAACCACAATACTTCCGGGTGGTGTCGCCTGTACTTGCAACAACGGACAAATCGTCGGATTGCGCACTGTCGCCAATGCCGATGGGATTTCGGAATATCGGTGTGAGGGAATCGGCGGACCTAAGACTGCTGTCAGTAGCAGCAGCAAATTTCCTGCTCCGACAAGTGCGAAGCCGACCCAGGAAATTCAGTCTCCAACACAGCAGCGACCTCCTTCCGCACCAGCTCCCAGTCCATCGGGCTGTCCAGTCAATGCTATGGGTGCGCCGGTTTGTGGATGAAGGTAAGTGAGTTGTGATAGTGACTGAAACTATCAGGGATAAGTATGGTGTTCACCTTGTTTTCTCTTTCTTTCTGTTCTCTGTATCTGTTAGTGCATCAGCCGCTCGTTCTCCATTTTGGCCATACGAGCACGAATGTATTACATATTTCAATCTATTACAACGACGAAGTCTTTTAGCAAGTGCAATATCATGTATCACACAATTATTTACGATCAATGACGCTGAGCAGAACCAGGTGTCCCAGACCATGTTTCCAATTTTCTGGATTTATCTCAAGGAGGCATTGTAGCTAGATGTATCTCGGATGCTGGCATTGAAGCAGTCCCTCTCACCGTGTCAGATACAACATGGGCGTGATTATCTCAGCGCAGCTCGCAGTCGTCCACAGCATCGGCTGTGCCGCAATGACGCAGTGCACATTCAAAAGTTGTATTCACCTCTCCCACATGCGTTTCCTTGGCGCGTTCTCATTGGCCCATTTCCCAATGCCCCCCTGCTTGCACAATGCCATTCACTAATGCCCCACCTGCGTCTCTGATACTTCGGCTGCCTCCGTTGCCTGACGACGACACCTCTTCGACCTAAGTCATCTCGCAATGAGGCGCTCGAGGAAAGGTAAGTCGCATTTGCGCCTGGCATCAAAGTCGACTCGCAGCTAACCGCGAGCAGCAGCAGCAGCAGCCCCAAACACCCACGTCCGCGACAAGATTCCGGACGTCTCTCGCTCGGCCATGGCCAACCACAACCCACGCACCGCCGCTGGCGACAAGCGCGCCGCCGACACGTCCGACTCGGCAGACACCATCACTGCTCCGCCAAAGAAACTGAAGTTCATTCCCGACGATGCTGTTGGCGAACCCCTCGAGAAGGACAAGAAGAGCTTGATGAAGTACAACACGTCCGGTTCTGTGGTCGGCAAGCCCACCGCCGTGCCGCTCGACTCTCCAGACATCAGCACTGCCCAGCCAATGAACGGAGAACTCGATCCCAACACTGCCGTTGGCACCCCTATCGAGCAGAAGAAGACTCGGAGCGCAGTCGATGACTTCCTCGCTCGCGTTGCTGCCCGCAAGTCCGCCGCCCGCTCGGACGATTCTGCAGAACTCAAGACCGCCCAGCCACGGCAACAGCAGCTCACTCCCAACCCTGCCCAAAACACTGCGATGAATGAGGAAGTGTAGCGTTTGAGCGAGAGCGGTAAGAAGAAGGAGAAGCGGAACTGGCGCAACAAAGTGAAAGAGGCGGAGCTGGAGGTACAGAGTCTTCTGAAGAGCAACGCAAAGAAGGCCGCTGAATTGGAAGCCAAACGCCAGCAGCAAGCCCTCCCTGCTCTTCCCCAGATGAGATACTCAAGGCACAATCGTCCTGCACCATGGGGCGGTCTCGAGCCCCTAGTGCCAGGAAAGACCGAGATCACCGCACAGATGGCCAAGATGGGGGGTAGTGCGAATGCCGACAGCGAAGCTTGGTCTGCGCTAACGGCTGCTGAAGAACCAGCGTATGGAGCATGGCAGGATGACAGTGCTTCATTGGAGGCTTTCGGTGGCTCCCTCGCTGAAGGTCCTCCCGATGCCAATGTGGCGACCGACGCTCAGGTTGCCAGCGACGCTGGTTCGAATGCGTCACCGCGTTCGGAAGGCTCCCCAGCTTCAGATGACAGCGCACCACCGAAAGCCTGCGGTGCTTCTTCCAACATCCAAGCTGAATCAGGCGCTGCCGTAGTCAAAGAAGCTGTGGTCGAGGGCACTGACGGACCGCGCGAAGAGCTCGATCTGCCGTCGCCGACCAGGTCCAGCAGGCGCGCTTCGTGATACGGTATTCGGGTCGAACCCATCAAGTGTCAGATTGAACGACCAGATTGTATGCAAGAAATGCAGAGACAACAGCGCAGAGAGTGCTGATCGACATGTGCCCGCTCAAAACGCGGTCAGCAAGCGTGGTGATCGAGAAGTTGACAGCATGAGAAGTCAGGGAAGCTTCATTATGCTTTGCGGACGCTGCGTTGTCACAGAACAGAAATGTCGGGACGGCCGGACAGTGATGCAGCATCGTGGTCCGGGACCATAGCATGTCTGTAGGTGCCCACCTCACGTAAATCGAAATTGAAAATTGTAATCCAGTTTTGTGGCGCGCGAGAAGCGTTCAACGAAGTCGTTCCATATCTTGCTGAGCAATAATTCTTGCTTCCTCGCATTTCTGCTGCCAAGCGCGAATTCGGGAATCCCGTGTTCGAGTTGGGGGACCTGTCATTTCGTAGCCACTGCGACCTTCGCCAAAGTGTACTGAGACGCAGTCAACGTGAGCTGTCGATGGCACCGGAACGTCTCCGAATTCCACCCCGGGATCATTTTCATGAAGCCAGAGTTCGACCTGAGCTTCCGCGACGTTGTCATAACTGCTTATGCTGATTGCAGGATCGTCCTCTGCGTGTTTAGCGAAGACACCATTGTCGGAATCTTCAGGCGCTACTGGGTCCAACCCGGCCAACATCGCTCTCTTTTGAACGTCGCGGTAATAATTGTCAATATCTACAGCATGTATCAGCATGTGCATCAAGACGATACAATTCGAAACTCACTTTGACATCTGGAGAAAAATGTGCTGGTGAGCGTTCTCATCTTGATGTCCGTCTCCTCGATCGTGAGGCCGCTCGCAAGATGTTCGGCCCTTTGCTGTTTCTGCGTATCCATGTTGATGTATGACCAGTAGCACTCCGTCCATTTTGTCAGTTCGGCTTGCGCAAACTCCCATTCTGCAATAAGTGCCTCTGTGATTTCAGGCCTTGACATGTCGGATCCGGCGTCCGGTTCGCGCGCAACCTCACTGGAAACTGGTTCGCCGCGACGGAGCTGCCGAACGATAGTCTCGTCCTGCAGTGCAGTTGGTGCATGCTGCTTGCATAGCTTGCGCAATTCTTCAGTAAGTTTCATTCGGCATGCTTGCAGTACCCGTCGTTTGATTGACAACGCAGATTTGCTTGAAGTTAAATTTGCTCCAACTTCTCCGTGTTCTCTCGATTCGTCGCCATCAACATCGCTAGAAACAGGAATCTGAACTCCTGATGTGCCATCACGCTGTGAAATATAGGTTTCCATTGCATTGTCGTAACGTCGTAATTGGTCAATCAGCGAGATGGGCAATCGAGGTGGGAGATCTCCTGGCCCATCAGGTTCTAAAGAGTCCACAAGATCATCGGCAGTCTTCTGAATGTTTTGTAGGTTTCCTTCGATCGTATCTTCTGTGAGGTCGAGGGCATTGCACAATCGTCCAAGCCGCTCCGAGTAGCGTTGCTGTTCATCCTGTTCCCGCGAACGTCTTCTCATTTCCATCAATGTGGCAATGCTGTACTGGATAGACTTCAAGTCACCTTCGGAGTTCTCAAAAGCATCGTATCCATAAATGAGCTGCTGGAGGCGATGTGTATAATCCTCAATTTCCCGGCACGGACGTCTCGTGCGTAGTCCACTGGGAGCCTTGCGTATCGGCTGCACACGGCCTCGGAACACTCTGTTTGTCGACGATTTCTTGCTGGTGGTACTTGTGGTCGGTCTGGGTCTGTTGAATGCATTCCAGGCGGTTCTGCCGGCATCGCACACACCTCTGAAGAAAGCCCACGCCATGAGTAGCTATCAATCGTATCTGTTGTCAATTGAAGAGACATCTTCTGAAGCGATGCTTGGGAAATGTATCGCATGTGAGCTTGGACCTCATGACAATGAAAACTGGACAATAAGCAAGCAAGACCGTCTTGCCATTGTCCGGATGCGGACAGGCGCGCGGTGGAGCCACACGCTCCAGTCGCACAGTGTGTCCATGGCAGGTGACCTACAACGGCGTATTGCTGCAAGATCACTGAGGGTAGTCAGAAGATAGTAGAGGTAGTGTCCAGAGATGAACTCTGAAGTCTGAAGGTGGGCGTTGTCACCAACGCCAAGACCACGCAGCTTCGGCAGGTGCAGCGGACAAAGTCGACTTCCCTTTCCCTCACATGAGGTGATCGCAAAGAGTGAGAGCATTCATAAATGCTGGGACAGAAAACGAGATAGTAGAGGTGATTCCCACTTCCCACTTCTCACTTGACCCTTCACCATAAGAACCCGATCGAAGAGCATATGCATATCGCTCTCTATCAACACGTCTCAGTAGCTAAACATTTCCAGAACAACAACAATGCAATGCCACCATATGTGCAAACGCCTGACCATGCACACCTCGCCCGTCCCATTGTCCCTGGTAGAGGCGACTTTCATTTCAAGCCTCAAAAAAAGCTGACATCAGTATTAACATTCCACTTCCGTGCCACGAATCGAAAAAGTCCCTCTCAGCGCATGTACGCTCAAACAATGCCCATGCATGCCCAGTCTTCGAACCGGCTCATCTCATGTCATGAAGAAGGCGCCGCCGGAGCATTCAGACCGACACCCGCCAAATGCCCATACTTGCTATACCACGCCTGTACATTGCGCAAAAAGTCCTGACCCTCCTCATATGCGCTCTTTTCTCCACTAGTCGTGCGTTCAAGTTGCTGTGGCGTCTCCCCGTCACCCGAAGGCGCTTGCACTGCGCCTCCCAACATTAGCAAGCTTATTTCAGTACTTTGCGAAACATCCTCACCACCACCGGCCATGTTCAAGGCTGCCAGGTGCATTTGTTCCGTTTCGGTCTTGTGCCCTTCCACGTAAGCACTCATATTGGCGAGTGTAGCTTGCATGTTCGGAATGGTGCGCTCCACCGGCTCGACATGCGCTTTCGCGCCGTTGCCGTTGGCCGCTGATTTCTTGCCTCGACCAAACTTCCCCTTGCCTGTTGTTGGGATGTTTTCAGGAGCACCTGGACTGTGCTTATTGCCATTGGCATCCCCATTTGCCAAGGTCTCGGAGGCCTCGTCGCCGCTTCCACTGCCTTGGTTCAGCTGCCTCTTTCGGCCATGCGGCGAGGATGCTGCCTGTTCGAATTTGGCTTTGGTATACTGATTATTGCCAAGCTTCTTCCCTGGCTTCTTGCCCGGACCTTTTTTGTAGGAAGCTTTCTCGGCTGGCGGAGGGGATGGAGGCTGGGACGAGGGCGCTGGAGGAGATGCCTTGGCACTTGAGGCAGCCTTCGATGCGGCGTCTTCCGCTTGCTCGAGGTCTATTATGAAGTAAGCATGAGCTCAGAAAGTATGGCTGGAGAGACATGAGCCTACCATCGCCCCGCCGACTGCGAGCACGTTCTTGTCTTCTGCCTGCAGCTTCGGCTCTGGCACGTTCCTTTTCCTGCTCCTTTTTCTCAAGTGCCGCCGTACGCGCGGAGAGCGAGCCATCTCCTTTCACCTTGCCCTTGCTCGTGGCGGTCTGGTCGTCGGAATCGTCTTCGATCTCGGCGGCGCGGACAGCTGAAGGCACAGACTCTGATGACCGTCGCTGGCGCTTGTTGTCTGACTTGCTTCTACTCCTTATCAGTCTGTTGTCTCTTGGACTTCTGCTCCGTGGCAGCACTCACTCCTCACTACTGTCGTCACGACCACGCTTGCCGTTTCTCCGCCCATTGCCACTCTTCCCCGCCTGTTCACGTTTGCTCTCTTCAATCGCAATACGGAGCTGCTCCTCCTCATCATCGTGCTCTTTGCTTCGCATCGTTGCACGTCGCTTGCCGGTAGCTGGGTCGACGCTCGCTCTGGAAGCGGCACTCTCGCGCTCTTTTCTGGCCTTGTCGTCATACTTGCTGACTGACCCTTTCCGCTGGGAAGCTTTAGGATGGAGCGGCACGTAGAGAGAATATTTCTGCCTGTGTTGCTCTACGTCAGCAGCTGCTCTGCGCACGCCCGAGTCGTGGTAGCGGGCCATGGCTGGCGCGAAAAGTGCCAATGTTTGGGCGACGGATGATCACTAGATTCTGAAATATCGACAGGCACGCAAATCACAAGCCGCAGGGCACGTTGGGGGCATTCTGGTGCGTGGTGCTCGCGAGGACACCTGGAGTGAAGTTGCGTGCGCGTCCATGCTGCTTGCCACGCGCGATTTGCCTTCACGACAGGCAAGTGCGGGTATGGTGTGATGTAATGGCGTGGCATTGTGAGGTAGAAAGAAAGAACAAACATACCCTCGTGAGTCTGTCCCAATCACATGCTGCTTTGGCCGGCACTGTTCGCAGAAGTACTTTTCGGGCGTCAGGTTCTCCGCCACGATACCCACGCATCCTCCATGCTGCCACACTGTGCAGCCGTCGCAGAGGATGAAGAGTTCGCCGGCGTCCTCAGCTTGCGCGTCTGGGATGCCCGCAAAAGCTTCGCTGAGTGGTGGGCCCGGGTATTCTTGCATACCACATATGCATCGTGTTATCTCTTCATCGTCCACAGCTTCCTCATCGGCATCATCGATAGCCTCGTCTGCCTTCCCAGCATCTTCCTCTTTGTGAGCAGCTTGCGATCGCTGGCTGCGACGCGGCGGCTCACTGATGTCTTCCGATGACAACGAACGCGGTGTAGCGGATTTCTGATTATGCCCTCCTCGCGCATTGCGGTCCTGTCGGTTCGATGAGAGGGATGAGGACGTCGTCGAAGCTGGTGCCGCGGGTGGTGCTCCTCGTGTGCTACGCCGCGCCGGCGGCGACGGCGGCATAGTGAAAATCCCACACGGGGACGGCGTGTGAGATCTGTCGCTACGATGAGCCTAGACAAGCGATGACCTCTGTCCTGCTACACCCGGTCGGAAGCTGTCGTCAGTAGCAGCGGGTTGCAATGTGCAAATTGATCGCGTCGGCAGAGAAGCTCGGTTTGTGGGCGTGCGAGAGGGTTTGGGCTCGCGAGAAAACGTGCTAACGATAGTTCCGTCTGCGCAGAGGCCAATGTACGGGGCGAGGAGGGTGGTCGGTATGGTGGGTAGCGGTGTCGTGAGGAGAGGATGTGGTGGTGGTGGCAGACTGGGCCAGTTGCTCGCATTGCAGATGCACGGCCGACGGAGCATCATCGTCCAACTGCCCGAATTTGGCGAAGCGGGGGCCCTGAATTTCGAGTTGGTGCCTTACGCTGCATTGAGCTCGTCAGGCATTTCATTTGCCGCGCAAATGTTCGGAACAACTGGATGCGACCTTGACAGCGTCAAGTCTTATTGAAAGACGTCACGCAGGTCGTCTGTTGGTCGCATGTTGTAGTGAGGCGGATGCATTGCGGTGCCGGGTGCGAATAGTCGGTCGAAAGTGCTGGCGCTGGAGAACAAAAGAGAGAGAAGAGCACGGCCAAACGAAAACTCGATGACGAAATACAGGTCAGCGAGCGTCTCTGCGAGAAAGCAGGGCAGCACAATCGTGGGTTGAGGTCCAGGTGAAAGGATGATTTCGCAGTGTCGAAGCGGTCGAGCGCGGAGAAATTGTCGCATTCGCCATCACTGTCGCCGTGTTCGAAGGTCCGCTGGCGCTGGTCAGAAAGCGGTAACCTGTTCTTCGCACACTCGCATGGCAAACTCCAGGGACATTTCGTCGCACAAGCACATGCCATGCCTGCACGGAGATCTGCCGCGAGATTGCTTGACATCAGAGTCAAGTCTCACGGCTGGAGATGAACCTCTCTTTCAAATTTTTCCGACACATTTCAGTACATATTCACGGACCCTCCAGCGATTCTGCGACATCCGGCGCATGGCCACGATGAAGCTGCTGCTTTACTCTGATCCTTGACCCCGACTGCTCGAGCAGAGCTGACACCCTGCATATCGGCAAGGGCAGCTGCAGACAGCTACCGTCAGTGGCCGAGGTGTGCTACTACGCTACCTGATCAGGTGATGAAGTCCATCACCCAGATGACTAACGGCTGCACGTAAGGATGATAGTGTGAGGCTGTCTCTTCGTTCAACGCCAGCGCAACACTGCATCGCACACTAGACCTGGGTGAATGCATCTGTCAGTGACGCGATCGAGCGTGAGGCGGTCGATGGATCAGATTGACAGGAGCTTGTCGCGGTGTGGCGCTTCCTTCAAGGCGCACAGCCTTGAACTTTTCGAAGCAGTCATCGAGCTGCGAATCGCACATGCATGAGCGCAAAGCTCGCAGTGATCAGGTCCGCTTGACTCCAGAGAAGGGCGTCAAGAGGAACGATCGAGATATTCGTTTAATGCAGGCAAAGAGAGTAGCTCGATTATTCCGTAGCATGAGCCCAATCGATCACAAAGCCAGCAGTGTTGATACACCTACTGCTGGCCAAGAAACTCTGACCCGTTGTATGGTCCAGGTCTAGATTGCCCGATGTGCTTGCAAACGTTAATGACCAGGTGGTTATTTGGTACTTGCAGACAGCTTTGATCAGCAGCGACAAGCCCTTGGCATCGCAGGTGACTGAGGATGCATCCTCGTCAGCTTCGCACAGCCATCTCGAGCTTGATGTGTGATTTGATAGGAACCGGACTGCGCACGCATGAGCCACAAAGCAAGACATGTTCGTGACGGAACACATTGCACCAAGCACAAGCTCTATCTCCAGTCTTGGCCCGCCTCGGCAATAGAGGACGTTACATGGCACGATGCGAAACTGTAAATCGCTGGGAGCGTTGTCGGCCATTTTTGGTCGACAAGCGCATGCATTGCACTCGCCGAGAGCGTTGAATGCAATTGACAATTGGTATTGAATGTGGAGCACCGAGACATCCGGCGGGAGGTTGTATAACTTTGCAGAGGACGAGTCTGCGGTCTTCATCATCCTTATCTGGGTCCAAGGTGGAGCAGCGGCAGTCAGCTTTTTCTGCAACTATCCTGCTGCCTACTTGTGCGTCTCAACAGCATGCGAGGAGGAGAAAATTCTCCACCGCCTCGAGGCATTTTGATGCTGCGTACACGACGACTGTGTCGCGTCGCCAGCTGCGCAGCAGTGTGCTTTGCAAGGAAGTAAAGTCATGCGCGCATGCCAAGAATTATCCGGGAGCCTACAGCTGCCGATCTGCCAACCACAGACTGAAAGGAGTGTCAGTCGAAAATGGACGCGCAGTCCAACTTTGGACCGGACATGGCCGGAGTCGGTCCCAAGCAGCCGACTTCGTACAGAGACATCTGAACGTTGGCCATACAGGTCAGGTTCATGGGACAACGCGCTCTGGGCGCGATTGTCTTGGTGTTCTCAGCCTTCCAGATTTGACTCCAATTTGGCAAACGGATAATTCATGGGGTCATCAATGTCGGCAAGGACGGACAGCTCGAGGGGTGTGTCTCTGTAAATGCGGCAGGTGAAGCGCACCTGCCATCTGGCGCACAGAACACCAGGTAATGGAGAGCAATTTGCGGGGCGAATATAGGGCGCTGTCGAGCTCAAAAGGCCAGGAGCCACAAAGTGTCGTCAGCAGCAGCCCCCAAACCTATGGTGTACGAAGTAAAGTAAGTATTCGAAGCCCCTTTGTTCCAGATCACCGACGAGTGTTAGGCTTTTTGGGGGTGGCCTGCAAGAGGTGGATGATGCGCTGGAATGTGCTGGTATCCTGTCGGATCTTGCCTTTTGAAGATTAGGAGGCAGGCGTGCAACGTCTCGTTGGCTATGCCCAGGCGTAGAACCAAGGACGCGGAGGCTTGGGAGGTAGCAAGACTTTTTGAGATCTGCCAGAAAGTTGACGCCGTTGGATGCTTGTGAAACGTCAAACGCGGCTGCTGCAGCTTTTGTCACAGCCGTATCAGATCGGCTTGCGTGCTCTGCGGGATGGGGCGGGCGCGCTGGGAGCACGCAGTGGCCGGTAGATCGGGGTAAGAAATCAGTGGTAATCAAGGCCCAAGGTCGGAGTGCCAAGAGAGCGTGCGGCCTCGGAGCCATAGAAGGGTGGTGGAGCGAGCGAGTGCCGTCTAGTTCCGCTAGTTGGGAATTGCGACCGAGATGCCAATGTTGGCAAGAAGCATTCACAGTTCTTTCCCAGTCGCCTTCTTCACGTCTTGTCATATTGTCAGCACAAGGAAGCACAGTATTACCTCCGACCAAGTCACATCATCTTGCACGATCACCACAGGTAGCCGAGCCTCCATCCCCGTCCGCACTGGCACACGGTGCATCCTCCAAGCATTGGCAGGCGCGGCGTCGTTGGCACCTGCTGGTCCTAATTCAATTTTTGGCCGATTCAACTGGGGAGCTGTGCTCTGCGCTGCGGCGCTATACCTCATCGTACAGGGCTGGTTGGGTCCGCCATAAGATCTATAGAGGGACTGGCCTGCAGGTCCTGGGTCTGCGATAGCAGTGAGTACACGCCGTTCCCATTCATTCACCATCCCACTTCACGCGCCCCCTCCACGCATGCTGCTGTCCCATATTCACCATGACGACCACCAAATTCGGCTTCCGGCAATGGGGAAGTCACGGTGACCTTCGCTGCGAGTACTGGATTTCCGACATCGATCTGGCCGGCGGGAAGGAGACGCCACCCACGCATCCTGGAGGCGAGCTCAAGTTCACCACGGGCAGTCTGGCCGCTATCCACAACTATCGGCCGAATAGGCCGAGCAGCAGCAGAGTGCAGCGCAAGCAGCGCTACGACGACATCTACGCGACCACGCCGCGCAGCCAGAGCCACAGCCATGGTTACTATTCCAGCAACAATAATCAGACTCGGCATTTGAACGTGGGCTCCGACAGCGATACTGATCCTGATTTGATTTGCAGAGTCCGAACAGCCGGCGCCTCGCAACAAGGCTGGAGGGCTATCTTTTCCACTAAGCGTCCCCGCGCTCAGCCTTCAATCTCTTCAGTACGGTCCACCAGTTCTCCCTCCGACATTTCCACCTCCAGCATGTCGACCGACGTGAAAACGCGTCTGCCGCTGCCGCACGCAATGCCGCCCACGCCGCCGACGTCTGACACGTCCAGCAAACGCCGGTCTGGCTTCCTGGGTAGACTCAAAGCCCATCACCGACGGGAAAGTAGCGACGTCACACCATCATCACGACCTGAACCGGCGCGTCGCGCCACACCGTCGTCGCCCGCGACATCAACATCACAAACCAGACCCGAGACGCCGCGACCGCCCACTGCAAATGGCACCGTCACTTCCAACGACGATGCGCCGCCGCAAATTGTGATCCGGTCGCCCACTCAACGCGACGAGTTCGAAGGAGTGCACTACCCGGACGGCCTCGAACCAAGCCCGACCCCGCGCAGTCCCAGCGCGAGGAGCAATCGAGGCATCAAATGGGCGGAAAATTATGACGATGCACCACCGCGCCCGCGGCGGACGAGTTCGGCAGCAACGCATGGCCGCCGGTCTTCCATCTACTCCAAGGATGTCGATGGCAATTTCGACAACATGCTGGGCGTGGACGCGGGTGTTGGTTCCAAGGCTCGGCGATTGTCGGTCGCACTTCCCGACGACCTGCAGGTCGATGAGTGCTCACTGGAGGAGCACTTCAGTGTTCTGCAGCGCATGAAGCACAAGGAAATTGGCGCAGGTGGTGCTGCTGTCGTTAAACTAATGCAAAGCAAGACCGCTGGCGAAGCCAAAGACAGAGTGTTCGCTGTCAAGGAATTCCGATTACGAGAGCCGCAAGAAGAGACCGAGTTCGAATATGAGCGCAAGATCAAATCTGAGTTTGCCATCTCGAAAGCCTGCGATCACGAAAACATCGTCAAGACATTCCGACTATGTCACAGTGGCGACCAATGGTATCATGTCATGGAGTATTGCGAGTTGGGCGATCTCAATGACCTTATCAAATCTGGGATTTTCGCGGGGCAGGAGGATCGGAATTGCATGTTCAAGCAACTCGTTCGTGGTGTCGACTACCTACACAGTCGTGGAATTGCGCACCGAGACTTAAAATCCGAGAACCTGCTTGTGAACAAGCAAGGATGCCTCAAAATTGCCGATTTCGGTACTGGTGAAGTGTTCTGCGGCCAACATCCTGGAGTACGAAACTGCCGACGGCAAAGCATCGTCGACCCCAACGAGCCCATACGATATTGTCCGCCAGGCTGGGTGGGTAGCGTGCCGTACATGGCGCCAGAGATCTACCAACGACTGGGCAAATACGACCCGCGTGCCGTAGATGTATGGGCTGTCGCCATCGTGTACGTTACGCTTTGCTTCCAAGGCAACTGTTGGGATTTCGCGGGAATGGACTGCAAAAACTTCCGAATTTTCATGCAACACTGGGACGCATGGTTCGAGGATTATCCAGATCACATCATCAAAGACGGACGCAGAGTGCCGCAATTTGGCTACATTGGCAGGTTTATGCGACTGGATGACAACGAAACGAGGACGATGTTGATGGGCATGCTACATCCGGAACCTTCCAAGCGCTGGAAGATTTCAGACGTGCTGAACTCCAAGCCTGTCGAGAATGCCGCTTGTTGTCAACAGTCTGGCTACTCAGACGACATTCGAAAACGACAGAAGAAGTCGCTACACAACCACATTCCCGCGGATAAACGCAAGAAGCTGAAAGTGTAGCATGGTGACCGCCTGCATTGACTCCGACATCTTTTCCAACGACGCGTCCCACGAAAGTGAGCGATACCGGAGAGGAGGCGACATTGTTTGCGTTGTACAGGTCCAGCAGCCAATAGAGAGACAACGCAAGCATGCATAAGGCGAAAAGAAACAAACTTTACGCACTGAAACACATTTCAGACTTGGCATACGGAACGCTGCATGAACCACGTATACACCCGTACATACAACAGCAAGGCGCGCATGCGGTCCGTCTATCCCATCCCCTTCCTGCCGTGCCACCCAAGCGGCGTGCGCCATCCATCCCACACAACCACGAATCCATCCCACACCCTGGATTTTGGACGATCACTTTTTTTTTTCGTTCTCTCACCGAGAATGATCACCAAGTCTCCCACACGACATCCGGCATCACTGTGCGCATGATCCGCCAGTGACGCTTGGCACTTTCGATTTGTTCGCTTTCCCACGAGGACTCGTCACCCGGACGCAGGAGCTTCTGCTGCCGTGACAAGCGGTCAGAAGCCGATTTTCCATTTTTGTATTCTGCATCATCATCTTGCTTTTCAGCAGCAGCATTTGCATCATTGGCATGGGGAGGAGTGGCGGTAACGGCAACGGTAGCGGGAGAAGGATCATCATCATCTTTGGGCGAGGACGAGGCTGTCTCTTCTAGTGCTTCTGCCTCTTCTTCATGCTTGGGAAAGGCTATCTCCCAGTCGGGTTTAGGCAGCATGTAATGTCTTCGACTTAGACTTCCTAAGTAATCGGTCGTGGTGGGTGGCCGGAAGGAAATTTGCCCAGGGCTGTTGCGGCAGAAGACGACCATGTTGAGGAAATCTGAAGATGGTGATTGTTCTTCTTGATGATTTTCTGACTTTTTTTCATCGTTTTCGTTGTATCGTTCTGGTGGTCCATCGCGGAAAATTTTGCATTGTCCATCGAAAGCGTGGGAAATCGTTCGCAGGACTAGTCGTGTAAGTGGAAGTGATAGATCTCCCGCGTAGTTGAGCGCGATGGCGCCATTTGGCGTCAGCAGGCTTCGAAGATTCTGCAAGAACTGCGTCGTAAACAGCGACAGAGGTTCCGCTCCTCCAGTGAACACGTCGTGGATGATGTAGTCGTACAGCACCACAGGTTTCCGATTCGATTCAATCATCGCACCATCTTTCAAATTATCATCAATCGTCGAAAGTGCTTCCGCCGCAGCAGCTTGCTTCTTCACCCACTTCACAGCATCTTGTAGCACAGCAGTATGATTCCTCGGTAGATCGAAATATTGTACTGCGAATTTATGCACCACAGGATCAAGTTCGACGATTGTGGTTTCGATTCCATGAGATAGCAAGGCTTTGGGCGCAGTTCCTATTCCCAGTCCGATAACGAGTGCACGGGCTGAAGTATCTGGTACTGGGGCAGCATCGAGTTGGAGTATGCGGACAGATTCGAGCATGGAGAATACGGCGTAGATGGGTTCGTTTGTGAGCCAGTTGTCTTGTTTGCGAGCTGGTGTGAGGAGCCATTCGCCGCCTAGGAGGGAGTGGTCGGCGCGGAGGACGCGGTATTCCATTTCGGTGCTTTCGAGGACGGAGATGTAGCCTGTGTTGGACCATTGTCGATCGAGGAGAGTCCAGTTGTGATTGATTAGGGAGGTGTTTGCTTTGTGGATGTTGAAGTGCTGGTTGAAGTATACAGAATGTAGGATTGCGGGAAGGCCGAGTAGGGCGTACCTATCTCAAGTCAGCATCTTCACAAGAATGGATATATCAAGTGTCCGCAAGATCAAGGTGAAGAAGAGGGTCAACAGTCCATATCCGCATGCTTACCATGATGGGGCAAGAACCGCATAAGCTGCACCAAGCGCAAGTTGAAAATGAATAGGATTGACCTCAAACTTCTCTTGCAGCAGCTCTGGAGTCCATTGTACAATACCAGTATATTTCTCTTCCAACACAGAGTATACAGGGAAAGCCAACAGTAGCCCAATAATCATATACGCTGCTGTGACTCCAACGCGAGAAGCTAACCAAGCAGTCTGCTTGTACCGCGCCACAAAATCCGCCAGCACAAAGCCGGTCGGCAACAAGAGCATATGACAGCTCAGAAAGCCATTGATTATTGGTCCTGCAACTGGTCCAAGACTTCCGGAGTATGGTAAGAGTAAGGTCTGTAGCACAGGAACTGTGAAGGCCCAAGCGGACACCCATTCAAGTGGGCGGAAGCTTTTGAGTTGTCCTGTGAAGGTCCGCACTGTGAAACCGAACAAAAGCGATATTGAGCACATGGTTGCATGATTGACTGCTGATGGTATTGAGCCGTATACTGGCGCCATGGTCATCTGGGATATCGGTGATGCCGCTGCTGCCAAGGAGAGCAGCGCCACCGGGTACATGTACTCCCATTCCTGGACTGGTGGTGCATCGTGTGCTCCGGTATGTCTTTGAGGTGGTCGTGCAGGAGCCTGGGCAGTATCTTCGGTCTTGGTCGTGTCGCCTGCTGAGGCTTCTCCAGGCTTTGGCTTCTTGTTCTTGGCCATGATCTCAGACTCATGCGGCTGGGAGATTGATCGGATGGATCCTGGTCATGCACAGTCGCACAACTCAAAGGGGCAAGTGCAAGATGTATAGTACAGGAACGGCAGCGTGCAAGGTGATGCTGAGTAGAAAGCTGAGAAGAGATAAGAGATGGGATGAGAGTGCGCAGTGCGAGAGCACACCTAGCCGCTTTTTACTTGAAACGCAGAGATATATCTACACCAGCCCGTTTGCTCAAATGAGAAGGATGTCAGTGTCTCTTGGGAGTATGTCTGCGAACACAGCGAGTATGCGCAATGGATCACGACGACAAAAGCGTGCAATATGTGCTCATGATGGTGCCGTTGGTGCTGGTCCCCTTCGATACCCGACTTTCTTTGGACGTGGTGGCCGCTGCTGTGGCAACCGCGGGTGTTGATCCCGACATTCCGGATACCGACCACGAAGGAATTCCTGCCACGCAGCGGTCAAGTTTTCTGCTAAAAGGCAGACAGCGCCTTTGGATACACCTTGCGAGGAGCCGACAGAGATATGCCTGGAGCGCAAAGGACGTATGGGAAACGCTCGCGGGCAGTCTACGCCGCACAACTGGCCTTCTCGCCTTCCAGCAGCCCGGACCCCTCGCCGAAAACGCAGGCGTTGACAATCGAGACGACCCCATCTTTCGCATTCACGAAGTCCGGAGTCGATACAGTCGCTACAGTACGAGATCAGATCAAATCGATAGACCCAGGCAAAGACCAGACAGAGAAGGCGACGCGGGAGTTGTCCCAAGCGTTGGCCAAACGCAGCCTTGTGCAGAATGAACCAGATACGAAACAGGCGAGGAGATCGCCTAGGAGGGCATTGGGAGAGATACAGGTCAACGCTGTTGTTGCACCACTGGAGGCGTTGAGCCTGGTGTCGGGGCATACACCTTCAAAAAGAACGAATCGGAGGAAGGACACTGGTCAAAGCAAGGGATCACAAAAGCAGAGAATCGATGCGCGAGGGCAGATATCTGGCAGAGGACAACACACGTTTTTCGACGACGAGGAGGAGAGCTCACCAAAGCGTAATGAGGGCAAAGAGTCGGAGGAAGAGGGCATCGCAGACCCGCCACAGCCCAGGAGATCACCTCGAAAAGCAAAACAAAAGCGAAAGCTCGTGCCATGCATACCGCAGCATGTTGATGCTTTTGAAGACCTGCCAGATGACGAGATTATCGTAGCGGCCCCCAAAATTCGAGAGTCGCCTCGAGATGTGCAGCTAGGATGTCCATATCAGCAACACTGTTCAGAATTGCTCGACCTTTCGACACATCCTCTGACCGAGTTCTCAGCGTGGTCCGAAGACATCTCAGAACACTTCTCCGTGACCAAGATCGCAGAGGCTTCCTTCGGAGAGGTCTATCGACTATCATTACTAGAAGACATCAGCGATTTCTGCAGTACCGATGAGTCCGTCTTCAAAGTCATCCCTCTCACACCTGCTCTAGATGCTCTCCCACTTGACAAGCGAAAACGAAATGCAGCATTGAAGAGAGCTGAAGGCATGACAAGTCCGCACGATGTCGCGACTGAGGTCAAACTCCTCCAGCGCATGAGCAGTATTCCAGGCTTCACCAACTTCCGGGACATCCGCATATTACAAGGCCGACCGCCACTAGCATTCGTCTCTGCCTTCAAAGCGTGGAACACTGCTCAGAAGTCCCGAAAGAAAGAACTCAGCCACTTTCCCGACCCAGCAAAGAAAACAAGCTACAATGGCGACCAATTGTGGGCTGTCATCGAAATGCAAGATGCAGGAACAGATCTTGAACGACTTCTCGAGACCAACAACTGCACTTCCATCTTTCCCATTTGGGATGTATTTTGGCACACGGTCCTGACCATCGCCAAAGGCGAAGAAAGCGCCGAATTCGAGCACCGCGATCTTCATCTTGGGAACATATGTGTTCGCTACCCATCCGCCAACGAAACCAACGAGAACACAATCGATCCCTCCCGGAAACTGAACTTCACATCCCTCGAAACGACCATAATCGACTACACACTCTCACGCTGCCTCATGAGCACCTCGAGCACAGCCCCATCCTCCCCCTCTCCAAATGTCTCAGCACCTGTCGATACCGACGTAGCCTACACCGACCTCTCCCTGCCCCACCACAAATCCCTCTTCGAAGGCGACAGCAGCGACGAATACCAATACGACATCTACCGCTACATGCGCGGAGCCCTCTACTTCGACCACCCTTTCCACCCCACAATCTCAGCCGAAGACCTCCACAATCTCACACCATCCCAACTCACCAACCTCACCAACGGCAGAACTTGGAAGCAATTCCACCCCCAAACAAATCTCTGCTGGTTACATTTGATACTTTATAAATTGTTGGAACAAATTGAATGGCCTTCAAGTTCTGCAAAGGGGAGAGCTGCGAAGAAAAATAGGAAGAAAAAGCCTGAGGAGTATGAGGTTTGGAAAAGAGGGGTGGAGTTGGAGGGGGTTTTGTTGGCTGTGCAGGATTTGTTGGATCCGAATCGGATTTGTGGGGAAGATGGGGTGAGGAGTACGAGGGATTTGGTTGCTGTTGCTGTTGCGGAGGGGTGGTTGGATGTGGAGGATTTGGTTGGTGAGGGGGAAGAAGGGGAAGAGGAAGAAGAATTGGTGGAAGAGATGGGAGAGTTGGGGATTTGATGATGGAGGGCTTGAACGACAGGATTTCTTGCTGCTTGATTGATTTGGTTTTTCTATGGCAGCGTTGTTCTCAGCGAGCGTGGCGCTTTGGCGTTTTCGGGTTCTTCTTGGAAGAAGGACCTTATGGTACAAGTCTCATGATGAGATGGGGCGAGGCTACACATCTGCTCGCCTAGTATGACATGGCAGAGAGTGAGTGTCTCTCTAGATATCCATATCAATGTCTCCTCCAGCAGTCTCTCCGCCTCCATTCGCCGCACCATTGCCATTGCTCTCTGCAGCATCGCCCTTGCTACCCCAGTAGTCGTTCATCTCAGCGTCCAGCTCTTCGGCAGTCTTTCTCGGTCTGCCACCAACAAGCGGGCGGCCCTCGTCGTCTGTGCGAGCCTTGCGTGCTGGTCTGCCACCTCTCTCTTCCCGTCGCTCGCCAGGACGTCTGCCGCCCCCACGACCACCTCGATCACCACCACGGCGTCTTGGAGGCGATCGCGAGCGAGGCGCGTAGGTGTCTCCAGCTTGTCGTCTCGGGCTGTCGCTCCGCGCGCGTCTTCTCCGTCCTCCATCTCTGCTGTCCTCTCTGCCACCTTCGATGCGCTCGAATATGCTGCGCGGTGCGCGCTCAACACGGTCTGCAAGTGCGCGTGGTGGTGGACCGGGTTCTGCCGGGCCGTTTGGCATAACAGTGAGGCGGATGGCCTGGCCATTAGCAGGACAGCCGTCGAATTTCTCGAAAGCATCACGTGCGTCGCGCTCGTCCTCGTAGATCACGTATGCTGTGCCGGTCGATCGATCGGAGCGGTCGTACAGAAGGCGAACAGAGGTTGTCGGGCCTACGCGCTCGAATAGTTCCTGTCATTGTTCAGTGACTGCTATGCGCTGGTGTGGGTGAGCGCGAATGCTTACGCGCAAATCGTCTTCGGTGAGCTCGTAGTGCACATTGTCCACTCTGATCTTGGTACCGCCGCCGCCGCGTCTGGTTCTTGTCAGTGGAGTGCTACAAGCCTGCCATAGTGCTACTCACGGCGCAGCGCCTCTGGGAGCGTAGCGGTCGTCGTCCTCAGCAGGACCCCGATAGCCTCGTCGGTCTGGTGATTGTCAGAAATGTCCTCTCATCGCTCACCCGCAACCCAGCTCACCATATCGATCCTCTTCGAAGCGGTCATGCACCCACTCGCTTTCTCTTGTGTCAGCTTCTGCTCTGCGTGATCTGTAGTCGGTGTTGTAGTACGAGTCCAAGTTTGTTGGTTCATCGCGACGGTACTATTGAGGCCGCATGCCCTGGTCAGCTCTGTCGGTGCAAATGAATGCAGTCTAGTCTTTCGTCGTCGATCGCGCTCGTTGGGTCGCCGAGTCCGAAGAAGGGGCTCCGTCGATGTACGATCGTCTGATGAGACTTTTCAGGAGGGAGGAGGAGGCGGCACCTAGATGATTATCATGTCAGTGATTGTTGCGCCAGATATATGCTTGCGAATGTCGCTGTACTGCCTCACCTTTCGTACTCCATCTCGGGGATACTCTTCCCTACGTGGCGGTCTCAATGATGGAGGCGGTGGGCGTCGATCGCCGTCGCCGCGTCCTCGTCCTCGTCCGCCTCTGCCACCGCCGCGCTGGAACTCTTGTCAGTGCTGACCGATTGTTGTTGCTGCTGCGGTGCGACGTCAAGGAACTTACGCCGCGCGCAGGGCGTTCGCCGATGATTTCGTCCAGACTGCGATCCATGTTCGATGTCGTCAAAGTCAATGGCGATGTCGAGGTGCAATGCGACAAGTTGTCGAGTGTGGTGAAGTAGTGTCGCTGGCTGCAGCCGGAAGACTTGCTTGCTTGCTTGCTCCAGCTCCGCCGAGCACGGACATTGTGTCGCTGCCCAAGTTCATCATTCACGAACAACAACCAGTATACCGTTACACAGCATCAGCTAATCCATCATGGACCAGCGGTATGAGCTTTGCAGAGCAGAGCCGTGCCTTTGGCCTGATGATCACTCACTCAATCCCCAGAAGACTGCCTTGGTCATCATAGATATGCAACGCGACTGTACGAGAGCACGAGACCATCATCGCGGCACGATCATCTGACGGGATCTCAAGTCTGCGAGGAAGGCGGTTATCTATCGCAACAAGGCTACGATATAGGCCCTCTGCGAGCCATCATTCCCAACATCCAAAGACTTTTGCAGCTCTGCCGCGAGAAAGGCTATCAGATCTATCATACCCGCGAAGGCCACCGACCCGACCTGTCAGATCTCTCCGAACGTGAGCGGCAACGCTCGCTGCGTGACCTCTCAGTTCCTGGTATTGGAGAACCAGGCCCCTTGGGACGTCTTCTAGTCCGCGGAGAACCTGGACACGATACCATTCCGGAGCTATATCCACGCGATGGCGAGCCTATCATTGACAAGCCTGGCAAAGGCGCCTTCGCCAACACTGACTTTGATCTACTGCTCCGGATCAGAGGCATTCAGAACTTGATCCTCTGCGGCGTGACAACTGATGTATGCGTTCATACCACGATGCGAGAAGCAAATGATCGGGGCTATGACTGTCTACTCGTCAGCGATGCCTGCGCTGCCAGTTCCAGAAACTTGCACGACTTGACGATCATGTCCACCAAAGCTGAGGGTGGCGTCTTTGGTGCAGTCTCGTATGTAGAAAACGTGATCGAGGGCATAGAGACTGGCTTGTACGAAGAGAATGCCGAAGGCTGACTTGATTGACATATTTTTGAGACTGACAAGTTTTGCAAAGTTTATTACATTATCTCAAGCACTATCAAGAGCTAAAGCAATTACATTCTAGGGCCTTACTAGGCTTGCGCGGTACAGCTCTATCCCATTCTATTGCTGACCTCCATTTCCAAGTAAAAAAAGAACACCCAAGAACGCCAATTGAAGACCCAATCCCTACCCTTCGCACCCGTTGTCGTAAAATAAATTATCATATGTCGAAAGGTCCTCACGCCTTGCGCTCGACCACGACTCCCTGCGCGTCGGCAGCCTCCTGCTCTCTCTCCTTCTCCAGCTGCGAGGCATACTTGGACTTGGCACGCAGATTGGCTCCCTTGAAGAAGAAGTAGTAGACTGGCAAGACGAGGAAACCACCAATGCAAGCCAGCATGAAAGTCGGCCAGACGGTCATGTAGTCACCTCCTGGGGCGATGTTCTCATACATTGGGACTGTGTATAGAGCTGCGATACCAGCAAGGAAGTCACGGCAGAAACCGTTGCCACCAGTGGCGGAAGCGGCGAAAGGTCCGTAAGCAGCAACGAGGTAATCGATGGTGTGGAGGTAGATGGCGTAGTTGGCGATACCGATGATGAGGACGAAGAAGAGAGCTCCGATCCAGTGGACACCGTGCTCTGGTCCTAGTGAGGTGAAAGCCCATCCTAGGAGACCGATTGGAAGGCCGAGCACAGTGAATAGGAGTAGCCACAGACGTTGCTCTGGGACGGCGTTGTTCTTGACTCGTCGGCCTGGGTTGAGGGCGAAGTGCAGAGCACCGAGAGCGTAGCCGATGAGGTAGCCCAGAGCAAGTCCGAAGAAGGCGAAGCCGATCTGCTGCGAGGAGAAGTCCCACTTCTTGAGAATAATGCCGAAAGAGTCCAGACCAGAGAAGATGAGAGAGTCGCTGAAGCCGGAGAGGAGAGACAAGAACAGCACGATTGGCTCGGTCAAGAGCAACCAGTAAGGCCTCCACATCAGCTTGCCAACATGCTTCCAGCTCAGTCTCTGCCAAAAGCTTCCTTGAGCCTCCATGGGCCCCTGCACAGTCTCGCTAGGATCCATCTTCCTCCTCTTCTTGGCCTCCTGATCGAGCAGAATCTCTGGCCTGGTCTCCGGGAGACAAATATGAACCACCTGGGTGAAGCAACCAATCGCAACCGCAATCCAGATGCAAGCCAGTCCGCTATATTTCTCGACCACAGTTCCACCCACAATCGGCGGAATAACACTGCCGATCACAGATCCGAAGCAGGTGAAAGCCACAGCCTGGAATTGCTCCTCAGGCTTGTACATATCAGCCACCATTCCCAAAGTCACGGAGCCACCAGCACTCGACAAACCGCCCAACGCACGAGCCGCGAAGACCCAACTCCAGCTTGGAGCAAGCGCCACAACGACCATGAAGATATTGACCAAAGTCATACTCGTCTGAATAACCCACTTGCGTCCGAACTCCTCCGAAAAAGGAGCCCAAAGTTCGCATCCGAAAGCATACATTACCAGGAAAATCATTTGAGCGAGGCGGGCCGTGGCGGCAGAGATATCGAAGCGTTGAGTAAGTTGCGGGACGGCAGACATGTAAACTGCTGCGTTGTAGTTTTGCGAAATTTGGACCAGAAGCATGCCGGTGAGGACGAGCCATTTTTTCCAGCTGGACCAGCTTTTGGCCGTGTAGGCTAAGCCCTCTGGCGACTTCTCGGTGAGGATGTTGGGGTTGTTGTTGTCTGGAGCGGCGCCCGAGGTGGTGATGTTGGTCGCACCGGGGACTTTTGCTTCGGAGCCGCGAGGGGAGGTTGAGGCCACGGAGGTGGTGGTGATTTCGTTCTTGTCTTTGTTGTCGGTCGTGTTGGTTGTTGCGGTGGCGACGGACATCTCTCTTGTTGGGATGGGCTCGTTGGTGGTAGCGGGCTGGGGATGCGTGTATGTCAGGGCATCCCCGAGACTCACTCTCGGCGCCTCACTCATGGTCAAGAATGTGATGAGAATCTTGAAAGCGGTGTACTTGGAGTCTTGTTGTACTTCGGTGTTTGTTGTCGTCTTGTCGTTGCCGATGTACTCGGTATCTTGTTGTTCTTCTGTGATGCTTGATAGCTCGTGCGTGACAGTGGGTTGTGTCAGGTGTCAGACTTCGTCAAATCTGGAGAACTCTGGAGTAAATGGGGAATGGAGCGATAGGAGGGAGCGGGTAGTATCTATAGTCGCGATGTCAAGTGGCCTCGACAAATTTTGCCAGGTAAAAGAATGTATGGCAACCGACTGGTACACGGCAGCGAGATCCACTTCGAGGCCGCGCAACCAAAACCACACCACATACTTTTCCGAATGCGGCATGTTGAGGGGAGATCCAGTGGTAAGCATGATTTTCTTGACTGGAAAGATGAACAACTCGGGAGTATGTGAGCTAAGTACCGTGGTCAGTAGCCACTAGCGTAATGATTATGTGAACCTTCATGAAAACTCCGCATCTATCCTCGCGTGAGAGCCGATCGCAGAAACCTTTCTGAGCAGCGAAGCATGATTTGGCAAATTTCACGCGCACTGTAAGCTGGTGTGAGCTATACACATGTGCAATCGAGCTTCCCTGAGCGCAGCGGACTGAGGACCGTAACAGTGGCGATTGTCTCGCACCAGAAGCCAGCGGCGGAGCATCACAGCTTTTTCCAGCACTACATCGCAGGACTCGACAAGCCGTCGGCAAAGATTGGCACCATTGTCTGCACGCTCTTTAGGCGATGATACACAGGCGTCGTCCTAGCTTGACGCTTGGCAGGCGTGGTGAAGGGGCTCTCGCCTTCCAGAGGCCGCTTCGATGATGGCTGCCGGAGCTGTACCGGCTTGCGGGAGGGCGTCGTGGACTTTCGCGGATCGAGCATACGTTCAGAACGAGTCCTGTTGCGAGTGCGGAATGCGGAAGCAGGTGTTGTTGGCGGTGGCATACCAGATGAGCAAAGCGCGCGAAGTCGCTGTGCGACACCTTCTGGTGTACTCGGAACGTTTACATACTAGCACATTTAGCACGAGAAATCGCCAATGGATCATCCACTTGCACTTACATAGTCACTGACGTGGCTGAGGGCGTCGAAAAGCTCATATTGCAATTTGTCGAATGATCGAGCGTCCTCCGTGGGTACATGGTGTGGCTGCTTTGCGGTGCCGAGTTTGAGTGCCTTCGCATCGAGGGCATGGACGACGAGACCTTCCTCCATCAGATGCCCAAGCAGCTTTCCGGCGGTCTCAACAGAGAGATCTGCACTCAAGTCAGCTACAGCACCGGAACGCATGCACGCACAAGACGTAGCATACCCATCAAACTTGCGAGCTGCTCAGGTCGACCGGGCAGACCGCGCTGCAAAGCGAAACTAATCGCCCGACGCTTGAGTGCCAAGTCTCGCAAGGCAGCCAACAGCCCCGTGTCATTGTCGCCGAGCAGGCACTCATAGCAAGCGTGCTCATCTGGAATTCGAGGGTCGTCTGAGCCTGTGAAGCCGTAACAGTGCAGATGTTGCCAGGTGCTACAGAACGAACACTGAATCTGAATCTGCGCGTTAGTTTGCGATGCTGGACATTATGCTTACGAACTTACCAATTCATTCTCTTCCTCTGCATGAGAACATTGGCAAAGCACGACATCGCCATGGGTTTTCTTCAAGGTCTTTACACCCGCGATCCTGAGGGCCTTTTGCTTGAGCTTAGTCTTTGTAGACTTCAGCTGACGAGCAACGTCGGGCAAAAGGACAAGCTTGGCGCCGGTTGACGAATTAGCCAAAGGTCCCGCAGAGACGTTGCGATTCCCGAGATTCGATGAACTCGCCACCAAAGGACGCAGTAGTGCTTGTGTTTGAGTGTCTCCCTGGCTGAGATGCTCCGGTTTCAGCATGACTTGCAGTCCGGCTTTCATTTCTGGTACGTCACTCGACTGGGTATCCACGCTCTCCGATAATATGGGTTTTGCAAGAAGAGATGGCTGCGCAGGAGTTGGTTGAAAACCCGATGGTGATTCGCTTTCCAATGGCCTATTTGCTAGTGCTGAAGTAGGTGCTGGCGTCGCCATGGATGTCTTTGCTGCGGCGAGCACGTCCGGAGCACCATCGTGGACCATGGTCGATGCTGTGCGCCCGGTCATTGGTCCTTCATCAGCAAACACGGTCGAAGGAGTACGCCCTATCGTGCTTGGGACCTTGGCGACAGTATCATCGGGACGAGCGCCCAGCATATCTGCAAGCTCCGTCTCCCTTGTTCCTGCGATGGTGTAGACCAGGCTTGACGGAATTCGAGGCTGTTCCACAATGTGCGCCAGACCGCGAAGATTTGGCTGAACGAGATGTGATACTTTCAGAGACGCGCTGGGCAGCAGTCAGTAAATATTCCATATCGATATGGCAGTCAGACGGACCTGTGGTACGCAGAGTGGACGTCATCCAGTCGTTCGGTAGTCTTCTCCCAGCCATCGGCCTGAGCAAAGAGAATCTTGGACAGATTCGAAGGAGCGAAGCCAGCAGCTTTCACATCTTTACAGTCCTCGGGATAGAATAAAGCCATCGACACATATCGTTTCTCTGCAGGCGATTTAGAAGAGAAATTTGGGGATACAAGCGCATCTTACCTGGAAGATCCGGAAGTCCCTCACAAAGTTGATTGACGTGACGGATCAGGCTCTGGAGCGCAATGCTTGTGGCTTCGATCGTGATTCCTTCTCTGCCGGGACTGTCGACTTCGATGCCGGCGAAAACGCGCCCGCCGCGTCCATCGCTGTGGTACTTGATGGCAAATGTGTAGGTCTCGACCACTTGCTCGGGATGGTCTGGATCGGTGTGAACATAGATCTGTAGAGCACTCAATCGTCCCTCCTCCAAAGCGACGAATGCACCCTTCTCCTATATCGTGTCAGCGAGTATCGTGAAGAGTGAGATTTGACGTAGAACAAACCAGCCAGTCAAGGAACTTGTCAGCGCGCTTGCTTCTCTTCCGGCGAAGCACTTTCATCACGGTCGCCATGCCTCCGTCGTTCTTTTCGCCCTTCGGCAGCTTCCCATTGATGTATTCGCGATACGTAGGTAGGCGAGGTCCTGTGGTGTAGGTCTGCTCATCGAAGGCCTTCTCCGAAAAGAAACATCGCAGGTAAGCCAGACTGCTAAGCTGCGAGAACGTGTCAATTCCTTGTTAGATCCCATTTCTCAAGACACTCACGCTCCCATGCAAGAACGTCTGCACAACCTCCAGGCTTTGCTTCTGGGTGATTTCGGTCTTGGTCGTAGTCGGCGCCAAGCGCGTCTGCTGGAGCTGGAGCTGCATCGTCGCCATATCGCACCGAGCCGCACGTGCGAGACGAAGGACTGTCAGTGTCAGTGTGAGCAGGTGGCCGGACGAAGCGAATGGAACAGTCGAAGTGGGTGGAAAGCGAAGTCAGGCAGCCGCGCACCTGCGCCTTCCCTTCCTACGTAGAAGGACCTTCCGCAAGTATTCGGCAAGTGCGAGCAGAAAACGGAAGCGATGGACCGGCCTTGCAATGCAAATACGTGATACACGACATTTGATCACTTTTGGCATGCCTATATTTCTGTCACTGAATCCATGGATCAGTCTTGATGCTGGTTGTCGCTCATGCGCGTCACAACGCGTGTCCTTATCCTCATCTCCCAGTCTTTTCTAGTGCCACCTGCCGTGCTCCTCAAATGGCTGCAAATGGCATCCCTCATATCCTCCTCCTTGCCCGCCGTTCCCCATCTGCGGTACTTTGCGCCTCTGATGGCTCGTCTTTCCACCTCCCCGGCGCGTAGATGATGGGCCAATGGCGTGGAACACGACGCTCTGGTTTTCGTCTCGATACTGGCCGCTGTCAACTACGCTGGCTGGTCTGATCACTGAGAGGCGGCGTTGCGGTACAGAATGGACTGCAAGTGGAAAGTGTTTGCCAATCTGATGGTCTTTGTCTGGGCACTTTCCAGATTGGGTTTGGCGGCACCTGGTCTTCCAACTTCACAGCTGCAAACTTCACAAGATGCATCCTGTCAAACGGTCATCAGGCTCATCATGAAAGACTCAAGACATGTCCCATTCTTCAAGCATCCTCAAGCGTATGTCTCGATCTTGATAGAGAAGTGCCGGCCCATCGCATCACCAGCTTTCGCCTGAAAAGAAGGAATAGATTGCAGGACAGCCAGGCAGCGATGTCCCGTTCCAATGAACACATCCTATCGGTGTTCTGGCCGGCGGTCTGGTGCTCAGGCAATGTCATGGTCTCAGAGAGTAATCAAAACACAAAGGAAGTTTGTACAAAGCTTCCCAGCAGAGAAGTCTGATGCGGTCGACGCATCTGCCGTTAGTCTTGTGCAGAAGGTGCTGGTATCTTCGACAGGTCTTGCCTGCATAACGATGTTAGAACTCATCAGAGAAAAGGCTCTTCGATCCACTGGGAGGCAGATGCCATTCATTTGCATCGCCCTCAATGATTGGCACCAGACGGGCTTGCAACGGTGATGATTGTCTTGCATTGCGGCAGCCTGGTATGCGCTGTGCTCACTGATCGACTTCACTCAAGGTTCTCGACTTATTTGCAAGTCCGAGTGCCAGTCTCGCATCTGGAACTCTGACTGTAGCTACCAGAAAGACTAGGCCTCACTGAAGAAGTCGATTCTGCAGGTTCTGCGAGCACGAATAGCAGGGTTTGAGCTTTGGTGACGGAGAAATCGCATCCCGCCAGACTGCACGGCCCGATGCAGAACTCCATTGCGATGCGAGCGTACGATGCAGGCAGCGGGATCGAGCTATAGCGTGCGGTCTTCGGACTTGCAGTGACAGTGGCGGACATGACCGGCGGACCCTTCAACGCGGCGTTCGCTGCAGCTTCGCAGCCGCTACAGGTGGCGCAAAGTGAAGTGAAGCGGGTGACGCGACTGCCGCAACAGCGTCCACAGCTTTTCGCGCATCAAAACAAACACTGCAAAAGTGGAGACGCGCTCTCAAGTGTCGCTTTCGCCCTTCACCTCACTCGACCTGAGGTGCCACCACCCGTATCGACTGGTCAATCTTGTTTTCTTTTGCTACATCACATCGAGTCGCGCATCCTCGCGCGCCCCTACATCGCCGTCAGCATGGCGAGCCGCAACAACAGCTCGCTACCCGCGCTCGATCCTGAAGTGAACGAGTTCGTTCCGACCGACAACAACAGCAGCGCAAGCAACAGCAACAGCAGTGCGCGCCGCAAGCCAACTCTCGCCTTGATGCCTTCATTCAGCGCGCAAAACGACGGATCAGTCTTCGAAGGGCCAAAATTTCATTCCGCCCTTCCACTGTACCCAAGCAACACATGGTCGGCAAGTGCCAATCCAGTGGCCAGAAGCGCTGGGCTACCGCTGAAACCGTCATGGGACTCTCTGGGCTCGTCAAAGCCTGGCGCTTCCTTCTCTACTGCTGCTAGGCGCGATCACGATCGGATCGCGGGACTTGGAGTTTCCACTGTCAGCAACGGTGATGCTCGACTCAACAATCACCATCGTCTCGACTTCAAACCGCCAAGCTCCACCATCCGCTACACACAGACCGAAGAGTATCACAAGTCGGCCAATCCTTCCAACCGTGGTGATCTAGTGGTGAGAACAGATCCGCTTCCGCAACACCCCTTCAATCTGCCTAGCCAGGGATTTGGGATGTCTAATGACGGCAATGGTGTCACGAACAATTCAGCATCGAAGAGTCTGATTACAGGAACATCAATGAGCTCTACATCTGGCGGGGTGTTGTTGTCGAACAGTGGTACTCAAGACTCTACCATGGTTGCCACTCCTGTACGCTCGACTTTTGATGACAGTGACGAGGAGTCCGTGCCGGATGCTGAAGACGGTCACTGGACCGAGGGCGAACATTCGCAATGCTTGCGACGTGCTCTGAAGGATCCAAAGGCGGTCTGGGAAGAAGCATACGATGGCTCGTTGGCCGTTCTCGCAAACATGAATCCGGAGCATTTCACTTTTCCCGCAAATGTAAGTCCGCCCATTCCGCCATTCCTGCTTCGTACTAACTGATTGCAGAGTCGAGTCATCAACATCAAGACTGAGTTCCCCCAGAATCTCGTTGCTTCGGTTCGACTGGGGAAATACTCAGTCATGGAGAAGATCAGCGAGCGCATCATGGCTGTCTGGAATCGTTACGGTGGCACATCGCAGAAGATTTTCTTCTTGTTTTCTGTCAACGGCAGCAAGAAGTTTTCCGGCTTGGGCGAGCTCGCGGGCCCGTGGGATAAACAATCATTCCTTGATGGGTGGTCGGAGAACCCAGAAAGCCACGGTTGTGTTGGGTCAGTCTCCCTCGATATACGCTCCGTGTCCTCTGCTGACAATACGATACAGATCGTTTCCTGTTACCTGGATATATGCCAAAGACTTGCCGTACCACCGCTTCAACCACATCAGACAGCCCGGTACTGAGAACCCAGTCGGCAACATGTGGAATGGCATGCTATTTCCACTCGAGACGGGCAGAAGAGTCGTCGAACACTATGTCAAACTGCCAGCTACAGCAAGTGTTCTTGGATATCCAAAGAACTACCCCGACAACGATCATTCGAGCTCTGCTCAACGTCGAGGTACTTTTGGCAACCGTGGACCACGATCTGGTGGCCGAGGCAGTTTCAAGGGCTCCAACGTCAACACGCCGTGGCGTCCACAGAATCGCCAGCAAAACCATCAGAACACGTTCGAGGAAGACCAGGACCATGACGCTACGCCAACTCCAGCCAGTCGAGGTTGCTTGAGCGATGGTAGTGAAGCACCCCCGAGGTGTGACATTTCCACGTTCGGAGGCAGTTCTTCGCAAGGAGAAACGGTCTCGGCCTCGTTCGACGGTGTGGGTAAGTACAATTTTGTGCCAAGCAGAGCAGCAACAAGCAGTGATGGATCCTCGGCCTACTCTGCAGCTCCTGATTCTCTCTCGAAAGCCGGGGGTCGTGGCCCACGACCCATGCCTCTCCAGCTTGACACTCGCACCAGTGTAGAGGGCAACGCTCTAATGAGCACTACCACTGCAGTGGCCAATCCCAAGTACTTTTCCGCTCCGATAGGCAGTGGTCACGCCGGACTCCCGCATTCGGTCTCGATGGACGTTCTTCGTTCGAATACTGAGTCGCAGGCCATCGCGCGGCCCGTGCTACAGCAATCGGGCTCGATGAATAGCCTTTCACTGCAACTCCGTCAGCACTCTACTCAGCAGGGGGTACAACACGAGCCCACAGACCCCGGTGTGTCGCGCGCTGTTCCTTCCTATGAACAAGCTCTTACGCTGCACCAGTCGCCTTCTTCTACTGCACTGTCATCGCAGTTACTCCAGTATAGTCCAAGCCAGCGTTCTCCAACCCGCATGGGCTTCGACAGCAATGCTTTCCCGCCGTCCCCAGGTCATGGACAAGATCAGCATCAACTTATGGGCAAGTACCACGCGCTCCAAGCAGAGCGACACCGACTGCAGTCCGATCTTTATGCCTCGGGAATGACAGCTCTTGACCGCCAACTGATCAATGCCAAATTGCTTACCAACGAAATGGCGATTCAAACCACCGTAATGGAAATGAATCTTTTGGCGTCCAGACCAACACAGTCGTCGTCGCCAGAGCGGGCCAACGGCTCCTTTCACGGGGACAACTTCTTCTCGCCAAACAGTGGTTATCGCTACTCGCCTGAGCGAACTACTGGAGGCCCAAATTATTACTCGCCATGCCCACTCGGATCCCCTTCTCCCGGCACTGGCGGCACCATGTCCGGCGATGCTGCCTACTACAACGCAATGCACGGCAACTTTCGATATGCTGAGCCTCGCTTCACGCATCGCGCACAGTCTTCGTGGGACCTACGCGCCCAGCACGTGGACAACCTGGTCGCTTCTCCTGAACGCGGCGGTATGGAGTCAGCCGCGTCCAGATCATTCCCTCAGCATCAGTCTCCTGGCATCCACGTTGGCCCTGGACACGGCCTAGCCGGACGCCAGGGTTTCAGCTTCCAACCTCCCAGCGCTTTCAACAACAATCGCCAGGATCAAGAGTACGCTTAGATGTCGCTGACGAATTCAACGCCACGACTGCGGAACATTCTCTGGGCTCGGCGATCTTTCACGATCCTTCACCGCACCAACAACTTACACCGTTCTGTTCGACTCAACTTTACTTCTAATAATACGCATACTTGTGCACATCAGCTTCGCTTATCTGTCTGGACGCCAGACTAGGCAGTGAGCTTGATGGTCACTTCTTGTTTGCGCTTCTTCTTTGACACTTTGTTCGACTGCAGAGTACTCTACCTGCATGGCGACTTTGATGATGTTTGGCCCCATACCAGGCAAAATTGCCTTCCTGCTGTACGTTGTACGCAACGCTTGTACAGGCGCGGACCCTGTTGTAACCTGCTTTCCGGGAGGAACGAGAATGGGCTTGTGCGGCGGTACGGAGCGATTCTGCAACGGGAACGCCATGAGAGGCTGTGCACGAGAAATTGTAATAATGGAATCGGTGTGTTGGATTGAGAGGAGGTGGTGTACATAGTGCCTACATAGCTTCACTCAAACTGTTACATCGAGATTCCTGGTTGTCGTAGTCTTCTTTTCCGATTCGTGTTTTCCTGAAAAATGAAGTGCTCAGAGGCACAGAGTTGCTTGAGGGCCGCGAATTGCACAGCGTGCTCCGAGAAAAGTCGTGGCTTCGGTGCGCATCTGGAGTGTTTTGCGCACTCTCCGCGTATCTCTAACAGCAGTGCGAGCGGCCACTCTACTCGTCGCTGACGCTCAAGGCCCCTGTTCACTGCCCAGCTACCGAGATGTATTCTCCAAGAACAGAACAATAGTGTGAAGTGACAATAGTCGTTCAGAATAGAAAATTGACTTACAATTCGAGTCCCTCAATCACAACGACTTCACCCTCCGATTTATCTCAATCTTCTCGTGAAGCTCCCATCGATCCGCTGGTGAACAGCCCCCTGCTCAAAAGACTCTGCATCTCGAAGCCAGACCACGCACCGCTGGACGAAAATCCGCTGCCGCACGAATCATTGAATTTTCAGAGAACAAGCACTGCGAGGACGTCGTCTCCAATCGCCCTCTCCCCGCAATGGCACCAGGTAGCAGCATCTCGAGGTCGCACTCACACTCCATCAAACAGAAGCACGACTCAATCCAGAAGCCGCTCCCCGCGACAAGAGCCTTCTCCAAACCACTCGATGGAAATCTCTCGACCAACTTCGCTAGACAACGAAACGGAAACATCATCGCTCGCGTCTTATCGGACTCGTAGCCCATCTTTACCTCGATGGCGATGCTACAAACAAGTTTTCTCTGATGTCACGGCTCTGACTGTGCAGCTGTTGTTAGAGGAGGAGATGCGAGCAGAAGGTTATCCGAGGAGGATGTTGGATGTTGCGGAGGACGTTTTTGGGGAATTGGAGGATGAGATGGTGGAGGAGGTGATGTTTGGTGGTGGGAGTGGTGGTGAAGGAATGCCTAAGGTGGTGGAGATTTTGAGGTTGTTGGGAGTTGTGATTGAGGTTTTGAGGGATGGGTTGTGATCAATAGCAGCCACGACAATAATTGACGAACACGCTCAATCTGGAGACGAGGCCCGGGTTCAAACGCGGGTTGCTCTGGACAGCTGCCAAACTTTTGCTATGACCAAGTCTGAGCTCTTCTGGGTTGTCCTGTTCCTGGTAGAGCACGAGAGGACTTTTGGCTCATCGTCATCACCTCTAGCACGAATTTTGGTGAAGACAAATCTTGGAACCCTTTCGGAAACATGCTGAGCCAGGCCATATTGTTTCGCGGCCTTTGATTGGGAAGTACGGAGATGGCGTTGGCAGCGAGTCCATCCCTTTATTCGGCTTGACTTTGGTGTGCTCGGAGCAGGTGTTGAGAATTTTGGCGTGCAAGGTACAGGGATCTTCGCTGTTCGTTGTTGATAACGGCTTGGAGAGCAGAAGATGTCATGAGAAGTGCTGGAGTAGACACAAAGAAGAAGGCATGAGCTGTAGACACTGTAGCATAAAGGTGAACCAAATTCCGACGTGCCTGAGACTAGGAAAGCGTGACAGAAATAGATAAAGGCCCAAGACATCAAAAAGTGTACTGCACAGGGCAATGGCCGGCTACATCATGGTTCCCGCCGGCAATTCTGGCTGCAAAGGCACAGCGTGTGTTGTTGCAGTGATGCAGAGTGCCATCTGCAAGCAAGCGACTCCGTAGAAAATAACTTCCGCCACGTAGTCAGCGCGTGCGGAGGTGGCATCTGCAGAAAAGCGAAGCTCGAAAGTGAGGCGCGTGTAGTAGTGGTTTCCCACTTGGCTTGGCGTGCTCGGGCGAGGAGAGTGGCGGGAAACGGGCGATCGGTCTCAGAGTGACTTCAGTCCGTCACCCCAAGATCCCTCGCCCACGCTGCACCACCGCCCGGCCGACTTTCCGCTCGACAAACTCACCGGACGCGCACATTCTTGCTGACGGCGGAGACGGTGCTGTTGCTGCCCTCGCTGCTGCTCGACGTGTCCTGAGCAGCCGCTGAACGCGAGAAACGGGCGGCAGTCACGAGCTCGCTCCATGAAAGACAGCACCCACGAGACCGGCGTCGACGAAAGAGCACTTCTGCTCCTGCACCCACGCGTCGACTCTCCGTTCACCACCGCGCCATGGAGGCAACACTCTCGACTGCCCCCGCGTCACCCAACGACACTGATCACAACAACATGACAGACCACAAACACATCAGCGAGCATACACACACCTCCACTGCCACCACCATGATGCCGCCCGAACACTCGACCATGGCCCAGATGTCGTTCGGCCCTGCAACGCAGCAGACGGTCACCACGGTCACGACCACCACGACGGTGTCTCTGCCTCCGCTCGTTATGAAGCCGCCCAAGGACCTCTACGACCGAGACCCCAAACAGTACCCGCTGGCCTTTACGCCGACGCCAAGCTCCATCAAGAGGTTCTGCTTCGACGTCAATGGCCGTCCCACTGTATTCCACGAGTCTGAGGATCCGGCCGAGACCATGCGGAGGTACAAGCAGCTGCAGGCCCAGATCCACCGCAGCAATGGTTCCATCCGCCAAGAGGAACGCCACGACGGCTACGAGACGCCCGTGTGTGCTCTCGAGGAGCAGCAGCAGCAAGGAAAGAAGCCACAGAGCGGGCGGTCGAACTCGCTGAAACGCAGTGCCACTCCGGTGTCGATAGCAGAGGCGGCCGAGCTGGCGAGCTTACAGAGGAAAACCAAGAAGCAGCGTTCATCGTTACATCGGACTTACTCAGAACTGACCGAACAGCCTTCCCTCAACGAGCGCAGTGCCGCCAGAGCATCACAGCAGCTTGGAAACCCTTCACATCCATCGCCCGTCACGCCCGATACCGACGTCATGGGAGCTCTGCCCCGAGCTGCGGCCGGCAGGCAAGGTCCGAGCAAGAGCAGAGCAGGTGGCAAGCCTTCGCATTCACGAGTGCAAGAGCTACAGGACGATAGTCAGGACACACAGATGGCTGATCTGGAAGATCCAGAAGAGGACGACTCGGAGCTCAGTGTGGGGAGTAGCTATACATCGAAAAAGCTGCCGAGCCTGGAACAAACAGCAGAGGCTTGGGCCGCGCAGCGTGCCAGTGCAGCTGCCACACCACCGATAACAGACACCGATCTGATGCCGGCACCGCGTGCAGCAGAGTCTAGGAGACCGAACTTGCCTGGCATATTGACCAGCTCGCAGCAGGACGCCAGCCTACCGAGCCCTAGTCTGTCGCCCATTACTGCCGCTGCAAATCTAGCTTCTCGTCAGAACGCATTCGATAGGTCGTTTGCGGAACACAACGAGGAGAACGCCAGCGTGGTATCGGGTCTGGATCTCGATGATGACAGTAAGACGCAAAGCACAAAATCTTTCGAATCGCAACCTTCCAAAGGCTCTTCCAAAGAGCCACCGTTCAAATTCACTCATGGCACACAATCTCAGCCTTCAGCAAGCGGGCCTACGATCATGGACATTCCTACCATGGTTGACGCATTCGACAGCATGCCCGAAGCTATGCAAACATACCTGATATATCAGTTCCTCCGCCGATGTGCAAAGCCAACTCTGCAGATGGTCGCTAATGTCGTCAATCCTGCGCTGAAGTGCGACCCCTTCAACATCCTTCCAGCTGAGCTTGGTCTGAATATCACGCGATTCCTCGACGCGCAGAGCATGTGTCGCGCGGCACAGGTGTCAAAGAGATGGCGGAAGCTTATCAACAGTGACGAGAAGGCATGGAAGGACCTGCTCGAGCGCGATGGTTACACTCTACCCGACGGCGAGATTGCGAGAGCTGTCCGCGAAGGCTGGGGTTGGCAGCACCCTGGCGAGGTGGGACACGAGCAGGACTTGAGCAAGGCCAACTCTCCCGAGCCAGGCGACGATTCGACACTGGCCAGCGAGGATGAGCTCACAGCCTCTTCCACTTTGACTACGCGAGATCGAAAGCGCAAGGTCGTGAAGTCCTCGAGTGCGAAGAAGCATAAGCGTCGACCTGTACACGCTTCTTCTTCACTCACGAAGCCAACTGCGACACCAAACAGCAAGTGGCTGAAGCTCCTAGGTACTGCCAAGGGTGCCAACGCATTTGCTCACGCAGCTATGCAAGCTGTTCCGCATCCTTCGGTCGGACTGGAGAGCCTCCGTAACATGCACCTCTTCAAATCCCTCTACCAGCGCCACTACCTCATCCGCAAAGCGTGGATGGATGAGGAGAGCCAGCCTCAACACCTTGCCTTCCGGGCACATCATCGACATGTGGTTACTTGCCTCTTGTTTGACAGTGACAAGATCTTGACTGGTAGTGACGATACTAAGATCAACGTCTATGACACCAAGACGGGCGCACTTCGGAACCGCTTGGAAGGCCACGAGGGAGGTGTGTGGGCACTACAGTACGACGGCGATATCCTGGTGTCCGGCTCTACAGATCGCAGTGTCCGAGTGTGGGATATCAAAAGCGGTCGTTGTCTGCAGATTTTCCAGGGCCATACGTCTACGGTCCGCTGTTTGGTCATCTTGCAGCCTGTGCAGATTGATACTGAGCCAGATGGGACGCCCATCATGATGCCCAAGGAACCACTGATCATCACAGGCTCTCGCGACTCAACGCTGCGCGTCTGGAAGCTACCTAAGCCAGGCGACCGCCAAATATGGCATGCTGGACCGCCAGCAAACGATCATGACAATCCGTACTTCTTGCGAACACTCTCGGGCCACCATAACTCGGTGCGTGCCATTGCAGCTCATGGAGATACCTTGGTGTCTGGTTCATACGACTGCACTGTCCGTGTCTGGAAGATTTCGAACGGCGATCTGGTTCATCGTCTTCAAGGCCACACACAGAAGGTCTATAGTGTAGTGCTCGACCACGCGCGCAATCGCTGCATTTCAGGCTCGATGGATAATCTCGTCAAGGTCTGGGATCTGGTGACTGGCAGTTGCTTGTTCAACCTCGAAGGCCATACTTCCCTTGTCGGACTTCTCGATCTGAGCGATGATCGCCTCGTCTCCGCCGCAGCCGACAGCACTTTGCGCATCTGGGACCCTGAGAACGGTGCTTGCAAAGCTACTCTTTCTGCCCATACTGGTGCCATCACTTGCTTCCAGCATGATGGGCAGAAGGTCATCTCTGGTTCCGATCGTACCTTGAAGATGTGGAATGTGAGAAACGGCGAATGCGTTCGCGACCTACTCACAGACCTGAGCGGTGTGTGGCAAGTGAGGTTCGACGAGCGCCGTTGCGTTGCTGCTGTGCAGCGCAACCAGTTGACGTATATTGAGGTGATTCTAACATCTCTCTATGTTCCTAGCAATGCTAACTTCTCTTCAGGTCCTCGACTTTGGTGCAGCACGAGACGGAGTATCGACTGAACAGCGCGGACGACGTGTCGTCGTTGATGCACGCGGCAGAGAAATGGCAGATATCGACATCGACACTACGGGCTCGGTGCACGAGGATGCTGCCGCCGCTTAGGGACTTGACTGGCAGTAGTCTCTGTCGACTCTGTTCCCGCTGCACTCGGCCTGACCATGATACCACACACACTTTTAATCACCAATGACGAATTACTCGGCTTTCTCAAGGCGCGCATGATTGCATGGATTGCATACTACTTCGCAAACCAGGATTGCATATATACCCCCGGTGCGTACTTTTCTTTCTGCTGGCAGCATTGAACATTCTACATTCGACAACGAATCGGAGACTTGAAGAAGGAGGGAAAGGGTTGCAGAAATGAATGGATGGATGAGGAAACTAAAAGCTTCCTTCGAGATTCTTCAAAAGCTACATCAGCTTCTTGTGCTTCACTTGCGAAGGGAGCGCGGACGGAAAGGCAATTAGGTTTCTTACTGGCGCATGGCTTGACTAGGCATTGCTTTTCTGCCTAATAATGGAAGGAACAGGATGGGTTTCTTTGCTTCTCGTCGTCTTCTCGAATGCATGGTTGAGATGATGCATCTTAGGGAGTTTTTCCTTTTGGGGGCGCTTTTGATCGTCGGCGGGTTTGACTTTCTTCAGCACTGCACGAATGTGCTCATGAGTGTAGCGAGTTTGTTCTTTCTGCTGAGCTTCTTTTTGAGAAGTGCCTTATGATATATGATTTCGAATGAAAGATACGAGTAATCTTCCAGACTTGTTCGTTCGTGATCGATCACTTCATTTTGTCTATTTTATCTTGTCTATTTGTCTTGGAATCTATCCTGAAACGTCCGTCGGCTGTATAAAATTGGGTATCTTTCCTTTCCTTTCCTGCGCCTGCGCCTGCGCCTGCTCCAGCCCTTGCCTTAGGCTGTCTCAATGACTTTTCCTCTCAGCTCTCCTCTGATGACTCCTCTTCTCCTTCATCTCCATCTTCCCTCTTCACCCTCCCATTCCTCTTCCTCCACAACTCCACCCCTCGATCAATCTCTTTCCGACTCACTCCATCCCTCACCAACTGCATCGTAACCCCCAAGTCTTCTACCTCTTTATTCCGACTCTCATCATCGAAAAATAACATCTCCTCATACGGAATCTTCGTCGCGGAATGTAATTTTTTGAAATGTGTTTTCTTACTCCCGGGATAGATTTCGAGGTTATCGAAGAGGGAGAGGGCTGTGATGGAGTCTGAACCTGTGGAGGAAGGGGTTGTTGGGACGCGGAGGAGACCTAGGAGTTGGTTTGCGAGTTTGGGGGCTGAGGTTCGGGAGGCGCAGCCTAGGGTTATGTTGAGGTTTTTGATGTTGTGGAGGATTGAGGCTACGTCCGGGTAGAAGGAGCAGGTTTCGCCGTAGGCGTCGTGAATTATGAGGCCGGAGGCGGAGGCTGAGGAGGAGGATTTTTGGGAGGGTTTGAGGGGTGGGGTTATGTGGGTGTCGATCTGTAGAGGTTGTTAGTCGATTTGGTTGTGTGGTTTTGGATGTTGAGAGATGAGGCGTACCCAGAATGGCCAGAGAGTGTAGTCGAGGTCGAAGACGATCATGCGGGGGAGTGGCAGGCCGTCTGTGAAGGTTGTGGGTGGGTCGAGAGCTGAGGCTGGGAGGGTTACGGGTGTGCCATTGGAGTCTGTGAGGCTGTTGTCGGTTTTGCGTGAGCGGCCCATTGTGATGGCTAAGGAGAGGACGAGAAGGCCGAGCAGAAAGTAGAGGAATCGAGAGGTGGTGCTTGAGACTTGCGTCTTCGAGGACGGGGCAGATAATGTGGGAGACGCCAGTGTGGCGGTGGAAGCGATGCAGATCAGATACAGAACATTTCTCGGTGAGGTGTCCTTGAATTGTTACGCTGTCTTCATCCGCTGCAGCGAATGATGTCACTGTCGATGTATAAGGTTCAGCCTCATCTGCAGGGTTTCCCGGGAGGCTAGACTTCCCGTCTGCCCGCGACGCGTTCCAGAACAGAGCTCACGCGTCTGTCTTATGGCTGGTCTGCTGTGCAGACTCGTCTTTCGCCCGCGGGTCATCACGACATGGATCGAGCCATTGCCTTTGCGAGGCCATGGCCTGCTGCCGATCATCGCACGATCCGATTGCATCTCTGCATGCCGACGACATTATCACGCCAGCTCGATCTGCTCACAGAACCGCGTTAATGCGTCGGTCGATGGAGCATCAAGCAGTCCTGAGTTAACGGCGGAAGATCGACGGCGCATCGACGAGCTTTGGGAATCATATGAGACTGTCGGAACTATTGCTAAGACTCTGAACAGAAGACTTTTCGCGGTCTGGAGATACCTTCCACCTGGCAGCTCATTCGGGCAACGGCGTATACTAGGGTGGACTGACGATGACCACAACAAGGTTCGCGAACTCCGAGACCAAGGACTTACGTGGCAGAAAATCGCTGAGAAACTTGGTCGGTCTCATGGCGGCTTAGAGAGTTATCTCATGCGGGCTCGCTGCATATCTGCTGGTGGTCGATCGAACGTGTATAGCTTGGAGGAAAGAGATCAGGCAGTCAACCTCCAGAAGCAGGGCCTGAGACCTACATCAATTGCACATCGATTGGGACGCCCAGTGGCCACTGTCAATCATATGCTGCGAAGCCGAATGTCCAGATACAGCTGGACGTTGGAGGACATAGAAAAGGTTCTCACTCTCAGGGAAGCAGGTATGTCTTGGCACGAAATTACTGCCCTGCTGCCTGGCTCCAGGCGGACTGCTCTCGAGGCTCTGTACTCACGCGCCACCCGTGATCGAAAGCTCAAAGGACCGGCGAAGAAAATATTGAAGGTTCCATGGTCACAGGAGGAAGACGCAAAACTTCTACAACTTAGGAATGTACGGAGGCTCAGTCTTGATCAAATTTCGAAGCTAATGTCTGACCGAAGTCGGAAGGCGATTTGGCATCGATACATGGACATCGACGCCTCTCTGAAGCGAGATTCGGGGTACAGCTTAGAGGAGTTGGAGAAGATAGCTCGTCTGCGTGCTGCTGGAATGAAGTTCAAGGACGTGGCTGCGCGAATCCCGGGACGCACTTACAGAGCAGTCTCTCGTATTTTCGGCAAATTCTGCAAAGGGAAGTTTTCAGTTGACGAACGAGGGAATGTCAATTGGCACGAGAGACCTCCGTACATGAGGGAGCTTGGACGTGATGGCGAAGCGTAGCATCAGAATCTGGGATCTGGCGAATCGCGACCTCGTACTTCCAAGACGTCTTGTAACGCGAGCGCCGCGCCTCATCGTCGATTCAGCAACAATGCCATACTGTCCAGACAATGGCATCATCCAATGGAAATGCTGTTGATTGGCGACTCAATGTACGTGGCTTCGACAAGACCGCATGCACAAGCCCAGAAGCGCAAATACAGCTCTTGAACCAGCGCCAGTCTTACAACGTGGCAATACAATCACGTTGGTACATGTGGCCCTTCCTGAGCACCACGGTTCATCTCTTCGACACAGTCGACACAACGGGTTCAAACGGTCTCGTTCGGACCCTACACGACGGACCCAGATCTGACAGTGGTCCAGCTGCTTTTCACTCCAGGCCAGAACGTGTTGTTGATGGCAATGTTGTTATCCTGAATGAACACATTGAGCACCCTGCCGTTCGTCCATGAAACAGTCTTATTACATGCCGTCACAAAGTCTTGTGGCATTTCCAGCAATGCATGATGTACACCAAACATCGATGGATCTCGGGTCCTATATCTACGCGAAATGCAACTCGCATGGGGCTTCTGGCAACGAGAATGGGAATCGCACTCGGCGGCTGAGATGGATTGAAAGCAAATTGAACTTGCTGTGTCCGTCAATCAAAGACATCTATCAGTCTTAAGGGATAAGGAGGTGCAATAGCGAGCCGTTTAGCTGCGGTCTATTCCACTGGATGGATGTACGGATCTCATGTTCTCGTGTCACCTGTGAAGTCTTGCTTTCTGACCATCTTCCTATATGTCTTTTGAGAAACAGCACGACCAGTAGACCTGAGATCTACCAGGATACAGCAGGGTATGGAGACGTGGAGAATTCACTTGGCACATTGTGCACGGACTTTCATGACGTAGAGGATAACATTTCGCGTGCTGTGAACCTCTCTCACGCGAATTCACGGAATCCGCTCCCTCAACCTACGCCCAAAATGGGCGACCTGCACTGCCATGTCACGACGTTTAACGCTGGTCGCGAAGAGATCCATACCGACTACTTCGCGTCTTCCCTCTACTCCAGCTTCAAGACCGGCATCATCCCTCCCGATCTGATCGTGCTGGCTCTGCAGGAAATCGCACCTATCGGTTTCAGCTTCCTCGGCGGCTCCCTTCTCACACCCTACTTCAGTCGATTCGCCGAAGCAGTTTATCGCGCGACCCAGTGGAGATTTGGCCAAGATGCAGACTACGAGCATGTGCTTACGCGCAATGTGGGCATGACTGGGATAATGCTCTTTGCGAGACATGGAACAAGAGACAGCATACGATGGGCAGAGGAGGCAGGAACTGGAGTCGGGTTGTGGGAGATGGGGAACAAAGGCGCGGTCGGAGTCAGGCTTGGACTGGAAGACGACGTTGTCGTGACATTCGTGGCAGCACATCTGGCGCCTATGGAAGAAGCATGGCAGAGGAGGAACGAGGATTGGCAAAACATCTGCAAGACTCTTGTCTTTGAGCCTGTAGACTCAACGCGACGCGAAGGACTTCCACAATCGACAGCAGACGAGCAGGACCGACTTTTGTCGAATGAAGGGCAAGCAGAGCGACAACGATCAGCAGATCGCCATCATCCGTTTACGCCCGCCTCACATATCTTCTTCGCAGGTGACCTCAATTACCGCACAGCAGATCAGCACCCAGACTTGCAGGACTTCGAGGGATGGCCACAGCCAATGTCGACAGCATCAGACCCCACGCACTACAGCCAGCTTCTTAAGAAGGATCAGCTATCAAGAGAGCTACGTGGTGGACGTACCTTACATGGGTTTTCCGAAGCTCCAATTGACTTTCCGCCGACGTACAAGTACAGCTCCAAAGCAATGCAGGTGGCAAGGCAGACCGCCCAACAGCTCGAAGCTGCAAAGAACAAGGATGAAGATTTTCCAGGTCTCGAATTGGATAACACAGTCGAGCAGGTGTGGCTATGGGCAAAGCACAGAATTCCATCCTGGTGCGACCGGATCCTTTTTTCAGCTGAAGCCCCACCAAAGGTCCAGTCGTACAGTGCCCTGCCAATTCAGCCCACGAGTGACCACAGGCCTGTGGCGTTGAGCTTTGCGATTCCGAAGAAGCCTGCGGTGTTCTCGCCGCAGTCTGCACCTTTCACGATTGATAGCGACTGGAAGGCTCGACGAGCTTGGGCACGGAGGTACGAGCTGATTGTGGGGCTTGGCGCATATCTGACCCTCACTGGACAAGGCGAGGCCCTGTTGGCTGGCACTGTGGTCGGTGTAGTTGGAGGTTACTTTGTGTTGGTGGCGCTGCTTGGTAATGTTTAACGAATTGAATGCACTCGAAGAGGAGGAATGAAGAACCAGGCCTACGATTTGACGAGCTCATGAATCCGAAAGAGATCCGGACCCAGTCCCAATTATCTGAGAACGACGTAATAATTACAAGACATGCGTTGAGAAGTTTCAGGCGCATTCTTCATCACTGCCTCTACAAAGTACAGGCTAGTCGCAAATTTGCTAGCTGGGGAAACCCACTGCTCAACAATATACGGCTAGCGCAACTAACACATGAGGAACTACCACGAGAATAAGCCTTGGAATTCTACGCGACTGTCACACCATTTACACAACTTGCAACATCCGCACCACTTACCGAGTACGGCAACTTGCGGGTCTCATGTTCTGCCCTTCGCGTGCAATCGACGATCGCCGCGGAACCGGATACAAATGCAGCGCGACCCACGAAGCAAGGAAGAGGAGCAAAACGTTTTCGACCCGCAGAAAGATTAGTGAACACCTAGAAGAAAAGAACAGACCTCAACGCACTGAAGAACACTCTTTTCTACGCTAGAACATGCCGCAACGAATGGGAGTCATCGGGCTGAGGCCCGTAGGTAGGGTATGCACTCCACCTCCCACCCCTTACCCACTTACTTCTAGCCAAAACTTCCAGCAGCTGAGACAAACTCCTGCAGGCTATAGCAACAAAGCTCTCAACGCATGCTAAGCTCAAGCCGCCTCTCGTTGTCCTCAACCATACCACGAAAGAAGCTGAAGATTTTGCTTTTCAACATGAAAATTCGCGAGCTACTTCTGCTTTAACATTGGTCGCGCGGAACGCGGATATCATATGGCTTTGCCTCGATGACGAGGAAGAACTGAATGCTGTATTCCAGGTTCTGCTGGGAAGTGACGTGAAGGGGAAGGTGTTTATCGTCGTAGCTGATGAAGACGCGCATTCGGCCGAGGAGAAGAGGAATAGAGAGCTGCTGGTGAAGCATGTGCAAGCGAAAGGAGCGCAGCTCGTGTCTTTGCAAGGTAAGCTTTTTCGCTGCTGGCTATAACACGCAATGGATGTTGTTGACCAGGATTAGTCGCCGATCAGATGGAAGGGGACGCAAGTCTCCAGGCCGGGTGCACACTTGCTGGGGCTCCTGAGGCTGTGAATCGTGTGAGCAGTTTTGTTCAGGACACTTTTGTTAACATCACCATCGCACCTCTCTGACTGGACCTTAAACGAATACTGTATTCCGGTGAGAGAACAAGGCGTTTCTCGAAAATAGCGCTCAAACAGAAGATTGAATCGATGCGTCGCTGGCGTGATGGTGACGAATATGTTCTCACTCGTACACCCGCCTTGGGGGTCGGGCACTTCGTGCGTTGAGACGCATATCAAGCAGGCTGCGTCGCCGCAGTGGACCACAAGGCTTAACACGAGTGCACAAGTCTCTTGGACACTGGCACCAAAGACCGCACTACATGTTCGCTATGAGCGAGCTCCCGATCTGGTTCAAAAACAATGGGCTGCGACAATCACGTGAAATCGTGTTTGCTGATTCACTCGCCGCAGTCTTTCGCCCTCCGCATTCAGTATAACTACCCTCTCACCCTAGTCATCTACGCTGTGCACTTCGAGCATCATCCATACTGCATCGACTGACGCCTACAGCCTCCCAATCTTACACTGTCTGGACCCACATCGGTGCCTCTGACCAAAAAAGAACTTCTGGGTGGACTTGCAGAACCGATCATGCTGTCGAAAGACTCGCGCATGCTGCTTGACAGCATCACTGGATTGTTCTGCGACAGTACCTATTCGGATGCCACCATCCAGTGTGGCGAGCGCAAATGGCGAATCCACAAAGCAGTGGTGTGCTCTCAGTGTGACTTCTTCAAGGTAGCGTTCGATGGACGTTTCAAGGTATGCTCCATCCGAGTCCGGCATGTTTGGCTGTCTACGACTTGCTCGAGCAGATGAAATCTGGCTCAATATCGTTTCGCAGAGCTAACTCTACTTGTCACAGGAGGGTTCAAATAACACTATCACACTGAAGGAGGATCACCCGAATGCGGTAGCTGCAATGCTTCGCTTCCTCTACTCTACCGACTATGATGACACCGCTCACAACGACAACGCCGAGAGTGACTGGCACGCTCTCGCGATGAATGTTCATGTGCATGCTATTGGCGACAAGTATGGTCTACCGGCACTGTCGAAACTCGCGCTGTTCAAGTTCGACGTTCTCCTCTCACAGCATGGTTGTGATGCACCAGGCTTTCTGCAGGCCATCATCGCAATCTATTTCGAAGACGAGGATCGCAAAGAACCACTGCGACGGTCTTTGATGGCTTGTGTCCTGAGCAGCGGCAAACCCCTGCTCGCTCGCGAGAACTTCCAAATGGTTGCGAAGGGTGTCCCGGCTTTCGCTGTTGCGCTGGTCTCCGAGGCCTTTCAGCTCGGGTTGGCAAAGGAGCTGCAGCTGAGCAAGTCTCATTCAACATATCGTTGTCCGGCTTGCGGAGTCGCGTTTACAGTGGAGGTTTGCTTGCCTGAAGAACAAAAGTCAGTGCGCTACATCTGTTGTCCAAGCTGCGCCACGCATCGGCATCGCATTTCGACGTGGGAGTACAACTACAAACTTGGTCGGGAGGCCGGCGGTCTTTAAGCGTGTTGGATATCAGCAGGGCGTACGATGGCTTTCCGCTCGCTGAGTGAAGTGAAGTGAAGGTGTTGATGGCTTATGGGCTGATTGGAAGGAGCACTGCACATGTTCATCCCTGCCACATTAGTGCGGCGCTAGCGGGTCGAGTGAAGAGGTAGAGCAACATTCTTTCTCGTTCGCGCTCTTGACCTCGCACTTTCCACTCCAAACACACCACGTCGCTATGGCGGACACCAACACAACCCAAGCTGCCCTTGCTGGCGTGTTGTCTGGGTCAGAAACAACGCGACGCCCGCGACTGAAGAACAGAAGCTGACTATATCCAGGCTCTTCGGCGACTCGAAGTTCTCCGACATGACCATCGAATGCGAGGGAAGAAAATGGGCGGTCCACCAAGCGATCATCTGCACGCAGAACGAGTACTTCATGAAAGCTTGCAGTGGACAATTCAAGGTACGTCACTTTGTTTACTTCTATACAACCTATCGACCAGTCACTAACTCAGCACAGGAGGCGCGCAAAAAGGTCATTGTGCTACAAGAAGACTTCCCAGATGCTATCAACGCGATGGTCAAATTCTTCTACAAAGGCGACTACGATGCGGACCTGAGCAAGAGCGCCAATTCAAGCGCGTCGGACCTACACGTTGCGGTGTACATCGCAGCCGACAAATATGGCGTCACTAAACTCGCAGAGTTAGCGACAAGAAAGCTCAAGAGCAGTATGAAGCCTGATTCTGCCGACTTTGTGCGAGTTGCAAGAAATCTATGGTCGTCTGAAGAGAAGCCCGAGACGTTGAGATCTGTCGTCTGCGAGGTCCTCGATGAGAACAAGCAGTTGCTGCAGCGTGGTTCCTAATCTGAACTCGCTCAGTTCATCCGACAGACGCCAGCACTCGCTGCGGAGCTGTGTTTCGGGATGGCCGAAGCCAGCATGCGAAGATTCTCTTTATGCACGAATTGCTCGAGAACAGCTCCCCTGCCCAAGACTTTGAGCTCTGGTAGTAAAGACAACTACTTTTGTCCGGCCTGTCACCTCAGAAGCTCAGGCAAAACTCTCGAAAAGTATGCAGCGTCACTCGACTCGCCGGGCAGGCCATGGACCAAGGCTTGAGACGACTCTACAAGACTCAGCACTGCGAATGATGTGATGAGTTGAGTTATTACCTCCTCGGCGAAGCCGCTGCCGAGTTGTCGTGCCTGTTCTGCAGTATAATCGTAGTCCTGGTATCAAACAATAATCTTTCAAATTCAAACAGAAGGGAAGTGAGAAACGTCGATGCTAGCAGGTTTTAATCGTGGCTCCACTCACGCCAGTCTCTACAAGAGTGCCGGGCTGATGCTATCATTCCGAAAATCCGTGCCAGTAGATTAAGAGACGTGGTGCTTTTCGCGTCTGCCTCACACGGGCTTTGCTACGCCACAACGTGTCTGAATACTTGAAGGCCCACCACGCGGCTGCAGCTTAGGTCCGTGCACTGTTTGCTACTCCTTCACTTCCCGCTGTTGACGCACGCGTTCCATTTTCTGATACGTTCGCCATTATTCTCTCTGCAACACAATGCTCAGAATTCTTCGCGCATTGCAGCCAACAATGAGCTCCAACGAGATTGCCGCACCGCAACAGGAGCACCGAGCTGCCATCTCGAGGTAAGAACCTTGCAGGTTTTCTTCGACTCTCCGCGACTGACTTGCGTGCAGGCTGTTCGGCGACCCCCGCTGGACCGACCTGGAGGTTCACTGCGGCCGTCAGATCTGGAAAGTTCACCGCATCGTCGTATGCTCGCAGAGCACGTTCTTTGAGAGAGCCGTGGAAGGGGGCTTCGCCGTTCGTTAATTGTTCTTTGACTTGCCTTCAATGTGCTGACTGAGGAGAACAGGAGGCCACCACAGGTGTGGTAAATCTCGTTGAAGACGACGCCTTCGCGGTTCAGGCGTTGCTTCAGTACTTCTACTCGGGCGATTACCTGTGGCAACCAACTTTCAGCTCGCCGGACGGAGTTGAAAACAATCCGGGCCCACTCGCGTTCGCAGTTGCCGTTCACACGATCGCCGAGAAGTATGAGGTCAGGCCTCTCATGTCGCTCGCAATGGCCAAGTCCAAAGCGCTGATAGGCACCAACTGGCAACGCGCAGACTTCGTGGACGCGGTCGAAGCGATCTACGAAATTCCACCAGAGAAGACTAAGGAGATGCGAGAGCGACTGGTGGAGATCGTCAGCAAAAACTACCGTGCGTTCAAGGACGGAAAGGCCTTTGCCAACTGTCAAGCGGTCTTCGAATTTGCACCCTTTGTCGCGGAGGTTCTCGATTCCCGGATGGGCATGCGCACGATGCCCGCTGGGTTCACGTTGTACGTGTGCCCGTCTGTGAACTGTCGGAAGTGGACTATCATGCAAACTATGAGGGACGAGACAGTGCGGAAGCATTGCCCTCACTGTGGTGGACTTTGGTTCAACACACCATTGTCCGGATGGCTAAGGGGCTGAACTAAATTTTTATCGTCCGGTGGCACACACAAGTTTGTCTCGCTCAGAGGCGCACCTGGATTGATCAATACGGATGAAAACCTCCGTCAACAGGTACGATCTTCCTGGTCACATAGCCTGTATTGACCATCCACATGACCGTCTCAGCAATCTCCTCTGGTCTTCCCAGTCGCCCAATAGGTATCTCTATTGATGAGAAATAAAGTCAGCATGGACAGTCTCAGTCTCCAGATCTCCTCTGCTTGTGAACTCCAGAAAAACAAGTACTTACTCTCCTTCAAGGACTCCGTTCCGTCCGCCCCGGCCGGCAGCATCGTCGTATCCTCAATCAGCGCTGGTGCAATCGCGTTCACCGTGATGCCTTTCTTCGCCACATTCCCTCCAAGCCAATGCACGAATCCATGCAAAGCACTCTTGCTACTTGCATAATGCGGCCCCACTACTCCACCGTTCAAAGCCGCAACGCTGGAGTTGAAGATGATTCTTCCCCAACCTTGCTTTTCCATATGTGGCAGACAAAGCTGAGCCAGAAGGAACGGTGATGCAGCATTTATGCGCCACGTGCTTTCAAATGTCTCAATCGAGACATCAGATAGATTGGAGACGTTGCTGAGATTACTTGTTGTGCCGGCATTGTTGAAGAGGACCTTGTGATTAACTCGTCAGCTTGGAGGCCCCCCTCTCGCTCTCGCGATTTCAAGAGAAATCAAAGAAGAGACACTCACATCAATACCCGTCCCCAACCCATCCACAACCTCCTTATGCAACTTTCTCACCTCATCAAAACTTCCCAGATCCGCCTGAAAAAGTGCAACGTCTATTACCTCTGGTACGACTTCACTAATCGCCTGTATCAAGCTTTCCTGCGCTTCGCCCGAAGCAGAATTGAAGTGCAGAGCAAGGTTGTACTTTCCTGTGCGGGCGAAGGCGACAGCTGTGGCTTTTCCGATGCCTCGAACAAATCAATATCGTTGGCAATGAGTAAGAGTGGGAAGCATGACTGACCTCCCGTTGCACCTGTAATAAGCACAAGACGATTGCTCTTCGTATCAGCAATACTGGTGCTCGTTCGTGGACCACTGGAGACGGAGCTATGCTTGTCTGGTGAGCTGAGAGCAGCGGAGTTGCGATTGGAGCCGGGTCCGATTTGTGAGCTGCGACGATTTGCTGTCTGGTAGGATGTCGGCCGTGAGGACGCCATGTTTGAACGCTCTTGAGCTTTTTGTCAACTTTGGGCGAGGAGTCCTCTCACGTTAAAGCCGTTGTTCGGAGAGGTACTGCAAGCGTGAGTGGTGATTCTGACAAAGTATACGAAGGCCTTGGCTAAATCCCGGCTGCGTGGTTGACCATAGCTACGGGTCGTGTAGTCAATGCACACGATCGAAGATAGCTCGCAGGAAGAAAGTACATCTATGATTGCAATACCTTGAGCTGCCGATTGACGTCATGAGGAAGCTAGTCAGAGCTCTGAGGGGTCGTTCATGATGGTCGATCTTACCATATTCTGTTGAGATCTGTTCGTAGCTACATGAAGTCGTAGTTCTCCTCGTACTCTCCAGATCATGCCAATGCCTTAGCTGGCTGTGTTCCCTTGCTTGATACCGCAGCACCAACCGAACCAAAGTAGCGTTTTCGGTCACGGGCGAAGCCTTCGTTCATATCAGTCCTTCCCACTGGACTCACGATAGAGCCAGATTGTGCTGCCAGCCGCCACAGTCCAAGCGAGATACGCACAATCTGCTCTCAATTCTGTACATTCCTCGGGGAAGCAATGTTGGAAGCTCGAGACGTCGCCGGAGAGCAGCGTTTCGGAAAGTCCATCGTCGAAGTGATCGCCCAAATCTCTGCTCAAGTGGTATCGTGTAAAGCCAGAGCACGGTTCGTACGATCGTGTCTTCTCTCGCATCCTCTTAGAAAGGAACCCTTGGGAAGTTGTAATTGACGTCCTCGGACATGGGGAGTGCAAAAGCTGAGAGAGTTGGATTCCAGGCGTGCTGCAAAATCTTCATCTACGCAGCAGCATTCATGACCTTCCTCTCTGTCGCCTTTCCATTCTGTGTGGCCGTGGAATGGCCCTGTCCAGCTTCTTGCTTGTTTACCGCAACACCCTGCTTCTGCACCTGTTCGTGCAAAGCCTTCAATTCTTTCAACATCTTCTCTCTTGTCTCCTCTAAGATCGCATCCACATCCTCCTTCGTCTTGCCCTTTGTGCTAATTGCGTCTAGGACCTTCACAGGAATGACACCAGACCTAAATCTCTTCCTCTTGACGTTCAACACATTGCTGTAATTCGCGACCACAACAGGCACAATCGGCACTTGCGCCTGGATCGCAAGGTGGAAAGCTCCCTTCTTGAATTGAAGAAGATCGGGGTGCTCGTAGTAGGATCTCGTGCCTTCAGGGAAGATGTACACGCTCTGTTTCGCGGATTGCATTTGTTTCGCTGCGTCGTCGAAAGCGGCAAAGGCTTGCGCTCGGGATTTGCGTTCGATAAAGACGGTTTTCGAGAGGGCCACTATGCGGTTACGAATGTTAGCCCAACAGCTCAACTGAGTGTCCCAGTTGCCTTTCTCCAGACAATGCAGACAGATGTTCGCAAGAGAGGGTAACCTACTAAACCATCCCAAAAACGGCCACCACTTCAAACTCGCCTTAGCCGTAACAGAGCAGTATCGCGGAAAGATATGCCCCAAAACCAAAACATCCAACTCCGTCTGATGATTCCCCACAAAGACCGCAGGTCGCGTAGTTCCCAGCACATCCTTCTCGTCCTGCACATCAAACCACACGCCAGTGAACAACAACATCGTCCACTTGAACGCCCGCGCTGTTGTCCACTGCCCTAGCCCTCCATAACCAACAAGCGAAAGCAACGCAGAAGCAATCGTTCCATATGTCGCGCAAATAAACAACGCGACAAAAGACGCAATACTGCGGCCGTAGAATTCGAGAATGGGCATGTTGAATTGCCGGCCGAGGAAGTTGAGGGCGTGGATGAGGAGGGTGAGGACGGTGGCGGAGGAGGAGAGCCAGAAGAGGAAGGACGACATGGTGGGCGGTGCGCTCTTATCGTCGTCGTTCCATGCGAGGGAGATGTGTTGGTGGTGTCGGTGTGAGAAAGAGCGAAAGATGGAGCAAGATGGGTGAGGTGGGGTTGGGGAATTTCGGCCGAATTTCAGCATCACATGCTCCAACAAGCTGTCATCGGGAAGAAGTAAAGTTACGTAGCAGGAGAGTTTCAGTGTGGAGACATGCAGGGGGATCTTGCAATTCTCCGTGAAACTGTCGTGGTATGTCTAATGTACATATTGAGGTCGAACAGTGGAAGTATGTCTGCCTCTGACCAGACCTCAGATGGAAATGTACAGCTTTACTCAACACTCGTGGGAATCTTAACCATGCCTCTCTTGCGGTCCTCGTGCGGCATACCATAGCGGGCACCGACACCCTCTCTCGACCTGCCATTCTTTCCAACCTTCTCCGCGCTAATGTCTTGAAATTTGAAATCCCATCTCCGGGTCGACACAATCCTCTGTGTCCGCTCTTCCCATGCTGCCTTCTTCGCCTCCGCCTTCTCCTTTGCAACTCTCGCTGCCTCGTCACGTTGTTGCTGGTTGGCCCAACGTTCAGACCTGCTCACGCCAGCCAGGTGCTCCTTCTCGAGGGTGACGAGCTCCGGATGAGGAATACGCTTATCTGCGGGCAGAAGCTTGTCGTGGAAAGCTTTGGCAGCATCTTCGCGCGTGAATTGACGTGATTCCGAAACTGGTACAAAGAGTTGTTGCCGTGTGGCCGGATGCACAGGAAGGTCATTGACTGTCTCGTGCTCGTAGATCTGCTGTCTGGGGTCGTTGGGCTTGTATGGCGTTTGTGGCAGCATGGCTAAGACGGCGTCATTGTACGCCTTGGCCAGTGGTTTGTTCTGAGCAGATCATTAGCAACAGACTCATCTGACAATGTCGAAGTAGATAGTGTCCCCGTTGCAATAATCAGATAGGAGCGAAATGTTGTTAACCATGTAGGTGTCTTCAAGACTAATCGAATTTTTTGCAATCATCATAGAAGTGTCAAGTGCAGTGAAGGAAATAAATGGTCGTGGACTCACCTCAGCTTGCCATCGCTTTTCGATGCTCTTCAGACGCACCACGGCGCCGACTCTCCTCAAGTCAATGCCAAACGCAGCACTGACAGTGGAAATATCAACGCCAGCGGCCACGACTTGCCGGTAGATCTCTTCTCGCAGCTCTTCAGACAGCACACTCTGCGATCGGAAATTCTGATTGAGAGGGAAGGGCCTCATGTCGCTGGGTCTTTCCTTGGGTAGCCCACTCCTTGATTCGATTTCAGCTTTCGCGGCTCGTTGTGCATCTCTTTTCGCCTTGTTGGCGGTGATTTCATCTTCGTCCATTCCTTTTTGCCTTTCCTTGCGCTGGATCTCTTCCTCTTCTTCGACGGGAGGAACGTCGATCTCTGCCTCCAGTGCTGGTGGTGAAGGCCCTCCGCGCTGAGCATTATCCCGTCCTCTTCTGGAACGGAGCAAGTTGCCGTACTTGTCGTACGCGCTCATATAATTTGTGCTGCCCGGTAGAGGATCGCGAAAAGCTTTTCCAGGTCCATTGAGCCATTCCCACATATTACGGCGCAGTTTCGTGGCCTTGGATTTGGGATGGAAGTCGCGCTTCTGCTGCGATGGAACGGCGACAGAGGTGCCTTCAGTGAGGCCGGATGGCCGCGTGCGGAAGCACTGACATGTTGATTGAGTCGTCAGCCGATGAGGCTGTATTCGTGGAGGCATTGGCGATTATGGCAGCACGGGTGTGCTGCGTGATCGTGTGCAAGTCGATGAAGGTCAAAAGTCGGGATGCACTTCAGGAAAGTGTAATGCCTGAGGCCTCACCTCCGTGCCAGCTCCGCTGCTGCTGCTGCTGCGTTGGAACGGCAGCAAACATTCCTTTGTTGACTTCACCTTTGAGTGAGGTAGCTATGTATACCTGTAAAACGATGACTTGATCACTTGAACTAATCTCTTTTGCCTTGACGCTGACGCTGTTCTCTGACAACGCGCTATTACTGAACTGGCTTTATACCAACTCGTTGCGGGATGATATCTGACTACGACAAGGAAGAATAACTCAATGAGCGAGCACCTACATCAAAACCCGTATACAGTGGGGTGTTCTGAGCCCAAATCACCCCAAAAATTATTGTCGTGCTGAGCGAAGCACGGCAAAGTATTCGTGAGCGCCGCCGTACGCGGAAAGAGCGAGGCTCTCTGTGTCTGGACGTGACTTTTGCTGCGGACATTGCATACAGCACAGATCCAAAACAGTTGTTCACGACAAAAAGCGACCGAGTGGAAACCATCATACGAGCACTGTCTGCATCAAAAGATGTGTGCGACTCAATAGCAACAGCAAAAGGCAAGCTACAAGAGCAAAAAGATGAGATGATCACCAGCGATGAAGCTGACCCCTGATGAATTGTTAGTGACTGCTCGAACAATGAAGAGATCGATTCAACTCACGATTTGAACGGATGACCTTCTGGAAGTTCCAATGACTGGAATCAGACGCGCTACCGCTGCGCCACAGCTCCGATGATGGAAGAGTTGAAATTCTGTCACAATATGACTGCTCATGCAAATTTTCAGGTGGGTCCGGCAACCTTGCTTGGTGACTTGCCGAACTGCCACGCACTTGCCGGCCTACTTTCCCAGTACTACGCAAGCAGCCCGTCTTCTCTCTATCGCTATCCTGAGTTTAGATATATGCATACCCTCCTTATACTGCACAGCTGTGTGGACGTGTTTCGAAGTCGATGCGTGGTGAGCATGAACCCGGCAGGACGCTTGGCGTATCCCTCTCCTGCGATGGACCGCTGACACGTCAAGCTACAGTACGCCATATTAGCAGACGCACAATGGATGATTACGTTGGTAGCATGCAGTTGTCAAGGTAGGAAGCTCGTTCATTCACAAGTCTAACGCTAATCGCAGTTCATAATCCTCATCCCATCATGCCTGACAGTCCGTTGACCGCTCAATGCTCCTTCAACCACTTCAACAGTTGCTGGAAAGCATCTTTCTGCTTCTCCTTGATATTTGCGTCCTCGTAATCTCCTAGAACTGCAAACCCGTGTGGCACACCTGGGAAGACCTTCACCTCATGCTCCACACTCTTCTCCTGCAGCTTCTTCACTCCGGCATCTCTCACATCATCAGGAAACAGAGTATCATCCTCCACAGCCACGATCGAGAGAGGCACTTTGCAATTCTCCAAGTCTTTTGCCGTGATCTGCGTGCCGTGCGCAATAGCTCCGACTTTGATTGCAGGTCCTTTCTTCGCCATGCCCTCTTCGGCTTCGGTGTCTGGTTGTCGCTGCCCGGCCGCAACGTCCGCATACAGTTCTGATCCCAGTAGCAGGACGTACTTTGCACCGAAGCAGTATCCCACAGCGTAGATTCCTCCTCCATGAGCCACGGCGTCTGCGAACTCTTCCTTGATGCCATCGATGGCTTTCTGCAGAATCGGAAGTACTTTCTCGGGAGTGTGACGAGCGAGCCACATATCGATTGTGAAGGATTTGGCCACAGAGGCGAAACCGAGCTTCACTTGTTCGATCAAGCTCGGTTCGGGTTCGGAGGGCGTAGTGGTCGTGTGCGAGACGGAAGAAGCAGGATCGCCGGCGAATCTGTGTGAGTAGTATTGTCAGTGAGTGATGATTTCTTAACTCATGATGGGCAGTGACTGACTGATCTGGCATGGCGACCAGGAAGCCTTCTGCTGCGAACTTGTCTGCCTGGATCTGGTTGTTGGTGGAATGGATCCCAGTGCCGCCAGTCAGGAGCAGGAGCAGCTTCGAAGGGGAGTGTGGGTAGTCGGCTGGTTTTGCGATATATGTCTCGACATCGTTGAATTTGGCGATCTCCTGCAAATGGTCTCAGCTCTTGTTGCTGCACGTGTCGCTTATACCTTGCCGTACGCCTGTGGGTTGCTCGCCCGATGCTATACTCTATCAGCTCTTGATCTTTTCTTCGCCGGCACCGGGAGATGTACGAGTAGGTCGGTCGGTGGTGCAATGCTCCTGCAAAAGTCTCCCTTCAGCTCGTGTCCTGGCAGCTTCGTTTGGGAAATGATCGTACTCCCATGCTTGCGGCGCCTTGGTCGGGCTTGCTGTCGCCGGGCACTGCACTGGCCTCCTGAGCATCGCTTTCGGGAGCTCTCGTTGCTACATCTTCGTCGGCCATGTTGCTTGGACTTTGGTTGTGGTAGTGGCTTGTTATTGCGTCTCGCAGACACGTTGCTGGGGATGGGACAAGGCGGCATGTGAACGTCAGCGGGGCAGGATCTTGGCAAGCTGACTGGCTGAGAGCATTCGCACGCTAGCTCATGTCCTTGCATCGTGCATGAAAGGGCGACGAAAGCGCGGTTTGCGGGAGAAGATCTGCCACTTCACTTCATCCTTCACGTCACGTTCATCTTTCCTCATCCTACTCCCACAACATACACATCATGGCGGCCTGTGCTTTACTTCTACCTGAATGCATACTTCAAGAAGCCTTGGTCCACTTCGGCGGGACCCAAAACCGGCTCGAACACATGCAAATTTCATTACGTCCTCGGTTCTGAGTGAACTTGTGAAGAAGGAGGTTCTACTTGCGGATTTATGACCGATCATTGCTGAGAACCTGTGGTATCGAGCAGCTGATGCAGCTGCAGAAGAAAAGCCTAAGGGCGCAAAAATTTCGAACCACGACGGTGTCAGAACGGATCACGACCCACCACCACTGTGAAGTTGCACGAACACACCAAAAAAATATTTTTGAACGCTCGTATAGCGGATGGTCAACGGGTTAATCTTTCCAGATGCCTAATCGCAACTCCAGACTTTCGGCGTGCCACGTACTGGATGTCTCGAACTCGAAAGTCCTGCGCGAATCCCCAAGAACCTGTCCGGAACCATCACGCACCCTCACGGAAAGATGTGCTACCAGCCTGTGGCGCTTACAAATTTCCGCTAGACCAAGACGCCGAGCTAGTGGATGGTGCACCTGCACTTCCGTCGTTTATCAATGCTGAGCGGCGCCGTGCAGGGGCCGCCAGGATGAAGTTAAGTGAAGTGAATCTTGAGGCGGAGCTCGCGACAACGGTGCTGCAGGCGACGCGCAAACGCGCGCTGCACAGTCGCGCTCCAGATAGTAGGTGCGCTTTTGGTGATGTAAAAGATTCTCTTCGGTCTTCTTCCTCCCTCTCTGCCTTCTCTCCACTCCTTCATCCTCATCCCACGCCACCACCGCGCACCACCACCATGACGAACGCACAAGCAAGCAGGAGGAAGGAGAAGAAGAAGATCGTCGCGTCGCCGCCGCGTAAGTTACCTCAAATATCTCACCCCCATTCTCTTTCGCCGAACCGTGGAGTGCTCCTGGGGGCTCCGGCATTGAGCTCAAGGACTCTCCCCGTCATGCAGAGCGACCGACTCGTCACTTTCCTTCCAAGGTCGCCAGCACGGTGCCGAGCATACAATCGGTGCCTCGAGGAGCGCAGTGCGTTCCAAAGGGCCAGAGAAAAGCCATTGAGTGCCTCTATACAGCCGAGAGGCACCAATCGCGCTTTCGGCTGCTCTCTGCCTGGCGGGCGCTGCTTGCGGCATCGCGCGTGGCTCTCGGTTGACGCCATCCTCGTGTCAATGCACAGAGCGAAATAGTTACTGACAAAGAGGTATAACAGCACGAAAAGCGCGCACTGTGCGCGTGAAGCGGGGTGAGAACCCCAATCTGGCCTGGAAGAAGAAGAAGGCGAAGGAGGAGAAGAAAGGCAAGAATGCCAAGAAGAAGTATATTCATCTCTTGCTCCCTTCTAAACACTAGCTCGAGGGCGCTCAACAGAAAAAATCGCGGACTTTGCCAGGTATTTGGCATACAGAGACGTAGAGAGGCTAACACATGTTAGGGCCGACGACCTTGCCGCTGTCGTGGAGGCAGCTTTCGCCCAGCACGACCGCGGCGTAGACTGGTACGTCTCTGCGCAGCAATCTGAACACATGCCATCGTATATCCAGACGCTGAATTTGTCGCAGGACGGAGAATGCGGAGCTGAACGAGCACCGCAGAGCCGTGGAGAGGCTACTCTCCGTCGAAGAGAAAGTTGTGGAGGCAACAGACCTCCAGCCGGACTCGTTTTTCGAGCTGGCCTTTGACGGAGAGTAGTCGCTCCGGCGGCAAACATTCTCAGCAAACGCATCCCCCTCAAAGCCGCCGCACCTCCCCCAGCACCAGTCCCGCCAGCCATCACAATGGCAGAGCAAGCAGTTTCCAACCTTTTCGGCTACCACAATTTCGATCACCTAGCGACCCCAGCGAGAATTTCCCTCTTCGCCCGCCTTCATATCCTCGATGTTTGGCACAACACGACGTGTATTTTCAGAGAAGCAGAAAGATGCCACGCACCACTCACCACTCAAGAAGGCGCGGCTATCTGCGCAGCCTTTGGCGATTTCTGCTTCGAGATTGAAGACCCACTCAACGACACCGACTCTACCAAGCTAGAACTCGAACGATTATTTTGGAAAGCACTGTGCACTGCACATCGAGACGAAGCGAAGAAAGAAGACGTGCTCGGAAAAGTGGAATGCTATTTACCAATTGTCCTGGGCTGGAGAGGAGAAACACTGAAACAAAGTCCCAAGTCACCAGACACGGACAAGGAGAGACATTCAAAACTGGGCGTTCTGATACCAAAAACCACGAACATGAAATTGACGTCACGGAAGCGAGACAGCGGGAACATGACTGCGAAGGGCTGGAGCGGTAACAAAGGCGCGGCGACAGCGAGTGCGGGATACCATGCGAGAATGTCTATGTCGTCGTTTGAGCAAGATCCACAGGAGTTTGACAAGGTTTCTTTACATTCAATGGGCATTCGGAACGAGAACAGGAGCAGACGGCGTTGGAGCCTCTTCACAAACAAGGCGAATGATCAGGTTAGGATGGAGATTGATTGATTGTCTGGCGCATGGACTGCATATTCTCGGCGTTGCATTGTGATTTGAGATACCCCTATGCTTGTACATACGGTTGCATGATCGTCGCTACTCCGCTCAGATAGCACGATAGAACGAGAACAGGGGTTCACGATGTCGCACAATACGATGTCTAACAGTACATAATTGAAAGAGAACAGTTGACTGACTGCTGACAGACCTTGCCCTCATGATCAACGCTCGCGCAGTCCTACACGCTACGCCTCAGCCTCCGTGCTCTAGCAATTCACCGCCTGACGTTACAGAACAACAAAGTCCTTGTCCAACTTTCCCACGTGGAGCTCTGTCTTCACGCCGCCGAAAATGCACCACTACCTCTCTCTCGCCCAGCAAGCAATTACTTTTGCTTCTTCAGAATACTCTCCACTTCTCTCGAGAACTAGAAGACAATCAGAACCAAGACTTTTCGAATTGCATAGCAAACACTCAAAGACACTCCTCGACTCACAGAAATGAGATCTACAGAACCAATGACAATGACGGACTTTTTCTTCCATCAGCAAGACATAACATTCGACAGTTGCGGAAACTTGCAGGCTCAAGTTTACGATGCTGTCTACAACTCTACAACTTTCTACATTGCAGATCACCAAGAGGAAGAAGGCTCAATCGATAGTGATCCAGACCAAGACACTGTCTCGGACGAACAAACGACTGGGTCACACATCGAGACAACGCAGCTACGACCACTCTGCCTCTTCGTTGTGAGAGGCAGAAGGCTATACAAAGGCATCCGCAATCGACTTTCGAGATCTGCTTCCTCTGCGTCACAGCAAGGGCAAACAAATGCACCTCTCCTCCCGACACCCAGCAACTACGTCGACTGGGATCTGGCTGTACTCGAGCACAATCTGAGTGGTATTGACGATATCGGAGACCTACTCACTTGGCTGTATCTGAATCTGGACATTCGAGAGCAGATCAACGGACTCTGGTGGCCAGTCATGCAAGAATGCAAGGGCGAAGAGGGGGTAGCATTGTTGTTGCAGAGATTGGAAAGTGGGACATGGTGGATTGCAGGAGACGAGAGTGGTGAATTGAGGGACACTGTTGTCGATGTATTGGGCAGGAGGCCGGACCATGGTGTATGGTGATGGAGGAGCGATAGAATGGGGCCTGAAGGGGAAACCGTTAATGATCTGGCGGGGTTGATTGTCAATATTACGAATGAGATGTAGGAGACTGCTTGTGGGTCGAACAATGTTTAGAGAGGAGTTCTGCTCGTGATGACATTTTATGCAACATATCGAGGCGTCGCTACGCTGAACAGATGTAGCTGCGCCGAACGTCTACCAGACCACCATCCTCAGCTGATCAGCTTGAGCAGAATGAGACGAATAACCATAGCAAAGATAGAAGGAGAAAAAGAAGCTTGACAAATTCCGAGCTGTTCCAAACTTGCGCAAGCAGTGAGAAATCCTTGAGCCACCTCTCGCCGCAAGCGATGTGTGGCACAGCCTTTTACCTCAGAGTTCAGGACTGGCGCCACGACCACCGTCGTAATTATCAACTTCCATATCCTCTGCATCATCCTCCTGCGCGGAAATCACTTCGGCGGCTTTGGCGGAAAGACGAGCAGATCGTCTGGGTCCTGGTGCAGGGGCATGGCCAGGTGCAATGATGATTGGCATGTTGTTTCCGTCACTCGGTCCAGCCTCGACATGATTGGTGACGTCCTGCTGCTCGTCCATGCTTTCGTCTTCGTCTGCCTCGTCTTCTTCATCGGACTCCTCTTCCTCTGGGAGTTCTGGAAAGTCATCCCAGGTGTGCCACTTGTTGTCTTGGAGTAGCTCCTCATTGATGGCGCCTTTCTGTGCAAGCTTCAGGGCCTCATTGAAGTGGCTCAGAGCAGCAGTGAGTTTCAGAACATGGTAGCTGCGAGAGTGCGGATCGAAGTTGGGATACACTTTATCTTCGACCGCCTTCTGGTATGCCTCCTCCAGTTCTATGTCTCGGACTTTGATGTCGACGATGCCGCGCAGGCTGAAAAGCATCTTCATGCCAGGAATGCAGCTTGGGTTTGCGTTATCCATTCTCCAACGGTTCATCCATCCCCGAATGTAGATCTTGTTGAATAGTGTGTTCTGCATGGTAATTTGGAGCCTCTTCAGCCCCGTCAGGTCTCGAAGAAGTGGGAAGGAAAGGTCGACCAGGTCGATGCCGCCACGTTTTGTGTTGTCATAGTGAATGGTAACATCAGTGATGACACTACGACGCAAAACGCCGAGGTCCACCATGAACGCGTGGAACTGCGTCGGATAGTAGAAGACCAGAGGATTGGCATAGTATATGCCAACAGCCTCATCGCGTATCTGCTTGTTCACGCCGAGCAAAGACAGCGCAGATTCGTATCCTTGCGTGGAGCTGCACGATTTTGGTTTGGTGCTCGGCGGCTTCTTGGACGGGTGAATGGGTCCGTCGATGCGCAAAAGTAGGTCGTAAATTCGATTGCGAAGCTCAGGAGGAAGACTTAGAAAATCGAAGTACGAATCGTTGCTTCTGCTGAGTGGTCATGAGTTAAAATTCCTGGTGCGTCAATTTCGTTGGAAACTCACCTCTTTTTCGTATTACGCTTGCCCTTCGAGGCCTTCTTGGTTTTCGCCTTGACTGCAGGTCTTGCGATCAGGGGAGCAACTTGCGTCAAGAGGACTCCTCCTGGGATTGGACCTCCAAAATCCTTCGTCTTATCTGCAGGGTTTGTGCGTTTCATGAAGTTCACAGTCGGAATACCGCGCAGAGACACCAGGCTGCACATACCGGGAAAGCGGTATATGGCAAGCTGTTCTTGAGCGGAAAACGTATCTTTGAGGCGGTAACGCTGTCGAATGTCTCGCTTACACAGAGCGCTGTGAACCATCGCCTGCTCGTCCACCCTCAAATTGAGCTCTTGGAGACCTTTGATGCTCGCGATCTGATCGAAGAAAAAGCCGGTCAACGTGGCCGCAGGATCCCAGTCACAATCAATTCTCTTGACGAGACGCGCGTGACGTTTGTCCAGCGAGAACATGATGTTACCAGTGCTCAAGCTGGGGAATTTGAAGCAATTCTCGCCGAAGTATATCGGTGCTGCCTCACGATCCGCCCTGTCAGACAAGCGTAGCAATGCAGGCATGTACTCCGAGGAGTACGGCGGGTAGTAGACGCGGCACATGTCGTAATGCTTTTCCGAATCGATGGCCTCATCGTGCACGAGGTGCATGCGGTAGATCTTGTCGCGCACGTTGCGCGGAAGATCCCAGAAGTCCGGCATCTTGCTGTTGGGGCGTGGTGAACTTGTGTTTGTTTTTGGTGTCGCAGATGATGTAAGGTTGGTCAGGCCGCCAAGTCGAGTTGTTGTGGGTACGACCAATTTGAAGTCGCGTCGCGTCTGCCTGTTCACTTCGGGAAGGCACTCTGGACTTCACGCGGCTTCACGGACTCAGTGACCGGCACGTGCCGACTTCACTATTGAAAACCGTCGCCGACAACATGCAATGCCAGAAGCCGGACGCAGTGCTACAGGCAGCCCATATCAACCAAGCTGTCGAGCACAGAGCATATCGAGTCCCTTGCCGCAAACAGCATCTTGCCACAAGAACTGCTTCGCGACATCGCGTATCGACGATCGATCGTGCAAACTTCGCAATCGCCTCGCTTGCCCGAACATGTTCAGCCAGAATGCCTCCATCTTGCTGCCAAGTGCCCCAATGCCTGCGATGCACAGAGCCCACACGAGCAGATCCTGACCTTGCTCAGTGCTCCATTCCAAGACTCTGGAAAGTTCTACGACGTCTCGAAGTTCTTCCAGCAGTTTCAGATGCCAGCCACTGTGTGGTGGCAGGCCGAGGATCACAGCCTGGCAGTATAGCAGCGAGACGATGCGGACAATCTCGTAGACTGCGCAGTATGATGATTCGCGGGAGACATCCGACAGTTCTTTCCAGGATCGGAGACAGATCATGTCGTATTCAACAATATTTCGGAGCATCTTCAGTTGATACATCGTCCTCTTGTCCACATTTGTGAAGTCGGTACGGGAGAATAATATGTCAAGCGCAGCAAGCTGTTGCAAGGCATCGAGCATTTCGCGAGGCAAGCTTCCAGGTACATCGCCAAATGCCAGGACGACGGCAGCAGCGGACTGGTTGTGTAGGGGTGTAATCGATGTCGTCTCTTTCCAGATACAGGGTGTGCTGGGTCGACATCCAGTCATGGCAGCTTGTACAAGGTCCGCCCAAGCCACTCTTCCCCGCAACCCGTTCAAGGGCAGGGCATTGAAGCCACCAGCCCGGTCGACTAGCGCATGCATACCAGCGAAATGTGATGCATGAGGACGAAAGCGGCCAAAGACATTCAGCCAGTCCGCAGTAGGCATGTAAGGAACAAACATCAATTCCTCAACTTCAGGCTGCATCAAGCACTCTTGGTAGTCCATGGCAGCCAGCGCAATCACTAGGATGATAGCCCATTCTGCGGAGATGGACTTGCTGACGTTGTCGCGCACCAGTGTGATGACTTCGCTTTGGTAGTGCACCAGCCTCTTGACGGTGGCAGGACGAGTTATGCGATTCGACAGGACAGCCAGATGTACCGCCGAGACATAATTGAGATAGTGGTAGAACAAGGATTTGTCGCAGTATGCATGCAGCAGGGGAGCTTGATGGTCGTCTCCATGCATGTGAAATTGCGGCCAGAACACCTGGGTCACTGCAAGCAAGGTCAGATACCAAACAGAGCACCTCGTATTGGAAGAAAGCACTTACTGTATTCAATGGTTTGCGTCGATGCAGCTGGCGCGATGCAAGATGGCGACAATGCACCAAGCGTCGCAGGAAGTACTTCAGGTACTGAGAAAGCTGGTTCCACAGCAGCAACAGCAATATTCTCCTCTTCCGATCCCGATTCGGCACTTGCCAGCGACGCAAGACCTCCCAACATTACACTCTCGGTAGGCGTAATGGCGTATGCTTGCCTCGACGTCTCTGCATCCTCCATATATCCGTAGTGCGAAGAAGGAGCAGCAAGAGTCGCTGCCAACTGCTGTAAAGCGTATTCGACACTGGCGACAGTAGCCCGCTTCTTGAGCCTCGCCATCTTAGCCGCGTGTGAACGCGCCTGTCGACTTGGACGACCGTCTCCTCGGCCATCCACAAAATGTATCATGGTCAGAGGCGCCATAGGTGGTATGTTTTGAATCTCAATGCGGAAAGTGGTAGAGGGATTGAGAGGTGCATCGAGGTGGTCAGTGATATGCCAAGGTTGTGCTGAAGTTACAGCAGGATAAGCTGTTTGCATGGCCAAGATTGGTGGCTGTTGAGCTCTACCAGATCTGGATGCTTTAGGCGAGATCTTGCGTCTGGAATTCTGGACAGCAGGGTGTTTTCAAGGATGAGCTGGCTGGAGCTGTGAGTGTTAAGAATACTTCCATTGCCACCGCTATGAGTGTGTATGGCTTCCTGTGCATCGTATTCATGCTGGCTGAAACAGTTCGCTCTCGATCTCGGTCCTCGATATGGCTCTCGCTCTCAACGAAATGCGCTTGTAATGGAGGTCCCGTCTTCCAAGAGACGCTGCAAGATGCGTACTTGTGCAGCTGAGGGGCTGTATGAGCTGTCTCCGGGCGAGATACCGTCGCTCATGTGTGAAGTCCACCGGCCGGATCAGCATACGAGTCCTGGGGTTCGAGTCATCCCGGCATCAGACCAACACATTCTAGTCGCTACAGCCAGCAAAAGTCTTGCATGAGTCCTCGAAGTGTTGTTCTGGTATCGTCTTCGCCTCACTGGGCTACCTCGAAGTTGACGGTCGAGTCTCGGAACCTAAGGACAAGCCAGACCTACCCATGCTAGAGGATTTACATAGATCTTACGAGATTTTGGCATCTTCAGCGATGACACATGCACGAAGCTTTGTCTTCGAGAATGGCTGTCTTACTAGATAGTCGAAGCTGCACGCGTTGTTGTTATCGAGACAGCCGCGCCAAGACTCGGTCATCTCGCTCCACCTTCCGTTCGCGCGAGCGCGTCTTCCCATGGCGTTCCAACATGCCGGGCCTGCTGACTCCACATGCTACAAGGATAAGGCCACAAGCGACTTCACTTCACCTCTGAATCTACATCTCGATAGATCTTCTTGCCGCATTATGCGAGTTGATGCAGGTTTGTGAAATGAGAAGGGTTTCTTCTCCGCCAACCTTGGTCATTCGCTCTTGCTGACTACAGTTCGATTAAATTGCAGGAATGATTGGACACCTTCAGAAGTACCGATTTCAAGTCAAGAAGCATCATTTGGATCTCACGTACTGGAATGACTATCTGACGACTGTCATAACCGAAGACCAGCAGACATATTTCCCGAATACCGCCTCGTTTGGCTTCAACAGAAATCACCACATTTTACCCGAAATAGAGCCTGCAAGTGACTCTCTAGATTTCTTCGACTTCATCCTGCTAAACATGCTCCCTCCGACTGCAGCAGCTCTGGAAGACGCGGTATTCATGGGTCGATGGCGCTCGCACTCACGAGGAGTGGACTCGCCTTGCGACTGGTGGAAGAACTCCGATACCTCAAATTCGTGATCCTCGCCCGGTGCCTCACATACCAACTGTTTCTTGTACAATTCCAGCTGTGGCCAGCAAGTGCTGCACCACTGATATCCTTGATATTCGGGAGACTCTCTGGCCTTGTTATGACGCATAATCTTTCGACACAGTTTGTTTGAGCAGAACACAGTGGGTTTTGGAATGGGCCAGCTCTCTCTGAATCTCTTCGTAGCACCAGGTGAGAACATTTCTTTACTGCTGATGAGGCATAGCTCGTTGCAGAACCTGGTGCACTCATGGGATACGAAGAAGAGCTTCAGGCTGGATTCGCCGAGGTTGGTGTCGCTCAATTTGAACCTTTGTGGGTCCAGAGTTTGGATAGCTGGATCTGTCAGTGTACGACTCACGGCATCTCCCTGTAGGTCATTTACGAGAAGGTGGCCGTACGAGCGCTTAAAAGTAAAATGGGAGAAGGTCTGAACCAACTGGTTAAATTCATCGCCAGACTCCGGGTTCACCCACATGGTGTTGTTATTGTATTTCACATAGGTGCCAGTGATGTAGGGTTCCGAAGATATCGATGATCCGGGCTTTCTCGAAGTATCGATTGCCTTGCTCTGTAAGCATGAGGTAACGACAAAATCAAGCGGCGGGTCGATATTGAGCAGTCCGTTAAACTCGAGGGCGAACGCTTTCGCCAATGTCTGTATCTTCATGTCTTCGACCATTTGCGGCCGCCAGTTACCGGGTTTGAGATAAGTCTTGAGTACAAAGGGGCTATGAGAAGCGGCAGTGCGCGCGTATGATGCAGCACGCATAGCACCGTGAGCAAAAGGCTTGGATCGTGCACGAACAACGAATTCTGCAGTGCTGACTGGTATGTTTGTATCAGATTGCATCATCTCGTTGAGGGTGCTGGGTTCGTGTACACCTGCCGGACAGAAGCCCTCGGTGTCGAAGACGTCCTCGAACCACATAAGATCATTCCACCGCGGCGGGATGTGCTCCAGAGAGATCTTGATGGAATCGGAGCTTTTACCTGCGTACTTGGAAGCGGCAGCACCATGACGAGCAATCGTCAGGCGACTAGCTGTACGAGCGAAAGAACTGGTCACTGTCCTGCAAACAAGATGCCGAAGTTCGCTGTACGTCGTACCAAGAGCTAGCTCCTCGAACTGTGGTTCGGTCAGGAGACCGGCATGCCTGATTCGTGGCAGCGTGGCAGGGCGGACCTCGTGAAAGTAGAGATTGGACGGCAGTAATGACGCGTTCTTCACTCCGTACAAGTGCGAGAACGCAAGCGCCATGCGATCGGTCCCATGTTCACCCCCATTTATGCGGAGCAAAGCGTAATTGATGTTGAGCTCGATGGCATTCCTGATCAGCGTTTCGTGCTCCAAACCATGTGGCTCGCTGCCGTCAATGTGGTAGTCATCTTGCGTAGGAAGTAGGTCATTCAAGGAGCGGCCGTGTGGCGGAGCATCGGCGATATGAACAAGGCAACGTGTCTGATGGGACCATGACTGCTGCAGTGCGCGATCGAGGCCTCCTAGCACATTTTCTGGGCAATCGCCACCGCCTGCAGCATAAAGGCTGTCGACAAATCCGTGTATCTCGGCCGTGCTTTCCGTAAAGTCTAGGGATTGGAGTTCATCGGCATCTCCATGATCTTTGTAGCTCACCACCGCGATGCGTACATCAGCCTACCCTAGGAAAGTTCGCTTGATGTCCGCAACAATGCTTTTGACCTGGTCTCGGACAGCACTGATGTATGGACCCATCGAGCCAGTTGAGTCGATCAAAAATAGGACATCTGTGGAACACATCTTCCTGAATAGCCCAGCATCTGGCAGCCGGTGACTGCGGGCGTTGGCGTCATTCGTCTCGCTGCGCAGTTGTCTCATCAGATTGCTTGACCTTGAACTTGCACCCCGGTATGGTGGGCGGCGCGCAAGGGAGAGCTGCTGAGTGGAGGATAATGTTCTTGCGACCGAGGCTTCGGGAGTACGGCGGGCGAAGAAGTCCTCGCGGCCGGGAGACGTAGTTCCATCAGGAGGTATACTTTCCGTGCCAGCTACGCGCGACACCCGGGAGCTGCGATAGAGCCGTAGCGAGTCCGGCAACAGGCTGTCTACTGTCTGCTGCGGAGGGTCGGCAAGCATTTGAGACCTGGAGCCAGAAGTAGATGACCATCGGCGCGATGCCACGACAGTCGGGGAGGTTACACGACTCGTGGAAGACTGCAACAATTGCTCGGACAACGCCTCCAGGTCTTCGGGGGCACACAGATTTGCGCGAGATGGAGGCAGAGTGTGGTGGAGGCATGGCGGTAGAATGAGGCAGACCGGCCAGCAGCGAGGATGGATGCTCTCCGGCGGCAATGGAATAATGACCAGCAGCAAGAAGAGAGGTCTCCGAGCAAGCGAGCCACCACAAGGCTGAGGCTGAGGTCACCACAGGCGGTCGACGTCGATGCAGGTTGCCTTCATCGTGCACTGCCGCTCCAGCGAGTGTCAACGCATCCCGCACTGCAGCCGCCAGTCACACCAGTGGCGTTGAGGCCGCGCCAATCCATCTTTCTCCATTTCTGCTTCTGCTTTGGCGGCCATTCTCAAGCGGCGGTCTGGCTCTCGTTGCTCTTCAGCAGGTGGCGTGGCGCGTCTTGTTCATGTCATGGCGACGGACGTGAATCTTCGCGAGGAGACGCTGCTCGCCAAGGCCAATCTTGCCCCACCTCGGCGACTCGACACGCGACAACGTCCAGCTCCTCTCCGTCCTCCTATCCATCTGGAAACCATCGAGGCACGATCGCTGTTGGCATCGCAGCGACCAGCGCATCCCGCAATCCCAAATGTCACGGCCCCGGCGCGGCCTTGGGAGAATGTCCGACTCTCCAAATCTCAGTCCCAGCTCGAGCCACAACGCCAGGAAGCCGATCCAAGCACTTGGGTCTTCACAGACGATGAGGTCGCTACAGTCATCGACGCCTTGCTCGTTGAGTATCCCCTGAGACCGGTGGGTGTAGCCCAAGCAGTAGCACAGCATGCGATTGCGTCGAGTCTGTACCAGCTCTGGCGCTCTCGCCATGGTGCCGATCAGCACACCGAAGTTCCGTGGCTGAATCAAGTCCTCGAATTGAATACGGTCACCTCGCCCCGGGAATTAGAGTACGTACGGTTATTGTGCGAGATTGGTATCCATGCTCGAGTTCTCAATGCAGCATTTCGACTGGCCTTCGACAAAGGCTGCGTGCAAGCAATGGGTCTTCTGCTAAGCTTTGGCGCAGATGCCTCAGAATGTCACAGGGATATGGCGAAGCGTCTGCAGTTTGAACATCTTGACATGACCAGGCTGTTTTTAACCGCTCCCTGTGTCTTACCAGTTGAGGTCTGGCGACGTGTTTTGCATTCCTCTGCAAATGTATCGCCAGCTGTGTTGTTACAGTGCCTTTCACACCTTCCCACTATCGCAAACGAGCGCATGCTGACAAGAGTGTTGTCAACTCACAACTTCTCTGCCACAGCAGTCGTTCTTGCATACACCAAGCCGGACGAATTAGCCCGCTATGACTAGGTACCTGCTTGCAACACAATCTGCCAAATGGGTTCCTCGAGCAGATATGCGTTCTTCGAATTGCTCATAGAAGCTGGCTTCATCTCGGACAATCCAACTTTGAGGGAAAAAATGCTACGCAACGTCCAGGATCGCGAGTCGAAGCTTGTTGGACTGCTGCTTACAGCAGGCGTAAGCTTAAACGTTGGACCGCGAAATGCACTCAAACTGGCAGTGACACAAATGGACCTCGAGATGCTGGACATTTTGACGCATGAAACCTTCAGGATTGCTGCCGAAGCGTTGGACTGGATACCCCCAAACGCCACTGAGCAAGGTGTCCTTAAAATATTGGGAAAGCTATCTGCACTGGGCCTCGACGGCGAGCCTCTGAATCGCCGATTGATCTGTGCAGTCCGGTGTAGACATATCAGGGAAGCCACAGAGCTAGTACGGATGGGCGCATCTGTTGACTACAAACAAGCCTCGGCTCTGCAAGCAGCAATACGCAACAGCGATGCGGCCATGCTCGACACACTACTTCGGGCAGCCTGCACGCCAAAAGTGTTGTCGCGTGTGGTACCAGCTCTCGTGAAAGTACGACCTCCGCAGAAGAGACTCGCGCTCCTAGAAAAAGTCCTCAGCAAAAGCACAGTGCCTGAAACCCTAGGGGGCCCGCTGGAAATGTTGCTCGCTGAAGGAGACGAAGCAGACTTGGAGTGTATAGCTCTCCTATTACGTTACGGCGCATCTCCCGACGCAAGTGACGAGGAGTCTACCAACAGCGTCTTGGTTGCTGCTCATCACGGGTGGCTCCACGTACTGAAGCTGCTATGCGAAGCTTCCATCAGGCCCTTGGTCCTTGCCAAAGCTGTCCTTGTTGCTTTTCGTCAATTCTCAGCAGCAGATAACGATCACGATTCGTCGCTGGAAACCATGCGCTTGCTGTTGAGCAAAGGAGCGAAGGGAGCGCCCGTTGACCAGGCACTTCTCTCAGCAGTAATTCAAGATTCTCGGAGGAGTATCTTAGACCTGTTGTTAACATCCGGAGCGAGCGCGAATTTCAAGCAAGGCGAAGCTTTTTACAAAGCGCTGACAAACAGGAGCTCGAGAACATTCGAGGTCCTATGCAAAACATGTCCGCCAAACCTCACAAGCACACAGCGTCTCATGCCACTTGCTATTCACCAACAATACTATGTATTGAGCAGCCTAAACACTCTTCTCGAATGTACGCAGCATAAGCGAGCTGCTTTGGATACCGTAAGTGCAGAATCAGTTGAAAGATCATCAGACATAACAGCGATCCTCCATTGCTTGTTGTTTCATGGTCTCCAGATCAACGGCGGAGAATGCAAGTTCCTTCGTCTTGCAGTCCTAGCCGTCGACATCAGTTTGCTGCGAGATATGCTCGCATTAAAGCCGAGTGCGCTGTCACTTCAACTAGCGTTCGGGGCCACTGCACGAATCAACAAGCGACGAACAAGACTAGATGTGATGAAACTTCTACTCGAGCAGGCTTCAGGCACCGAAATCGGACAAACGATATGCATCGCAGATCAGACACAGCTCGCGATAGACGGGGACTTCGAGGGCCTACATCTAGTCCTACAACATGGTGCTTCGATAAATCACCAAGGCGGGATAGCCGTGCAGAAAGCAGCAGTATCCGGCCATCTAGAAGTGTTGCGTCTGCTGTTGAAACATCGACCTTATATCGAAACGGTCACTAAGGCATGCCTTGCATGCCTGAAATCTTTCCAGAAAGGCAGCGATTTCTCACCGGACCACGTGAACACAATATACGAAAGCCTTCTCAATGCCAGTGCCGGCACAGACAACAGCCTCTTGTCCAACCTTCTGCAGGCATCCGTCCAAAGCGTCCCACGGGATGTCCAGTTTCCGGCCTTGCTACTTCGCCGAGGCGCCAAAGTCCATGAGCAGACTACTAAAGCAGCTCTCGAGGCGGGTTCGGACGATCTTCTGCATCTGATCATTCGCAAAACTTCTGGCAAAGAGCTGTTCCATTTGGCGTCAGCATGTGAAATGTCTGCGGGACGTCGAATCTGGATCTTGGATGAGTGCCTCAAGCAAGATGTTAGTCAAGTGGACAAGTCCCGCGCTCTTCTGCATTCACTGAGCGCCAAAAGGATACACGACCTTTCTGCTGCAGACTGCCTTTTGAGGCACGGAGCTGACATCTCATTCGAAGATGGAGAAGCCTTCAAGCTTGCAATCCGAGCTCAGTCCGCTGAAGCCATCAAAATTTTGGGCAAAAGACTCAACACACGTAAAGTGGCCAACAACGCTTTTGCGTATGCATCGAAGGCAACGTTTAGCGACACTCGCGCACGTTTCGAGATATATCGTGTCCTGCTGGAAGGCAATCTCGTGGATAAGTCAAACTGTTATGCAGCATTGAAGAATTGCTTCGATCGACAAGGCGGGGATTTCGACACTATACGTTTGTTGGTAACAAAAGGCGCTGATCCATATGCGGCGAGCTTTATTCTGACTTTATGCACTGGCACGACGAAGCAATTTCGGGAGCTGTGTAAGAGTGTAGATCTCAACCGAGCTGTCGACGCAGTGCTTTCCACTTTTCATGATGAAGCGGACGCTGCTAGGTGGTTCAAGTTGTGCCTTCGAGAACGACCTTCATCTGCACAGATCACCAAGGCTGATCTACTGACACGTTGTATCAAGAAATATCCCGACGGGCAGGTACTCGCAGGTCTCATTCTTGCGAAAAGCAATCTCGCTTCTCAAACAGTATTGTGCAGCGTGTTTCCTGGTTGCGCCGAGGAGAAATGCTCGGTATTAATCTGGGCGCTGTTATGCAGACCACGAGTTTCTAACAAGACGGTCCTCGATCTACTTGGTGCGGGTAAGTTGAATTCTGGTCGCGGGCACTTACAATCGGCTACTAATGATTCTAATAGGCTGTGACATCGACTTTGCAACTCCTGTGACGGTTTTATCGGCATCAATGGCCTGTGTTCTAGACAAGAATAGAACACAGATACTGGAAGCACTTCTCGAAATCAGACCAGGTCTTGCCTTTGACAACCATGTGCCAGCATCGGTGTTGGCGTGCTTGGGCGCTCGCTCGGGATCTGCCTCGAAAGACCCCATCAACGAAATTGGCACACTCACTCTGTGTCAGGCTTCGATATATTTGGGCAACATTGATGCGTATGACCTCCTGATGAACAATTCTGTCTCAGATGAAGACGACCTCCATTTGGCGGCTTGGCTCGCGCTGCCAAAATTCGTCGGAAAATTGCTGGAAACCCACAACTCGAATCTGGAATCGGAAGCCTACAGCAATTACACCCCTCTGGCCGTTGCACTGGAAACGGACAGTGGGCAATCTTGTTGCAAAGTCGCCGACACAGAGGCTCCCTTTGAGGTGCGACGGAAAGAGACAATCGAGCTGTTAGCAAAGAAGTCGGCATTCACTTGGCGACACAGGCAAAGGACTTATGTGCACATAGCGCTTTCCAAGGGACCTGAAACCACCAAAATCTTGCTGGATATCCTGGACATGAAGAACAACCCATGGCGTTTCACCATGCTTGTATATGAAGATAAGGCGGGCAGGAGATACACACCATACGAGTACGTAACAGAGCTCATGAATATTCAGCCGTCTGAGCGTGAAGGACTTCTGCGGTGTCTCGCAGCAGGCAACTTATTGACCACTCTTGAGCTTGCTGCTTCAGGTGGACGATGAAGAGCATCGTATCAAAGGTCAGGGCCTCGACCCACCCATGTCGATGGGGAAAATCATACAACTTCTAACTGCTCTACCAATGCTGTTGATAGCCCTCGACTAAGGAAGCGTGAGGGACTCGCCATCTTTCAAGAGATTGAAACGATCCAGATCGGCACCTTCATTATCGCCATATCGCCCAAGTTTCGGAACGACTGTAAGCAAAACTTCGCCTCTACCTATCTGAGTGAATCTCTGCGAAGCACCTGAGAATTCTTGCCCGAACATGTCAACAACAATGCGAGGACGATGCATGCAAAAGTCGAGCCAAGCTTTCGGGACTTTCCTAGACAATGTATTCACGTTGTCCATACTCTGGTTGTCGACAGACACCACTTTCTGAATTGTGGTTGTGAGCTCTGCTGCAAGCGAAGAAATGGTGTCGCTAAACCCTTTCTTCAAGCGCGCACGGGGATCGAACTGCGAAAGAACCGGCTGTTTGAGGACTTCTCTGCATTCCTGCAAAGTCATGTATCTCCAACGCTCTGTTGCAAGGCTTGGAGCCGGCCACTTAAAGCTGCCTGCGTCCGGCAAAAACGGTTCCACTGTCCGAGCAGCTTGGTCCTGGTTAGGATGCCTCTGTGAGTACGTATGCGGATTCCCGACACTGTTGGCGACCCATTCGTGCTCCAGCTCCTTCCCAAGCTCCCCAAAGACCCGAAACGGACTTATAAAGACAAATCGATGAAGTATGGACCAAATGATGTCTTGCAATATCGCCTTCTTGAGCCGCCGAATGCTATGCTTTGCACTGTGTCTCTGTAACACATTCTCCGGACAAACCGTCTGATCCGCCTTCCACGACAAACCGCTGATACCGTTAATCAAGTTTTCGATTTCCGAGAAGCTGTCTTTCAACTTTGCATCTGTCTTCTGTGGCAAATTTACGGTGCTGAAAATGGCCGCCTGGTACACCTCATCATCGCGTGACAGTAGCGCGCCGTTGAGATCTTTCAACTTCTTCTGGAGTTCATGTACTGTGCGACCATGATCGGCTCGGAGACCTGCTTCCTGGTCTTCGTGGACCCGGCGGAGCTTTTCCTGTTCTCTGGCAAACTCATTCTCTCGCGCCTCGCTCTGCTGTTTGAGTGCCCGCACCTCATCCTCATGCTGTTTCTTCACCCTGCTCGCTTCTCGTCCAGCTTCCTCTCCCTGTCGGTGGAGTTTCACATTGAGGTTTCGGATCTGGATATCATGTTGCGACTGCAGATTGGCTCGGTCGCGCTTGGCATCTTCTTGCAACCTGAGAAGATCCTGTGCATGCTTTGTCCGTACTCCACGAGCCTCGTATTCGGCTTTTCGCTGTCCATTCTGGAGAGCTTGCTGAAGTTCGTCGCACTGTTGGCGGGCATCTCGCGCTCTTTGCTGCAGTACGCGGACGTGGTTGGCAAAGGACGACACTGCCGCTTCCTTGATCTTGCGCTCATCGTCAGTCCAGCATAGTGGTAGACTTTGGGTGAATGCCACAAGGCGAGGATCAGGCTCGTTTCCAGACCGAAACCCAGCTGGTCCAGATGATGGCTGCTTGTCGCGTCCAAAGCTATACCAAGGCATAGCCGTGTTCTGATCGATTGCGAATGTACTGTGAAGTTTCTGCCTCTGGAATGAGATCAGCTGCAATGGATCTCATGTTCGAAGAGCTCATTACCAGCGATCGCTTGCAAGACGCCAAAGCATGGCACATCTGACCGGCTGCGGATCATTCCCCTCCCCCACCAGGCTGTGCCAACATGCCACTGATAAAGAGCATACCTCACGCCACTCTTGGCGCTGGCGGCCTCTTCGAAAGGCTTTACGGAAGGTTGCCTTGCGTCTGTGCATGCAAGCCTTTCTGTTGCATCTCACTGATGTGACCTGCGGTTGTTGTGGGATCGAGAGTCTTGCCTTTCGATCCAGGCTGCTTGCTTGTCGAAATTCACCCATCCTATTCATCGATTGACAGAAAGCATGGCAGCCAGGAGCACATACCTCGGACGAGATCTACTTGATTCAGACGAAGAAGAAGCTGGGGGTCAACACACAAGACCAAGGCGCACGCAAAGCCAAAATGGCAACGTGGGCACTCAACCAGCGAGACACGAAACGAATGGGATGTCAACTGGAGAGCGACGATTCGTGCTGGCGCTTGATTTCGGTACCACGTTCACTGGTAAGTTGTCTCAACACTTGGCTGAGTTGTTTAGCTACTCATGCTCGAACAGGTGTCGCCTTTGCCTCGGTGGAGGCAAGAGCTACCAATTATCCCCACTCTAACAAGATCGAGGTCGTCCGGAACTGGGGTCGCGCAATGGGTAATATGGACAAAGTTCCAAGCGTCATATCATACAGCTCTCCAGGCGAGCCGGAATGGGGCTCGAACATCAGCGGCGACGCTCTGACTTTAATCAACCAAAAGCTCGAACTTGAGCTGCAAGAAGAGAGGGTGGATGAGCTAGGCCTGACATTGCGCGTCCTCAATGGCACTAGAGGCCTATCTTTCGACCACATACGCGATGCTGGCCCTAACCCCGACTTCCCATGCAGCACACCTGAACAGATTGTGACCGACTATCTGCGGCAGGTGTTTCCATGCACTCGAGATGCCATCAAAGTGAAAGAGCTGGGCCGCACGTCTACACCTGTTGACTTAGTGGTTACGATGCCTGTGGTGAGTACTGTCCTCGTCTATCTGCGGCCAGTTCTGATGCTCCGAGACAGACCTGGTCGTATCAAGCACGGAATGCCGTATTTCGGGCAGCCACAGCAGCCGGTTTCAATTCTACGGGCATTCCATCACTTCGTGAGACCATCCTGGTTTCTGAGCCTGAAGCAGCAGCTTACTACACAGCCCGCGAATGTGGAGCCGGCTTGCTCAAGGTGATTTCATCTGTCAAGAGCATAAGTGATGAAGCTCACACGATGACAGGAAAACAGATGCTTCGTGATCTGTGATGCGGGAGGTGGTACTGTAGACTCCGTGGCCTATCGAGTTACGCAGCTACGACCCCACCTTCAATTAGAAAGGGTTACGAAGCCCACAGGTACAACTGTGCAGATACTTTTGCGCTTCTATGCTGACCGAGACCAGGCAGCAAATGTGGCTCCGCTTTGATTGATACAGAATTCAAACGCTGGCTACGACGGGTTATTGGCGAGCAGAATTATGCCATGCTTGATCCTGACGCTGCGCGCCAAAAGGCGACAAATGCGTACGAAATGGAGTCACCTGCCATGAGAAAATTGATCAAAGAATTCTTCGTAGCGAAGTCCACGTTTAAGAACTATGAAAGATCGAGAAGAGCCGCGATCAAAATAGAGCTACCCGAACCACTGGACAAACTTACCATCGAAAATCGAGTGGACGAAGGTGCTTTGATCATAAAATGGTATGTGGTGACAGAACTTACTCAATTTTGGCAAGCAGCTAAACTCGTCTCAGGAAAGGGATGAAGCAGCTAATGGACAAGTGCGTCAACCCGGCTGTCGCCCTGGTCCGCAAACAGATCGAGGCTGTAGGGTCTTCGCGAGGCACGGAGGTCAAGGTGAGAACAATGATACTGTGGAGGACGTGAAGGTACTGATTTCCGCACAGACTGTCTTCCTCGTAGGAGGGTTCGGGGCATCGCCATACCTGCAAGAGGAGCTAAGAAGCAGCTTCGAATTGATGGATGTGACAGTGTTCCATCCACCAAAAGATTCGTGAGTTCAACAACTGTGTCTTATTCTTCGACTGGCATTGTACAGCCTCACAGCTGTAGTTCAAGGTGCTGTCATCCATGGCATCGAAAGGCGTAAGTAATTCAGTCGTACTTTGTTTGCGCTCTGGCACTGCACAGGTTCTAATCCGACGTTCTACAGCCCAAGGCAATCGAACAGTCACAATGACCTCGATGACCAAGACATACGGCTACGTCGAAAGCAGTTACAATCTGCGCTGGTTCATCAAAACAGGCGATCTAATAATGCGAGGCAGTCCTGCTATCTGGCAGACTGACGATTTCTGGATGATACCGCCATCAAGTGAACACAGCACTATCACTTTCCGACTGTTCCGTTACGACACCGGAGACGCTAACATAAACCAGAGACTTCCAATCAACTGGAAGAAAAGTTGTAATGGTAAGCATTGATTCGAGTATCGTACGTCAGCAGCTAATTGGCGTCAGATGTCGAAGTGGCTGGAATCGTCAAAGTCCCGCGAGGAGATCTTACGCGCGGCCCTATGGCCGGGTTGAGACAGATGCGCTTGTTTGGTCCATTTATCTGGCGAGTAACGTGCAATGACACAGATCTGTTCGCGCAGCTGCTACTGAATGGTTCAGTGATCGGGACGTGTTACAATATAGCGACGGAGAGGAAGGAGTACAACAAGAAACCGTCGGGAGGTCCTTATGGTGAGTGCAACGTTTAATACTGCACATTGCTCCAATTGCACTCCACATATAGCACAACACTCATCAGTGTGTATATGACGAACATGCAAAACTTTCGTCTCAAGCAGCCTTGTGCACATGAGATCAGCCATTTTCAGCCGTGGCGGGAGTACTTACCCAGATATTTAGCAGACTAGTGGCATAAAACGAGGCAACACTTGCAGCGTGCCCGAACGCCACTTGCTTGTTATTTCGCAAATTAGCTTCATGAGCTATATGCGCCCTCCGCCACGCTCTCCCGCCGCCTTGCTGGCTGGGCTGATGTACTATGCATAGAACATTGTTGTTGGTCTACCATGCGTCGTTCACCCGCGATCAGTCCAGCAAGCAACCTCTTGATAAGACGACACTCAACACATCGACAAGAAACATTCCACTATGGCCATGAAATTACTTTCGCTCCTCGGGTGTTTCACGAAACCTAGAGCCGAGCATCGTGAACCAGACCCTGTGGTGGTCCTGGACAACATAAAACAGGTCCAATCTCAGAGTGCAACAAGACGTCACGCGCACAGGCCTGAACATCCAGCAAAAGCAGTCAATATAGAGAAAATCAAAAAGGCAGCGCCAGAATGGAGCCAGTACGACAACGAAAATCCATTAGAACACAATGCTTCCTCTCAGTCAGTGTGCCGGCTTCGCTCACTGATACGTGAGAAGTACGCGCTCGATGTAGAAGTCTGGGACAAGAGAGATGTGCAGCAAGCCGTGCGTCCGTACTTGATGGAAAAGGCTATGAGATCAGATGAGATCATGAGAGAGTTTTTGAATATTGTCAGTGCTTGGGACGAAAGACACTTTGAGTCGGCAGAGTGGATGCTCGCTACTCAGATCAAGACGAGCCTTCTGCCAGCTTCGAAGCATCAGTTCTGGGAGATCTCACCACCGTGGACGCGTGAGAGCTTCGATGATGATGATTGAGTCACGACCCGTGGGATCACTTGCTTCGGGCTCGAGCAGCGCAAGGAAGATGGTGAGCGATGAAACGTCAGATTAATAGGGAGACACCGCGAGCTCAAAGACCGCGCACGTGGAGCTGATGGACAATGAAGACCAGATATTGTTGAGTGAAGATTACTGAACAAGCACCGCAAACGAGATTGTAGTGATCATGCGAACCGACAGTCCTCGATAGGCCAATAAAGCTGGTGTTCAGACACACCTATACTGTACAATCAATTTGATCTCATGCGAGTCGGCTGGGACATTGAACAGGATCTCTCTCAAGAGACGGTACACCATGGCCTGGAGACGGATGCTTGGATTCAACGTCCATTCAATAGAATCCGAGATAGAAAACAAGCGTGGATTTCTTTGGTACGTTCTCTGCCGCTCAGTGAGCCGATGCCAACAAGACTCTTTGCATCATTCGATGATGGGTCAGTAACAATGCAAGGGCACACAATCATGGCTTGCGAGCCATTACTGGCGGCGCTGGGTGACAGCATTCGGAACGTAAGACCACCCAGGGCGACCGCCATTGCATCAATTGTGGCATGGAGGACACGTGGACATGAAGAATCATCTGGACATTGGCTAGGAAGCTCAAGCCACTGAGGCACGTGGGCCCCCTGCTTCCTAGCGGAGGCTCACCTGTATCGATGTTGCCTCGCTTCTTCCTTGATTCCGAGGCCACGGGCTCGGACTCGGAGCATTTTGACGTTGTGTGGATTGTAATGCAGCGAATGGGAGGAGATCAGGCCAACCATAGCCACAGTGCTCAGGCATCACGAGGCTTCGACAAGGCTTTCGTTCAATCCGTGTACGCATATCGTGCGGAGCTGATGTTGCGGCTGTGAAGTCTTCTGTATCCTGTTTGGCCAATCATGCCGAGCACAACACTCTAGCCAGGTACCACTTCTGGCATAGATCTGCTCCCAGCTAGATGTTGGAAGATCCAGTGGCTGAGATCAAGCTTGTACTATCTTTGAATGGTTAAGTTTGTCAGCCTTACTACATGACAGGAGACTTCATCGCCATAGCAGATCGGACGAGAGTGCGACGGCAAGGCTGTGCGTTGCCTTTCTACGCCCAGTATCTCGTGCCGCTTTGCTACTGGACGCCAAAGCTGCAGCCAGATCAATTAACTGCTGGATGCTACTTAAAAATGATTGCCTTCAGCCTTGTCTGGAGTGACGGGCGGCCTCAGTAGAATGTGGCTGGTGGGCGGCCTCTAGATTCGAACGAGAGCCTCTGCAAGATCATCAGGTGATTGACTCTCGTGATTGAATGGTCGATACTGAAGAGTAGATGGAGGATGAGAGGTCATTCTGTGTGCCTGAGGTTAATACAGACCACCGCCAGACTCAAGAGTTGCATATGACGTGTTGATGCCTGCCAGTCAGGTCGGGAGTCGAGCAAACCGGGCTTATGGTATGCGTAGACATCGAGGATGAACAAATACCTCATTGTGTTGACCATATGTTGTTGACTTAAAATATTGCATGGGACCAGGATATGGTCTACCTCCCAAGTCAGGCGCGTGCCTTCGCTCGGTCTGAGTGGTTGTGAGTGTTCTTGCCTCCGGTGGTTTAGTGCCTTAGGTTTGGTAGTTGCTCTCGCGAAGCGCCTGATGCTAGACTGTGCCGAGGAGTCGCTTTGTGCACTCGGCAACACTGCTTTATCGACGACATAGAATTACTATAACGCCGGCCTAACAAAGTCGAGATGCTTGGTTCTAGATAACTTAACGAAGATTATAGGCATATAGATTATACCTATGCGTAGGCTAAAGTGCAGGCTAGAAAACCTGCCTAATACCCCTTTACGGGTGCACTCGGCAAACAACGGATGTACTTACGACAGCAACCTTTCCGATAATATACGACGATTCTACAGTATAGGCGACAAAGTCGAGATACTTAGTCCTAGATAATTTAACGACGATTCCGAATATATAATAATCTCCTATATAGGCGTCGATGTGCAGGCTAGAAAACCTGCAAAGTGCGTTTTTGTCGGCTTGTCGCAGTGCACGATCCGGCTGTTTGGCGCGTTTTGGCATCAGACCCGCTCCGCGGACAGCAGTCACTACTTCCACGACAAGAACATAAACCTGGAACGCGGCAGCTACGAAGGTCTGACTTGGGAGGTAGGATATGGTGGTCAACATGCCAAGACGCCATTTCACTGACTTCACCTTTCACTTCCTTCTCTTGTGTGGACCTCGACTTGATATTCATCAACGCGATGAGAGTCATGCATCGGATAGACCGTGCTGAATGGACTCTTATCAACTGCAATCATCTGCATACTACTGTCGTGCCTGCCAGGTCTACGTCTCAGTTGCTACTTCATATCAGGCCGTTGGCACTTACCTCGAATTTCGTATTCCAACTCATCATCATAACACAACTCATGCTGCAGCTGGGTACATGTATTCCATCGCAAACATATCTCAACATGGCTGCAGAATCTCCAACATCCGCAATAATGTCCTCACCGACCAGCGACTACGCCTTCATCACAGCACACATCATCAACGGCCCGCAATCTCCACGCTACATCCTTCCCTTCTTCGTCTGCTGGTCGGCATTAATTTTCACACACACAGCACCCCCACAGCGAACCTTCTAGGACTGGTGCACTCTTGGCGGCCTCGTAATCACATTCTTCGTCCTCGCTTTGCCACAGCCGTACTGGGAAATGGGGAACTATGATGTTCCGATGTTCTTCATTGGCTTGTGGTTCACGTATCTCATTTTATTAAAGAGGCCGGAACGGTAATCATATTGCTTTGCCGCAAAATTGTCAAACAATGGAACTAAAGAGTGACAAGATGCTGATTTTCACTTTACAGGGATTTTGAGCGTCACGATGAGAACCAACCTCCCGGTCCAACGGACTCGCGCGAATTTCTGAGGTGGCAGCGAGGTAGAGCGACCAGCGTACTTTTCTCGCCGAGACTACATCACTGGTTCATTGGCGAAGATTACCACGACGACACGCAACCTCCCGCAAGATACTACGCAAATGAGCTGCAGTATTTGCTACACTGGGCTTGGCAACTCCCTCTCTCGTACCTGGCACTGGACACGATGTACCACTACTTCGTAATCCAAGACCCGTACTGGATAAACCTCGAGATGTATTGGTGGGAGCCCTACGACGCTGATGCACTAAGACGCACGATCGTCGTCTGGGTGAGCTGCTGGGCTATCACTTCGCTGCTCGAATGTCTCATCAGTCCATTGTTCCTCTTCCTTCATCTCGCTGGCATTCTGGGACGCACATGGAGTCCTCACATGCATCCTCCAGCCTTTGGAAGTCCGATGCAAATCCTCAGCCGTGGAGTCAGAGGCTTCTGGGCACGTGGAGGATTCTAGCACAGTCTCTTTACTGTTGCCGTGATTGCGCCAGGGCATGCCTTTTCGGATTATGCCGAACTGTATGACGATCAATTCGAGCGGTACTTATGGGCCGCGGTATCGGGGTTTGGGTTCTCTGGTTTAATGCATGCTGGTAAGCAACCTAATTCCTTCGTCTCGATACAAACAGAACTGATGTATACAGGTCTCGTCCCCCGCGACCCACTATATGCCAATCTACCAGGTGGAGAATCGGCCTTCCATCTCAAACTCTGCATAGTCTGCTTCTTCATGTCTCAGATTCTTGCGTTGGGTGTAGAAGCTTTCGTTGCGGCGATAGCGAGAGGTATCATGGGCTCTCAATTCTGGAGACATGGCTTTGGACTCAGGTTGCGCTTGTTGATCACTGCACTTTGGGTGGTCGTATGGTTCGTGTTTGCCACCTTCCCTCTTGGAAACGCATTCCGACAGCTGGGCTTCTTTCGCTTCTCGCCAGTCCCGTTCAGCATTTTGACCTGGCAGAGCGGGAACTGGTCTGGAGTAGTCGATCATTTGCGAGAGAGCGTGGTGCAGCCAGAATTGCACTAAAGAATGAGAAGATCAGATAGGAATCTGTCTAACACTCTACCGTCTCTTTGTATCGTAGGTTTACCAAGGCCGTGTATGCATTCTTCATGATTGTCCGCTAGTTTCCATTTCCGCAGGTCTACGGCAGCACTCACTCCTCAGCCGCATGTGCGCCATACTTCTTCAAGACCCTCTCCACTCCATCCATACCCTGCTTGAGCACCTCCATCGTCGGTCCGTACGAAACGCGAACGTAGTGATGACAAGGACTGTCAAACAAATCTCTTCTCCTCGCAGGGTTCAAGTCGAAGAAGATACCCGGCACCACAATAACTTTCTCCTTTAGACAAGCCGCAAAAAAGTTCAGCCCATCATTAATCTCATGTGGCAGATGTTCCAAGTTGAGCCACAAGTAAAACGTGCTGTCAGGAGTATAGCTCAGCTTGAATCCCATCTTCTGCAAACGATCCACGACATAATCGCGTTTTTCGCGGAAATGCGTTTGTAGAGCCTTCATCTCAGCTCGGACATTGTCCGGCTCGAGCATGGGGACAGCGGCCTCTTGGAACGGAACGTTGGTGCCTCCGTCGAGGTAGGAACCGCAAGATCCGAGAGCCTTGACGAACTCCTTAGGTCCGAGAATCCAGGCCACACGCCACCCGGGAAGTCGGAAACGCTTGGTGAGGCCGTCGATGATGAGGACGCCGTCTTCGTCAACGTCTTCGACGTTGGAAGCGGCGGAGATGACTGTTCCGTCGCAGTCGGTAGTGTAGTTGTAGCCGCTGTAGAATTCGTCCATGATTAAGGTGGCGCGGTCACGGCAGAGATCCTGGATCTCGATGAGCTCGTCGGTGGGAATCATCTTGCCTGTTGGGTTACGCGGGTTGGAGGTCAAGATGACAGAGGTTCCGCGAGCAATTTCGTCTTCGATTTTCTCGGAGTGGATTTGGTAATTGTCGCTTTTGTTCAACGGGATGGGAAGTGGGGTGAAGTTCTTAAAGAGGGACAACATCTCGTTGTATGCAGTGTAATCGGGAATGAAGAAGCCTTTCGATCTCATGTTAGCTCGTATTCCGGTTTCTATCGAGGGCACATCTCACCAAGATAGGAATTGCCAAGAATAGCAGCGATTCTGATCAGCCCAGCGCGCCCACCTGGGACGATGCAAACATTCTCCCATGTGTACTGGCTGTCCTTGCCTTGGCGATGGTGCTCGTTGTAGAGGCGGGCGACAGCTTCTCGAAGAGGCTTGATTCCAGCAGTAGGACCATACTCTCTCCCAGTAAGAGAGATGTTGATGCTCTCGGGACGTGGGAAACAACCTTCGATTTCGTCGTCAACCTCTGGAGCACCTTGACCTAGGTTCGCCCACAGATGTGGATTCTCCGCGAAGCCATGTTCATAGGCTCGCTCAGTGCACCAGATAACTCCCGTGGAAGCACGCGATGGGTCAAGTCCGGCATGAGGCTGATGTTTTTGTCAGTCCCGCCGCTGATGCACGAAGCATCCGAACTGTAAGTACCTGATGTCCCTCGTGGGCCTCTGAGATTGGTGTTAGCTTGCCTCACGGAAGGCAGAATATATCGACAGTACAAGAATGTCAACTTACGTCTGTACTGAAGATGTATCGCACTGTTGAGCTCTGCAAACAAGTCAGTCTGTGCATAGATTCATGTCATATCGTTCGTGGGCACGAGTAAGTGCAGGACGCCGTTCGAACTAGCAACTAGTCTGTCCTGCACATCGTCGCATCGCTCGATTGCGACAAAAGTGATGACACGAAGGCGCATTCGGTACGTTCGCGCGATCCGAACTCCAACATCAGGCGTGTTTTCGCCGTCTTCTGGATCTTGTTCCCCGCAGCTCTTCTTGTAAAGATCCTGGTCGCTGCATGATTTCTGCCTGGTTATGCTCCTCACAGCCTCCGACTTGGCGTCGTTGGCACAAGGTCGAGACTTGGCATATACGTCGTCGTCTTACCTTCAGCGCTTGGTCCTTGTGCAGTGGAAAATCGGCGCGGCCTTGAAGTGCTTAGCCTGTGGCCGTGGCTGGGCGGGTGCTCCCCGACGTTGCCTCCGCGAAAGGATATCGCGGACATCTTTGCGATGGCTCAGAAAAAGTGGATAGAGTCTCAATGGCGGGAGAGAAGGCTCAGGAAGCCAAGGGCGGGTTTAAGAAAAGAGTTTGGTTCGAGGGACTTTTTGCACAGCCCGTTTTGTGTCAGATTTTCTGCAGCGTCCAGCATGGCCTGGCAGCAGCAGGAGCTTTGCGGCGTTTTAGAAGCAGAACTTAGTCCTTCACGCCTGCTCCGCTAATTGGCCGTTCGGGCTCGAATACGCGTGCTTCCTGTCACAACGTGGCAGGATGGATGCTCCGGCTGGACAGTGCCGTGCTGGCGACGCACTAGGAGCCTCTCTGGTCGTACAGTGATGCTGCTCGTCCTCCGCGACACGCCCACGCTGGGGAGTTACGGCAGCGTGGACGCGTTTGGACGAAGTAAAGCCGCGTCGGAAGGCGGTCTGGAGGCGCGCCGACCCCACGCCCAAGCACACCGACCCAGCAGCACATCACTTCGCACAAATACCGCGGGGCTGGGATCAAGGCTGAGCCGGACGTGTCGCCAACTCATCCTGCCGACTGGAAACTCACACGACGATGTCATGAAGACGTGCGGCCAAGCTCCTTTTGCCTGCGCAATTGATGTGAATTCAATAGCGCATTAGGTAGGCCTACCCCTGATCGGCTCGGTGACCAATCGATCTGTCAGAGCCAAGCTGGATACCGATCGCGGCATGTGGCTTGTCCTTCGTACCTTCTTACCCACCTCTCTGCAACTGGTAAACTGACGTGTGACCACGACTTCGAATGCTTATGCTCTAGTACTGGTCTTCTGACCTCACGCTCCTTTTCCGTGTATTTCGTCTTTCATGTCCACGGCGTTCCCAGGTCGGTCGTGCATTTCATGGGACGGTCCACCTCAAAACATTTCTTGAATACAGCATCCACCTCCTCGATATGGCGGTTGATGCAGCTCGCCGGCAGGCGACCCTGGGAGGCATTCCTGTAAAGCACATTGCGCTGGTCGCGGTGAGTGTGGCTTGAATCCGTCTGAAAGATGCAACACTGACACAAGAGTAGCTGGTGATACAGAATGCGGCGCTCGTCCTCGTTCTTCGATATTCCCGCATCATGCCCTTGGTTGAAGGGCAACGATATTTCGCATCGACGGCGGTGTTTCTTTCGGAGATTATCAAGTTTTCGTTCTTCCTGTCGATGGCCCTCTACGAGACCGCAACGAGCCCTCACGCACCCGATGCCTCCACGATCAGCGAACTGGCGGGCTCACTTTCGCGAGCAGTATTTACAGGAGACAGTTGGAAGTTGGCAATACCAGCGATCTTGTACTCGCTTCAAAATACGCTGCAGTATGTTTCGGCCAGTAATTTGGATGCTGCAACCTTCAGCTTGGTATACCAGCTCAAGGTCGCCTCGACAGCCATTTTCGGTGTGTTGTTACTGGGCCGAGTGCTGGATGGGCGGAAGTGGACGAGTCTGGGACTGCTAGCAGCTGGAGTGTTGATTGTACAATTTGGCACAATCTCATCACAAGAGGGGGGACCACTGTCGATGAAGGACCTGAGAGATGGCGTGTCATTCCATGCTCCTCGAAGCATCTGGGAGTTGCGAGACGCAGGCAATCAAGCTGCTGGACAGTTGAACAAGCGCTCCGCAACATACGAAGGCATCGATGAAGATGTTGCTGCAGCAAATCCTCGCATGAACGCGACCATTGGATTGGTGGCTGCGGTGGTCGCGTGCTTCACTTCCGGTGGTGCAGGAGTATACTTTGAGAAAATCCTGAAGTCGAAAGAAGGGCAAAGGACTTCGATCTGGGTCAGGAATGTTCAACTCTCGTTCTACTCGCTCTGGCCGGTGTTGTTCTTGGGTGTGCTCTTCAGAGACGGCGAGCACCTGGCCACCAAGGGCTTCTTTGCGGGCTACAACTGGACTGTATGGCTCGTCGTACTGCTGCAGGCTGTAGGCGGAATACTTGTCGCGCTGTCTTTGAACCACGCCGACAATGTGACTCGGGTTTCGGCTACCACAGCATCATCCGTCATTGTCCTGGTCATCTCGGCTCCTCTCTTGGAGTTTCCCACTTCCATGTTGTTCCTGCTCGGCACAATCATCACACTCGCAGCCGCGTTCGCATATCAGTCTGCACCAAACGAGAAGCAACTCCGACCACCGCCGATCAACGTGTCGCAATACGAAAAGAATCAGTCACCCGGGTATTTCGATCTGGAGTCGGTCTCAACGGCCAGCAAGTCGCCACTGCGAGATTCAATGCGCGACGGGCTATCGACCAGCAGGCCTGGCACGCCTTCGGGAGAGCGAAGGCTCTTCAGAGCTAAGAGTTCGGAGTGGAAGAAGGGGAAACGAGAGTTGTGATGACGATCGAAAGAGCAGGATGGGATGAGCATATTGGATACCCGCGAGGACCCAGACCCGCAATGAAGTTATGTGCATATGTGTTTTGAACAGCGAGGGCGCGCCATCATGTACGTAAGTCTTGAATGTATTCGCGTCTCCTAATCACGTCGCGTGTGCGTGAAATGTGGAAAGAGCAGTTCTCACGCGTGCCTTCCTGGTGTTGAGGCCGGAGCAGCACGCACTCGCGTCTCCACGTTGCTAACATCGCCATCTCTCACACCTCATTCCAGAGCGATTATCTCTTCCCGCGGTTCACCTGGTACAGGTGCGAAGGCGAATACACGATGGACGACGACCAGGACATCTTCGATCGGATCGACAGGCTGCAAAGCGGTGCACGCGTTCTGGACCCAAGCTACGAACCACGACGGGGAATCAGCACCGATTTTGGAGCTTACGATGGATACGACAGTGGATATCATACACAGGCCAATTATGCCGATTCCTATGCTGTGGCAAGGGACGATTACGAGGACGCACCATTGCAGCTTGACGCTTTCGGTGAGTTCTGCATCCATCGTCCAGGAAGAGCAACGCTGACAAAGTCAAGACCAGCGTCTACTTCGCCAGCCTGACCGCGACTCCAGGCAGTGGCAGGCTTCTCAAGGTCATGCCCGGTTGTCGCTGCCTCCAGCAGCCACGCAGCCTTCTCGCGTCAGTCATCTCGACCACAGCTTTCACGATCCGAGGCCAGCAGCTTCTCAACGTCCCGATCTATCACGTTTCGCCTTCAGTCCTTCGCAGAATGGCGTCCGAGATATCTCTCCAGATCGCTCCGCTCGTTTGTCAAGTCCTGCTTTCTCCGCCAGCCAACGCCATCCACCGCCCTTCAACAACGATCATTCAGAATATGAGCAGCGATATCAGCCTCAAGCTAGGGGACAAAGCTCTGCTCGCAATCAGCCAGAAGCATCAAAGGTGCTTCAGGTACATCGCACGCACGACGACGAACAGTCCTCCGATCAAGACCAATTTCCACAACAGCCTTCAATAACTACCAGGCAGGCGGCTCAATCGCAGCCTGTGGCGCCCGCACGCATATCGCAAGCGCCAACGCCCATTGTGCAAGGAATTCCACTTGTCCCGGTTCGACAGCTCTCAGACAAATTCCGCACGGTCTTCACATTCCCGCTGTTCAATGCAGTGCAGTCAAAGTGTTTCCCAGTCGTCTTTCAGTCAAATGACAATTTCGTTCTATCGTCGCCTACCGGCAGTGGTAAAACTGTGATCTTCGAGCTTGCAATATGCCGGCTGGTCCAGGGATACAGCAGTGGCAGCTTCAAGATCGTCTACATGGCTCCCACCAAGTCGCTGTGCTCCGAGCGCGCTCGAGACTGGCAATCGAAGTTTGGCGCTTTCGACTTGCAATGTGCTGAGCTTACAGGCGACACAGACAATGCGCAGCTTCGCAACGTGCAACACGCCAGTATCATCATCACTACGCCTGAGAAATGGGACAGCGTCACTAGGAAATGGAAAGATCATCAGAAGCTGATGCACATGGTCAAGCTCTTCCTGGTCGACGAAGTGCACATGCTGAAAGAGGACCGTGGCCCTACGCTAGAAGCTGTGGTCTCTCGCATGAAATCTGTGGGCTCTGATGTCCGCTTCATAGCACTCAGTGCTACGGTGCCAAATTCTCAAGACATTGCAACATGGCTGGGCAAAGACTCCCTGAATCCTCAAATACCAGCTCCACGTGAGAAATTCGGAGAAGAATTTCGCCCCGTGCGTCTCCAGAGACATGTTTGTGGATACAAGTCGGATTCAAACGACTTTGCCTTCGAGAAATTGCTTGACAGCAAGCTCACCGATGTGATTGTCAAGTGGTCACAACGCAAACCCATCATGGTGTTCTGCATGACGAGAAAGTCATGCGTGACCACTGCACAATTGCTGGCGAAGTGGTGGTCGTCCAAAGGACCTCGGGACAGATACTGGACAGCTTCTCGTAGCCGCATTGTGGTTGCAGACAAAGATCTGAAAGGTGTGTGCATCAAACCTCCGATGCTATGTGAGCTGACTTCAGGCAGAAACTACAGCTTCTGGAGTGGCATTCCACCATGCCGGCGTCAGCAATGAGGATCGCGCCGCCGTCGAGCAGGGCTACCTTTCTGGTGAGCTCAGTGTGATATGCTGTACATCGACGCTCGCGGTTGGAGTCAACTTGCCCTGCCACATGGTCATCATCAAAGGTACTGTATGCTACCAGACCAGTGGAAGCAAAGAGTACTCGGACTTGGAGACTATGCAGATGCTCGGTCGCGCTGGCAGACCACAATTCGATGATAGCGCGGTAGCTGTCATAATGACTCGGCTGCATCGCGTGGAAACGTACGAGAAGATGATGACCGGCTCAGAGGTCTTGGAAAGCTGGTATGTACACACGAAACTAGTGCTCACGCCGAATGCTAATCGCGATAGTCTGCATCAACACCTAATCGATCATCTCAACGCTGAGATTGGCTTGGGTACTATCAATAATGCTTCTTCAGCGAAGAAGTGGTTGACTGGCACTTTCTTGTACGTGCGCCTCAAGGAGAATCCAGAGCACTACCAACTGGAAGGCCTGGCGCAAGGCCGCACGCTGGATGAGAGACTGGAGCACATCTGCACAAAGGCCATCGGCCTTCTCCAGGAACATGACCTCGTTCATGGCACGATCAAACTTGAATGTACCGAGTTTGGTGATTCGATGGCCCGCTACTACATCCAGTTCGACACGATGAAGCAGTTCCTGGCGCTGCGACCCAGAGCGAAGATCTCAGAGATCCTCTCGACAGTCTCTCAAGCGGCCGAGTTCAAGGACATCCGCTTTCGTGCAGGAGAGAAGCCAATATACAAGGAACTCAACAAGAACCAATCAATGAAGTTCCCGATTCCCGTCAATATTGACCTTACCGCACACAAAGTGTCGCTGATCATACAGAGTGTTCTCGGAGCAATAGACGTCAACACGGAGGATCAACGACATCGCTACGAATACAACACCAGCAGACTCGTCATCTTCCAACATGCACACCGCCTTATCAGATGCATAATTGACTGCCAGCTGTACTTGGAGGATGCAGTGTCGGCGAGAAATGCACTAATGCTTGCTCGCAGCTTGAGTGCTCAAGTCTGGGACGATTCTCCTCTGCACATAAAGCAGATCGAGGGCATCGGTCCAGTCGGCGTCCGGAAGCTGGTCGCAGCAGGCCTCAAGAGCATTGAAGATGTCGCCAATGCCGAATCTGGTCGCATTGAGAATGCCATGACCCGCAACCCACCCTTCGGGAGTGAGCTGAAGAAAAAAGCGATGGCTTTCCCTCAGCTTCGAATCTCTATGAAGATCATCGGTGAGCCGATTGTCAAGAAGGGCGAAGGTGCGACCATCAAAGTCAATGCTGAGATTGGCTTCATCAACGAGAAAGTACCAGAGACCTTCAATCGGAAGCCGGTCTACATTTGCCTGCTGGCGGAAGCGTCAGATGGCCGCAAGGTGCATTTCGCACGCATCAGTGCAAAGAAGATGAGCAAGGGCCAAGAGATCTTGTTCAGTGCTACCCTCAAGAATCAAGCCCAGGTCATCAGAGGCTACTTGATGTGTGATGAAATTGCAGGCACGCAGAGGATGGCGATGTTGAAGCCAGACTTACCAGGCTTTATGTTCCCCGTGGCGAAGCCCGATCAGGAGACTCAGCTGCCGGCAAACTTGGAGAATGCACCAAATACGTCGAAGCGACGTGCCGCTGCTGCTACAGAGGCACGAACCAACAACGCTCTTGATGAGTTCGGAGATGCAGGTCTCGATGATGCGGCGTTGGCAGCCGCAGACTTCACCAACATCGACGACTTTGACGATGACGGGAACGAGAAGAACACAGCGAAGGAGAAACCACAGAAACGCAAGGTGTCCACTGAACCGCGCGAGTCTGTGCAATTACCGAACGGAAAGTGGACTTGCAACCATGCATGCAAAGACAAGACTGCCTGCAAGCACGGAGCGTGCTGCCGTGAGGGTCTGGACAAGAAGCCGAGACCGCCCAAGCCAAAGAATCCCAAGAAGAACGAGCCAGCATCTGATCCGCGACAGACTCAGCTCGATCTTACCAAGACCAAGACGCAGAGTGTGTCGAGCGCCTCACAGCAGCCTCCAGCTCGCAAGCCGCTGCAATCCAAGGAAGCACGAGATCTTGAGCAGCTGCACAACAGCGTCAACACATCGACGAAAGCCATTCCACTTTTGAGCAAGGCAAGCAAATCCAAGGAGGAGGCATATCAAAAGGAGAAACCGAAGAAGCATGGACCCCTCGACAACAACGACTACGATTTTGATGCGCTTGCATCAGACGACTTCCCAGCAGATCCATTTACCTTACAGGCTGAGAGCACCGTCCCACAAAACCACCCAAGGGCTGATGCTGACTTGTATGGATCCGATGACGATATGCTTGACATGGCAGACGATGTGGTGACAGATTCTTTTGGCAATATCGAGCCTGGAAACGACGACTTGCTTGATCTCTCACAATTTCCAGATCCACTCGACTTCGATCCTGGCAACGACTGGAACAGTGGCCCTTCGCATTCTGATGGCTTCCCTCAAATCAACACACTACCGCCGTTCCAGTCGATCACTATCGATTACAACGAAAAGGTACCTGCCGGGTCCTTCTGCACAACGGAAAAGGGCATATTCGTCACAGGCGACAGCACAGACAGCATCAACGACAACAGCCTCGCTTTCGTCTCTGGCGCTCTTCAAGACGACTTCAGAGATGTACATGAAGCAGCATACACCCATCATCCAAAGTTGCCTTCCAAGCGTCCCTTCGCGGACACAGCACCAACAGATGCAAGTGAATTCATCTCTTCCTCCAAGCATCAGAGAGTTCCATCCCGGCATCCTTCCGGCCTCGAGCTCGAGAGCAATCGGTGGATGTCAGACCAGATCAAGCGTAACGACACGGCGCCCCAAGACAACGCCCTTTCCATCGAAGACAACACCTTCCTGGCAGAAATTGCCGGCATCTCGAACATCGATTCACCTGCAGCGAACGATGCACAGAAGGGGAACTCGAAAGAAGCAGGAAAAGACGCCCAGCCCGAAGAAGAGACGATAGAGCAGTGGTTTGAGAAGAACTTCGGCTTGGAGAAGTTCGAACTTATCTGAGAAAGAACTGCCCAAGCCATTGTGCACGACAGCTTTCCTCCAGATGAAGGGAACCGAGGGGCGTGTTCGACACAATTCTGCAAGCACGTCGAAGACACGGAATGTCGATATATTACTTATTCACTACATTATTCCAAAGATGGCTCAAACATCAATGCACAATGGCTCACAGCATGAAAGACTAGCATGAAAATATGAACAGCATACCAGTAGATAATCATACACAACCGCACACATCAGTCTCATTTCGGTCGGCAGACTCATGAGCTAGCTAGCAATGACACCAATTTGAAACGAAAAATAGAATATAAAAGTCTTTTCTGTCTGCCGTTCGTCGTTCCTTCTACTCCTCCTTCACATCCCAGAACACCAACCGAATGCCATACCGATGCATTTCTTTATACAGCGAATACACGCAAAGGCCACTCCCCCACACATTACAGAACCTTTGATGCGCCAGCCAGAATCTCCATATCGTGTACTGCCTCCACTTGCGGAACGCCAATTCCAGCGTTCATGCTTCGCTTGATTGAAAGAATACTCTACATCGTCTTCCACGACTCTTCCTCCGAAGTCTCATCCATGCGTTGCTGCTGTTGATGATCCTCATCCTCGTCATTGTTCGATCTGTGGCGGTGTCGAGGGGAAGACAAGAGATCTGTGAGATCCCCGGAGGTTCCAGCAGCGCCCTGATTGCGTGGTGGAGGCGATCCAGCTCGACTTGACACATTGCGATTCGCAGCACCTTGAACACGGATACCTGATCTTGGTGAAGTGTTCTACGCTCCTCCAGTCGGTCCGCCGCCCCGAGTGCGCTTGACTTCTCCGCCTGCCTGAGGTTCAGCGCCGTCGTGAGCACGCTTCTGGCCCGCATTTGCGGCGTTGCCGCGGGCACCGCCGCGAGCGATGCCGCCTCGTGCACCTCGACCAGCTGCTCCGCCGCGAGGCAGTCCGGATGACAGAGCGCCACGCTGTGAGAGAGCATTGCCTGCTGCCGCACCCTGAACTTGCAGGCCCGTTCCAGGACCGCTGATACTAGCTTTGCGGCTGCCAGGGTTGCTACGACCTCCAGGTGCTGGAAGCTTGCTGCCCGGTGCGGGAATGGACGAAGTGCCCGCTAGGCTCCTCAGCGCACTGGGTCCAGTACCAACAGCTGGCTTTGTCGGTGCGGCCGCCGCTGTGGATGGGCCAGATTGAGATGCTGGCCTCGATACAGGACCGCCGCTCGCGTCAGTCGTCGCAGCTGCAGGAGCGAACGAAGCCGCTTGTGGATTAGGTGCAGGGGACCCTAGAGGCTTTGATGGCTGACCAAAAGTGGAAGTTGCTGGTGCAGCGTACGGCTGCGCAGCAGCAGGAGCTGGTACACCTGGCTTCGCAGGAGTCGTTGCTGGGCCATTTGCAGCAGCAGGCTTTGGGGCTGGTCGCGCCTTCTGAGCAACCTCCCAAACTTCTTTGATGGGCTTCTCGGGTGTCTCTTGCGCGGCCTTCTGCACGGCAGTGATCTTGGCCACCGCAATGTCCCGCTGCGTAAGCTGTACCTTAAACTTCTTCTCGGCAGCTTCGACGGCTTGCTTGACTGCTGCATCTTTGGCTTCAGTTGCTGCATCAAGTTCCTTTCTCACAATCTCAAGCTGCTGTTCGAGGGCTTCACGCGCGAGCTTATCTGCCTCGGCGTCATTTGGCTCACCACTGAGGGCAGCTGCAGGAGTTGATAGCTTGGCCAACTCTTCTTGCAAGTTCTTGATCTCGGCCTCCTTAGCTGCAATAGTATCCTTCAGCTTCATTGTCTGATTGTCCACCTGTTTCCTAACGTTCTTGGTGAGCAGTTCTTTGATTACCGCGTTGGTCTTGACCAGCTCAATCGCCTGCTCGTTGGTGAATGTGAGAGTCTTGACATCGATCTCTGTCGATGCAGCCGGCGTCTCAAGCTTGGCCTTTACAGGCGACAGAGCTTCGGCCTTTTCAATAGCTGATGCTCCATCTGCGTTGAAGCGCTCGAGAGCAGCCTGGTGTTCAGCCTTCAATTGCTCAATAGCTGCAGCGTGTTCGTCCTTCAGTGCCTGCAGCTCAGCCTCGTGTTCTGTCTTGAGCTCTGCGCCAACCTCCGTGCGAAGCTTTGCTTTCTCATCTTTGAGCAGCGCGTTAAGCTTGCTCTTCATTTGTTCATGCTTAGCGTTCATATCCTCATCGAGCTGCGACCTCGCGAGTTGGTACTGTGCTTCAAGCTCTGCACGCTGCTTAGCAACTTCTTCGGCAACCTGCTCAGCCACTGATTTCTCACCCGCAGATGGTTCTGCGTTGACCGGAGCATCAGATGCAGTAGCCGCCGCATTGGCACGAAGAGTTTCGACCTCTCGTTGTGCCGTTGCGAGCTCTTGCTGAAGATTGGTAAGGGTTTCGGTGTTGTCTGCAGTAGGCGCGAAAGAGTCGACGCCTGATTTGGTCTGGGCAGATTCGAGCTGTTGTTGGAGATCAGAGACCTGAGTCTCAAGCTCGTGTACGCGTGCTTGCAGTGTCTGAACCTGGGCCTCGAGATTTTCTGCACGGCCCGCGTGCTCGGCGGCTCGGGCTTCTGCCTCTGCAACCTTAGCTTGCATGGTTGTCTGATCATTGGAACTGCCCGAGGCCGTGCCATCCTCCTCAACCTGACCTTCCTCTGCATCGTCCGAGGACACTTGAGGAGCTTTGGCGCGAGCTTCCTCAAGCGATGTCTTGGTCTGTGCAAGCTCGGCCTGGATGGAAGCAAGTTCGGTTTGTGCTTGTTCAAGTGCAGTTGCGAGAGCGTCTTTCTCGGCGGTCACAGTGTTGTTCTCGTTTGTCAACTCAGTGATCCTCGTCCGCCGCTTCACATCCTGATCCTTGGCTTGCTCCTTGAACTTGTTCAGTCGCTCGTGCAATGGCGTTGTGACTGCCTCTTTCTCGCTCTGCAGACGCGCCTCAAAACCGTCGATCTGCTCTTGCAGCGGCGCTTGCGCAGATTCGAGCCGCTCTTTCTCAGCCTGAAGCTCTTCAAGTTTCTTCTTCATCTCCTCAAGCTCGGCGGGGTCCACACGGTCGTACTTGCTGATGATATTTTGAGTACGATCGCGCCAGTGATCTCTGTCATCTTGGAGAAGCTTCATCTCGCCCTCCTTCACTTCAAGCTCGCCCTCAAGCTCACCAACACGACTCTTCAGAGGCTCGATTTCTGCCAGAAGACGTTCGACTTCCTGGCTCTTTTGCTCCAGTGACTCTCGCGCTTGGCGAGCTTCGTTGCGCAAGGTCGTTGCCGATTCGCGGTACACGTTGAGCTCATTGATTGTTTGCATAAGCTTGGACGTGCTGCTCTCAGCAGAAGACTTCTCAACAGACTGACGACGCTCATCGGCGAGCTTCTGTCGTGTCTCCTCAAGCTGTGAATTCGCATACTCGAGCTGCTGTTGCAAACGCTTGGCTTCTTGTACCGAAAGCTCGTACTGCGTGTCAACGATCTCCTTCTCGCGCCTCAAGAAGTTGATCACTTCTTGCAGATTGGCGCTGTTGGAGGGCGCGTCTTCGTGGCCTTCGGCATCGGCGGCTGGCGTGGCAGCAGCGCGACCTTGTCTCAGAGCTGTGAGTTCTTTTGAGAACGACTCCATCTGCGAATGAAGGAGCTTGTTCTGCTCATCGAGATCTTGGCGTTTCCTCTTCGCTTCCTCAAGCTCGCGCTCGAACTGCTCCTTCTGCTCAGTCCAGCTCTCTTCGCTACGTTCAAGGCTGGCTTTGGCAGCCTCGGCCTCAGCTTTGGCCCCGGCAATCTCGGTTTTGAGTTCATTATATTCCTTGCGCACACTCGCCAGAGATTTAGCCGCCTCTGCGTGCTTCTGCAGCTCAACCTCGTAGCTAGTCTGTGCCTCCTGCGCGATTTCTGCCTGGGTCTTCACGTCCTGTTGGATGGTGATAGCATTCGCTTCCAGGCGCTCCACCTCGTCTCTCAGCCTGCTCAACTCGGACTCGTGGTTCGCCTTCTGTTCTGCAAGCTGGCGACCGCTGTCATCAGCCTTAGTGCGCAGTTCAGAAAGCTCGCTGTTGGTGGTCCCAAGCTCTGAGCTAATATCTTCGATGCGCTGCTCCAGTTCAGCTATCTTGGCGTCCTTTTCCGCAATTAGGCTGTCCATATCCTCTCTGAATTGGTCCGCAGTGACACTGAGGTTGCTCAGTTCCTCCTCGGAAGCCTGAGCAATGGCCTGATACTGCTCGACCTGTTTCTTGGCGTATTCGACCTCGGCCTTCTGCAGCTCGAGATCACGGCGCAGCTCAGTGACCTGCAAAGCCAGTCGCTGTTCCGTAGGGAGCTCTTCATCGTCGACACCCTGCTGCTCGCCATTCTGGGTTGGCTCTGGACGAGTCGAAGGTCGTGGCTGCAGTGCAGTGACCCGCTCCTCAGCAGCGCGGAGCTCGATCTTGAGCTCATCAACACGCGTCTGAAGCTGATCGCGGCTTGTCTTTGCTGCCACTAATTCTTCACGAACATTGCCCAAGCTCTTTACCAGGTCATCAATACGAGTCCGGCTCTGGCCTTCCTCGTACTCCCGTCGCAGCGCTGCCTTCTTGCTGTCCTCAACTTCGGATTCGAGTTTCTTTTTGGCATCGTTCAACTCCGTCTCGAGAGACTCGACGCGCGACTGAAGACGACGGCGGTTCTCAGACTCTTGGAGCTCGCGCTCATTTTGCAAATTTTGCAAGTCTGTGACCAGTTTGTTCAGGCGGGAGCGATCGTCAAGGAGTGTCTTGTTCTCCTCCTGAAGGCGAGTTTCGATGCGCTTGTACAGCTCCTTCTCTGCCTTGGCATTGGCGTTCTCGTTACGCAGAGATTCGGCCATAGAACGCGCCTCGACCAATTCTTCGGCTACTTGCTGCGTTCGCAAATCTTGACGCGCCGCCTGTTCGCCCAGCTGCTGTGAACGCTTCTGCAGTTCCGAATTCTCATTGCGCAAGGCAGTGAAGTTGGACTGCAACATCTCGTAGCGTTCTGCGGCCAGTGTGAGCTGAGACTGCGCACGCGCCAGGTCCGCTTGTAAAGAGCTCTTCTCGCGCATGAGAGCATCCGCCTGGTCCTTGAGCATTCGGCGATCGGTCGAAGCCTCGTTCCGGAACTGGTCAAAGTGTGTCTGGTGTTCCTTGAGAAGCTTGCGCAGATCTTCGTCCACGGAGCGAGGCGTTGCTGCTGGCCCGACGCTGTGGCGCTGTGGTGTACCAGGTCCGACACTCTGGCCGAAGAGGGACTGCATGTCGGCATCTGGAGCTAGTTGGCCACGGTACTGCAGCATCCTACGGAACATGTCGCGCTCCTTCATGTAGCTGTCGATCTGGGTAGTCGTTGATGTGAGTTCGTCCTTGTAGCGCTCCACCTGTTGACGAAGAACCTCCACTTCCTGGGCATCGGCCTCGTGTTGACGTGCCTTTTCTTTCGCTTCGTCGCCCTCCATCTGCTCGCCCAGCTCACGCGTGAGGCGGAGTAGCTTTTCGTTCTGCGCCTGCAAATCAGAGACCTCACGGAAAATGACCAGACGCTCGGAGATAAGACGACCGGTACTGCTAAGCTCATCCAATGTGCCGTCATCGAGCTCGCCGCGAGCAGCACGCTCAATCTCGTGTCGCTCATCTGCAGACATCTCGCCCAAGCCCTGATCCCTACTTTGGATTTCGACCAAGAGTATCTTGACTTGTGCGGACAGGTCGCGAAGTTGTTGGCGAAGGATCTGGCTCTCGTGAGTTGCAGTGTCCGCTTCGCCCTTCCAGCGCTCAAGCTCTCGAATCGCGCCCTCTTTTCCAGCGTTGGCTTCGTCCAGAAGTCCTGAGAAGTTGAGTACCTCGTTCTCCAATCTATCCTGCTCTTCTTTGAGGTCCTCAATTTCCGGCTTCCGTGTCTCGAGTTCATTGACAAGCTCGTCCAGAGCTGTGGAAAGTTTGTTGGTGCGCCGACGCTCGTTCACCAGGTCCTCTTGTGCCTCAGTATACTTGGTATACAGCTGAGTGAAACTGAGACCATTCACCACTTTGCGCATCGAGCCTGGCATTGCCGATGGCGATGCATTCCGGCCAGGGGTCTGAGGTTCGCCATTACGCATCGGGGTTCCTGGTCGAGACATGCGCGGTTGTTGCTCCAGTCGCTCTACTGTCAGCTCCAGCTCTGCCACCTTCTGCTCTGCAGTCTCTTTGTCCCCCCTCTCCGTCTCAATCTCAGCCTGCAATCGACCAATCTCCTCCGCGGCATCCTCCTTGATCTGGTCAACCTGTCCCTGTACCTCTTGCAATCGCGCTTTGTGTGTCGCTGCATTCTGTGCTTGCAGCTCCGCCAAGCGCTTGCTGCCATTGAGCTCGGCTCTGAAGTCCTGTTCCTTTCGAGCAGCCTCCTCTTGCAAGCTTGCAATACGCGCGAAGGCTTCGTCAGCTTTGGCTTGCAGCTCGTCCAGACGATGCCGAAGGGTCGCCTCGGTTCGTTTCAAGGCTTCCACGTTCGCATTGCTATCCTCCAGCTCACGTTCCAGGCTAGAGATCCGCGCATTGCGTTCTTTGCGGAACTTTGTGTGCTCTTGGCTCCTCGTCTGCAGCTCGCTAGCATGCCACTCGTTGTTTTTCTTGAGCAGCTCTATCTCCTGCTGCAGTGCTTGCTCTCGGAATTTCTGGGAAGAAGCTGCATTTTCCAGTGTCGAGTTCTTCTCCTCCAGCTGATTGATCTCGCGTCGCAGGGCGAGCAACTTCGAATGTTGCTCAGATAGCTCGATGGCCACACGATCCTTTTCGCTGGACTTGCTTTCCACCAGAGCCAGCGCATCACGATTGGAAGCCTCGAGTGTCTCGATTCTTTGTCGGAGTGCTTGAGTTTCGGCACTGGAACCAGAGGAAGACGACTTGAGCTGCTCGAGCTCAACCGCAAGAGCTTCGCGAGCAGCTTCTGACTGGTTAAGCTTCGTACGCAATTCTTCGACCTCCTTATGCGCCTTCGCAACTGCGGCTTTCTGAGCCTTGACCTTAGTCTCCGAAGTCCGAACGGTGTTGTCAAGCTCGACATCGACCTTGAGCTTTTCTGCCTTCAGCGCGTCGAACTCGTTGCCCTTGTCAGTGAGGGAAAGAAGGAAGTCCTCGACAAGTTCTGCCGTTGGGGCGTCCAGCAATTGCTGCACGTCATCTTCAGCAACGCCGTATGTAGTCGCGAGGTAGGCGACATCCACCGCGGCGGCGTCGTGGGCCTGGGCTCGCGTGCGCATCGTGGTGGTCCCTGTAGGAAAGAGTGTTTAGACCATGGCGTGGCGACGTGCCGTCCCTCGAGTCGGTGGAGGGAATGGGGGCGGAAATGCAGAGCAGCGCGTGAAGAATGGCGTTGTCTGGTGGTTGTTTGTGTCTGTGGCTTGAATGAATCGCGCAGACGCATCCGGCGACGAATTGATGACTAAGGCCGGACCTCCGCCTCACCTGCCTCCGCTGCACCTTCTGCCTGCCGTTCACTTGACTTGCGCCGTAGTGACTGCCATCGGTGTCTGTCACTGCCCATATCCACCGCTGGCCCCTTCTTCAACACTGCACCGCGACCACTCGCTCGACCTGGACTTCTTGAGTGACAGTTCTGGGTCTTCGACAACAATCATCGCCAACATCTCACAGTATCATCCACTACAACAGCACATCCGCCCGCAATGTCGCTGTCTTCGAAACTCGCCTCGTACAAGCAGGAGCTGGCCGATGCCACTACTAGAAACACAGCTCATTCTCGCCCAGCAGGCGCGTCTGCAGCCCCCGCCCGCACCACGACACCAAAGCCCGCCACGCCTGCGCCCGCTGCAGAGGCTGCGAAGCGCACTCACGAGGAAGCTTTTAGCGCACCGGCTGCTCCGGGCGTCGCATCAGGATTTGGAGAAGAGCTGTTGACACAAGTACACTATGCGATCGACAAGCTCAAGTCGAACAAGCTGGAGCCCATCACCTTTGACAGTCTGATCAATTACCTGTCGCTCCCCAACGACGCACTGAAGAGAAAGCCTGTCATCAAGAAAGCGCTCCAGGTCAACGAGCGTGTCGAGTTCATCCCAGCAAATCGCAGCACGAGCGGCAAGGACTCCTTCCGCTACCGCCCAAAGCATCCGGTCACTAATGGTGAGGAGCTGAAGAGCTATCTTGCTCGCCAGATCACTGCGGCAGGAATACCTGTGAAAGAGCTCAAGGATGGCTGGCCAGACTGCCAGAAGACGATCGATCAGCTGGAGAAAGAGCACTTCCTGCTAGCTACGCGGAACAAGAAGGACAACACAGCGAAGATGATTTGGCCGGACTCGCCAGCATATCACACCGAGGTCAGCGATGACTTCAGAAACTTCTGGTCAAAGACCAAACTGCCCGCGACGGAGGGCGAGATCCGCAATGACTTGGAGAAGGCCGGCATTACCCCGACCAGTCAAGTGAAAGAGCTGAAGCGCAACGATATGAAGAAGAAGGAGCGCAAGAAGCCGAACAGGAGGGGCGGCAAGACGACCAATCACCATATGATGGGAATTCTCAAGAACTATGATCGGAAGTAGTGTCCAGTCGACGCTCGTGGGAAATAGCACGTGTAGCGAGTTGTATTTTGACATTAGCGTGGCGTTGGTGGTTTATGCGATTAACAAGAGAGCATACAGATGCGAAGCTGTGTTGCATTGGTTACGCTGTATTTTATGATGGGTGCGGTGTCTAGACTGCCATAGCTCGCTGCGATGCATGCATGCTATTGAACTGAAAGACCACATCTGATCAATTTTCATCCCATTATGAACCCCTTCGCGATGTCTCCTATTGGGCCAGTATCTACTCGCACAAGGTTGCACTCTTTCAGTCCTTTCACTAGCGAGGAAGTTGCGTCCACGGGCTGAGTAGGCGCGCGTGTTCGGCCAATTTTCTCCGAGCAGCGTCGCCTGTCGCCGACGTGCCTTGGTGCCAACCTGATCAAGAATCACATGCAAGCATATGTCGTTATACCCGCACACCACAGTCGGATATAAATTGATGTAGGATAGTGCGGCTCGCTGCGTCGTGACGAGGCTGGTCGCTCCGCTCCGCGCTCGGACTCCGCTTACAAGTTTAGCCGGGCGAATGGTCAACATCACGTTCGTTGTCTCTTCGCGTATTGCAGCATCTCTCTTTGGTCCAGTAGCATTGGAGTCTCATATCTCGAACTACCTTCGCCCATCATGTCCAAGCTTTCAGAGCCTTTGAAGCAGTTCATCAACGCAGCTCATGCGAAACCCAACACTATTCCGGCACCGAAGAATGTGATATCAGTGTACGAGAGGATAGCATCCGATGCCAAAACGAACAAAGTTGGACTTCCGGCATGGTTGTGTGCTTCTGTATGTATTCCACTACGACTTTAATACAAGCACTAGCTATCGGAACGCTGACTCCTCACCCTCCAGACCGCCGCAACAATGACAATGAACAGTCCCGAATCGCTCCTCGAACTCTACCGCTTAGCCTCCACCTCCCCAGCTCCACAATCCTCCTCAACCACAAACCAAGCTCTCTACACCGCCGAACTCATGCGCGAAGTAGCCCTCAAATGCATCGGCTTCAACGGCGTTCCCCGCACAATCAACTGTCTCGGAGCTTTCCACTCTGGTCTTCCCTCCTCAGTCCAATCCGCCCTAGCTCAACGCCAACCACGCCGGAATCTCAGTAAATCCAATATCGAAGCTACTTTAGCCCGCGGAAACGCACTCTGGGAAAGTATTTATCGCCCTTTTAGCGCGAAATTAACAGAGAAGTTGAAGCAAAGTCATCCGGATTTACCTGTGCATATTATTGAAGCGGAGTATGGATGTTTGTTTTCTGATCCGCCTTCGGCTGCGGATCCAAATAGGCCGGATGTGGGAAGGGTTTTGACGAGTGTTATTGCTGTGGCGTGTTTGAGGGCGCAAAGTGGTGTTGGGCCACAGGTTGTGAGTCATGTGTTTGGTTTGAGGAAGGCTTTCGAGGATGGGAGTGCGGAGTCGGAGGATGTTGTGCCTGGTGGGAAATGGTTGGCTAGTAATGAGGGGAGTTTGTGGTTGTTGGAGCAGGTTGATCGGATTGTGGAGGCGATTGGGGAGGGGAGGGGGACGACATTTGCGCCTGGGTTTGAGAAGCCTGTGAAGGCGAAGTTGTGAGCACTGCTGAGAGCCCTGGCTCAATAGACAGATGAATGTAAGGAATGTTTGGATCTGGCATTACTGGAGTTTAGTGGGCATAGGTAAATTTTCATCTTGTAAATATTCAACATCTACAGAGCCAATGCAATCTGTTGAATCATCTAGCTGAAGTACTCCATCAAATGCTCAACCAGCGCCGCCATGAATTCACGCGAAATGCACAGATCTTCTCATCAGACTCCCACCACCTACTCCATCTTGCCCAACGGCTCTTTGACGGCGAACTTGGCTCCCGTCTTCTGCTTGATCTCATCAACACCAACACCTGGTGCAACCTCAGTCAAAGTCAAGCCACCCTTCTTGCGGTCGACCTCGAACACACACTACAAAATTGTCAGCTTCTGCCTGATCATCTCACACAGAACCTGCGATGACTTACCAGTTCCGTAATAATCGTACTGACACATCTCGCACCAGTCAAAGGCAGCGTGCAGTTTTCCACAATCTTCGGCGTACCATACTTATCCACATGATCCGTCAAGACCACAATCTTCGTCTCATCAGGATTCGATACCAGATCCATAGCACCACCCATTCCCTTAAAGACCTTTCCAGGAATCATGTAGTTGGCCAGATCACCGTTCGCGCCGACTTGCAGGGCACCGAGCATTGAAACATCAACATGCCCACCACGAATCATACCGAAAGATTCGCTGCTGTCGAAACAGCTGGCTCCAGGTACGAGGGTGACAGTCTCTTTTCCGGCATTGATGATATCGGCATCGAGTTCTTGTTCTGTTGGGTATGGTCCCATTCCCAGGATACCGTTCTCGGACTGGATCCAGACATTGCTGTCAGGTGGAAGGAAAGATGGTGCCAATGTGGGCATTCCAACACCAAGGTTGACGTAGAAGCCTGGCTTGAGTTCCTTTGCAGCACGTTTCGCGATCCGGTTACGACGTGCCAGGGCATCGGACTTGGAACCTTCGGCTTCAAGGTCGGTTTCTTGGCGGAGTTTCCTGACTTCGACAATTTTGTCTTCGGTGGCTTGAATGATGCGGTCGATGAAGATGCCTGGAAGGTCGATTTCGTCAGGCTTCAGCTCACCGACTTCGACGATGTTTTCTGCTTCGACGATGGACACGGCCGCGGCTTTGGCCATGAGTGGTGCGAAGGACTTGGTAGTGTATCTGAACTGCACGTTGCCAGCCTTATCGACCTTGTGCGCTCGAAGAATGGCAACGTCGCCCTTGATGGCTGTTTCCATGTTGTATACTCGGCCATCAAAGATCCGTGTCTCGCGAGCCTTGCCATATTCCACAACCTCGCCATTCTTCAGCGTGGCCGGGATCTGTCCAGATTGGATATGCGTGTTGACACCAGTCGGCGTGAAGAAAGCCGGAATACCTGCTCCTCCACATCGAATCTTCTCCGCCAGAGTTCCTTGCGGTGTAAGCTCAATCGAAATCTCTCCAGTCAAATACTTCTTCTCCAAAGCCTTGTTATTTCCCAGAAAACTGCAAATCGCACGACTGACTTGTCCAGAAGCAATCAGAGGCGAAAGACCTCCTCCAATCGCCGTTCCAGCATTATTCGAAACAGCAGTCAAATTGTTCAGATCCTTCCTCCTGGCCAGCGCAGCAATAATCGTCTCCGCCGTACCACAAAGTCCAAATCCCGCACTGAGAATCGTCGAACCAGATTTCACATCCGCGACAGCCTCATCCGCTGAAGCATAAACCTTCGACTTCCCTCGGACCTTGGCAGGAGCATTCGAAGTGACTTCTCGTCGGTATAACGTGCTTGTCCTGAAATTCCTAGTCTGCAGAGGAAGCTGCAACTTCGCTCGACAAGCCGTTCTCGTAGCCACGACATATCGTAATTGCACCTGAGGCGAAGCCGCGAGCCTCGAAGCAAATGGTCTTACGAACTCCATACTTTTGCTGCTGTACACCCAATTGGCATTCCAGGCAAGCTGAAGAGAGGACCCAATGCCTGTCGTGGAAAAATGATGAATAATAATTAGTTAGCGGAAGCTCCCAGATACAGAGAGAGCTCTTTAACGCGGCAGCAGCATGACGACGGGCGCGAGCAACGACATCGGATGTCTAGCCGAAGAGCGGTTCCTGCGGGCAACCAGCGTGTCTCGGCTGTTAGGTCGGATAGCGCTTGAACCTTTTTCCGCCTCGGCTGCTGCACAACCTGCACTTTCTCCAGAATCTCCAGCTCTTTCCCCTGTTGCCATTGGAGGCGCTAACGTGTTTGATAAGCATGTGAATCAGATAGGCATGTGAATCAATTTCCATCTCGTATCCACCACCATTACTAAACGCGTCCATTATTCCACCATTTTACGCGATGGCACCTCCAAACGAAGAGTGTATTCAGAATGCTGTTCGTGATTACCTGTCAGGTCGATTTCCAAGCGTGCGACGCGCTGCAGCCGCCTACGGAGCCAAAAACTCTACCGTTAACCGCAGACTCTATAGTACGGCTCCAAAGACTGGTACACCGCCAACGAACAGAGCCTTGACTCCGGTTGAAGAGGAGGTAGTTTATTAGAAGATTCTGGACCTAGATTTACGTGGTTACTCGCCAACACAGGCTGTAATCAGAAGCTGGGCGTCCTTAATAACTAAGGCACGGAATGGACAAGAGGTTAGCTAAAGATGGGCTTACAACTTTGTTAATCGTTATCCAGGCTTGGAAACAAGGCTATTACGGAGGTTATCAAGCTAAAGGGCAAAGAATAAGGATCCAGAGGTTATCTTAGAGTGGTTTAGGCTCGTTTACAATATAATAGCCTTCTATAGAATTACACAATACGACATTTACAACTTTAACGAGAGTAGATTTAGGCTTAGACACAGTAAGAATACTATAGTTATAACTGCTACAGAGCGTAGGCAACGACCTAAGGCCTTAGTCTCTGATTTAACGCAGTGGCAGACTGTTATTGCCTATATTAATACAGAAGGCTAGTTAGTGCCTCTATACGTTATCTTCTCTAGCAAGGAAATAAATAGAGCCTGGTTCAAACACCTACTACCAAACTAGAAGCTTGGAGTTAGTCCAAAAGGCTAGACATCCTATAATTACGCAGTCTAGTGGATCCAGCACTTTGATAACTATACTAAGCACAGAACTGTTAGCTAAAAGAGGCTCTTAATTCTGGATGGCTATAATAGCTATATGGTGCTAGAGTTTGAGTTATTCTGTGAGGAACAAGGTATTATTACCCTCTGTATACTACTATATTCTTCTTACTTACTCTAGCCTTTGGATGTTAGCTGTTTTGGTCTATTAAAGAAGGCATATTCAGCTAGAATCCAAAGGCTTGGCATAGTTGGATATTACTACCTAATTAAGGAAGACTTCTTACCTCAAATCAAGCCTGCCTATAAGGCTGCATTTACTTCTTAGAATATCAAGGCAGCCTTTAGAGGCTCAGGCTTGTTACTACTGGATCCAGAGGCTGTGTTGTCCAAGCTGACACTACGTTACAAAACACTAACTCCACTACTACCACCTTGTTTATCAGACATACAGAATACCCCTTAGAATCCAAGGCAGATTAAGAAGCAAACAAGCAAGATTAAGGATAGGGTTGTTAACTACTAGAACAGCTTACTAACCTTAATCCTTGAGGCAGTAGATAGGTTGTTAAGAGGGTTCAAAAGGTCACAGGCTGCTATGACATTACTCCAGGCTGAACATAACAACATAAAGACTATAATTGAAGAATTACAGTCTTATAGGGCACCAAGGAAGAAAATTAAGCTAACACTTGGCCTTAACACTGATGAATTGGCTGCCAGAGACATAGCACAGTTACAGGCTCAATTAGCAATGGAATTAGTTGGTCAGATTGAGAGACAGCCAAGAGCCAAACCAACCTGCAGCAAGTGTGGTATCCAAGGACACAACTCAAGAGGTTGTCCATTAGATAGAGTAACTTCTGAGCATTCAATTGATCCATCTTTGAGGTAGTTCTGATACCTATAGCATAAGATATCAAGAATCAAAGTTATCCACCTCGTAAAGTTGATTCACATGCCTATCTGATTCACATGCTTATCAAACACGTTAACATTTCTGCCATTCTCGATTCGTATTCCGTATTGCTGCAGACCAAGCGATTTGAGGCTGGGGTTGGTGACGGTAGAACCGGACAAACTCATGCTCTGTGCCGCCAAGCCGCAGATGCACGACCTGTCCCGGCCACGACAAACGATCTGTGCAAAAGAGTAGTAGGCCGCCATGTGATTGATCGGATATTACCTCGACTCAGTAGGGCTACTGATCATACCTCCGCGAATGCTAAGTATATGTACAGTAAGTTCGAAAACTCGCCATCATCCGCCAGACGCCGCTGGGCGACTACACGGAATTTCTGGCACTGCATGCCCTTTCCCTCACTTTTGCCAGGTCTCGTCTCGCGTACCAGCTGGGATAGCCTCAACGAGAGTATCAAGCCGTTTGCTCAAAACACTTCTCTGGCCTCGCCTTCCTCTTCCCAGCACTTTCCTTCTCAATAGTGATTTGCTTCACCTCACTTCGCCCGCTCCGATATTTGAGTTTAGATGCCTCACGAGAGTACCTCAACTCTGAGGTTCGGCATGCCCTCCTTCGATGTTGTCGAATTCAAGTCTGTTCCTCCTCCAGCTAATCTTCCGGGATCCGCATGGCAACCAGCTCAGCTCTCATTACTGCCGTCCCAAGCCCCGACCCTTGATCGGTCCCGCGACATTCATCAGTTCGTCGGACGACGCCCTATGCCTCACAATCAGCGAGGTTTCCCTCTCCTTGGGATCGGCAGCGAAGCATCCGGCCTCCCACGTCTGACTCGGATCAGCGAAGGCAGGTTCGCGTACCTGCCAGCAACATGCTCCAAAGGTTTGTGCTCGGCATCTTCGCCCTGCTGAGGTGAACTGGTCCTGATTCCTCTCACCCGCTGAATCGTGGGCGAGACTTTGCAATTTTCCGCTGATCCTTCGCTTGTATACTTGACTTCTTTCACTGCGGGTTTGGTCCTACTTCGCCCGCACCATCAGAGCCATAATCAGACTCGTGGAAGACAAAAGCTTACTCGTATCCAACTTGTACGGGCTTCTGCATCGTCGAATGCATCTGATGATAACTCAAAGGCGTTGATGAGCCACTGCTACCTTCGCGTGGGATCCGATAACCAGGTATGCTCGGCCCTCTGCCATGCAATCCGTCTTCCATGACTGGAATCTTCTTCTCCGGAAGGGGAAAATCACAGTCTACCCACTGCATGGGCGGCTCCCATTCCGGTGGAGTCGTTTCGGGAACGGCATAACAGTCAGAAATATGGTCATCGCTCATAACAGCCTCAAGTCGCGCCCGACCAAATGTTCGCACACGCGTGCCCGGTGGTAGATCTGTCCAAGCATACAACGGCCCTTTTATCAACATCGTCAGCCCGTGATAGCCAATTCGAAAGGGGAAGGAGGATCTGCACCTTGTGAATTCGGAGATCGATTGACAATGAATGGTTTGGCGGCGACTGCCAGTTCCCGCGTTTCCAGATCTTTGTAGTAAGCGTATATGAGACGACCTGTGTCGTCTTTGTAGAATGAGCTTCGCATTTCGCAAGGTTCTGTTACGCCGAGTTCGATTTCTACTAGACGTGCCTCTTCGGGTACTTGGTGGCATTCGAGATCGACGCCTTCGGGGATGTTGTTTATGGCTCGGGCGTGTTCTTCTTCAAGATCACAGACTGCTTGGCCGAAGGCTGCGAGATAGTGTGCGTCGAACACGCCTGCGAGGTTGATTGCTCGTAGGAGTCGTAGGCCTTTTCGTCTTGTGCGAGAGTTTCGCGATTTGTATGCGATCATTCCGATGCATGGAACGACATCAGTGCCAACTGTGAAAGCTTGACGAGTTGTAGGAAAATGCTCTGCCTGGAGCACCATATCTTCCTGTCCAACGAAGCCTCCATGAGCGTGGATGTATTGTTCGATCAATGCCAAGATGTGTTCAAATTGGCTGTCAAAGCGATCAATCAGCATCTCATTCTCGTCTCGCCAGCTCATCACCAAGAACCAGGTATAGAAGAAGTTGATCTGTGTTAGTAAAAGCGCGGGCTCTTTATCATCTGTAACAGACCAACAAGCAAGCGCAGCCATCCATGCGTTCACATCACTTTTGATCTTGTCCAATCGCAGTTGGTGCTCCTTGGGTAAAGATATTGTGCGAGAGTATGCACACGCCAAGCAATTGCGCATGTCCTCGTCCAGGATGTCGACCTCAGGTCGATTCATGACAAGTTCTCTGTCAGCCAACATGACAATGTCTCTGCAAACACCATGAGCCGCTGTCGCAATCGCGTCAAGATGCACCATCGCTTCCTCCAAACAAAAGAATGAGCTCGGGATCTTTTCGTGGCAGACGGGAAAGAGATATGGTTCCTCATCACCGACGATCGTCAAGTCGCCGTCAAGTCGCACAAAAGTTTGCAAAAGAACATCCAGATTCGTCCGCGGTCTTGTTTGTATTCTCACAACTCGTTTCTCTTGTCCTTCGACATCGACCTCCCTCGCCGGGCTGCGATACTCGTCCAACTTCCGCACCTTTTCGTACAATATGCGCAGTCCCGTTCGAAGATGCAGTGTTGCACGATCATCTTCATTGACGAGAATCTCGAAGCAGAAGAACAGCAACGAAACCAGCAACACGACCTCAACATCGCGATTCGTCCCACCATTGCCCAAAGCTTCAATATATCTCCGAATCAGACCCAATGCCTTGTTATACTGACACAAAGCAAAGAAGCGCTGATCCCGATCGACAACATGATCAGTCATCGCACCAGGCGACCCTGTCGGCGGCGACGACGATCCAGGCGAAGCAGCAGAAACCGCACGATGTATCGACCCCAACGCAATAGCCGCATGCGTGATAGCCGGCTCATAATGTCCCGCCTGCAGCGCCAAACGCTCCCAATTCATCGTCCATGAACTGCCAGGCAATTGATGAATAGTCTTAGTTCTAAAGAAATCGTACGCGTGAGCTTCATATGTGCTCATGGGCGTGAAAAATGTAGCCGGCTTTGTCATTGGATGGTGCGGATGCAGTAGCGGTAGTGCTTGCAGTGGTGGCTGTGAAGAAGAAGCAGTAGCCAGTTCCACTTCCATGCCTCCTTTGGGGAGCAGCAAAGAGCATTGGTTGCCAGCTGTGGCTGAAGGCCGTACAACATCATAGCCAGCACATTCGCGGTTCGACGCCACACACCTGCGGCACGCGGGTCTGGCTTCATCGCACTTGATGTGGCGGGCTCGACAGGTGCGACAGCCCGTTCGAGTCTTGGGCTTCTTCGCTCTCTTCCGCACTACAGGAATGGTCATGATTGCCGCCGCGACCGACCACCTGCTACCGGTGCGGGCAGGTTGAGGCTGGTGACTTTCGGACTGTGCTCTCTCGACGACGCGGACGGAAACGCGGGATGATGGGGCTCTTCTCGTTTGGTTGTCCTGTTATATGGCGGCGACATGGCGAATGAGGGCTGGCTGGCCCCCGAACATATAGACTCTCGGCGAGGTGTGCTGCGTGTCGTGTTTTGTTCCAATTCACAATCTCAACAGGTCTCACGGTCGAGACCAAAAGAGCAAGAGGCTTCAAAGTGTAATGGCGCAGTGTGCATCGGCAACCCGGCGAAGATGACGAAGCGCCATTCATTCGCCCTCTGTGATTCGCTTCTAAACGGGGCGCAAGGGTCACGGACGGCGGACCTGTGGCTTTCGCTGAAAACTAGCAGGGATTCTCGCAGCTCGAGCTGTGCCGTTGTGGCATTTTTGCGGAGAGACTATGGCACCACCACGACGCACAGGCTATGCCCTGTGGCTGTCAGTGAGCGGTCGCCAGAACAAGCCTCCGGTAGCGAGGGAATTACTCACAAAAGGACCATTGTGCAGACTTGTGCCTGGTAGCATTCTGCCATTTTCTCCGATTACAAGGAACAGGCCAAGCGTTTGGTCAGGTGCGCCGCGTAACCTCTGCCCTACAAGGTGCAGAATAGAAACGCTCGCTTGACGTAGGTGTTTGTTCGACTGGTTTCTCTTTTCTCAATCATATTATACACCCTGGGGATCGGTCTCCTCCCTCTGCCCCTATGAACAAAGCCGGGACGATCATGTGTGCCCCAGTCACCGCCTCAAGTTCCTTCAGTCTGTGTCCGAGGCTTTGCCAGAAGCTATTCGTATACAACACCCTCAATTCCCAAAGAAAGATGAGACCAAGCTTCCGATGTCCCCAGCATCTTCAGGATACACCCAGAACGCAAGAGCGATAATGATGTACGTTCCCAAGCACATACATCCTTCGAGGTAGTTGCTCTTGCCGTCCTGGATGAGGTAGTTTACCACCAAAACACTAAGGAAAAAGACGACCGTTTCGAAACCCTGGAAATGAAGAGTCATTTCCTGACCAATGATCCAGCCCAAGATAACCAGGAAAGGAGTGACGAAAAGAGCAATTTGCATGGAGGATCCAATGGCGACACCAATGGCGAGGTCCATCTTGTCCTTGTAGGCTACCACCACAGCGGTAACATGCTCCGCAGCATTGCCGACAATTGGAAGGAGAATCAGACCAATGAATGTCTTGCTGACCCCAGATGAGGCCACGATGGAGTCGATGCTGTCCACCAGGTACTCGGCACATACCGCGACCAAAACTGTGACCAGGACCAGGCAGATTGTAGCGGGAACTGGGCCGAGGATCTCTGGTTCCTCGCCTTCTCCACCTTCTTCGCCTTCTTGTTGCTCCGCGTCGAAAAGATGGGCGTGTGTCTTGAGCTGGAACACCAAGTACAAAACGTAGAGAATGAGCATGATGATGGCGGTTCCGCGCGAGAGGATCAGGATGTTCGCAACGGAGTCCTTGCTGCTGTTGCTAAGCGCGGCGTACATGGTGGCAGGGATGATCAAGGACGTGGCGGCAACTGCCATGAGCGATGACATGGTCGATGCCACGGTCTCGTTGAATGTGCTCTGGCCGCGTCGAACTCCCGATGCGATGAAGCAGCAACCGAGCACCAGCAGGATATTAGACAAGATCGAGCCCAGCATGCTGGCTTGGACAATTCGGATCTCGCCCTTGCGGAGTGCGACAATGGAGACCTGCGCATGTAAGTATCCGCTCCCAGGCCAATTCCATCATCCGTTCGCGACTTACAATCAACTCGACAGCATTCCCGAACGTGGCATTCATCAGTCCACCTAATGTCTGACCAAGCTTACACGACAATTCCTCGGTCGCAAAGCTCAACAACCCGGCCAATGGTACAATGGCGAAGAAGTTGATGACGAACACAGCTGTTGGGTTCAACTCCATCGCGCCCACGATAATACCGGCCGGGACGGCCACGAGCAGCACGTTGACATAGTTGCTCGCCAGCGTCAACCATGTCAGGCGCAGGAAGTTGCTCGGGATGCGGACATACCACCTCGAGTCCTTTGATGGTGAGCTTCCTTCCCTCTCCGTCCCTGATCGTGCCGAGTTGCCCAATATACTCGACTGGTTCACGAGAGGTGTGCGCTCGTCCGACTCTTGCTGCCCGTGGCCATTGGGCCGCGGATCGTATGGCATGTCGGAGGATGTGTTGGTGGTTTGCTTATTCGTGCTGAAGTTGCTGAGGGCGGTGCTGGTGCGGCGAATGGCTCGCTTGATGCTGCCTGCGTCGCGACACGGCGCATTAGTATAGGGTAGTCGACGTTGCTAGGCGGCGGTATCGTTGATGCGGCGAATGAGGCTCGTGATGACGGTGATGAGGGAGGCGCGCGACCTTTGTTCCCGGCGTGTAGTGGCTGGACAGACGGAGCCAAGAGATGCCTCGCCGCCGTGGCGTGCAATAGAAGCGCGCTGGGCGATGGCTCTTGGGCGTACAGAGTTGAGGGTTGACTTGGCTCGGTCTAGCGCTGATCGCGAGAAATCACCGTCTCTCGCCGGGAAATACCACGCCCCAGGTGAGATGAGCACGCCAAGGTCGGCGCAGCGAAGGTGTGATGAGATGAGGCGGAGGGATGATGAGGTGAGGCGGCGAAGAGAGCGATGCGCTGACGGCGATGGAAGACAAGGGCGGGCGGGGAGAACTCACTACTCATGGTTTTGGACGTCGGGGAGGGGGACGAAGAGACGTCTCTGTCGTCTCCTGTGTGTGTAACGAGACGGGAGCTTCGACGATGTGCTGGGCTGCTTGCTTGCTTGATTGACGAGCTTAGAGTCTTGGCCGACAGCAGACAAGGAGATCGGTTGATCTGCTAGTGTTTCGTCCCGAAAGCTCTCAAACCAAGCTCCAGCGTGCAACTCCAGCTCTTTGTCCGTTCCGCGCGGCTTGCTCTGAGAAAGCCGTGATGAGAGGTCGCGTTGGCGCAGTGCCACTCCTGGTCAATCCTCTTCCAATGGCTCTCGGAAACGCGTGGGCGAGTCGATGCGCTGCGACGGAGACGATGAGTGAGCGGGCAGCAGAGTTCTGCAATATTGCGCCCATGACCTCACGGCCTCACTCCAACCTGAACTTCCGGGCATGCCAAGCCCGCTAACTGAGGCTGTGCAAGCCCACCCCAATCACAGTCATCTGCCGCACGTGTTTCGATGAGATAGGGCGGTTAGATCTTCTGTGCTCTGCAGTACTGCACATTGTACCACGGACTACAGCCACGTCTGAGATCTGCCTCATACCAGCAGGCATACCTCGGCGAGACGCTCGAACGAGCCGTGAAGGAAGAAATGCTCTGTCTCCCGCCCACGCATATTCACCGCGAACGGAGCAACCCTTTCACCGAAATTGGCATCCCAGGGACTGCTGCGGAGAGTTCATTGGCATCGTGGCTTTGATCTCTTGTATGCTTCCTCATCTGGTCCGGGACCACCTCCATCCCTCCGGCACGTGTCTCGATGAGGGATATACAGTAGCAGGCCGGCTAAATGCTTTCTCTCTCCAGCAACATGTCCGACTGCAAGGATACTGTACAGCCTCAAATCCTACACAGCCCGTCTTGTTGAGAGGGAGCCAAGCCAAGGGATGGAGAGCTGGTCTGGTTTGAGATCGAGAAGGCGTCACCGATTGGCACTTTCTTAAAAATTTCCATCGTGTTCATACCGATACCCATCGATTCGGGAACCTTCGCTTTCCCGTTCTTGTCGATTGTGATGTCGGGAGTGTTGCAACATCCACTGTTTTGGCACTCCTCTTTGACTCACAAACGCATGGCAGTTTCCGAGAGATCGAAAAGTCCACAGTCGCACAACCCTCGAACATAGAGTGCCATTACAAGAACAAGCATCCACCTCTCCCCAAGGCTGTGGATCACAAGGCAAGTCTGACTATGCCCCATACGCGAAGAAGAAAAACAAAGAAACATCTGTTTACACAGTTCCGGGCGTCGAGACACGAGCTTTCCAGCAAAGCCCGCTTTGAGATAGTAATGACCCCGATAGGCTGGCTGGTAATACCAATTCGTATCATCAACATGGCCTAGTCTAACTACAGTGGATCCTCCATTACAGCAGCGACTGCAAGTAAAACAAGGGAAAAAGCAAAATTGAACGAGTCCGTAGGGTGTGCATGTGCCACAAAGGGTCACTTCAATCTAGGAACCATCGGCTTGTCATCCGCATGGGCGATCCGTATATCGCACGCCTCTCGCACACCTCTCCTCTCTCCCCTCTCGCCTCTCAATCGTCGTCCTTCCACATCTTCTTCCACATCTTCTTCCACTTCTTCTTCTTCTTCTTCTTCTTCTTCTTCTTCTTCTTCTTCTTCTTCTCCACCTAACACTGGCCGCTATAGTGGCACGGCCCCGTAACTGGGTACGTATCCCGTCCAGAATCGATTCCTTTGAAACCTGTCTTATACTCATTGACGCATTCAGCATCAGTGAAGACCTTGTCGCCTTTCAGCTTGCACTACATGTAAAAAAATCGATTAGCCGACTTTTGTTCGCAAAACGACAAATTCGGTAGTAGAAGCTCTCTCTCTCTCTCTCTCTCTCTCTCTCTC